CAACATATCAAAAAAAGCTTCTACCAAATATTTTGTCCCTTCATTGTGTGGTTGCTAAAAGAATATTGGGTCACTCTAAAAATCTCTCCTTTCAAAAGTTATATATTCCTCCAACTCCAAGTGGCTTATATGCTCTCTTTTCTCTCCTACATATAAGGAGCTCCACACTCCCTTCAACTAAACCAAATCAACCTTCTTCATCATCAATACAAAGTAATACAAACCCAACTTTCAGTTCCTCACTTTTGATCATACACTTTCCACATTTTCACTCAAATGGCTTCCAACTCAATGAGCAGTTCCCGGAGCTCGAGCTCGTCATGGACAGCTAAACAAGACAAGCAATTCGAAATGGCTTTGGCTACATACGACAAAGACACTCCTGACCGCTGGCAAAACGTTGCAAGAGCAGTTGGTGGAAAATCAGCTGAAGAGGTGAAGAGACACTACGAGTTGCTCATTAGAGATGTCAATGACATTGAATCAGGACGCTACCCACAACCTAGGTACCGCAACACTAACTGAATCCATTTTGAGATTCCTCTGAAATAAAAATAACTACCATGCCTTGATGAAGACATTATTTAAGAGCATTTATCTATAAGAATGAGAATTCAATGTTATTGCTTATATATTTATTGTACTAGCTTTTATTTATTTCTGTTTGGTTTCCAACGTTGTAATAAAAGCTCTCTCAATTCCATCTTAAATTTATCCAATAGATTTGATTTCATATAGTAACAGTCTCGGATTATAAACACGTTGGTTCTATATATGGATTAAGCATAGATACAAATCAAGAAAATAAAATTCAAATGGATCAAACTTTGTATAAACAGAAGTCTATAGAGAACACACAAGAGTTATCAAAGCGAGTTGCGTAGCATAATCTTCGCACTGAATACAAAGCAAACAGAAAATGTTGTAATGAGCGAACAAACAGGTCCACGCATTTGACTTCAACGACTTCCTCCATCATCGCCGTCAAATTGAAAACTTGAATGCTCTATAACGTTACATTTCCACATCAGCATTCCATGTCACAATTCTTTTGAAGACAAGCCAATAATATTAAAACAAATCACCTTTTTAATTTTAAGCATATTTAATCACGATCTACAAATAAAATTTGTTAGTATACTAAAAATTGCAGAGCTTATTGAATTAAGCGATGTTTAATTGAGGGAATTTGTAAATTGTAACGTTACTTAACCTAATTAAAGTGTTCAAAACCTTCTGCCTAGGAAGGTGCCTTAAGTGAAAACTGGGCTTAAACACGGGCTTCAAAGATGGTCTCTAGAAAACAAATTGGCCCATATCTGGATTCGTGATTTCTCTCCAAGCAAAAATGTTGCTTCTTCTCGCAGAAATGCAGAAACGATTTCGATAACCTAGAGCCACCGTGGGTTTAAGGTCGCATCCGCCGGAGAAACTTTTCCGACGTCTATTTCACACTGTTTCGATAAACCTTGAGCACCATTCCTCATCCCGAAATGTTTGAATTTTAAATTGGTTTTTGTCTCTTGAAGCTGTTATTTTAGTCGACCGTACTACTCCATGGCTGCTTCTAGATTATGTTCCGCGGCGGCGATAGCTGCTGCGTTCACTTCAATGTCAATGTCTCAGAACCGTGCGTACGCCGATTCTCGATCCTGGTTTCCCTTCTACTCTTCTTCACCGCCGTCAGATTCTCCAACCGATCAGTCTTCATCGGATTCTAAATCGAAAGCTAAACCGGAGCCCGACGAGTCTAAAGGATCTGGATTCGATCCTGAGTCCTTGGAAAGAGGCGCTAAAGCCCTTCGAGAAATCAACAACTCTCCTCATTCCAAACAGGTAAATGACTTCAATTCTACGTGATTCGCTCTTTGCTCTGTTGAGACGTTTGCTTACATGAATTTTTGCTCACCAGGTGTTCGATCTAATGAGAAAGCAGGAGAAAACTCGTTTGGCTGAATTAGCGGCTGAGAAATCGCAGAATGAAGCTATTCTAGCAGAAAAGGACATCGTGAGTAGCTTCCTCCTCCTTGCGTTTTCTACTGCTAATTTGAGATTACGTTTCTCTGATTTCGAATTGCATCTATGTACATTCTATCTGCTCTCGACTATTCTTGCAAGTTACAATTTCTAGGATTCTGGAAATGTGTATCCTTTCTGTGTTTTTGTTCCCTGGATCAAACTGTTGCTGCACATTGGTTGCAGAATCTATATGTTACAATGGTGTGAAGCCTTAAGCCGAGAAGAGCGACAAATGTGATTGTTTTATGGGGTTTTGAATGGCAGGAAAGACAGAGGAAATTGGCTGAGGATCAGAGAAATCTAGTGCAGCAACAGGCACAAGCGAAAGCTCAAATGCTTCGATATGAGGATGAATTGGCGAGGAAGCGACTTCAGGTACATTTAAAGAAAGAAACAGTGAACCTTTGCTTGTTTAAGGATCGTCCTTTACTGAGAAGTCTTTGACTTGGAAAATTTTGTAGAAAGAAAATGAAGCTCAGAGACAACATAATGCTGAGTTGGTAAGGATGCAAGAGGAGTCTTCTATCCGGAAAGAGAAAGCAAGAATCGCCACGGAAGAACAGATTCAAGCACAGCAGCGCCAGACTGAGAAAGAGAGAGCTGAGCTTGAGCGAGAAACAATTCGCGTCAAAGCCATGGCTGAGGCTGAAGGGCGAGCTCACGAAGCCAAACTTACCGAGGAGCAGAATAGAAGAATGCTTCTCGATAGGATAAATGGTGAAAGGGAGAAATGGCTTGCAGCAATCAACACGACCTTCAGTCACATTGAAGGTATGGAACTTATACGCATTGCTACTGAGATTTTAGATTTATACACTTCTTGTTATGCTTAGATTCTCTCATTTCCTAAGATAGTTCTGAAATTAAGTAACGTTCTAAGTAATACTTTAGAAGAAAACCACGTTATATACTTCTGATATTTTGAAAAATGTGTCCTCACATTGGTTTGCGTCTATGTTGAACTTGACAGGAGGAGTCAGGGCCCTATTAACTGACCGAAATAAGCTGATTATGACTGTTGGAGGAGCTACCGCTTTAGCTGCCGGGGTTTACACTACTCGGTAATGCATCTCCTAACTACGCAAAGTTCTTATTTCCATAAGCCTAATGCAAACTTCTTACATGGTTCTTTTACTTCATTGACAACAGAGAAGGTGCTAGGGTTACTTGGGGTTATATCAACAGAATACTTGGGCAGCCGTCACTTATCCGAGAATCTTCCATGGGTAGATTTCCATGGGCAGGCTCAGTGTCTCAGTTTAAGAAAAAAATCTCCAGGTTTGGCACAGCTGCATCTGCAGAAGGAGAAAAGCCACTTGACAATGTAATTCTCCATCCTTCTTTAAAGAAGAGAATCGAGCATCTTGCAAGAGCCACAGCGAATACCAAGTCTCATCAAGCTCCATTCCGCAACATGATGTTTTATGGTCCTCCTGGTACCGGAAAAACTATGGTGGCTAGGGAAATTGCTCGGAAGTCGGTTAGTCATTAGTTCTCCGTATCCCTGGTTTATATTAGCAACCACAAACTCAATCACTCAACATCAATCTTGGATAGATTGACTCAATACTGTTTAATTATATTGCGCTGCAGGGTCTTGATTATGCTATGATGACAGGGGGAGATGTTGCTCCTCTTGGTGCACAGGCTGTTACAAAGATCCATCAGATTTTTGATTGGGCTAAGAAATCAAACAAAGGCTTACTGCTTTTCATTGATGAAGCCGATGCTTTCTTATGCGAGTAAGATCATTCTCACCTCTTCTCTAGTGCATACTGTTTACTAGAACCCTAGAAGACAGAATGTAGTTTGAAATTTGAGAACAGCGTAATGTAGTATAGTCGAGGATATTAGTGGACTATGGATGCATCGATTAGTGCCTTACCAGAGAATTGTCCAGATCATCACGGTTTTAAGCTCGTTGTGTTACTTCTACTGTGGCTTGAGGGCTGTGTTTTATAGTTATGATCTTTTTACTGCAGACGTAACAGCACGTACATGAGTGAGGCGCAGCGCAGTGCTTTAAACGCATTGCTCTTTCGAACCGGTGATCAGTCACGAGATATAGTTTTGGTTCTGGCCACAAACAGACCTGGTGATCTCGACAGTGCAGTCACTGATAGGATCGACGAAGTTATTGAGTTTCCTCTCCCTGGTGAAGAAGAACGATTCAAGCTCATGAAACTCTATCTCAACAAGTACTTAACCGGTGGTGAGGACAAGAAAGGTGACACTAAATGGAGCCATTTGTTCAAGAAGCAGTCACAGAAGATAACCGTTGAAGGAGACCTAACCGATGAAGTGATCAGAGACGCTGCTAAGAAGACTGAAGGCTTCTCTGGTCGTGAAATCGCTAAACTCGTGGCCGGAGTTCAAGCTGCGGTGTACGGACGACCTGATTGCGTCTTGGATTCGCAGCTTTTTGAAGAAATCGTGAATTACAAAATCGAAGAACACCACCAGAGAGTCAGACTTGCGACTGAAGGCGGCCAATCGTTTCCGTAGACTTTGTTTTCACGGTTCTCAGTTCTCACTCTTAACCATTGTATTTGAATAACCGGTTCAATTTTGGTTAGTTGGAATTGTGTTCTTCGATTTAAAATTTAGGCTAACCGGCCCGGTTACGCGATAGAAACATGTGGCCCGTAATTTTTCGCTTTTTCAAACTCTGGTCTGCGAGGGGAACGCGGCCAGTCCTGTCACGTAGGACACGTGGCGTTTACCGAGAGACAGCATCAAAACAAAACCACCGCCACGTAACTCCTCGTTACACCACGTGTTGAACAGTAACCGCTTCTCGGAAAGACCTCTGGTCTTTGGCATGAGAACTTCTCTTTATAACTATAACTTCCGAGGACATTGGAACTAGAATCAAAAACATTAAAAGAAAAGAAAAACAAGAGAAATTGGTCAAAGCAAACTTGAATTAGTTTGAATCCGTGATATCACTGGCTAAAGAGATGATGGAGAGAAGAAGAGGAATGGCATTGGTACTGCTTATGGTAGTGGTGGTGCTGACGTGGCAGAAGGGGACAACGGCGAAGAAGGATCCGAAAAGTACCGCCGAGACGGTGAAGAGAATGGCGACGGAGACTGCCCAAGGAGCCAAAGACAAGACCGCGTCATGGGCTGGTTGGGTATCCGACAAAATCACGTGAGTAATTTCTGAAACCCATTTCTGGCCAAATCAGTCATTTACGTTTACGTAATCATCACGTTGATTTAACTTGGTCTACAAATTTTCTCAATGTAATCATGTCATATTGTCTCGTTGCCTTTATGGAGTTTTTAGAATCTGTCACTACATTATTGGATATATATAAACATATGCATGAATTTTGGCCCTAAAGAAGTCATTGATGGAGAAGAAAAATGCTGTTAACTTGGTTACTTATTGTATTCTCTTGGATTCTGGTAGCAAGAAAAAGGAACCAGAAACTGTCGCCCAACGCGCAGAGAAGTACGCTTACGAGACAGCACAATCCGTCAAGGACTCTGCTTATGAAAATGCTCAATACGCTACGGACATTGCCTTTGAGAAGGCAGTAATTGCAAAGGACATGGCCTATGAGCAAGCAGGGCACGCTAAAGATTTTGCTTACGACAAGGCGGGCGGTGCCAAGGATTATGCCTACGAGAAGGCAGGACATGCCAAGGACGTGGCCTATGAGACAGCAGGACACGCCAAGGACATGGCCTATGATAAGGCAGGTGATGCCAAGGACATGGCTTACGAGAAGGCGGGATACGGGAAGGATTATGCCTATGATAAGGCAGGCAATGCAAAGGACATGGCCTATGAGCAAGCAGGGCACGCTAAAGATTATGCGTATGACAAGGGAGGCGATGTTAAGGACATGGCTTACGAGAAGGCGGGACACGCCAAGGATTATGCCTATGATAAGGTGGGAGCTGCTTACAAAAGTGCACAGAAAATGAAGGATATTGGTTATGATAAGGCTGGCGATGCAAAGGACATGGCCTATGATAAGGCAGGACACGCGAAGGATTATGCGTATGATAAGGCTGGCGATGCAAAGGACATGGCATACGATAAGGCTGGATCTGGTGCGAAGAAAGCAAAGGAATTTGGCTATGAGAAAGCCGGTGAGGCCAAGGACTTTGCTTACAAGCAAGCTGGCAATGCCAAGGACAAAGCCGGTGATGTGATCAAGATGGCGACGGACAAGGGAGGTGAAGCTTATGAAGGAGCTAAAGAGAGATCAAAGAGTGCTAAAGACATGGCAACGGATAAAACCGAACAAGCAATGAAGTATGGTAAAGAGAAAGCAACAGAAGCAATGGATGGATCGGTTGAGTATATCAAAGGCAAAACACAAAAACCCAAAGATGGAGTGGCCAAACAAACCGTGAACAAGGTTAAGGATTCGACAAAATACGCTTATGAAACCGCAAAGGATAAAGCTTCTCAAGTTGCTGGAGAGATAAGAGAGCGTTATGCTGAGCTCTAAAATGAAAATTTGTTATACATTTCTGAATCTCTCTAATCAAAAATCTCGTTACAAAATGTAAAACACAAAGTCTTTCAAGTAAAAATAGTAATTAATATAAAAGTCTTCTTACATGATGTCTTTCTTCTTGGTTGGCTTATTGTTGTGCATCCAAACTTTGAAAACTTGTCTTTTCACATTAATCTCACGACAAAACCGGTTCAGTTGTTCGTCTTCTTGCTTACTCATTCTCCAACCAATCTTCTCAGCAAACTCCATCATCTTCTCCTTCTGTTCTTGATTAAACTTTGTCCTAAACCGTTTCTTTGGATGGTACTGATGAAACTGATCTACTCCGTTACCGCTAAAAGATTGATGATGGAACTTGTTGAGATCCTCCGTCGATGACTCCGCCGGATCTCTCCCTCCTCCTCCGCCTCCGCCGAAGCTCATCATTATTGGAGACACGTGGCGGCTAACGAGCGGTCTCTGTGAATGACCAATGCTATTGAACTTGACAACAAACATGCCGTCGACTTCTTTCCTGTGGAAGCTCCGGTGACAGTCACATGCCGCGCAGAGAAGAGACTCCGCCGTGCCTTCTTCACCGGAGGACATAAACTCGCCGCAACCGTCGATCACGTGTCCACCGGAGCTCGCGGCGTGGTTCCGCTGGCATTCTCTATATCTTACACTCCTCGTCGGAGAAGTAGTTTGAGGCATAGCGTATGACCTTGGAACTGGAGCTACAAGAATTGGGTTGGAGTCAAGATCCGGATCCGGATCCGACCCGATTCTTCTTGTGGTGAGTTTCTCTTTGTCGGCGGTTTGGGGGTAAGTGTACGGAGGAAGACGATGATCTGCTGAAGATGGTTTTCTTCTTGCCATCTCCATTTTCTCGTTATCTTTCTTCTTCTCTATGACTTCCATCTATTTCTGAAAAAATGGAAGCCCTAATCTTGTTTAACTTTTTCTTAAACAAAGATTAAATCTCTCACTCTCTCTCTCTCCAAAGCCCTAGCTATTTGATTAAAGAAATAATCATAGCTTTAGCTTCTCTCGTAAACTAATCATGAGCTTATAGAGCATGAAGATGATGAAAAATATCTTGCTTCAAAGTCCAAATCTTCTAAATTTTTGACTTTGACTTCTTCATCTTAATTTAAACTTTTTTTTCTTTGTGATAGCCCACCTAAACCTACTAGACTAATCTCAAGTCTACGAGCAATTAAACTAATTGGGAAGTTGATATAATCCCATTTAAGAGGCGATTAAACCAAGCAAGAAACAGAAGATAACGTTTAGGTCTTTACTAATTGAGAGAGAGAAAGAAAGAGTCACAAGACTCACAACACAAGACACAAGGTTCTGTGTGTATTGGTTCTTTTGGAAGGATAAGAGGAGAGAGAGTAAGTTTGAAATTGTGTTTCCTATTGCCCATCAATTTCCAAGAAAGAAAAAAAGAAAATCTAATGAGGAAATGGGAAAGCAAGTGGGTTTGGTCTATGGCAATAATAACGTCCACTAAAAAAACAAGAGATGTGGACTTGAAGCAGACAGTGCCACGTTGTTTCTCTATCATACAGTGTCCGCACATTGGTCGCAATACTGATAACTTGTCTTAATTAACTCCAATATTTGAAAGTTAAACAAATTAGTATGCTTGATGAGATTAGTGCAAAATAAGCGATATAAGCAGGTTTAGTACGATCGATGTTGAACAAATATTGCAATCAAAATGTTTAATTATGATTTCAAATAAGGGTACTAGTAACATCCACTTTAATGTCATGGATTAGAAAGCATTTTACTTTTGGTTTGAGTTTACGATATTGAATATGTGGTTATCTACTTTTATAACTAATAAAATCATATTGTTGAAGAAACAATATTTTTAGTCATGGTTATTTCTCCAAAATGAAGCGAAAAAATCACTGCATGCTGGAGAGACACTGGATAATGATTATGATAACTAATGACATATAAGATTATTATAACTAGTTTTAGTTTAATTAGTTGAACAATTATAGTTAACTCAAATTTTAGTCTAGATACATGTATCTTATACGAATTGTTCATGTGCGACATGTCCTATCCCATATGCTCTTCCTCGCGGCCACACGTTCGGGGAAATCTAACTCGATTTTTTTTCTTTACAATATAGTACTATACTAATATATGTATTATATTATATATATATATATATATGTTGAGATTCTTGATTTATAATAATAGGTAATGTCTCTTTTTAGAAAAACAATATTCAAAAGATTGGGATGGAAGAAAAGGGGGGGAATAAAAAGAGAAAATTGTTGGGTGATTAAAAAATGTTCTTGGACTTGATAGGTCGGCCTATTGGCACTTTGGTAAGACCCGACATGGAAGTTAGGCCCAAGGGATCGAAGATTATCTAATTCTCTTGGTTCATAGAAAAATGTCTGCATATAGTGATATAAAATGCAAAATCAACGAGAAAGATATGATTACAATGACTCAATGAACCATATAGTGTTTCAATATAAATATCAAGGGTACATAATTTTTGACATAGGAGGAATTTAATAGCAAAGAAAACAATATGGATGAATCTATTCGCTTTCGTGTTGATCACATGCATATGAGTGAATTTAGTTATATACATCGCATTTAGTTTTCCGAGTGAACTGAAGTAAGAAACTTCTTGAGGAGTCTATTATAGACACAAGGTCTCTCAATATGTGCCAAGTGACCTGCTTTTTTTATACTATCCATTGTTGCATTTTCGCCAAGTTGCCTTTAAAACATAATTAAAATGAGAATACATCTTCATTATATGAAGTAATAATTTCAGTAAATTGTATTGAAACTTACTCTTTTAGGTTCTTGGCCATTTCAAGGTTAAACAATTGATCACTTTCGCCCCACAAAAGATATATATTCTGCATGACCAACAAATTTAAATTTCAGAAGAACCTCTTCTTATACTTTTTGTAATCCTTTCTTAACCTAAAATTTTAGTATGGAACTCTATAATAAGTGAAACGAAAATGAAACAACGATTGTTTGTGCTGCACGAACAATCATCTGATTACTTCTCAAGCGAATGATAACTCAGTTAAAATCTATATGGAAAACCTGTTGAGAACGAGGAGTGGTCACATTGGTGTTACTGATGACCAAAGCGTCTAACAGTTCTGCTCTTTCCTTCCTCTTAGATATCATCACCTGCACATGTCCAACAATTTTGCATCTAATGTCCTTTTAATTATTGAATTATGTATATGATAGCGTAATATCTTATCTTAACTCATAATAAGTAAAAACAAAACACAAACTAAAACTATTAAAAACTTTGTGTTGGTACCTCCATGTAATCCTTATAGAGCCAGTTCGGGAACCACATGGGTCTATGAACAGACATGGTGAAGAGAGTCTTGAGTCCCTTAACCGAAGTTGGTAACAAAAGATCAGCCGAGGACTTAAACCCTAACCGGTTCAAATTCGACTCACTGAACGTATCAGTCATCGTAAGTATGGAACCTGACACCACCATGGCTCGAACCATCTCAGGGTACTCCTCAGCGATCTTAAAAGCTACTATGCCACCGTAACTAAACCCTACAAGGACAAACTTTTCCACACCGAGAATACGAAGAGACTTAACCAAACACTGGGCTTGAAAGGCTGGAGATCGTTCCGGTTTATCTGAGTAGGACCCACCGAAGAAGAGGAGGTCCGGTATATAGACTGAATACTTCTTGCCTAATGATCCAACTTGGAACTGCCACGTCACGATTCCCTCGACTCCAAAGCCGTGGATGAACAAGATGGCTGGTTTAGTAGGTTTCTTAGGTTGCACGTCAGAGTTTTTGTCGGACTTTTTTGATTTTTTAAGGGTTTCTTTGGGGATCCAGAAGTTCATTTTCGTCCCTGGTTCAATCTCTACGGTGTACGGAACGACGCCAGCCAATTTCATTAGACCGTACAACAATGTTTTTTGTGATTCTACAAAGTTCACCATTGTGTTGTTTCCTTTTACTTGTTTGTTTTGCGATAAGGTAATGGAAAGGAGAAAAATTAAAAACTTTGAATGGAGAATAAATTATAATGTATTTGGTGTGTTGGGTTCTTATTTATATCCATCCAATCATTTCTTGCCTTACATTTTAGATTTATCTAATCAGCCTTGTTTTGGATGAATGTTTAAACTTTGCAGATTTAGCAATTATGCAATTTTAGTGGAACAAAGGAAATTCGGTTTTCTTTGGTTGTTTATGGTTAAGGCTTTTCTTGTTTAGTATTACTGCCACTTGGCTACGATTCGTAATTTTACCGAACAAATCGATGATTATAGTGAGCCTCGTGTTTTAAAGAAGATGGTGTTATACTGTTATGTCTTGTCTTGTGGAGATAAGGTTCTTGTGCAAATAGTTCTTACTTTTCTTGCATGAAATCTCTATATTTAGTCACAGAGTTGGAGATCTGCATTTCCTACTTATGTACGGTAAGTTGTAAAAAAAAAAATCCATAACTTTTTGTTGGGTGAAGAAATGTCCTATTATTGTTCAATGAAGATAAATTAAAGTAATTTTTTCCAATTGTACAATTATATAGTATGATTCTTTCATGTTTTCGATGTCACATTTACTCTTTTGAGATATTCTACATCATTTTAATATCGAAGCACATTCGAAAGGCAGTATCGTTCAACATCTATACAATTTTCATTTTTGTTCCTGATGTTACATATATATAGGTCCTTTTCTTCTCCAAAGAAAACCTACGTCTATACGGCCTCCTACGGCTTACACATTCTCAATTATAGTGAGCTACGCAATGAAACGATGACGTACATTTAATATTAATATATAGTTTAATTACTCCCTACGCAATTACACGATTAAACACATAGTTTAACTACTCTGGGATATATAAACCCTTCTTTGGACTACACCCATAACTTCCCCCCCTTTGAAATCTAACTCGATTTTTTTTCTTTACAATATAGTACTATACTAATATATGTATTATATTATATATATATATATATATGTTGAGATTCTTGATTTATAATAATAGGTAATGTCTCTTTTTAGAAAAACAATATTCAAAAGATTGGGATGGAAGAAAAGGGGGGGAATAAAAAGAGAAAATTGTTGGGTGATTAAAAAATGTTCTTGGACTTGATAGGTCGGCCTATTGGCACTTTGGTAAGACCCGACATGGAAGTTAGGCCCAAGGGATCGAAGATTATCTAATTCTCTTGGTTCATAGAAAAATGTCTGCATATAGTGATATAAAATGCAAAATCAACGAGAAAGATATGATTACAATGACTCAATGAACCATATAGTGTTTCAATATAAATATCAAGGGTACATAATTTTTGACATAGGAGGAATTTAATAGCAAAGAAAACAATATGGATGAATCTATTCGCTTTCGTGTTGATCACATGCATATGAGTGAATTTAGTTATATACATCGCATTTAGTTTTCCGAGTGAACTGAAGTAAGAAACTTCTTGAGGAGTCTATTATAGACACAAGGTCTCTCAATATGTGCCAAGTGACCTGCTTTTTTTATACTATCCATTGTTGCATTTTCGCCAAGTTGCCTTTAAAACATAATTAAAATGAGAATACATCTTCATTATATGAAGTAATAATTTCAGTAAATTGTATTGAAACTTACTCTTTTAGGTTCTTGGCCATTTCAAGGTTAAACAATTGATCACTTTCGCCCCACAAAAGATATATATTCTGCATGACCAACAAATTTAAATTTCAGAAGAACCTCTTCTTATACTTTTTGTAATCCTTTCTTAACCTAAAATTTTAGTATGGAACTCTATAATAAGTGAAACGAAAATGAAACAACGATTGTTTGTGCTGCACGAACAATCATCTGATTACTTCTCAAGCGAATGATAACTCAGTTAAAATCTATATGGAAAACCTGTTGAGAACGAGGAGTGGTCACATTGGTGTTACTGATGACCAAAGCGTCTAACAGTTCTGCTCTTTCCTTCCTCTTAGATATCATCACCTGCACATGTCCAACAATTTTGCATCTAATGTCCTTTTAATTATTGAATTATGTATATGATAGCGTAATATCTTATCTTAACTCATAATAAGTAAAAACAAAACACAAACTAAAACTATTAAAAACTTTGTGTTGGTACCTCCATGTAATCCTTATAGAGCCAGTTCGGGAACCACATGGGTCTATGAACAGACATGGTGAAGAGAGTCTTGAGTCCCTTAACCGAAGTTGGTAACAAAAGATCAGCCGAGGACTTAAACCCTAACCGGTTCAAATTCGACTCACTGAACGTATCAGTCATCGTAAGTATGGAACCTGACACCACCATGGCTCGAACCATCTCAGGGTACTCCTCAGCGATCTTAAAAGCTACTATGCCACCGTAACTAAACCCTACAAGGACAAACTTTTCCACACCGAGAATACGAAGAGACTTAACCAAACACTGGGCTTGAAAGGCTGGAGATCGTTCCGGTTTATCTGAGTAGGACCCACCGAAGAAGAGGAGGTCCGGTATATAGACTGAATACTTCTTGCCTAATGATCCAACTTGGAACTGCCACGTCACGATTCCCTCGACTCCAAAGCCGTGGATGAACAAGATGGCTGGTTTAGTAGGTTTCTTAGGTTGCACGTCAGAGTTTTTGTCGGACTTTTTTGATTTTTTAAGGGTTTCTTTGGGGATCCAGAAGTTCATTTTCGTCCCTGGTTCAATCTCTACGGTGTACGGAACGACGCCAGCCAATTTCATTAGACCGTACAACAATGTTTTTTGTGATTCTACAAAGTTCACCATTGTGTTGTTTCCTTTTACTTGTTTGTTTTGCGATAAGGTAATGGAAAGGAGAAAAATTAAAAACTTTGAATGGAGAATAAATTATAATGTATTTGGTGTGTTGGGTTCTTATTTATATCCATCCAATCATTTCTTGCCTTACATTTTAGATTTATCTAATCAGCCTTGTTTTGGATGAATGTTTAAACTTTGCAGATTTAGCAATTATGCAATTTTAGTGGAACAAAGGAAATTCGGTTTTCTTTGGTTGTTTATGGTTAAGGCTTTTCTTGTTTAGTATTACTGCCACTTGGCTACGATTCGTAATTTTACCGAACAAATCGATGATTATAGTGAGCCTCGTGTTTTAAAGAAGATGGTGTTATACTGTTATGTCTTGTCTTGTGGAGATAAGGTTCTTGTGCAAATAGTTCTTACTTTTCTTGCATGAAATCTCTATATTTAGTCACAGAGTTGGAGATCTGCATTTCCTACTTATGTACGGTAAGTTGTAAAAAAAAAAATCCATAACTTTTTGTTGGGTGAAGAAATGTCCTATTATTGTTCAATGAAGATAAATTAAAGTAATTTTTTCCAATTGTACAATTATATAGTATGATTCTTTCATGTTTTCGATGTCACATTTACTCTTTTGAGATATTCTACATCATTTTAATATCGAAGCACATTCGAAAGGCAGTATCGTTCAACATCTATACAATTTTCATTTTTGTTCCTGATGTTACATATATATAGGTCCTTTTCTTCTCCAAAGAAAACCTACGTCTATACGGCCTCCTACGGCTTACACATTCTCAATTATAGTGAGCTACGCAATGAAACGATGACGTACATTTAATATTAATATATAGTTTAATTACTCCCTACGCAATTACACGATTAAACACATAGTTTAACTACTCTGGGATATATAAACCCTTCTTTGGACTACACCCATAACTTCCAACACTTAGATTAGCACGTCATCTTTGAGTGTTGTAGTCACAATTTGTACTTAAGCGATAATACATTAAATATGCACAAACCTAAAATGACAAGACATACATACAACCTAACAACCTAGAAAGTCATACCAAAATGTTGAAGTTTACATTTACAATATTAGTTACTTTCACTCCATCACAATCCACACCAACATCTAATATCTCCGAATTTCAAAATGTTGTTTTTTTTTCCTCATGCATCTTATATATAAACTCTTCGTCTTCACTCTACATATATAGAAAAAACAAGGATTAAAAAACCAACAAAACCTAAGATTTTTATTTAATTTAATTTCGATCGATCTACAATGAGCATTTTCAAAAGTTTAGCGATTATCTTCGTTCTCGTAGTATCCTTCATTCCTCGTTCTGAATCCGCAATATCTTGCAGTGTTGTTATACAAGATTTGCAACCATGTGTAAGCTACTTGACCAGCGGAAGTGGACAACCTCCAGACACTTGTTGTGACGGAGTTAGGAGTTTAGCGGCGGCGACCACCACATCCGCCGATAAAAAGGCCGCTTGTCAATGCATTAAGTCAGTGTCTAATAGTGTCACTGTGAAACCTGAAAATGCTCAAGCCCTCGCTAGCAGTTGTGGTGCGAGCTTGCCCGTTGATGCATCTTCTACTGTGGACTGCACTACGTAAGTTTGATATGCTCTTAACTTAATTTTTATTTATTTTTTCATGAAGTTTGTTGTCTAGCTAGAAATTAAGGTAACATCTTTTAAAAGAAAGTACTCAAATTTCAAAAAAAAATTATTTAGTGTGGCTGATTAACTAATTTATCTACTTTTTCTCTTAACTTAACTCATCTAGATTTTAAAAGCTGAAATAAAACATAACTTGACGATTTTATTGGAATTGTTAATTTGCAGGGTTGGTTGAGATATTCACAGTATCGGTCCGTCTATCCTTCTCAAATATGCTATTTGCATCAATAAAGGCCTCGTATTATATATTTATGAGAGTATTTGTGTCACATTCTAAGCCTACTCATTGCAAGGTTAATTTTTATGTATTAGTACTTTCTCTTAAAAAGTGCAATTATGTACGCAGATATTGTTGTGAACTGATGACTGATGAGTCATGAAAATTCCAACTTGTCTTCCTGTGGATCGAATTTATCTCTATATCTAATTGCTAATTATATGTCACTGAATCGCAATGTATAATACAAATATAATGTCACTATGGAAAAATCAACCTCGCCATGCATGTAACATGATTACACATAGAGAATGTTATAGATATTTTTGACATCCGTAGAAGATAGAATACTTGCTAGCAAACTATCGCTCACGTTGCATCGAAAAAATGTTAAAGAATAAAAGACGATATAAGATAAAGTTGAGATATATGTATCATATACGGTCAAAGCCAGTGGAAACATCATGAAAAGGGTTATAAAACAGTACGTATATATAACTTTCAAAAAGTCATGAAAAGAAAACACAAGTAGATAGAGTCGAGGTGAGGAATAAATAAATTAAAAAGAAACTATAATGAATTTTTGACCAAGACTGATTTACTTTGGGTGAGAATCTATGATAAGACTTTTCATCATCATCATCATGCATGATCCATAGCTAACGTTTCTTCTTCATCTCGTCAAAATGGTGGAGAAGGCGATCGAAGTCGGTCTCTCGCTACGTGACGTCAATTCCAAGAAAGAAATGAAGCTGCCGTGACGTCATCAACGTACGGATATTCCATCTCCGGCGCCGGCGAGAAATACGGAACTCTCTGCGTATTAGGATGAGCCCACGCCGGCGACGACGAAGCATAGTGATGATGACTGTAATAGTTTCCATTGTACGGATTCTCTACCGGAATTTCTGCCGCCGATGACGCACCAACGGAGGTTATTGAGTTTCTTGCGGTTGCACGCCTCTCTTCCTTCTTAAATCGGATTCCACACGCATTACATAACGACTGCACCAAAATAATATCATTTGTCATATTACTCACATCCAAATGAAATGTATGTATAGACAAAAAAAATGAAATGTACATGTTTTAGTCATACTAGATATGAACATATGATTCTGTCGAGATTAAGTAACAAATATTAGCTTAACAACTTAATAATTTTTATACAAACAACTTTAGCTAAATTGAACACAGCCTGTTTTAAAGATATCTAAACAAACAGATAAAGTTAGTGTAAAATATTAATATAAAAAAGAATTATAAAACAACCAAAAGTGTACATGATGTGACAAAATTTGATTAGAAAAATTGTGCGCTTTTCTCTATAATGTATATGGAAGTTTTGCATCATATATTACTTTATAAGTTTTGAATAGCCAATTAAAATGACACTTTTTGAACAAATTATACAGTTCTCTGGTTATGCATTTGGATATGGTTATCAGAGACACTTATCACAGTAATTGATATGACGAATGCATACATTATTAAATTACCTTAGGTCCTTTTGGTCCGTTTCTCCAAAGAGGAGTAGAAGTGGTATCGCAGCTAGCACAACGGCGAGGTAAGTTGTGATCACCACTGCTCTTCTTGTACGACGTCGTTTTGGCATTGCCTCCATGAAAGAAGAAGTCGCCGGAGATGTTGTTAGAAGTAGCAGAAGAAAATCTACGGTGGTCGTCGAGACGAGTGGAGGGTGTTCCAAGAGAGAGAGTGCAATCAACAGATGTTGATGAAGAGAGATTGTTATAAGGATCGTAACTTTGATGGTTTTGGTCGTCATTTTCTGAGGTAAAAAACATGGAGAAATTAGGGTTAGTTTGGTATCCCATCATGAAGTTGAGGTATAGAGAGAAGAGAAGAAGAGAGATTATTAGAGTTTGTTTGTTGTGTTTGCTTGCTTCGTGAGTGTGTTATAAGTTACATATATATAGACCGTTGGAAACTTAACGACAAAAGGAATTGGTATTATCGAATCTATTGTAGTGCAGATTACATTATTTGCTACTTTATCTAAAGAAAGCAACAATTCTACAATGAATATTCTCAAGGGCTTTAATCACCTTAACTATATTTTTCTTAACCAAATGATTATAAACACTACTTTACAAGCCGATTTTTATGCTACAGTAATCCAAACAAATTGTTCTAGAGTCCATCACACTTAGCCTCAACCAATAATAGATGGTTCACCCGTTTTTATTCGCATTTCTTTGGTATAAAATATAAATATGTAATCCTCATTTTAGAAGTGTTTTGTTTATATTACATTTTTTAATTGATATCAAAGTTATTCAAGGCTTCTTTAGTGCGTTTATAATTTATTGTAGAAACAAGTTCTCCGAGTATAGTACTTGAAATGATGAGTAGTCTCCTTTCCATGTTTGTTTCAAATAAAAGTGAACAAAAGCAAACTATAAAAACATTCCTAAGCAAAATACAGTAGATATTTACATTCATATACATATGTTTTGATGAAGTTAAATAATGAGAAGTGTATCTGCAGTTTTAGTGTCGGAAGTGTTGGTCAAAAGAGGCCCACGTGAATGACAATGTCACGGTCTTCTAAGGATTTGGTCTCTCTCTCTCTCTCCGATTACGAAGCTCCTTTCACTCATTGCTCTTTTAAATCCTCATACTCAGCCCGAGCCTTTCCCCGAATTCTAAACTAATGTAATGTTAATTAGTAGATTATGGATTATCATTTACGTATAACTAAATTTTACTATTGATGAGAAAAATAACAAAAAGGGTAGAAAAACAGTTTATAAAAATTGAATTTTGGGTTTGGAAAAAAATTGATGGTTATAATATGTTTATTTGATGTAATCCATTTTTTGTAAAAATCCAAGGGTCCCATTATATATAAATGGAGTGATGTTCAAATGCTTTAGTTGCACATCTTAAGAAAAACAAAAACACCGAACTTGTTTGTCGTTTTCTAACAATGTCAGTTACTACTCTTGGAACTGGAAATTACTAAAACCAAATATTGAAGCTTCTTTAATATAAAGGCTATATATGAACATTTAAAATGTTAGAATTAAGGAGAGATGGTACTGTTTAAGCTAGGAATGAAAATAAAATAAAAGGGTAAAGGTAAAGGGAATTACGAAGTGAGATTCTTGGCAATGATCAAAAGCAACATCTTGTGTTCTTTCTTTGGCTTGGGGAGCGAGAGATTCAATTGATCAGTCAAAGAAGCAAACTCCAACTCTAAACTATTTTTATAAAGCAAAAATCAGAAAAAGTACAAAACGAATAAACTCAACTGGATACACCAAACACTCAATTACTACTTCCTTTTCTTTTTTGCTTTATTTATTTTCCTATTTTGGGTTATATACTTAGTTCGTTCCTCTCCTAAAGTAGATGATGTTTTGCCAAGACAAGAATAATAGTAACTATCAAAGCCTAGAAATCTTAACTCCAAAGCAAGTTTACATAAATCTTCTAATGAAACATACATATATCATATATGTGTGCATAAACTAGCCAACAAGGATGCAAAGAACGTAAATTACGTGCAATGGGCTCAAAACATGCGAGACGGATAAACCTTTGATTTACTCTGCGTTTGAGACTAACTCGTAACGATTTAACAAAAACAAAACATTTTAAAATAACATTTTTGAAAAGGGTAAAAGCTTAATCGCCGAAAATTTCCGTTTGTTTCTTCTTTTCTTGTGGCGTACCCCAGAATATGTAACTAACATATTAACAATCTGATCAAATAAAGATCCAAAGAATATCGATGATTCAACAGACCCAAAGAAAGAAAGAGGCAGGCTTTTAAGCGAACACAGAGAATAAAATCAGAGCTGCGATTGGTCAGCTCTTTGTTAATTAAGAAGACTGCCGCTATTAGCAGAGATGTCTTTTTCTTAACTCTTTCTATCACATGCTCTTTGTTTCACGGAACAAGAAACCTAAACTATGATTATTCCAAGACATAAGTATTCGACTTTACCATTTAAATTACATATTTATAAAAACAAAACTTGGTCAGGAAATTACATCTATTATTATACACGAGAAAAAAACTAAGGATCGATGAATGCATGCAAAGGAAAACAAGTTTATATTAAATAAGTCCACGTTTTGTAGTATATTTATGTAAGCGATGGCTATAATAAGGATAAATGCATGCAAAGAAAAACAAGTTTTTAATTAACTAGGTAATTTAGTCAGTAATCACCGATTTACCCACCAACTTTAGCATTTTTCGATCCGTACTCATGTATGATACGGTCCTTATCCAACACTCAAACGAGAGAAAGAAGAACAAAGAGAATGACAGCAAAATAACCAACAACAAAAAAAGAAAAAGAGAAAACATCCCTCAAAAGGATCAAGATCCGATTGGGTTACATATATCTTTATCTTTTTTGTTCTTAATAACGTTTTATTAAATTTTCAAGTTTGACCGCTTGACTTTATAGATAACTTACCATCCACTTCTAGTTCTTATAAACGTGTAATAGATTGATTGAATGAATATACGTCTAAACTAAAGTAGTGTAATGTTTTTCTCAAAAAAATGAGAAAAAAACTTAAGTAACATACATTTCTGCATTGACACTGAAAAAAATATCATGTCATAATAACATACACGAATTAAGAAAACAAAAATACTCGAATTAAAATATATCGAGGTTTACATATGTAAATCAAAATAATTTATTTTTAATTATATCAAAAAAAATATAATTTAACCTTTTGAGGGATCGAATGATTTGAATCTGTAGTCCATTAGACCAAAGTCCATACTTATCGTAGCATTAATAGGCCTAAAATCTCAATTATTGGCCCATGTAGTTCGTCGCAAAATTTTCGAGTTTCTTCTTCGCTCGCACTTCGCATTTCCTTAAGAGGCATCTCCGTCGTCGTCTGGGGAAGGTAACGTCGACGAGAACCGCCGTGTGATCGGTAAGTATGTTTCTGAATAAAACGAGATTTGAGTTAATTGCGATCAATCAATCGATCGATCTCATTTTGAAATCTCAATTAATCTTTTCAAGTCTCGATTATTCACTGTACTAACTTCTCATCCATTGTAAATTTCTAGTTCATCAATACTTCACCCTGCGGATTACCGGAAAATCATTGCTCATTCCTCAAACGCAACCGTAGAGTAGAAGCTCTGTTTTTGCGAATCGAATCAACGGAAAATGGGACTGTTAAGCATCATTCGGAAAATTAAGAAGAAAGAGAAGGAGATGCGTATTCTTATGGTGTATGTCAGATTCCAAACTTGTAATTCTCCTCCGATCTATATATACATTGCTTACAATATGTTGATTTTGGAAGGTTTTTCGTTTGTGTAGTGGACTCGATAACTCAGGGAAGACGACTATTGTTCTGAAGATAAACGGAGAAGACACAAGCGTCATCAGTCCAACTCTTGGATTCAACATCAAAACCATTAGCTACCAAAAGTAAAGCTCTCTTTCTCTTCCTCTCTGCTTATCAAGCAACAATTTGTAGTTTGTTGGTCTTCAGAATTTGTTCTTGTTAAAGCGAATGGTAATGGTGTGTAGGTATACGCTGAATATATGGGATGTGGGTGGGCAAAAGACTATAAGATCGTACTGGAGGAATTACTTTGAGCAGACTGATGGGTTGATTTGGGTTGTGGATAGCTCTGATCTCAGGAGGTTAGATGATTGCAAGATGGAACTTGACAATCTCTTGAAGGAAGAGGTATCTTAACTTTCTGTAGTTCAATCAAAAAGCTTGGTTACTGTTTTTGTTGTTGAAGAGGATGATGATACATATTCAAATGGTGGAATGAGTTTTTGGATATTTTTCTCTTTTGGTTTCTAATGGCAGAGGCTTGCTGGGTCATCTTTGCTGATACTAGCAAATAAGCAGGATATTCAAGGTGCTCTTACACCTGAAGAAATTGGCAAAGTAAGAGTTTTGAAACTTTGTGACCATATAGCAATGGTTTTGGAATCTATATCTCTGTTTTGAAATGGTTTCTTTCTCAACTTAGTTTCATCATCTTGCTTGTGAAGGTGCTAAACTTAGAGTCAATGGATAAAAGCCGGCACTGGAAAATCGTGGGTTGTAGTGCATACACTGGTGAAGGTTTGTTGGAAGGATTCGATTGGCTGGTTCAAGACATTGCCTCCAGAATTTACATGCTTGACTAATCTCTGTGTATCCTCAACCATCATATTGCGCAATGGCATGTTACACTTTTGTGACCATAAGAGTCTGATTCACATTAGCCTCTTTAAGTTGTTTCTTTCAGCAGTATTGTAACAATGTTTGTAGACAAACTCTTCTACATTTTGTTTAATTGAAAGAGGCTTAAAACCACAAAATGATGTTTTTCATACTTATTAATAAGCAAAATCCAAAATCAATCACCAAAGGATCAGAGTAGAGATGGAAGAAGCATAGAGATAAAGAGAGAATCATTTCGACTTCTTTCCTACTTTCTTCTTGACAACTTCGTCAATGTACATTATGCCTTTCCCCTTGTAAACTTCAGGAGGCTTGCAGCTACGAACCGTCGCAGCAAACTGATGCACTCTGTCCTTGTCGATTCCGGTGCAGCAAACCACATTGTTCTTGAAACAGAACACCCGCACCGCCGGAGGAACCGCGAGCTCGACTTCGTGACTGTAACCCAATTTGAGGTATAAGAAACGCCCTGCTTCCTCTGCTCTTGCTTTGTATCCAACTCCAACAATCTTCAAGAAACGAAAAAACTTGGCTTCCATTTCTCGTTTTCCCTACAGAGAATTCCAGAAGCTGGGTTAGATTCAAAATGTTTAACCACTGACATGGACTGCAAAGGGATGGTTTCACAAAAATTCAAAATAATCACACAAGCAACAATACAGAAACCAAAACAAATATGTTGTTTTTTCTTTATTTTCTGTGACTTATTTAACGATAAACCTTCCCAGAGACGTCGAAATTACAGATGAACTAAATAGGAAATACGTCGAACAGTTTATGTGCAATAATCCGATGAACGAGACCTACTCAACGAAACTCGAACTAACCACATTTATATCGACATAGTGAGTGCTGGAGTAAAGACGACGTCGGTAACGAGAAAGAAAAGACCAACAAGCGCTCGAATCCATTTCGAAATTGATTGATAGGAATAGCGAAATGAGAGAAGAAGAAGAAAGTAAAATCCATATTGAAGAGAAAGATATACCTTTTCTTTCTTTCCGATGTGAATGTGAGTATGTGACGGTGCTGTAACTTCGCCGGCGGATCCAGATCACTACACCCCACCTCCGGCCTAAAAACCTTCTCCTTCTCCTGATATCGTAATTTGGCAGATTAAAGTGGTTGACGTTTTTTTCAGCCGTGGAAACGACACGCTGTTCTCACAGTTACATAGACAATGCCAAAACCCATTGGACTAATTCTTAAAAGCCCAAAAGGCCCATTTCATGTTTCCTCGCGCTTCGTCTCTCTCACCTCGCCGTTCTCTTCTCTCTCTCTATCTCTCTCTCTCTCTCGCTTTTGAAGTTGCAAAGCTTTTGTTTGACCTCTCAAAGTCTTAACAATGGCGGATTCGATTTTCAGAAAGCTAAGAGATGGTGGAGAAGAAGGCGAGCTCGCGCCAGCTCTTACCATAGAAGAAACTGTAGCTTCACCTTTTGCTCTCGATGTCTCCGGCTATCTTCTCGCAAATCTATCTTCATCAATTTTGGCTGGAAAATCCAAGTCGCAGTACACACTAGAACCCTTATTTCAACTAAAATCCAATCTAGAATTGCTTCAGTTTCGTTTTATTTTGCGCCTGTTTATAAAAATCTTCGTTTTTTTTTCCACACTTTGCGATTGCAGGGGTCTCGTATTGATCACATTCTCGCGTAGCCCTTCATTCTATTTGAAACTCTTGAAGCAAAAAGGAATCGTTGTCTCTTCATCTGCTAAATGGTGATTTTGATTTTTGTTTTCCTTGTGTGAGTATGATGAAATGTGTGTTTAAGCTGCATTATTGGCCTGTCTTTGATAAGTGATTGGTTTTCGAATTTGAAGGATTCGTATTTTGGATTGTTACACTGATCCACTAGGCTGGATTGATCAACCTTCTACTGGTGTTAGTGAAGCTTCAAGCTTAATTAAGTTACACAAGTCTGTGAGTAACTTGAAAAGGCTATTTTCTTCAATCATTGAAGCAGGAAGAGGTAGATTCTTTAACATTGCATCCGTTATTCAATTGAATCTTCATGTTAAAGAATTATATGAGATTAAAAGTTGAGTACTTTGCTGCAGAATTGGTTGGAGACGGGAAGACACGTTTCTGTGTTGCCATAGATTCAGTAAGCAAAGCAAACTTTTCACTTTTGAGTTTTCGACATGAACTATGCGAATTCGGAAGTAGAAGTTGATTTTTTTATATCTTTGAACTTTGAATTCAGGTGAATGAGCTGCTAAGACATTCTTCCATGCCATTAGTTTCTGGTCTTCTAACAGATCTTCGAAGCCACGGTAGCATTCTCATTCTTTTGCAACATGAACTTGAACACTAGTTTTATCATACTTTCTTAGGCTTAACAACAAAAGGTTGGTTTTTTCTTTGGTGCAGCTCAAGTTTCAAGTTTATTTTGGTCATTGAACAGTGACCTTCACCAAGAGAAAATTACAAATGCGCTTGAATATATATCCACTATGAAAGCCAAGTTGGAGCCTTTGTGTCCATCTTCAGATGGGCAAAAGAATGCTTTAGAAAGCCTCTTCTCGGTTCATCAGGATTTCGGTAAAGGACGGTTTCATGTCCGGTTTAAGCTTAGAAAGGGACGCATTAGAGTAATGGTGAGTTCCTCTCTCTCTCTCTCTCGCTCTATTCTCTGTATCATATGAGTATCGGCTACTTAAAAGACTCTTTTACATACAGTCTGAAGAATATCATGTTGATCATTTGGGAATCAACTTTTCACCCATTTCCTCAGTGGATACTGTTGTTCCAACCACTAAAAGCCTTTTGCCTAAGGTAAAGCAGTTGTTTATCTTGCCATTGTAATCTCTGTTTGTTAAGTTGTATGGCCTCAAAAGAATGGTTATTTCTTTTGGTTCAGGTTCAATTCAATCTACAGCTGTCTGAGAAAGAGCGAGTTGAGAAAGAAAAAGTTGTACTTCCTTTTGAGCACCAAGGTAAACTTTTTTCAAGTCACATTTTGGTGTAAAGCCAGAGAATTTAAGCTCTGAGGTTTTGTTTTGACATGGTTCTGTTCTTTAGATCATGGAAAGTCGACAGAGATCTATGATGGACGGAGATCACCTGCGGATAGCACGATTGAGGCAACACCATTGTCTTTAGGCGAGTTGCAGATTGATGAAACCTCATCAGGTAAAGGTGGGGAGATTATATATTTCAGAGATTCAGACGATGAGCATCCTGATTCTGATGAAGACCCTGATGATGATTTGGATATTTAGTGGCTATTGTAAGACCAGAGAATGGCTCTAGTTTTGATCTTGCCTTTGTTATAACTTTTGGGATCTTAGTTGTTAGAATTATCAAAAGTTTGTACACTACATAGGAGATGTTGTTACAGTTGAAGGATTTTATTTGGTACAATTTGTTACAGTAATGATCACATCTTCTATTCTTCTTCTTCAGTTGTTTTTTGTGTTGTTGTTGCATAAGAATCAATCACAAATTTAGTTTTGATACATATGAATTGGATAGGCATTATATCTTGATATTACTAAATCGAATAACTTCACTCAGTATTACGGTTAGGTAAGGTCGTATAATTTAATTTAGAAAATGAACAGAATTTTATTAATTGTTTTGACTTCCACGGATAGATGCAAGTATTATTAATTGTTTTTCATCACGATTTTGGTCAATGATGAATTCACTAATGTTGAATTCATTATGATAAAAAAGTCAACATTAGTGAATTCATCATTGACCAAAATCGCATTCTTAAAGCTAATTTTAGAAAAAAACTGAAAGGGACAGTGGAAGAGTAATATAGACAAAAGATATAAATAGAACCATGTAACTTCTACAACAATAAGAACAACAAAAAAGAACATTAAATTTTTCATTTTATTTGATAGAAAATTATGGCTATATTCAGAGTCCTTGTTGCTTCTCTTCTCATATCTCTTCTTGTCCTCCACTTGGTCCATGCCGATACGGTGACAACAAACACCAACAAAATCGGTAATAACATCAAACTACATACACGTTTGAATTAATACGCAAACACTTTTCTTTAAAAAAAGCTAAGAAATTGTCATTCTTGAAAATGGTTTGTATTGGTATGTGTGTAGATTGCAAAAGCAGGTGCAAAACACGGTGCAGGCTCTCAAGTAGACAGAAGCTTTGTCACAGAGCGTGTGGGACTTGTTGCGCTAGGTGCAACTGCGTGCCATCTGGAACGTACGGTCATTACGATGAGTGCAAGTGTTACGCTAACATGACCACCCACGGTGGTCGCCGAAAGTGTCCTTAAATACCAAAAATACAGAGACTTTGGTCGTATCATATAAGAATGAATAAAATCTGTGCTACTGTTAGATCTTTGTTTTGTGTTTATCCAAATTATATAGCACTAACACAAGTATTTTTCGAGGAAGGAAGTTTCAATCAGTAAATGACTCTTCTCCAGATTTGGCACAATTAGTAGTTTTGAACGTGTTTACTTTAAGAATCGATTGCATTCATGATTAGTAGCATGCAGACTTGGTCTTGGAGAGGGCTCGTGGCGGGACAAGCGATGGATCTAAGCAGTAAAGGGTTGGGGAAAAACGACGTCGGATTAGAGGAGCTTGAGTTTATTCACGTTCATAAAACCGGTTCGTTGCTGAAAGCATCGGCGGTTATCGGAGCGGTTATTGGAGGTGGATCGGAGGAAGCGATAGAGAAAGTGAGAAAATTTGCGAGGTGTATTGCATTGTTGTTTCAGGTGGTTGATGATATTTTGGATGAGACCAAGTCGTCGGAGGAATTGGGTAAAACCGCCGGGAAAGATCAGATCGCCGGAAAGCTGACGTATCCGAAAGTGTTGGGTCTTGAGACATCGAAAGAGTTTGTTGTGAGATTGAAGAACGATGCGAAAGAACATCTTTAAGGCTTTGATTCGGAGAAAGTGAAACCAATGGTAGCTCTTACAAACTTCATTGCCAACAGAAATAACTGATGTTTTTGCCTACATTCATTATGTTAAACTGTTGATGTGTTGTCTCTCAAAATTTTATGTCGAAAAGGCACTATTTATGTCGAAACGGGCCGATTAAAAGCCCAATTATTTGTCAGAAATTTTAAGTTGGAACGGCCCGACCAGAGCCCAAGTTTATATCGGAAAATTATATGCCCGAACAGTCTTTATGTCGGGAACATTTATGTCCGAACGGCTGTCGGAATTATTTTTTATGTCTGAACGGCATTATTTATGTCGGAACATTTTTATGTCCGAACGACACTATTTTATGTCGGAATTTTTTATGTCCGAACGGCACTACTTATGTCGGAACATTTTTATGTCTGAACCCTATCTAATGTCGGAATTTTTTATGTTTGAACGGCTCTATGTCGGAATTTTTTATGTCCGAACGGCACAATTTATGTCGGAACATTTTTATGTCCGAACGGCCCTATTTTATGTCGGAATTTTTTTTTATGTCTGAACGCTAATTTATGTCGGAATTTTTAATGTCCGAACGGCACTATTTATGTCGGAACATTTTTATGTCTGAACGCTATTTTATGTCGGAACATTTTTATGTCCGAACGGCCGAATGTTATGTCTGGATGGGTCGATTTAAAAACCCAATTTTTTTTTGAAACGGGCCGAAAAAAGCCCAATTTATGTTTGAATTGTTTTTGTCTACTTGTTCATAAATAATTAATGGTGTGCGTGTAATACCAATGTACTTGCTAATTTTAGGTGTTAAGTTTTGATGAGCATGTTTTGATAGACTAATTATGATGACCATTGACCACTTGGGTATCACACATGGATCGAACCTTGGATGTGTTAGGCAAACACGAATCCGTAAACCAGAATCCATCCAACCTTCTCACGCCATCATCTCCGTCCGGATCAGAAGCCTTAGATACCAAAAATACAGAGAGAATTTGGTCGTATCATATAAAAATGAATAAGATCTGTGCTACTTTTAGATCTTTGTTTTGTGTTTATCCAAATTATATAGCACTAACACAAGTATCTGTCGAGGAAGGAAGTTTCAATCAGTGAATGACTCTTCTCTAGATTTGGCACAATTTGGTTTGAGCGTGTTTACTTTAAGAATCGGTTGCATTCATGAATAGTAGCATACAGACTTGGTCTTGGAGAGCATCCACACAAACAGTCACATAGCTTTGATAATGTATGTGAAGGACAAGGGATCAATCAAATCTATCGAAATACAGAGGATTAGTATTACAAGTTTACAACCACGCAAAAAAAGGAGATGCTCACACAGTTTTCTCCCACTAAACAAACATTTTCGAATCGCACTGGGCACGCAAATCGTTACAGTTTTTAAAAATACAAAAACAACAGTGAGAAGCATGTCATATTCTTTAGAAGCAATTGTGATGTAATCCTCCAGAAGCAGAAATGAATCTCAAGAGCAAATGATGTTAAAAACTATGGAAGAACAACGTAAATTTTTGTTTGTGCTACAGAATCTGAACTGTTACAGTGATAAAAAGCAAAAATAACAAATATGTGCTAAGCAACAAGCAAATGGTGCAAATCTGGGTGGATTCGAACCACCAACCTCCAAAGAGGAAGAGCGCTCTACCAATTTGAGCTTACAGATTTATTCTTTTCCCCAAACCGCCAACTCGGGTATTGTTACAAAATTATTACCTTTATTCTCTGATGTGTTAGCATTCCAATGAGACATATAACTTGTAGCACCAACCGTCACGGTAAAGCTGAAAACTTGCAGACCAACGAAGCAAGTCCGAGGACAATTTAACTAAAACCGAACTATAAAACATATTTTGGCTTCTCAATTCAGATTGAAGAGATAGAATAAGTGAAGATGGTTTGCCAAAAACGTTTCCAACTAGTCAATATTCTTCCAAAACTTCGTCCACAAAATAATTGTTCAACGACAGAGAACAGTAGAAGAGAAATACAAAAATATACATACTGCAAAGATTTCCTTTAGAAACTGTACATATTGCTTGTAGAGATACCTTACATATTGCTTGTAGAGATACCTTCCAAGTTAGAGGTATCATCAGAAGGGCGCATCAGTAGCTTGTGCAAGCTTCCCATCTACCAACCTCGCACTTCGTCAGCCTTTCTCGTTTGAACTGAACATCTCTTACAGATTCTATAATAGTTCCTCTACACAAACCTTAATAAAAGAACATACACATCAACAAAAGATAACATTTTTCAACCAGAATCTTGTTATTAATCAAAATAAGTAGAGCAAAATTCGCCATTTCAGATGCTATTAAAAAGTCAAATTAACAACGATGGTATTTAAGAGCAAAATTGCTGAATTGAACAAAGGGAGATGAAGTGCAAAGTGAATAACAATGGTAAAGCAAAATTTGTTAACTTGATCAAACTGTGATGGGGGATAGGATAAGTTCCCAGAATTATAATAAGTGAACTCGATTACTTTTTTCTTTGTGCATGATGTATAATTGAGGAGCTAAATTAAAATACTTACGAATACATGTCGATTGGACTGCCGGGCAAGTAGATAAGATATCGCCCACGGCTTCAGGTTGGTCTGTCTACGGTTCAATCGATTCTTAGTGAATGTTTGTGGATGCATGATAAATAGTAAGGAAAAGTGAAAGAGAGAGCGAGACACAGACACACAGGAGAGGAGAACCCGGGGATATAAAAAAAGATCACCCGTGCGAACTCCTCTCCCAACCACAAAAGTTATTTTTTTATTGAGGAACTGTTTTGACCTGCCATGCAAGCGCACCTGACATGGCAAAGGTCGGATGACAAAGATGCAATCAGGAAGCCTTAAGCGCCCACAAACATCTTATACACCCTATATTCAATTTAACACACACACCAAAGGCACATCGTCCCAAAGCGGATTCGTCTCCAGCATCACCACCAATCGATTCATAGATCTCGCAGCTGATGAAGCCTCAGGAGAAGATACATGGCTAGATCTGGCTGCGAATCGAGAATTGAACAATCATTGATTACACAATTGCAAATCAGAAAACCAATATAAGGGAATCAATTGGTATAAAGAGACGAGATTAACCTTTAGAAGATTAGATCTGATTCGGATCTAGCGATGTAAGGCTTCTAATCGGCGATTGGGTCCACCGGATTCACGGAATTGATCCGGAACAGAGCACCGATGTGTAGATCGAGAGGCTCTCGATTACGAATCGACGGGGTAAACGAAAGAATCGTCGCCATCGAAGCGAGATCTAGAGAAAACAAGAGGTTCTCGAATTAGATAACCCTAGAAAGAACGAGACGCCTTTTATATAAGAAGCGTTGGATGGATGGAACGGTCCAGATTAAACGATTAGATAACAAATCAACGGTTGTAAACGGACCACGTGGATCGTTGCGTGCCTTTTAGGTCATTATCCCTCATTTAAAGCGAGGCGGTTTCTTTATCATAATAAAAACAAAAAAAGAGGCGGTTTTGATAATCGACGGCTAAGATGCGTTTGTCTTGACGCGTCTTTTATGTGATACCCTCGTGGGCCGTGGTCCCGTGACAAATGACAATAATATGAGGCCCAAGTTTGACATTCCAAAAGCCCATAATGTGGCAGCGACTGACTAGTTAACCGCAAAAATGCATGCTTAGCCTTGGGGAAAGCAGTTCGTTGCTCACACTCTCGCCGGAGAAGAGTCATCGGAGATCGACGGATATATATACATACAGAGAGAGAGAGAGAGATAGTGTATCTGTTAAAGAGAGAATCTGGAGAGATCATCGATATAGAGAAATTGAGATTTGGGGAGAGAGAGAGAGAGATGGAAACGAGGGAGAGAGATCTAGACAGGCTGATTCCGATGCACAAATCCGGAGCTTCTCCACGAGAGGTCGTTCTCTCTGTTCCTCCGTCTCCTCTTGCTTCGCCGATTCACGTTGCTGGAAGAGAGGTCTCATCTTTCTCCTAATCTCTCTGATCTCTATGGCTAATCGCGATTATATATAAATAATAACAACAACGACTACACAACAACATTTCTCTTATTCACTAGTTTCCCACATTTGGATCTTAAATCATTTTCATCAAAAAAAATTCCGCATGTTTCTGCTTGTGTGTATATATCATTGCGTTTGACCTAGAGCTCAAAGTTTGTTACTTGTAAGTTACGTTATCCAATGTTTTATGTACAAAAAACAGGCGATTTACAAAGTCATCCGAAGCTGGGCCTCCAAAAAGTTCATGACCGGATGGTAAAATCTCTCAGAGTTCCTGTTTCTTGAATTTTCTCAAACCAAACACAATCTTATGCTCTTAACTGTTGTAATATTGTAGTGTCATTCTTCTTCCAATCGCTGTCACATTCTACTTCACATGGTGGTTTATTCATTTCGTTGACGGTTTCTTCTCCCCAATCTATACCCATCTCGGCATCAACATGTTCGGTTAGTTTTCAGTTCCATCTTTAAGCTGCTTTTGTAACATGACACTTGTTGAATTTAAAGACACTTGTTGTTTCATGTATTTAGGCCTTGGATTTATGACATCAATCACATTCATCTTTGTGGTTGGTGTATTCATGTCTTCATGGCTTGGAGCTTCAGTTCTCAACATTGGAGAATGGTTTATCAAGAAAATGCCTCTCATCAGCTACATCTACTCTGCTTCTAAACAAATCAGCGGAGCTATCTCACCTGGTAATATTCTAATCTTACTAACTTTAACCTTGACCATTTTTGAATGTTAAACTTACCTTTTTCTTCCTTTGTTTATCAGATCAAAGCTCAGGTGCTTTCAAGGAGGTGGCGATTATCAGACACCCTCATATGGGAGAGTACGCATTTGGATTCATTACATCGACTGTGATTCTTCGAGGCCGTGCTGGTGGAGAAGAGCTCTGCTGTGTCTATGTCCCTACCAACCATCTTTATCTTGGAGACATTTTCCTTATTAGTTCAAAGGACATCATAAGACCTAATCTCTCAGTCCGAGAAGGCATAGGTAAATCTTGTAACATATCTCATTAGCCAGAACAACAATAAATCGATCTTATTGTTCGGTTTCTTGCAACAGAAATCGTCATCTCTGGTGGTATGTCGATTCCACAGATACTAACGACGCTGGACTCGGAGACTATTCACAGGACAGCAGTAGGTGGCTTTGCTATTCCACCAGTGTGAAGATAGATGAATCTGATATTGACTTAAAACGTTTGCTAATCCAAGGATGTTGGAAAAAGTTTTGATAACTCATAAATGATTTATAGAGTTTGGAATATGTGTTTAAACCTTGTACTAGTTTTAAGACACTAGAAAATAACAAAAGAGAATGAAAATAGAAGTTAGACTATGTTTTAGTGTTATCAAATATACAATGACGTTTTCTTAAGTTTTGTTTTCACACTAGTGTTAAAAAATAAGATGATTTGTGAGTTGTGACAAGCTCACAGATGTACAAGAGCATAAATCTTTATCATATAGTATTTGCTTTTGTAATCAAATGCTAGAAAAGGACAAGCGACACATGAATCAAACCCAACTAAAAACTTCAAAACTCTTAATTCTACTAAAATGAATGTATCAAACTATCAGTGCTTCTGTGTAACGTCAAGATAGTGCAGAACAGAGAGACTTGTATGCATCAACGCAGAGCTTAAACTTCTCTTGCGCTGCAGCCTGCGATTACCAAAACTCATTACCAACACATAGCTTCAAGAAAGCCTGAAACAATCCAATCTCTGTTTAAAAGCATACCTGAGAAGGCCCCTGGTGCTTATCGGGATGCCACTTCAAGGCTGAAGATCGAAACCTGCAAAACAAGAAAAGCCTGAATCTAATGAATTTCTTTCACTAAAAGTTTTTGGCGATTATCGGATAACAATTGAAAAGACTTACGCGTTCTTAACATCTTCTAATTTGAGAGGACCACCTAGAGGCAGACCAAGAACACTCCTCTCAGACTGAGAACCAACGACAAACGGTTCATCACAAGACTCATCGTTCCAGCTATTGCTTTTGCTTCTTTGAGACTGAGTTGTCCAGCTCCATCCTTCTCTCCATTCAAATCCAGACGCAGAGTCCCTAGAATACGAGGCCTTCTGAGATTGACTTGTCCAGGGGTGTTCTCTCCATTTGTTCTCAAATGGATTAGTAGCATCATCGTCAGTATTTCCCTCTCTGTGCCATCCTAATATATCCAAAACAAACAAAAATATATGAGTTTGTGTGATGAAATACTAATGAACAAGAAACAAGAAATCAACTCACGTTTTGTTTTCTTATCCTTAGGCTTCTTTCCCTTGCCAGGTGGAGATTTCTTCTTCATATGTCTATCCCGGATAAGCGGATTTGGACCAAAGTTCCACTCCTTCAACGTTATAAGACAACACAATAAATATCAAAACTTGAGCAAAGCAAACACAACAAAACTCTATGTATTGAAGCAATCCATGAGAAAGTAGAGAAATTTCACCTGAAGCGGATCATTGATTCCTCTGTGGAAGAGAAGATTGTTGAGAGTCTTTTTAGCACCGGTGCGTCGTCCCTTCTCCTTGACGGTGCATGTAAATTTTACGGAGGAGTTCTGGGATCAACATTTGCAGCTTCAGAGCGGAGATAACTTTACTCTTTTATGAGTTTGAATATAGATACACATTCATCACACACCAATATCAAATTCAGGACAAGAGGCAAGTCCAGGTTTTTATATAATACTTTGCAAAACTAATTTCTCTCAAAAGAAAGTACAATACTTTGCAAAACCAATGTCAGCTACAGGACCAATTCATTCGATCCTAGACTTGATGTTATAGACAACTATCCGATTAATGCATCAATTATAAGATCAGTAGCCAAAGTTGACGTATTTCTCAGCTTTTGCGCTGGTCGTTAGATTTCAATTGGCACACATACCTTTGAGGAAGATCGTTGGCCTTCAGAAGTTGTAGTACTACCCTGAGAAATAAATCAATCTCGGAGCATCAAAAATCTAATAGGTACACAGACATTCAATGATGGAGCTTTGCAGAGATGGATCTTACGGAACCAAATTTTTTCCTCGATTTCTCAGATAAGACGCTCGTCGAATGAAATGGAGCGAAACCGGTTTTCGTAGCAGAAAATGATGAATATTCTAGAATCGAAGAGCTTCTCAGCGACAGGAGACTTCTCAATCGTTGCATAGTGAAATTCGAGACGCAGGAGAGAAATTGAGAATCACGATTTACAATCAACAATTCAAAATGAAAAATGACGATTTGAGGAAGAAAGGGAGAGACGGAGAGTGAGCGAGAAAAGTCCGGCGAGGTGGGGAGATGAAAGGGTTTCATTAACCGGACCGGTTTAATCGAGACGCTATACTCTGGTTCGGTTACTGCTTCATAGTTTCGGTTTGAGAAATAGTCAAACAATTCAATTTGGGAGGGAAAAAAAGGTTATTTCCGGTTACTTCTTGCAAGAACAGAGTCCAAAAAGCTTGTCACTTTGATTATGAATATTAGACATAAAAAAAATCCAAAAAATGAAACAATAATGTAGGTTCATGTTGAGAATTCGAATCAAAATGTCAGAGAGATGAATGATGATCAACAAATAATAATAAACGAATCATATACGTAGAGAACAATCTAAACATAACAAATGGCATTGCTTTATGTATGTAGCTTATACATGGCTCTACTCTCATCAGAACCTCAAAACCCCTCAGAAAAATCTCTTCTTTGCATCTTCACCGATCTCACTGATTAGGAGGAGCAGCAGGACTTTTAACTCCCATCTCTCGTGAATCACTACTAGATGATCCTTCACCGCCTTCACTGCTTTGGAACTCTTGGCTCGACAAAGCTATCTGTCTGAATTTCTTCATGTCTGCATTGTATGATGTCTGACTATAATCCGAGCTTGTTCCCGCTGCCAACCCGTAAATGTTGCTTTGTCCTGGCTTCACTCCTTCGTTTAATGCATCTAGTGACACTTCTCCCTCCAATGCTCTTACGATCTATATAAAACCATAACATGTTATGTTAGCTTGGAAGGTACGTTATCTCCTTCCAATTGTGTTTAGGGTTATAATATTGATTAACCTGGCTCATCTTTGGACGTTTACGTCCGGAGTGACGAATGCTAGCAGCCGCACAAGTGACCATTCGAGCCATTTCTTGTGGGCTGTAGTTGCCTTCAAGCCTTGCATCTACGAGCTCGTTAAAGTTTCCATCTTCTAACGCACGAGCCATGATAGGACGAGCCTATATTCGTTGTCAAGTCCAACCATTAGTACTCGATGCTTGTAAGTAGGGAAGAGTGAAACATATATAAAACGTAACATACCCAATCTACTAGAGTGTCGTCCATGGCGATGCTATTATCAACCGGTCGTTTTCCAGTGATTAGTTCCAACAACATGACTCCGAACGAGAAAACATCGGACTTCTCTGTTAATTTACCGCTTGATGCATATTCTGGAGCTAGATATCTACAAATGTTTGTACAAAGAAGCAAAGTGAGATGATTTTTCACAAATGAAAAAACTTTGAGAAAATGTGAAGAGACACTTTCTTTAAGTGGCTCAATTCTTTAACATAGCTTAAAATTTAGTTACACGGTAAATTACGTAAAAATATTACTATGCACACAAAAAAAGCTTACCCGAAAGTTCCCATCACACGAGTAGATACATGAGTATTGTTATCAGTAGTTAACTTAGCCAATCCGAAATCAGCAACCTGAAAAAACAAATGCCTATCAGCTTTTTAGCAATGTCTTTGTAACATAAACCGAATGTAGCTGCTAATTTATCACCATTGCATCAAAGTTGAAGTCCAAAAGAATGTTTGCAGATTTGATGTCACGGTGAATGATCCTAGGATGGCCTGAAACGTTTTCTCAGTCAAAAAGAAATAACTAGTAAGTCAGAGACAACATTGGTTAAGAAAATGAGATATTGTGAATGTTGAAACTTACAGTCTTCATGAAGGTAAGCTAGACCTTTCGCGGAACCTAAGGCGATACGCATCCTTGTGGAGAAATCCATTACCGGAAGACCTTTCCCTAAAACACAACAAGTAAGGTTACAACTTTCTTGAATATGTAGACTTAGAGAAATCAAATGTGTTATATATAAGTTAAAAAGTGTCTCTAACCATGAAGATGATGTTCCAAAGTATTGTTAGGAACAAATTCATAAACCAACATTCTCTGTCCATCAGCTATGCAATATCCAACCAAGGAAACAAGATACCGATGATGCACACGGCTAATGATATCAACCTCAGCTTGAAACTCTCTTTCTCCTTGTCCACTACCCGATTTCAAACTCTTAACCGCAACTTCTTTTCCATTAGGCAACACTCCTTTATGAACATAACCGAAACCTCCCTGTCCCAAAAGGTTAGAATCCACAAAACCTCCAGTTGCAGCCGCAAGCTCTTGATAAGTAAATGTGCTTTGGTTGAATCCGAGGGATAGAGATGGTGGAGGAGGAGGTAGTACCGGGCGTGATGGACCCGAGTACAAGGAGGAATTATCTCCGCTTGTAGGCATCCGCGGTGGTGGAGGAGGTGATGGTCCACCGCCTCCCCAACCACCAGGAGGTTGTTGGTTTCGGCCTTGGGAATTTAGGTGCCAGTTTTGATAATTCTGTGATGCATTGTTGTTGTTGTTGTTGTTTCCATAGTATGGATATTGATTTCCTGAGGCAATATGAAAAAATGTTGAAAGTTTTGATACAAACATGAACATATATATGTGTGTGTGTGTGTGTGTATGTTTTACCTTTCATGGATTCACCGTAGAAGGAATCTTTTCTCTTCTTTTTGCGTCTAAGACACACAATAAGAAGCACAACCATCAACAGTCCAGCTCCAACTAATACACCTACTATGATTGCTGTATTCATATTATTTCCTCCTCCACCTCCGTCTCCACTGGTATCACCACTTCCACTTGAAGGAGGATTGTTGGAGCGAGTGCCGCCATTGTCTCCAGACGGCGAAGATCTGCTAGAAGGTGGAGAGGGTGGAGAAGGAGAGGAGCCACCACGTGATGGTGGGGAACCATTTCCACTGCCGCCTCCTCCAGCTCTCTGTGACGGTGGAGGAGGAGAGTTATTGTTGGAATTGGGAGGAGAAGGAGCTGGTGGGGAGGTGGAATCAGGAGGAGGAGAGGACAAGTCTCCTTGAGTAGGAGGAGGAGGAGAAAGAGAAGGAGGAGATGGCGATGGAGGAGAAGAGGAGGTTGAATTGGAATTAGACGGTGGAGATGGAGAAGAGGTTGAATTTGTTGGAGGAGCAGATTCAGGGGAAGAAGCCATCCGAGCCTCGGAAATGGAAACTCTCTGCCTTCTCTCCCTTAATCACTCAAAATGTCTAAGAACAAACAAACAACAAAGACGTAGAGAAACAGATCATAATCAAAATCTTGCTAATTTACAGATCATAATCAAAATCTTGCTAATTTGGGCATGACTTCTTGTCTTATTAATGTTCTTGTTAGATCGCTAACAATTAACAAGAAACAGGGTAATGAATACTAAACTTGAGAGACTTAATACAAAATTAGCAAGAGATTAGTACCTTACAGGAAGAGATTAAGGGGAGAGAGAAGGAGAGATGGGAATTGCAGGATGTGAGAGAGAGAAAGAAAGAGAGAGTTTTTGGGCATTTGGTAAGAAAATGATTAAAGGAAGATGGAGAAAAAGGTAGATTGAGATTTGCTCTGTCTTCATTCCGACAAAGATGCCTCTTCTCTCTCGATCTTCTGTCTTAATAACAGTTTTTTGTGTTTGTTAGTTGCTAACTAAATGTTATAAACGCTGGTCTAATATTCCTCATTTTGGCTCCGTGATATTAGGAGCTAAGGATGTTGATTCAGTTCCACGTAACCCCCATGCATACAGTTCTTTAGAAGGATCTCCAGTTTAATCTGGTCCGTTCGATCAAATCACGCCTCAGATTCTACCAAGTGGGCTTCAAATATTTTCATTTCAGTTTTTGTGTTGCATAATATTTGATGTTAATCACGTTTTTGATCACAACACTCCTTTGATGATGTATTATTTAAACTATCAATTTCTAAACGTTCAACAATTTAGTATATCTTTGCCCCCCAAAAAAAAACAATTAAGTATATTTCTTTGTCAAAGATGTCAATATCTCACTCTGAGTTATCAAAAAAAAAAAAAATAACCACATAAAAAAATTTAGATCCTTCACTAAATCTTTTGACTTGCATATTCTACATCTACACATGGTAGTGCTACTTAAGCGAAAAATTGGCAGCTATCAACTTATTATATAATAGATTAATATCATAGACAGATCGTTTGTCAAGTGATTTGGTAAGACCTAAGTGTACCATACATTTTTAAGATAATCGATCATTTTGTGCAAATGTTAGTTGCACAATCTATACATAGACAAAACACCAAAGATGGTTTCCCATGCATAACTGTAAATGAAATTAGTAATCGTTCTTGCTATTTATTTTACATGAGTAATAAAATTAATTATAAGCTGAGGAGGCGGCTGAAGTGAAACTGACGAGAAGTCTAGAAATAATAATTTCAAACAGCATTCGTTGTTGGCGTCAAGTAAACAATGTATGGAAACAAAAACCGCCATAATTTCAAATAGCATTCGTTGTTAGTGGCAAGATGTATGTAATGAAGAACTTGTTGAAAAAGGCAAACAAAAGAAAAGTCTACAATGACACATTTGGAGATACTGACCTCAAGCCTCCTTGACAAATTACGTGACATGGATAGATATTTCGATCGCAGTTGGCCTGAATTAATTTTAACAGACTAAATTTTCATTATAATTATAAATCGACGGATATAGCCAAGCAATTGTTTTCACCCTTTTAGGTCAGTGCTTGGTAGCTAGTACGTATTGCTACTCTATAAAACCCAAAACAATCACTCATTGGTTTTTATTTTTGATATTTTGAACGAAGATTGACAGTTCTTTTACAAATTTCCCTGGCTGTTACAGTAATGTGTTAGATGAAAAAAATAAGAGACACAAATAAAGATTTAGTTTTACAAAAAATAAAAATAATACCAAAGTTTACGTACCAAAATTTTCTTTCTATAATAGTTTCTTTTTAGAAATAAAAGAAATTTATGTACCAAATATTTACTACTAAAAGAAGGTGTAAGTTTTTAAGGAAAGACAAAAATAAGAGACTTTTCATGTACCAAAGTATATTTCTAGGAGATATTTTCCTTTTTCTTTTTTGAACAACTAGGAGATATTTTCCTAATTCTTAGTATATCTTTTGTTGATCACCACCATTCAACGCATCAGTTATAAATTAAATTAATATATTTAGTAAAAAAACGTTACCTTTATTTTGAGTTTTTACAGTGGCTAAATTTTTTACTTGTTTGTAACATGAAAAATAAACTTCCACCTAAACTAATTCTTATCTTTTTCATTGGTCAACAACTCACCATTAAATGAGTGTATATAGTCTCCAATGCTGTGTAATGTATTCATATCAAGACAAAAAAAAACATTCAAAACCTATCAGATCTTTTACATAGCAGCAAGCAATGTCAATCTTGCTCTGTTTCCTCTGTCTCTTGCCCATTTTCTTAGTAACCTTATCAATCTTCTCTCAAAATTTCAAAAGATGGAAGCTTCCTCCGGGACCACAGAAGCTTCCGATCATCGGAAACTTACACAACCTCAAAGGATTGCCTCACAAATGTTTTCGAGATCTCTCTCAAAAGTTCGGACCAGTGATGTTTCTCCATTTCGGATTCGTTCCCGTGGTGGTGATCTCATCGAAAGAAGGAGCTGAGGAGGCTCTAAAGACCCACGATCTTGATTGTTGCAGCCGACCAGAGACGGTGGGGACAAGAATGATCTCTTACGATTTCAAAGACGTTGCATTCTCACCTTATGGTGAGGAATGGAAAGCGTTAAGGAAGCTCATGGTTATGGAGCTCTTGAACACGCATAGGCTCAAGTCTTTCAGGTGTATTAGAGAGGAAGAGAACGACTTGCTGGTCAAGAAACTGACGGAGTCGGCTCTGAAACGTTCCCCGGTGAATCTGAAGAAGACCCTTTTCACGCTCATTGCGAGTAGCATCTGTAGGCTCGCGTTCGGAATAAATATCCACAAATGCGAGTTCATCGACGAGCACAACGTTGAGAATCTTGTTCACAAGTTTGAGTTGCTCGTCGAAGATACAGCGTTCTCCGATTTCTTCCCTGGAGTAGGTTGGTTCATCGACCGTATTTCCGGCCAGAACAAGACATTGAACAATGTTTTCTCGGAGCTAGACACTTTCTTCCAGAATGTTCTCGATGATCATCTTAAGCCTGGAAGAAGAGTATCAGAGAGCCCTGACGTTGTTGATGTGATGATTGATCTGGTGAAGAAGCAAGAGAATGATGGAGACTCATTCAAGCTCACCACTGATCATTTCAAAGGAATCATCTCGGTAAAATCTTCTTCCATAGTGCTATTTCGTAGTAACAATTAAACTTAACTAGAAAAATAACTTAGACGAAATTTTAAGGTACATGATCAAATGATGTTTGAGACGAAACTCATATCACATGTTATGTTTTAGGTCATAGAACCTTATAGTAAAAATATCAAAAAAAAAAACATTTGAACTTGGTTATTATGTGATTTGTGTCAGGAAATATTTCTAGCAGGAGTAAACACAAGCGTGGTCACTCTAACTTGGGCGATGACAGAACTGATCCGAAATCCGAGAGTGATGAAGAAAGTACAAGAGGAGATTCGGACAACACTGGAGGCAAAAAAGGAGAGAATCACAGAAGATGATCTAACACAGCTTCACTACTTCAAGCTTGTGGTCAAAGAAACATTCAGATTACACCCAGCAGCTCCACTTTTGCTACCAAGAGAGACAATGTCTCAAGTCAAGATCCAAGGCTACGACATTCCCGCAAAAACCCAAATGTTCATCAACGTTTACTCCATCGCACGTGATCCAAAACTCTGGACAGAACCAGATGAGTTTAATCCTGAAAGGTTTCTTGACAGTTCCATAGATTACAAGGGACTAAACTTTGAGTTTTTACCGTTTGGTTCTGGCCGGAGAATCTGTCCCGGGATGACTATGGGGATGACAAATGTGGAATTAGGACTGTTGAATTTGCTTTACTTCTTTGATTGGGGTTTGCCTGAAGGTAAGACTGTGAAAGACATCGACTTGGAAGAGACCGGATCAATCATTATCAGCAAGAAAGGAACTCTTGAGCTTGTTCCATTTCTTCACAACTGAAATGACAATCATGTAGCGAATAATTTATTTCTGATCAGCTTCTTGATTTTTATTTTGTTACATTTTGCATTACTATAAGAAGAAAACACTCCAAGAAATATTTTTAATATATATTAAGATCACACCTTAATTATATGCCAAATAATGTTGACAAAGCAAAAGTATAATTCCAAATCACATGATCATGATAATGATCAAACCTAACTATTGACTCTCTTAGTTTGAATCTCTAGTCCTTCTCCATCACCACCACCAAAAAGCTTCTCCATATCCTCCAATGGCAATCCTTTAGTCTCCGGCAACATAACGAAGAAGAACCACCATGCTACAACCGCGAGTCCAGCGAACAAGAAAAACGTACCGCCCGTCGAGATCGCCTCTGTGATCGAAAGAAAACTCATTGACACAGTCGCATTCATGATCCTATTAACCGCAACGCATATGCTCACTCCCTGAGCCCTAAGTCTAAACGGGAATATCTCCGAGCTGTACACCCACGTGATTGGCCCAAGCCCGATCGAGAAAAACGCTACAAACGCGTACGTGGAGACGATGCTCAAGCTTAACGCCCACGCTAACCGCCCGTAACGCTGAACCATCGTGAGACTAACCGCTAAACTCGTCAACGCTAAAAACATCCCACCTGTGCTAGTCAAAAGAAGCTTTCTCCGACCTACCTTGTCTAGCAAGAAAGTAGCTAATATTATGAAAACAGCCTTAGTTACACCTACACCGACCGTGGCAAGCAAGAGCTTGTCTTTCGAAACTACTCCGGCTTTTTTGAAGATTTTCGGGCTGTACAACACCACAGCCTCGATCCCGGTCGCGTGCTCGAAAAAATGTATCCCCACGGCAGCGATCAAGATCAAACGCACCGCTGGTCTCGGTTTTATCAGAAGCTCTCTCCACACACTTTTGCTTTGATTCTTCTTAACGCTGCCGCCGCCAACCGCTTTCACCGCTGAATCGCCATCTATTTCCGCAGCGGTTAAAATGTCTCTGAATCGTTCCTCGGCTTCTTGTTCGGTGTTTGATACTAAAACCATGATTTTCTTGGCCTCTTCTAACCTACCTTGCATCACAAGCCACCTTGGCGATTCAGGCATTTTCATAATTCCAAAAGCCAATACTAAAGAAGGGATGGCTGCGATCCCAAGCATCAGTCTCCAGCCGAGCTTCAACGTCAACTTCCCGAGAAAGTAATTTGATACATAGCCTAGTAAAATCCCGAGACTGATACAAAGCTCAGGGAGAGAAGTGAGGAAGCCTCTGTGTGAAGCAGGAGATATCTCGGCGGAATAAACCGGAGCTATCATTAGAGCAAAGCCTACACCAACTCCGGCGACACATCTCCCGACCATCAAAACGGCGTAGTTTGGGCCGTATCCCATAAGAACCGAGCCTACTAAGAATATCAAGGAGGAGAGAGCAATGGTGTAACGTCGACCGATGACGTCAGACGTTTTTCCCGCGGTTAAAGATCCGACGAGAGCAAAGAGATTCAGGATTCCGACCAAAACTTCGATCCTAGTGTCGTTTAGTTTCAGATCCTCTCTTATAAAGATCTGAGCTCCGCTCATAACTCCCGTATCTAAGGACAAACACAATACAAAAAAGTTAGAAAATAATCATAATTAATGATAATTTATGATTTTATTCATACAAAGTCATAAGAATGAAGTCCATCAAATAAATATAGATTTTGTTTACCATATCCAAAGATGATAGAAATGATGGAAGCAACAATGGCACACCGGCATGCGAATTTGTTCATATGGGTCGGGTTTGGATCCGAACCGAGTGAATTATGACCACCAGCCTGAACCATGGTGAGTCTTTTTCTTCTCTTTTTTGTTTTGTTTGTATTTTATGTTGAATTAGCTTATTGTATCGATTATGTGGCTTTCATAGTATTTATAATATAAGCACTCAACACACACATGAAGACTCGATATGTGTCCACCACTTGCATCCATAGTGGAAAATGACGATTAGAATTACTTCAAAGTTCAAACAGTGTTCTTTGGGGCCCACGTTTTCTTTCTGGTACGAGAAATAGATTTCTACGAAATTTTCATTAATCAAATATTGTATTTCACAATTTATAATAAGATCAAAGTACATTGTGATATACAATTACAAACCATACAAAAAAAAAATAGATTCAAAAGCTGGAAGTTAAAAGTCCCTTCGGGATTTTCCCGATATTTGCTGAGTAGTGATGTAACATTTAAAGATTCTTTTCCACATTTCTATAACTTGGTGCACTAATATATATATGTTGTATATCCAAAGTTATCTATTGATCACAGTATTGCTCTTTTGAAATGGAATACATGTGGGTGATGAGTTGAAAAAAAAAAAAAAAAAAAAGATACGTGCCGAAAATAGTTTTGATTTGATTTCTTGAAAAACAGATATGCTATATACTTAAGCAACTGCATATTGGATATTTTTGCACCTTTTTCGTGGAAAGAGGCATAAAGTCACTATCACAAATCAGAACCCGAACGAGAGTCATTCTAATCGGGAGAAAATTATACGAGGATAAATGAATTTGTTGAGTAAGAATTATACATTCATGCACAGATTCACGATTTTGTGTGTGTAAATGTAAGCTAAATCTTGTTGTTCTTTTTTTTTTTTAAAGTGATGCAAGTAAAGTAAAATATGGAGTATCTCTTAACGTACGTTAGTTTTCTTTTTAATCCAAATTTATTTGATTTTAAGGAGGAATCGATCAGTATTCTAGTCCGAACCTTGACATACACTCTAGAGTCTAGTCCAAAGCTGATTGGCATACATCACGTATCTAAAGTAGATCGGAGCAGAACTAGTTAAGTGTAAGACAATATGATAGACTTTATCAAAAAAAATATGATAGATGAATCATTTTGGTGAACCTATCAATTTACCAAAAAGAAGAAAATCTTCTGGAAGAAGAGAAAGAGAAATTCAAAGTGAACTTGTGAGTATTAGTTGGGATGAATTTGGCCGACAAAACCGGAAAGGCAAGTTTTGGGGACTTCTCCATACAATTGATAACTTGGGTAGGTTAGATCATATGGGCAGGTCTTATTTCTCTTTATACTTTATTCAAGGGAGTTTCTTTTTTCAAGAGTTAAACTAACTTAATTAATGTATTTCTTGATTGAACATTTAAAACATATTTTTGGATTAAACAAACATTATTAAAATCAAAGAACCCGAAGATTCCGAAGAATTTAGAAAAAACAAATAGAAACGGAAGAAATTCTAAAATACATATAAATTTGGAAAACGAGAAGTGATAGAAAAAAACAGCATGAGATGAGAAGTGATTATTTAGTTCCTCAACGGATGAAGATTTTTAGTTTTTTGGAGATAATAATAGTAACTAGTTAGTTATTCGATTTTCTTACTAGGAAGATAAACGTAAGACTATGAACGTTTGTAAGAAAATTCAGATTTTTACTGATTTTGAGACTAGTATGAAATCCCGCCCAAGTTTTACCTGGATATCCCAAAAAAATATTGTAAATTCAGTTTGTGGCTGTATATACTTAATAAATAATTTAAGGGGAATAAGTATCGTGAGTGGAAGCAAAATGATACGGACGCACATTTGGAATGGAACCAAGGCCATCAAAATTGGCCAAACTGTTGCCTGGTATGATTATCTGTGGCATGGTCATCGAATTCTAAAGTAACATCTTTATATGTAAGCACTGCACATCACTTTTATCGAAATATGACTCAGAGAAAGCATAACTTTTAAACCTAAGTACTACAAAGAAATGTTGATGTATTTCATCCGCGTATGTAGTAAAACACTTGCATGAGATGGTAGGGCATCAACAGCGAATTAGGTATACGTCAACCACGTGAATCTGAATGTAAGAAAACCTAGCTGAGAAGGTAATAAAGAACTTGATCATCTGAACTTAAATTTTGTGGCTCGGATAAGATATCTATATGGCTCTTGGGTCTGCGGTCTGCCACACAAAGTAAGCCTAGTAGAGACCTAAGTGTTGACCCTTCCGTACATTGTAATGCTTAGGACACAATATGTCTTGTTCCTATTTAAGAACACAATCGAGACCATGCATGATTTCTACTCCCTCCGTTTCACTTTATATGTCGTTTTAGACAATTGCACATATATTAAGGAAGTTGGTTAATTGACTGTTTTAACCTTACAAATAATAGCTATTTGTCATTTTAATTATATTAGATTTGTTTTTCTGCCTTTTTCTTTTTATATTTGGATCTCTATAACAAAAGCTGCTTTATTACTCATGAACAACAAGTAATTCAAATGATAAAAAAGGCCTAGAATAACATATATAGTGAAATTGAGGGAGTATTCAGTATTTTTCTTTTCTTATTCATTACTTTTATCCCTAACTGTTTTGGGATTTTTCTATATTTGAGGCTCAAAAGCAAACTATATCTTGTAGATGAAGAATTTGTTTTGTCCTAAGCACGAGACGGGATATATGGTTGCATTTGTATCTCTTTTTTTTTTTAACATCACGTAAATTAAAAGATATAAGTTTACGATTGATTGATCTAATCCAAGGAAAAAAGTTTACAAAGATAACATCAACGAAATCAGTCTGAAAAACGGGCTAAACATCAAATCTTTTTTACAAAGATAACATCAACGAACTCACTTTGAAGATAAGTCTTTTACCCTTTTACACAAATTTATTTGAAAAATTCTTATTTTCTAATGTTTTAATTTTTATAGACAATAAAAAATAGATTTTTTTTTGTCCGCAGCCTTCCACACTTAGAACGGCTCAGTGATCTAACCCGGTAATGTAGAGTTTACAAAAAAAATAGAATTTATTTACGAAAAAAGTTTAACAAGATATTTTAAATACAAATATAAAATTACATGTTTCAGCAATATTGTAGTTTGAATCCCATCAGTGGTATATTTTGTTATTAAATTATGTATTTTTTTACAACTAAAAGAAACTAAATCATTTCATAGAAAAATAATAAAAAGTAGAAATGCTTTTCTTAATGACTTTTCATTCAAATCTTGAAGTAATTGTGAATCTAAGTTTTTGAGTAGTTTCTCAAATCATTCCAAACTAGTGAGATACGTTTCTGCCACCTATATCAAATGTTCTTCTCGTTTTCCGTAATATGGTATAATCTAATTATATATGGAAACGAATCTATCCTATTAGACTGAGTCATGCATCTAATGTTCAACAGGTGTCAAATACAATTGGAAATTAAAAGTTGAAACTTTTATCCAGTTCAGCGACAACCAAATCCAGGTAAATGGCAAGAAATTTGTTTTGTTTTTTATTACTATAAAAAAAAAATATATCCAATATTACCTTTTAAGTCTTTCAAATGTTGACCACAGAAAACAAAATTCTTTCCAAAATAAATGAATAAGTCAAATATTTTACTTCTTACCATACATATAAGCCAATAATATTAATAGCTAACCGTCATCAGTAGATTTTGTTTCCGTTTCTGCATTAAATTTCTTTCCCTTTAAAAAAATTTAGCTGAATTTCATTAATGAGAACATGTCTATAAAAGGATACGTAAGGTGAACAATTTTAATATACGATAATCTTTCAAAATGTCATCACTTCCAATTTCTTTCAATTCCAACAGTGGTGATAGGAAGAACAATCAAACAATCTTCACTTTTATGAATCAAAACTCCACCATGGTTCGATCGAGGCTCACTACTCCTGATCACATGAACCATGGAAATTCAATTCCCTCACCTCCTTCTTTTACTTACCATCATCAAAATTCACATGCCTCTTCTTCATCCTCTTTTAGATTGAACAATTCACAAATGGTGAAGAGAGAGATGGATTCTCTTGTTGCTGCTGAATCTATTCCTATCAAAGATAATCCTCAATATTCTCAAGTTTCCTTCACCCAAACAGTTACCAAAAAGTTCTCTGCTGTTGTTCCTACCAGTTCCATTTTCAATATCCATAATGATGTTGAACGTGTCCAGCGTGCTCTTGGCTCTTCTCAAGCCAATGTTTGGAATTCTACACTACTCCATCCTACACTCCAGCGTGTCATACGTGATCATAACCACGAGATATTGAATCCTGAACCTCTTAATGTCATTTATCCGCACCAAAACTCTTCTTACATGCCTGCCTCGTCATCAAATCCCATCCCTGGCCATCATGCTCCCCAATATGGTCCATCTCCTCAGCGTTCCGACATGTCTGCCTCGTCATCAAATCCTAACCGCGACCATCATGTTCCTCAATATGGTCCATCTCCTCAACGTTCCGACATGTCTGCCTCGTCATCAAATCCTAACCGCGACCATTATGTTCTCCAGTATGGTCCATCTCCTCAGCAATTCAACATGCCTGCCTGGTCATCAAATCCTAACCGCGACCATCATGTTCTTCAATATGGTCCATCTCCTCAGCGGTTCGACATGCCTGCCTCCTCATCAAATCCTAACCTTGGCCATCATGTTCCCCAACATGGTCCATCTCCTCAGCATTCCGACATGTTTGCCTCGTCATCAAATCCTAATCGTGACCATCATGTTCCCCAATATGGTCCATCTCCTCAACAAACCAACTTTCCTCAAGAAACTATCCACATAATTGATTCTGATGAAGATGAGGAAAGTGGAGAAGGTCGATATGATGGTCGAACACATAGTCTACCATATGAGAAACATGGTCCATACACATGTCCCAGGTGTAGCGTTGTGTGTGATACTTCCCAAAGATTTGCTGCGCATATGTCATTTCACTACAGGAATGAGACAAACGAGGAAAGAGTTCAGAGGGTCCGGGCAAGGACCAAGAAGAAATTCCGTGTACTAAAAGAGAAAATTCATGAAGAGTACTCTAAGAAGATCAAGCAGGAGGCTGGGGTTCGTATCCGTGAGTAAGTGGTTTTGAAGCTTTTCAACATCATGTGGCTGTTGCATATCATTATAGCTTGTTTAATTTTCATTTGGTAAAACATTATAAATAAATAAAAAAACAAAAAAAAAACAAAAAACAAAAAACAAAAAAAAATGCATATTTTCTTTTTTTTTTTCTTTCTGGCGTTTCATCATCTTTGTTGTCGAATTGGTTGAATGTGCGTAGATGGGCAGAAAATTATAATTTTCTTGCTCTTTTATATGATTCAACTGTATCTTGTATTATAGTTTCTTAAATTTTAATAAAGTGTATTGCATTCATCAACTGTCGTGGCTCTTATGTGTCTTTATGTTTCTTTTCATATTCTTGGCTTGTTGGTCCTATTTCTTACATACTATAAACTTTTTAATGATGGAATTTGACAACAGCGAATTTTACCAGATTGTGGATCGTGTGAGTCTTTTAGTGATCGTCAATACGAAAATAAAACTAATACTTTTAGCAAAAATAAATAAAAATAAAATTAATTCAAACATTATTGTGTAAAAAGTCGGTTAACAAAATAATGATTCATAGACCAAATCAAATAATAACAAAGGAAAATATTTACATACCAATGTAATAAACAACCGACACTTAGCCGTATGCATATCATATAGTGAATGGGTGTCATGGGACGTATACACTTGTGCAAAATGGGACTTGAGTAGAGATATTACGTTTACTTTATTTCTCCATTTTAAGTCAATAAATACAATGCATAAAACTAATTTTACCTTGGTGGCCAAAATAAATATTATTTCATTTTTTTATATATTAATCAGGAAAGCCATTTAGGAATAGTTTAAAACTCAAATCACGACAATTTATATTAACATTCTTTGGATATTGAAAAGCATGGACCATGCTGGCTTCATATCTTTGGATTTTAGAAAAACTGCTCATGTTTTGTATTCTCTTAATTTTATGTAATACAGTTGCAATCTAGATTGTATGTTCTCTCAGTTTTTTTTTTTAAATTTATCAATTTTTTTTTGAAATTCCGGGTGATATTTATAAAGAAGTCTACAAAGAATATCGTTTATTTATATAAAATTTATAATGCCGAATAAGCGAATCCAACAAGGTAGGTTTTTCGAACCATGTTATTAAAAAAAAAAAGGTCAGAAGGATAATTTTCTATATTTATAAACCTAATATATATTAGAAACTATCGTTCAAATTCAAGAAATCAAACATGCAATAAAGACATGTTAAATTTGTTCACAAAACTCCAGAAAATTATATGGAATATACTTACAACCTAGATTGTATGTGCCGAATAAGCGAATCCAACAAGTTAGGTTTTTCGAACTATGTTATATGGCAAAAAAAAAAAATTATGTCGAAGAATAATTTTCTATATTTATAAACCTAATATATATTACAAACTATCGTTTGAATTTAAGAGATCAAACATGCATCATAGACATGTTTGATATGTTCACAAAACTCTAGAAAATTATATGGAATATACTTACAACCTAGATTGTATGTTCTATGAGTTTCTTTAACTTATTGTTCTTTAAACTTTCAGGTTAATATCCATATATAGATTATAGAAGCTCTTATGAAATATCCTTCACTTATATAAATTTTGTGGTGCCCAGTGAGAGAGTCCAACAAATTAGGTTTTACGAACCACGGAGAAACTTTAGACTTTATGTTGAAGAACTTATACATTTATCAATATAATATATATTAAAAAAACTTGGCGTTTGAATCCAAGAGATATCTTAGACATGTTCAATATGTTCACAAAAAACTCCATAAAAGTTGTTTCTTGGCTAAGGAAGTGTTGCTCATCTAAACCAAGATGACAGTTAGATTACGAACACCAAGCCAGGTTATGGGCCTCTCTCGGCCAGTAAGGCAGTAAATGCTCAATTTTTAGTATATAATGCCAGTTCAGTTACTAAAACCCAACAAAACACCAAGTCAATATTATTATATATCTTTATTCGTTTTTGTTTGAGAAAAGCAATCACTTCAATTTGGTTTTGTAGTGGAATCGATTGAACTGGCCTTTTATCTTTAGACTCTTTATCTATTAAGGAGCATCTACTTTGTGATTTTACAATTAAAGACAAAAGTAAGTATGTAATGTTCCATTAATAAACAACGGAGAAACGATATAAAGTTGAAACATGCATATGGAAAAGAAATCGAGAAAGATGACTTTTGGGGCTTGGGTAGATTATATTGTCGTCTCTTTGGATCCTCTTGTCGTTCGTTTCGAGGAGGCTTTCTTCATCTTTCAACGATGAACGAACTTTTTGTCTCGCTTATTCACTAGACACACAATTTTCTCCTTATGATATGAATATTTTTACCGCATTTGACTAGTATATCATGCATTCAAGTTATATGATATGACTGGTCCTTGTTATTCAAACTCTTCCATACAAAGTAAACGTGAAAAAAACTAATTAAAATCTAATGAAAAAAAATCAGAATTTCTTGATTTTGCATCTGCGCCCCGATTTTGAAAGATTTTTGAAGACAATATGTATTATATAGGCACAATTGTTTTACAAAAAATAATATGGCTAAGGAAAATAAACTACTAGATCGTGAGAGAGAGTTGGTTATAGGTTGTAATCATTTGACCTACTTTCTATCTAAAAGGAAAAAGATAACATTGAGCATAGTGTAAATTCGTTTTAATTTTCTCACGGAGACTAATCAGCTCAATTCATCTATAAGGCTGTAACAAACACATTCGCATCATTTTGTGCAAATGTAGTCATAAACTGTAGACCCGTTATGAAGCTGATAGACAGATAGAGTTGCATACATCATTACATTGTTTATGTCAATATGGGCAAAACATGTTAGACTCGAATAAAGAACTTTAATTGCAGTCGTAGCTGTCAATAAAGCATAGATTCAACAAAAACAAGTTAATGATAATTTAATTAGTGAATCTAGTGTCGGTATAAAATCTAAATCCATTTTCTTTTATTTATTAATAACTTATATAAAAACAGTGATACATGTAGACTGTAGACATACGAATGTGTTTTGTCAGTTTGTGTGTATATATAAACAGAACTTTACAATTCTCATTTGATGCTGCATACATTCATTCCTCTACACACAAAGAAAAGAAAAATGACGAAACGTTTCAAAATAAGAATTTCAAGAATCCTCTCCTTCAAATCTTGTCGTTCGAAAGATCCTTCCGATCTCCCTTTCAATCCTGTCGCCTCAATTTCCCGTCGACCTCCACCGGCTAATCCCTCCGCCGTCACCACCGTGCCACAACGACGTCGTTCTTCTTTTAGACTACACGTGTTAACAGCTTTAGGCTGCGGAGCAAGTCGGAGACGCTCGTCAACGCCGTTAGATGTTTCACGGAGGAACTCGCCGTCGTTATCTCCGCCGAAGACGCCGACTTTTCAGTGGGAAAGCGAAGGGAAGTGCCTCGTGGTCGCTCAAAACATTGAGGGAGAATACGAAACGCCTCGTCGGAAAATCTACGACGGAGGACGGGAAAAAGATGATCGACGGCGTTTAGTGAAGAAAGAGAGATACGCAAGGCGGCGAGGGAGCACTTCCTCCGCAGAAGAATACGAAGAGGAGACGGAGAGAGAGAGTCTCTTGCCATCTTCTACAAACCTCTCGCCGGAAAATCGCTCTTCAGAGCTGCCACGTGCGACAAGACAACGGAGACACTTTCCTAAACGAAAAAGCACGTCGTCGGCTGTTGTGGAGGAAAGCGAGTCTTCGTCACCGCCGCCGTCTCCGGCGAGACTTTCATCGTTCGTGCAGAGACTAATGCCGTGTGCGACAGTATCCACGGTTATGGTGGAGGGAGTGGCGGTGGTGAAGAGGTCGGAGGATCCGTATGAAGATTTCAAAGGTTCAATGATGGAGATGATTATGGAGAAGAAGATGTTCGAAGTGGCTGAGCTTGAGCAGCTTCTCCGTTGCTTCCTAACACTAAACGCGAAACGCCACCACCGCGCGATTGTTAGAGCGTTTTCTGAGGTTTGGGTTGCTTTATTCTCCGGTGGTAGTGACAGTCGAAGGTCCAGTGTTCGACTCTCCGATTATGATGAGTGTTAGAAAATAAAATCAATAATTACAATTTCTCTGTTTCTGATAATGTTTAACAAAATTAGGATTTTTAATCAAGTGGTTAATGTTAATGTAAATTATGCGGCGGTGCAATGATTAAAGAAAACTGTAATCATCATTTATTCCCTACTCCAAATTAAATCATATATTTTGTACAATTTAGACTATAATGCTTAGTTGACAAAAAAGAGAGGATAATTCATATTCACACGCAATTTAAAAATCTTTTTTTGTACATTACGTTTGGGACAGAATAGTAATAAATGTATATAGTGAATTTGCAAATGTTGATTATCTGTTTGTAGAGAGTTTCAAGCAACCCAAGAACTGTGGGTTTCACATTTTACCATACAACACAACACTTGAGAAAAAGAAACAGATGTTCGCTTTTTCGGTTTCTTATCTTACACATTCAATTTTAAATGCATATTAGGTGACACGTGGATGGTCGATGTGGACCCATTTTGACTCAAATGATTAAAATCGAAAGAGACAAAAAGCTTGATTAAAATTGAATATTTGGTCCTTTGGCCTTCTCAAGACTCTCACAGTACAGATGTGGATGCGTCTCTATCTTGAGTGTTTTTAGGGTTTTTAAACACTGAAGCTGAATCAATCAATGGTCAGAGAAACTATTGGAATTGAAGTTTTGACAAGGAAAAGAGAGAGAGAAAGGAGGAGAATGGGACCATAACTTGAACAGCAAGCGACCTCTGTTCAATCAACTCCTGTCTTCTCTTTCTTGTTTAGTGTAGAAAGCAACCTCGAGAAGCAGAAGTGAATAATTGAGTTTTTACAGCAAAATTTAGGTAAAAATCAAAGCACACGGCATCAGAGATTCTGCAACAATACGTGAACACTAAAAACCAGACATGCGCACTAATTCCCACACACACACTCTCTCTCCAAACTAAAGATAAGAGATTCTCTGCAAGAGAATCAGAGACAACAAGACATTAAGAACATTTTGTGTTTTTTTTTTTCTCCGTCTCTTTTAACTATTGTTTTGGATAAGGAAAGGTTTCTTACAATCTAAAAGTGAAGTGAAAAATCCTTGTCATAACTTGTCCTGGAAGGAAAGGGTTTACAAAAGTTTGATTTGGTTCAAGGCTCAGCCTTGGTGTGGTGGTGGTGGAGGCATAGACATGTGATGATGGTGATGCATAGCTTGTTGTGGCGGTGGTAGTCCACCTTGCTGCATGTGTTGTGGCGGCGGGGGTCCACCTTGCTGCATGTGTTGCGGCGGCCATCCTTGTTGCTGGTGCATTCCCATGGCTTGAGGTGGTGGTGGTGGTTGTCTTGGACCACCGAAGCCTTGTTGGTGGTGAAGAAACTGGGGAGGTGGCGGCGGAGGGAGTCCCTGAGTAGGACGGAATTGGGGAGGTGGAATGGCTAAGCCGTGTTGTTGTTGCTGCTGCTGAGGTGGCCAAGATGGAGGCTGAGCTTGATAGACTTGTGGAGGAGGTGGTGGCGGTGTTGGACGCGGAGCCAGCATCGGGACAGGTTGCATGCCGCCGTTGGCAAACGGACGTGGTATACCGTTAGCTTGAGGAGCGTTGGGATGCGATGGCGGTCCACTTGCGAATAACGTATGCGGCCTGCTCTTCTGGGAGCTTGGATTTGTGGCAGCCAAAAGCCTCTCTGAAATGATAAAAGCAATGTGTTGTTGTTTCAATGATTGATAGAGATGAAACTGAATCAATAAGTAGAGAAGAGTGTAAAGAGCCTAACCTGCTGGAGTACCGTGACGCTCTCCTTTGGTGTCTTTCTTGTATGCGTAAGAGACTGTTATTTGACGATTACAGAGATATTGCCCAGTCATTGCCTGCAACAAACAGAGAGAGATTCAGAGGAATATACATTGATTGGATTAGGTAAGCTTTATGTGAAACATGTTAGGCCCATTCTTGCAGCCGAGTCCACAGATGTAAGAAAGATAACTAACCTCAATAGCAGCATCAGATGCCTCAAAGGAGTCGTAGCTGATGAAACCAAAACCTCGCGAGTTCCCAGTATCAGGATCATGCATTATCTGCAACGAAAAAGTTGAGAACATCAGATTCTAATGCGTATAGCCATTCTTTTTACCAAACGAATGCGTCTATTACTCTTTAAGTTACAGATAGGAGATCACGAATCATGGAATGAAAGCTATAGAAGAAGAAGAAAATATGCTACCTTAGGATTAGAAGCAATCACACCAAACGCGCTGAAAGTATCATACAAGAGCTTCTCATCCACATCCTGTAAAAAGCAGCAAAACCTGGTCAGTTATTGTTTGAAGTACCAATTTTCAGAGTATTACACCACCAAGGTCTAAGATACTTACAGGGTCAAGGTTTCCAATGAAAAGGTTAGCACCAACATCCAAGCTCTTCTTATCTTGAGACGCCTAATACAATTTCAATCAGGAAAACAAAAAAGTTAGAGCAAGTTCTCCGAGAGGAAACTAAACAAGTCTCTCTACATCTTGAGAATTCATTATAAAACAAAAGATAGGAATAGGGTGCTAAACGAATTTGAATACCTTGTTAACACGTATAGGCTTCCCGTAGAGCTTAATCATGTTAAGAACCTTAATCGCCTGCACAAAAACATCGAAATTTGTTAACCACTTTGTGCCCCTAAAAAGAAGTCTAAAAGCTCAAATGAATCCAACGAATGAAAGGAAATAGCAAACACTTACATAGTCAGCATCTTCTTCACTACGGAATTCAACGAATCCAAATGTTTGATGAGAATTTGTCACTCTGTCTTTTGGGACATAGACGTTAACTGATGAAATCCAAAAATCAGATGAGGAAATGTCAGAACTTTGTTTTGAGTTTTGAGTATATAACCATATAAAGTTCCTAACCAAAACCCAAGAATATTCAACTAAACAAAAGTCATGAGCTATTGAAAAAGCTATTGATTTGAGCTTGGTGTAGGAAGTAGGGTTTCACTTACCAACGGGACCGGCTTGTACAAACAATTCCCAAATCAATTCTTCAGAGAGCTACAAATTCGAAGAGGAAAAAAGTTCAATTTCACCAACTCCTTCAGCTAAATCAGAGAAATTGAGAAGGAGAGGAAATAGATAAGAACCTGAGGATCGAGATTTCCGACGTAAACAGTGGCGTCTTGGTTCCTCTCGGCGGAGTGTTGGCCCAGAAGATTAGCTCCTACTCCCGGAGCTATTCGAGTCGTCATCTACTCCTCCTTGTTTTCCTTAAATCCGGTCGCCGGCGAAAGAAGTAAGCTTTCCGATTGAGAAATCTGAGGGGTTTTCAATCTCGTTTCAGTCTAACTCTCGGGGACTTCTGGAGATTTCTGAGCTCAGAACGGGAAGGAGAAGAAAGAAATGAGGCTTCTAATTGGTAGCGCTACAATGGGCTTTCATTATAGGCCCATTAATCTTTTTTAATTTGGTTAGGTCCACACATTAAACTCAACTAAACCGTTAAGTTATTTCAGTTTAGTTACTTGGAAATTGCGATTTGTAAACCGGTCTTAAGAAGATCCGAAATTGATCGCAGAAGCATTTGGTTAAAGGATTTAATCTAAGGGTCAATTTTGAGTCTTTTCTCATTGTGTGAATGTCTTAAGAGTAGTGTTCATGTGTTGCTAGTGAAACCATGCTTTACTAGTATGTTTCATTTTATTTCAAGTTACAAAGAAAGAGATTTGACTCCCTAAGAACATGTTAGTCAAGTTCTTATCTCAGGCATATACAATGTTGATTTATATATACACTATTTCTGTATTGTATCAGTAACTGTATGTTACTATCGGTGAGTTTCCTTGCTTGCTGGAATCGTCTTTGTCCTGAAATAAAGCAAGAGTGCTACGATTATTATTTGCAGTGACTGATTTTGATATTGAATACTATATGAAAGATTTTTGTTATGTTCGATGATGATTTGGTATTTTGAACTTCCCTTGTGTGTGTACCAGGTATGCGTATAGTCTTGTTAGATTGATCATGTTATGCAATTGTTCCCAAAGCATTTATATAAAGCTGACAAACAAAACATAAGCTTATAGACTAAGCTAATAACAAATTTGAATTCATGGAGGTTTCTTAGAGTCTAAAGGTGCAGTGAGAAAAAACTCTTGTGACTTACTTGCTATGGAAGAAAGTTCTCACAAATGGTTGATTTCGTCCAAGGCTGAAAAGATGATTTATCAACCTTGGTGTTGTGGTGGCGGAGGCATAGACATGTGATGATGATGTTGCATAGGTGGTTGTTGTGGTGGTCCACCTTCATGCATGTGTTGTGGCGGCCACGCGTGTTGGTGCATTCCCATGGCTTGCGGTGGTGGACCACCGAAACCTTGTTGGTGATGATAAAACTGCGGAGGTGGTGGCGGCTGCATTCCCTGAGGAGGACGGAATTGTTGCTGTGGCTGAGACGGCCAAGATTGTGGCTGAATTGGATAAGCTTGTGGAGGTGGTGGTGGCGTTGGACGGAGAGGTGGTTGCATGCCACCATTAGCAAACGGACGTGGAATACCATTAGCTTGAGGAGCGTTAGGATGCGATGGAGGGCCTTTTGCAAATAACGTATGAGGCCTGCTTTTCTGGGAACTTGGATTTGCGGCAGCCAAAAGCCTCTCTGCATTCACAAAAAAAGTAAATAATGTGTTGATGTTGTTGTTAGTTCCACTAATAAGAGAGAAAGTTTCATAACAATTTGCTCTGGAGAAAGAGTGTAAAGAGCCTAACCAGTTGGAGTACCATGACGCTCTCCTTTGGTGTCTTTCTTGTACGCGTAAGAGACTGTTATCTGACGATTACAGAGATACTGTCCGGTCATTGCCTGCAAGATTCAGAGGAATACACATTCATTAGAGAAAGTTTATAGGAAATGATGTTCTTGAAAGAACAAGAAACAGGGAATTACCTCAATAGCAGCATCAGATGCTTCAAAGGAGTCATAGCTGATGAAACCGAAACCTCGTGAGTTTCCGGTTTCAGGATCTCGCATTATCTGCAACGAAAAAAGTTTAGAGAAATCAGATTCCAGTGCATACAGATTACCAACTTACATTACAGCTACCAAGAACCACAGAATGAAAATAAATATTATACCTTAGGATTAGAAACAATCACACCAAATGCACTGAAAGTATCATGTAACATCTTTTCATCCACATCCTGTAAAAAAACAAAGCAAACTGGTCAGCTATTGTTCGAACTGAAGTACCAATTTTCAAAGTATTACACCACCAAGGTCAAGATACTTACAGGATCAAGGTTTCCAATGAAAAGATTAGCACCAACATCCAAGCTCTTCTTATCTTGTGACGCCTAATACAATTATTCAACCAAGAAAACAAAAACGTTATAGCAACTTCTTGGAGAGGATGCAAATAAATATGAAAGTAACAGAAACTGGTTTAATACCTTTTTCACTGTTATATTATCGCCGCCGAGCTTAATCATATTAAGAACCTTCATCGCCTGCAAAACAACACAACCAAAAATATGTTACCAAATATGCCAAAAAAAAGAAGTCTAAAACTCTTCAAAGAAGAGATGTAAATTGGGGAAAGAGAGAAACACTTTACATAGTCAGCATCTTCCTCACTGCGAAACTCAACGAATCCAAATCTTTGACGATGATTTGTCACTCTATCTTTCGGGACATGTACGTTAACTGATGAAATCCAAAACAAACAAAAAATATCAGAATTTTGTTATGGAAGAATCTATTGATACGAACTTTATATAGAAAGTAAGATTTTAACTTACCAACGGGACCGGCTTGTGTGAAAAATTCCCAAAGCAATTCTTCAGAAATCTGTAATTCAAAGAGGGAAAATCGATCAATTGTTCACTAAATATTCAGCTAAATCAGAGAAATTGAGAAGGAGAGAAATTAGATAAGAACCTGTAGATCGATATTTCCGACGTAAACAGTAGCGTCTTGGTTTCTCTCGGCGGCGTGTTGGCCGAGAAGATTAGATCCTACTCCAGGAGCGATTCGAGTCGTCATCTACTTCTCCTTCTTTTCCTTTACTCCGATCGTCGGAAAAAAAAATGGCTCGCAATTGAGAAATCTAGAAATTCCAATTTAGACGACAAGGCTTATATAGCGGTGCCGCAACTAATGGGCCTTTTTGCTTATAAGGCCCATTACGCCCTTGTCAGGAAAAGGATGTTTCACTTTTTCAAGTGCAAGAACATCTAAATCGCAATTCGTAAACAATTATTTGAAAATCTTTGTGTTGAACATAAGAGGTACATAGACTGAAAGATAGGCTAGAGACAAATCTTGCTACCTCTATGAAACTATAAACTGTTCTCATTCTTCTTCATGGAAATTCTAATGATTCAAAAACCACTAGAATTTGTAGCTTGTACAGCTAATTGCATCCTGGATCACAGTTTCAACAAGTCCAAATAAAGCTCAAGCAAGCACAAGCAAAAACCAAACCTTCTTGAGCCTTATGCATCACCCTCACTTTCTTGATCCAACACTTCTCTTGTTTGAGAAGAAGATGAAGTCTTGGCCTTTGTATACAATCCAAGACTCTCCTCTAGCTTCTTCCACTCGGTTACCAACCGCGGAGGGAATTTCTTCTTCACAGTCCTAGCCACTCCTCTCGCATCTTCCATTCTGTTATTCTTCACCAACCCTTCAGTCAAATGCTTACAGGTTTTGAAATCCGGAATCTTGTGCACCAACGCGCTCTTCTTGAACACAACCAAGCCTTGCTCATACATCCCGTTTATACACAGATGAAATATCAACGTCCTAAACGTCGCTGCGTTTGCCTGATCAAGCCCTTTGTATACCTTCTTGGCTTCATTCATCATCCCTTTCACGCAGTAAGCAGTCATAAGATAGTTATAGCTCACTGTATCAGGTTGCAATCCAACACTGCTCATTTCTTCCATTAACTCCTTAACTCTCTCGGGACTCTCCTTCGCAGCATTCATGAGCTTAACGTTGTAAACAGTGTTATCCAATTCGCAGCCTTTGTTCACCATCTCTGTCCACAAGCTTTCCGCTGCATCGATTTGCCCATTCTTATACAAAGATCCTAAAATGGTGGTGAAAGCAATGATGGTAACTTCAACGCCTTTAGCTTCCATGTCTCTCATCGTCTCCATGGCTTTTTCCGGCGAGCCAGAGTCGCAGTACGACTTGATCAACATGCCGTAAGAGATTTTATCAGGGGTGATGTTTTGATACCTCTGAGGAATTTCGTCAAACAGTTGGGGGACTCTTTCGAAGAGATCGGAGTGAAGGGAAGCGGCGAGTAAGGCGTTGAAGGAGACGACGGATCTGGGCGTCCCGAGCTGGTCCATCTCCTCGAACGTCTTCATGGCGTGATCAAACATGGAGGCTCTTCCGTAAGATCTGATAAGTGTAGAGAGGAAATGCTCTGTTTTGATCTTTGGGTCGGTTTTGTGAGACTCGATTAAGGATTCGATGTCGGAGAAGCGTTGAGATTTCGCGAGGCGTCGTACGGTGAGCTCCATTGCGTAACGAGAGGATTGAGGAGAGGAGGCATTAGTATTGGAGAAGGAGTTGTAAATCGCCAAGGCTTTGTCGGGGTCGTGGACTTTACGTAGTTTGGATTTAGCTTTGGAGACAGTGATTGCGGCGGGAGACGCAGTGGTTGTTGCTGCAGCTGACGAATCTGCGGCGGCGGCGGCGGTGGAGAAACGGCAAAGGAGGCGGAGATAGAGACGAGACGGCGTCGTCATTGCAAGCGACTTGCTAACGGGAACGGAGAGGAAGGAGCGTAAATGAAATGCCTTTAGGGTTTAAGACTTTTGACAGAAATGGGGTTTTAGGAGTTTTTTTGCTACGCTACGCAAAATGGTTTTACAAAATTTTAAACTTTCAAAGGAAACTCAGTAGCACTGTATAAAAATCAGGCTTTTAACTAATCATGGAGAATTTTATTCTTGGAGCTACTAAAGATCTTAATTTTGTAGAACAAGTATAAAAATCAAATATATTTCTTGTCAAAATATGTCTCGATAGGTCTTAATTTTGGTAAACTTTGTGTTTGATACAACAGAAACAAGCAAAATGGTTTTGGAACAAAAACGAGAGAAAGAAGAGAAGTAAAACCAAAGTTTTAGAAGAAATAAAAAAGCCCTAGAGAGAATAATCGCCTTGTTCAAACTTATCTTCAGGGTAAAACACAGCCACCACTTCGTTCCCTCCGAATTTCCTACCATTCATTCCGGTCCTCGCCCTGGTCGAGCTCTCTGTTTCCGCATACTCAAGAAACACCTGCACAAAGATCAAAAACAAAGCCTTCATTGATTTAGCCACAGAGAGACTCCACTTGCATAGAACAGATAATGTTAAATGATTTTGAACGAACCTTGCCAACGCCCTGAACAGGCTCACCGTCGGGGCTGGGGCGAGGAATCACGACTTTAGTTAACGCACCTGCATTTTAAGAGCAAACAAATTCGAATCCAAGAGCCAAGAAAACATAACATAAAACAAGAATTCTTCTAAGAAGGATTTGGGGCTTGGATGATATAAGATAAAGGAAGTTTATGCAGTCTCCAGTTATGCCCTGATTTCTTTATAGCAGAACAAAAAGCTGTAAAACAGACATATACAACCAACAAAAAACAGAGACACGGATCAATATTCTCTCAATCTCATCTCAAACGTTGATAGATAGACGAACCAATGCAAAATAACCAAATACCAAAGTGAACTTATTAGCCTTAGCAATGGAGTTTTCTTACCAAACTTTCCGCCTTCTTCTCTCATGTCTACAATGATGTCTTCGTAATCCTCATCACTTCTAAGCTCGTCCTCGGTAACTACTTGGGTCAGGCACACGACTTTGGTGGCCGCTGTTCCTTGTTGCAGCATAATCCTCTGTGAAAGAGAGAAAAAAAAGAAACCAGTGTTATTAACCTATCTTATTGCTTAGACAGAATCTTATGTGAATTCTTTATTTTACCTGTAAAGCAACCTGTTGCTGTGCGTGCAGCAATACACTCTCCTGTTCGGGTTTCTGCAGAGTTGTTCCTACGCTAGCTCGTCTCACTGTAAGAGTTTTGTCTCCCATTATAATTCCGTTGAGGGCAGCGCAAGCAATGTCTGTAACAGCAGGATCTTGATACGCGCAGAAAGCGTATCCTTTCGAGTTTCCAGTTTCTCTGTCTTTCACAAGATCAAAACCCTTCAGAGCTCCCAAAGACTCCAACAGTTCTTTGATTTGTGCCTCAGGGATATAGTAAGGAAGTCCACCAACAAAAATACGCTCAGGACCCTCAAGCGCACCAGAAGCCCCTGGAGTCAGCCCAACAGCAGCCAAGTTTAGATTGGGAATTGGATGGCTTGGACCAAGTGTTGCAGCTAGTGATGGGTTGTAGTCACTTGGTCTCCTCACCTTCACTGGAGCTCCCTGGGAAAAGAGGAAAATTATGGTTTGTTTAATCTCTAAGTTATTCAAGATCTAGAACACATCTACGAGTCAGATAAACCAAAAGAGCTATACCTCAAATATAATTCCATCCAACGACATAGCATTACTCGCTTCTTCAACTGTTCGCATCTCCACAAATGCAAACTTCTTCTCGTAATTGATGTACACATTGACAACAGCATCACCTGCACAAACATATCAAAAAAGATTGTAACCCGTTTTTTCAACACGAAACTCTACCAAATTTGTACACCAGAATGTAATACCTGGACCAGCAGTGTTTCCGCCAACAGCGGCCATAACCTGACTGAAAAATGTTGCAACAGTCTGCAACATAGGAATATAAATCTGAGTATCAAATGCAGGACAAGATCACAAGAGACCACAATGTGTGTAGTGAACATTAACCAAACCTGTTCATTTGCTAAGGGAGAAAGGCCACCAACGTAGACCCTCCGAGCATGTCTAGTAGCCTGAAGATACATTAAACGAATGCATGTTAGGACAGACAAAACTCATAGTATCTTTCTTATATCCATGAGATATATAACCAACCTGCTGTGTCATTGCCTGAAATGGCATCATAGGGAGTCCACCGAATGGCTGCATGACAAAGAAGAAGAGTGATCAACTTGTAAGGGACATATAACTCTCACAACTTGCATCGTTGGTTGGGAAGATTGGCGACATACCTGTCCAGGTGGTACGGGAAACATGTTGGGAAACATTCCAGTCCCAGGAAGAGTTGGGCTTGGAGCTGGAACTTGGCCTACAAAAGGAGAAAAATGTAAAAACAAACATCATATAACGAAATCTTACAGTTTGAGCAGCAAATTACTATCTCCATTAGCTATGAGCTAAACATTATTCTAAAATACCGAAATGGGTATGTGTTAAATTTAGAGATGTAAGGTAGAGATACCTGGAACAGCAGCAGCAGTATTTAACATCCCAGAAGCTGGAGGAGCCATGTCGAATCCACTGACCCGCTTGCTGTAACGAAGTAAATTGGTTTAAAGGAAAATACAGAGAAACTTTAAAACATGGAATTTTAAGCACAGCAACATCATATCAAGGATCAATTTTTAGACAACAGTTTTCGCAGGAGAAAACTGAACTACCTCTTAGATGGAGAACGTGATCTACGCCCTGATCTACCCTTGGAACGAGAACGAGACCTGCGGCGACGTCTATCTCCTCTACCGCCGTCATAATCTCTGCGCCTAAAAGGAAAAATCATCAAAACTAAGATACAACGATCAAATGAATTTGATGGAAAAATGTAAAGAGAAATTGTTGTGGAGCATTAACCTGTCAAAGTCACGGTCACGGCTTCGACGGTAATCATCACCATCACCCCTTCCACGTTCTCTTCTTTCACCTCTTTCCACACTGCGATCCCTGTGACGACTTCTGTGATGCCTCTCTCGATCCCTTTCTTTCGCCACAACACCATTATCTCTGCTCCTATCCTCCTCCCTGTTACGTTCCTTGCTTCTCTCTCCGCTCCTTCGATCATGGTCCCTATCTCGCCCCTTCACAATATCTTCTTCTTTACTTCTAGAAGAATCTCTCTCAGTGTCAACCATTTCCCTCTACAGAGCAAAAACAACTCGTCAATACAGTAATATAAGACGCTCTAGTTACTTTCAAACTTCAACGCAATATAAAACACTTCACCACAACAACAACAACACAAGACTCAGCTAAACCACCAAGGTCCCTATAACTATGGAAGCAAATTCCACTATCAAACATCTAAACAAACTCTTCCAGATGACACCACAACTTCACCAAAACTATTTGCTCTTAGCAATCAATCTATTCCTCTATGTGATTGAAGTTGATAGACCATACCACATCTGACCATTCAATTTAGTGCCCTAAAAATATGATTTTTTTGCTTCATTTCTCTAAAGTTTCGAGTCTATTGGTGAGATTTGGGGGTTCTATAATAACAAAAGCCGAAGATTCCCACAAAAAAACCCAGAACGAAATCCAATTACGCAAAGAAGAAGCTCCAGAAATTGAAAGCCCTATTGCAGAAGATGAGCAAAATACCTGGGAATTCGAGTGTTTGTGATCCTCGATCTCGCCGCCGAGTCGACCACCATCTCCAGAGTGAAATCCTTCGACGGCGGTACCGTTTTCTTCGTTGTCGGACATAATCTCTCGCGGCGTCTAAGCAGTTTCGAAATTTCACGAATCGCTGTTTGAGGTTTTTTGAGAAAGGGGGATGATGTAGGAAATAATTTTTGGGCACAAGCGAGACCTTGGGGGTATTAGTGTAAAACTTCGTATTTATCAAAACACTTGTCTTTTTTTACAAACACAAAAATTGGGTCAGAAAAACATCTACCTTTAAAAAAAAAAGAAGATAATAACAGGTAATAACATGTTTTAAACTTTTAAATAGTTGGAATGTAATAAGAAAGTTATGAAATTCTTGAAACAAAATAAAAACTTAACGATTTGTTATGCAGAAAAGTATGTAAATGGTTCTTGTTTTTTATATGGGGAACAAACAAAACATTGAAAAACTCCTTGTTGTTGGCTAATACAAGACTGGATCATTTTTTCAGCCAAGTTGGATCGAAGGATTATTTATAGTTATCACGTAAAGCTTTATTTATGATCATTTCTCAGCCTCGATTTACAAAAATTTGGACATTCGTAAACAACCACTTGAGAAACTATGGAAACGAGAATCTCGGCCTTTTACCAATATCGCAGTTTTAAGACTCCTTCGTTACATTTTATCCTTTGCTCGGTAGTTGTGGCTGTGGCGGCTTCCGCTTCTCTTCTTCTTCTTCTTCTTGCCTTTTTCGTTCCTCCTCTGCTCTTCTAGCCGCTTCTTCTTCGCTCTTTCTCTCTTCTTCTCTCTTCCTCGCTTCTTCCTCACGTTTCTTCATTTCTTGTTCCTCACGCCTCTTCCTCTCTGCCTCTTCCCTCTCCTCCCTCTGCCTCTCCTCCTCTCGTCTTTTAGCCATCTCCTCTTCTTTTTCTCTTTCTTGTTCTCTCTCCTTTGCCTCTTCTTCCTCTTCCTCACGCTTCTTTCTCTCCGCCTCTTCCCTCTCCTTCCTTTGCCTCTCTTCCTCTTGTCTCTTAGCCATTTCCTCTTCTTTTTCTCGTTCTTGTTCTCTCTTTCTCGCCTCTTCTTCTTCTTTCTCACGTCTCTTCCTCTCTTCCTCTTGTCTCTTAGCTTCCTCTTCCTCTCTCTCTCTTGCTTCTTCTCTTTTTCTCGCCTCTTCTTCTTCTTCCTCACGTTTCCTCCTCTCTTCTTCTCGTTTCTTAGATTCCTCCTCCTCTCTCTTCCTTTCTTCTTCTCTCTTTCTTGCCTCCTCTTCTTCTTTCCTTCTCCTCTCAGTTTCTTCTTCCTCGCGTCTCCTCCTCTCCTCCTCCTGTCTCTTAGCTGCCTCTTCCTCCCTTTTCCTCTCTTCTTCTCTCTTCCTCGCTTCCTCTTCTTCCTTCCTTCTTCTCTCAATTTCCTCCTCCTCACGTCTCTTCTTCTCTTCAATCTCTCTCATAAGCCGATCAAGCTCTACCTCCGCACAAGCTACACACTCCAACATCACACCATCTTTCTGAGCTCCTAACAATCTCTCGATCGTCTCATTCCTCATGTTAAAAGACGTGGCAAGTGTCTCTCGGTCCATTACCTGAAGAACCGAGGTCTGCCCTAATAGGAACTGAGGGTGGTTCTTCTTCGACGACGTGCTAAACCCCATAAACATAAATGACCCGTTTACAAAAGACATCTGAGTCATAGGATGAAACTGTGGCACAACAAAAACATCCCCCTCCTTAACCATGAACCTCTCACTCTCACTCTCGTTGTTGCTTTTGCCTTGGGACGATGGGTGGTTGACAACCCGAATAAACCCTTCCCCTTGCAACACAATCGATATCTCACAAGCACGAGGGTTCCAATGCGGTCCCATCATTGATCCCTAGAAATTAGATACACACAATGTTAAAGTCGCATCAAAACAAGATCAATAAATCAAGAACCAAGGCATGCAATGTGGTATTAATTTAGTTTTAGTGGCTTAACCTTGGTTAAGTTAACCAAATAAACTCCAAAACTTGAACCCTTTAAAGCATGCATATCCTTCTTGTCAACCACTATGCTCCGGCCATTGGCGTTCTCAAAGTCCGGGTCAGCGTCAAAAACATTGAACGCTTTTGATTTCTTCTTCTTCTTCTTATTAACAACAGGTTTCATCGCCAAATGATCAGCCACATCCTCAGCTCTTACAAAGAGTTTGACAAGCCGTGTTTGCCACGTCTCCTCCTCCTCCAACCCTTGTGTTCTGTTTCTCGGTAGAGCATTTGTGATCAACGGAGGCCTATCCGCGTCTCTTACCTTCCCCAAAAGCACCTCAGGAACCTTCCATATCATAAAACACCACACACAAATGTAATCAATGAAACAACGCCAGTTAAGGAATCATGTCTCTGCAAGTAGAAACACAAGTCACACACCGCAAAAGCTGAACGGAGAGTTTTCGCGTCAAATCCCAATGACAAGTCTCTAACATTCGAGTACGGTCCAAGACATGGATCGTGTAAACACTCCCCCACGTCGAAAATTGCGTGAATCTTAAGTTTCTCGGGAACTTGGTCTCTCTCCAAGTTGCTATGTACGTAGAAGACTGTGCTTGAACGTAGCCTAAAAACATCACCTCGTCTTAACTCTAACGTCCTCTCTTTCTCATCGTCAACCCAATTCAGTATCCCACTGCCTACACAATCACAGAAATTTACTTAACAGATAATCCTAACCATGCTCAGAAAAAAAAATGTATACTTTCAATTTTAGATGGAAAAATAATCAACGTATCAATAAAGTCAATTCAACTACATTCTAATTATTTAGCTAAAATTAATTTTTTTTAAATCAAGTATGTAAGAAAATATACTAATATGATCAACAAACAAGAAGTTCACATATCCGGTTTAGAGAATTTAATTTTCGTTCGATCCGACCGTAACAAACTGACACTTGGAGTTAAATCAATAGTCTAAGGTTAAAAAAAATAGAATTGGTGTATGTACCAGTGTGAACAAAGAGAACCATGTCGGAATGGAGAAGAAGAGGAAGCAAGAATGCATTTGGCTCCAATGTTATGAACTGAATATGGTATCCACCGCCGATCTGGACGGCTGATATCTCTCCGAACTCCGTAGCAACGAGTGGCGTCCGTTGATCCCTCTTGATCAGAAGCGGGGACTCAATGCTCGGGACGCCGTCGTTTTGACCGGAGAACGACTTGGTGCAGAGAAATAAAGTAACGAGACATAGTAGAAGAATCGTAAATTTAGACATCGTTTGATAGATAGACTAAAAAAAGACTCTACACTCGTGGTATAAGGGAGACATGAAGTGGGGTCAGGTTTTGGACACGCGTCGTTACAAGCGTACACGTGTATAATTACTTTGACACGTGTATCTCATAGTTTTGATCTGACCATGAGCTGAGTTGATTAGTGTAATAACTAAATCTTCTGATAATCACCCAATCTAAGCTAGTAAGGTGGGATCGGACTCCCGAACGAGAGATAAAAGTTCTAAAATTACCCCAAAACAAAAACGAAATAAGCTAGGCTATGAATATATGAGGCATATATGGGTGGTTTGACTTTATGACAAAGATTCGATCGAAGTTGAGCTGGGCATGCCAATATGTAGCACAAGTGGGGATGAACACACTATTAATAGAAGAAGAATAATACTACGAAGCCATAGTCATGTATATATGAATATATATTTGAAAAAAAACAAAATGTATATAGTGTGGAAATGTGAGTGACAGTGAAAGGCAGTGAACTAAATGAAAGAAAAGGTGTAAAGTAATATATTCTAGAGTGAAGGCTAAAAAATACCAAAAAAATTAAATAAAAAACATATCCAACCTTCCAAAAGGATTCTCCCATGTCTGAGAAAAAGCATGTTATGACTGTGACTACTCATTGTGTTAACTTTTCCATAATATAAAAGATTGAAGATACTCTATCTCTTTCCCATGTTTTTTTTTTGGTTAATTTATATGTAAACTTAAGAGAAAATTTAATCAATATACACAGATTATTTGACAATTAAATATATGGCAAAATAACATGATAATTAGTTTTTATGAGAGAGAATTTATTCTTTAAACCAAAACTATCCTTTTTATTCTAACATATTTACATAAGATGCCATTAACCTTTAAAAGATAACTTTCGTATTATCATATTAATTTAATGTAACATAACGTGATAATAATATTGATGATCGTGCTAACTTATAATAAAATATTAGTTAACACGATAGCCAAATAAGTTATCACGATATCATATTAGTTATCATAATATCACATTAGTTAGCAGGATAATCAAATAGTTATCATAATATCATATAAGTTAGCACGATAATCGATATTATTATCATAATATGTTACATTAAATTAACATGATAATACGAAAATTATCTGTTAAATTACAATATAAAGGAAAGTTATCACAATATCATATTAGTTAGTATGATAATCAAATAATTATCATAATATTATATAATTTATTTGTTAGCATATATGTTAGCATGTTACTCAGAATTTGCTAAGGCATTAAAAATAATTTGGATGGTCAGGGTGTTGTGCGTCTTCCACCAGTGAACAGTCAATGAACAGTAACACGAAAAAGTTGTCAGTGTCACCCATTTAATTAAAGAAGTATTGATGTATATTTTGTACAATTTCCCTAAACTTAAATATATCTCTTTTGTTTGATCAAGAAACATTTAGATAATGTGCTGATTTTAGCCATTTGTAAATTCCACAAATGGATTAAAACAAGGTATGGGTATATGATCAGGCGGATTTATGAAAAAAAAAAATCAGACGAACATATATCTAAATGTTCATGGGTTATATCTAAATTCCACTTTGTCGATCTTTATTTATTTATTTTTCCTTGCCCTTCCTGCGTTATATTTTAATGAAAACGATATTTTTGTGTGTGTGAATGACATAAAATCAGAATCTTCAAAAAAACAACCTTTATATATTGCTTTTGTGAGCTTCAAGCTTTCTCTACTTTAAAATGAAACGTCCGTGTGTTGTGCATTATCGGCCTCTCCTTTGTTTTCCTTGCTTCCTAAGTATTTGACTCTCTCTTTTTTCTTCGTTAAACAATTCGGTGTGCCAAAAAAAAAAAAAAAAAAAAAACTCCCATTGGAAAACAAATAGGTACAAGAAAGAAACAAAGTATCATCCAGCGGATGACGGTTACTCAGCTGATTGTAGCTTAACCAGAGTTGGAGGAGATGCAATGATATATGTTGTCTGTATTATCAAAGCTATGTGACACCCTAAGGCTGTAATAAACGTTGCCAATATAATGTCACGTTTTGGGTGACGAGGGAATCCAACGTGGATAATTATTAGGTCAGTTAAAAATACAGGCAAAGTAGGAATATTACATATCATATGATTGACTAAATGACAAATCTGTTTAAAATACGATTACATGTGCTAAAATAGCCTGGTTTAGTTTAGACTGCTGATGAAAAACATGGGAATAAATAAATATTTTCATGCAAAATGTAGTTTAAATTAAAAATATATATATATTCATTTTTATTTATCAGGCTTGTGCAAACAGATAATTTTTGTGGAGGCCGGAGGGGTAAAGATTTTGATTTTTAAATCTACTGACCTCATGATTAAATTAAGCCTGCGTACTAGTTTGGAGAATCCATTAAATCAAATAGAACATGTATTATGTGTATATACGTGAATATCTAACCTTCGGATTCAAAGATTTTTCAATCAACCAAATTTGTCGCTGATGCTTGATTTTGTTGAAAAGATGCATAGCAAACATGTTTCTTAACCTTTATTTAATTTTCTTATGGATTATTCATTTATTTGCATGTTGTATACTTGTATAGTTGTATATCGTATACAACTTGTTTATAAATTGAAAAGATCACTATTGGAAAGGCTAAATTAATCTCCCTTTGAAATCAATCAGTGAGGGAACATATTCTTTCCTTTCACTCATCGCCGCAAAGAGCCAAAGACAGAGAAAAAGATGAGAGAGGTGGGAGTGAGCGTGTTTTATACGCGCTGATGTTATTGGTCCGTAAATCTACGCGCAGTTAATTTAGGTGATTCTAACGCCTTTAACACAAATCGCCGACAGGATTAACTAAAAGGTGGGACCATGATTTAGGCAGTGTCACTTTCTCGGTAGTAAACTGTGTTCGGATGTGGGGACCACGTTGAGATGTCACCGTTCTTTTTCCAGCAACCGTTAATTCAATTGTGAGAGTTTGTTGTAATTTTTGCTACAAGCTCCATTGACAGTTGACAATTTAGAGTTGCATTTTCACTTGTATCAACTCTTATATCCGATTTAAATCTGCCAAATGAAATGAAAAACTTACCCACTGGACCCAATTTAACTTCTTGTATCTAACGGGCACTAAAATCTTTATACACAACTTTTTTCAAACCTTTTGTTTTCCCTTTTTGAAAAATTGTCTTTATGATCATCAACAATCAACATAGTGGAGCTCGAACATCTCGTGATCGAAAATCTGATTTTGATATAACAAAAGAAAAAGTGAAGAATCTTTTTTATCTTACAATACCATTTCGATATAAAATACAACATTTATAATTGGAAGCATTACAAAAAGATCATACCTTTCGAAAGCCTGCTTCTTCTTCCTCGCAAACTTCGAGACATGAGAGTCCCTGCTTCATCGGACACCACGAACAGTAGCCCAGGAGGGAGGAATCTTGTTGGCTATAACGAGCCGACTTCGGTGCTCGACCTCCGTAGAAGCCCAAGTCCAGCGGCGGCGGAGGAGAAGCCAGTCGTCGCGGAAATTACCGGTGGTGATAATCAGTTTCCGTTAGAAGATCATGCGATGCGTTCCATGGATTGGGATTCGATCATGAGAGAATTAGAATTAGACGACGACTCTGCTCCTAGTTTGAAATCCAATTTCCCTCCGTCTACCATTTCGCCGTCACACTTCGCCGTCGATCCACAGCTTCCTGGATTCCCCGATCAGCTTCATCCGGCGGAGTTTCGGTCCTCCGATGTTTATCCGGGTCACGGGTACGGGTTTGATAACAACAACAGCAACAACGAAGGTAGTGTCAATGGAGGATTCGATTTCGTAGAAGATCTCATCCGAGTTGTTGACTGTGTCGACTCGGATGAGTTGCAACTCGCTCAGGTGATATTGTCACGGCTCAATCAACGTCTCAGATCTCCGGCGGGAAGACCGCTCCAGAGAGCAGCGTTTTACTTCAAGGAAGCTCTCGGATCGCTTTTATCCGGGTCGAACCGGAATCAAAACCAGTTAACTCCATGGTCTGAGATTGTTCAGAGAATCCGAGCGATCAAAGAATTCTCCGGGATTTCTCCGATCCCTCTGTTTTCTCATTTCACGGCGAATCAAGCAATCCTCGATTCTCTGACCTGGCAACAATCCTCTTCGCCGTTCGCTCACGTCGTCGATTTCGAGATCGGATTCGGCGGTCAATACGCATCGCTCATGAGAGAGATCGCCGAGAAATCATCGATTACCGGCGGTTTTCTGAGAATCACGGCGGTTGTACCGGAAGAATGCGCCGTCGAGACGCGACTCGTCAAAGAAAACCTAGCTCAATTCGCCGCAGATCTGAAAATCCGATTTCAAATCGAATTCGTTTTGATGCGAACCTTCGAGATGTTATCATTCAAAGCGATCAGATTCGTCGAAGGAGAGCGAACCGTCGTTCTGCTTTCTCCGGTGATATTCCGTCGTCTAAACGGAATCTCCGGTTTCGTCAACGATTTAAGGAGAGTTTCACCGAAAGTCGTCGTCTTCGTCGATAGCGAAGGATGGACGGGAATCTCCGGAGCCGGATCGTTCCAGAGAGAGTTTGTTAGCGGTCTCGAGTACTACACGATGGTTCTGGAATCTCTCGACGCCGCAGCTCCTACCGGAGATTTGGTGAAGAAGATTATAGAGGCGTTTGTGTTGCGACCTAAAATCGCGGTGGCGGTTGAAGCGGCGGCGAGTAAGAGACGAACCAGTGGAGAGATAACGTGGAGAGAAGCGTTTTGCGCGGCGGGGATGAGGACGATTCCGTTAAGCCAGTTTGTTGATTTCCAAGCCGAGTGTCTAGTGGAGAAAGCGCAAGTGAGAGGGTTCCACGTGGCGAAACGACAAGGAGAGTTAGTGCTTTGCTGGCACGAAAGGCCTATGGTTGCCACGTCAGCTTGGCGGTTTTAAAATAAACCGGGATTGGTTGATTATAGGTTCTAGAGGGTTTGGTTGGTTGGTTTATTAACTTATAAACATTACAGAATCAAACTGTATTTATTTACTAGATTAAAAGACCCGCGTATACGCGGGTTTATTTTAAGATTTTGTAATAAAATCATGGAAAAGTATTAAACCAAATTTGATCATTTTAAAGTAAACAGAATAATATTAAAAACCCGATAAAAATATTTAAATAAAATAAGATCGGTAACCTTTTTACGTTTTTATTGTAATTGATATTTTTTTTGAATTCATGATATGAAAAATGAATTAATTTGTTTTATTTTTATTTTTATCCAATATAGAAAGACTTATATATGTCTAAATATGATCAACTGATTAATTAATTCAACAAAACTTTATTATTCCATTCAAGAGATTTCAATTGATGAAATCTTTATTTAATAATTTTTTACCTAACAATATTGAAAATTAAACTATTTAAAATTAGAATATCGGTTCATTATATTTTCTTAATATTAGTTAGTTGCTTGATAATTAATTTGTTAGTTTTCTATTTATATTGTTTCTTTCTCAATTTTGTTTTTGACTCAGACCATTATAAATTTTCATTTTCATTATTAGTTAGTTTTTTTTTAATTTTTTTCTAGTTTTTATATCTGTTTAACATTTTTCCAATTAACATGTCTTCACCGGATCAAATACATGTAACGACAATAATTTTGATTTCTATCCAACCGATATAGAGTTAGATACATGTATCGACAATAATTTTGATTTCTATCCAACTAATATAGAGTTAAATATTATTCATTGATACCATGAATTTTAAATACATGATTTTTTATGAGAGAAAAGATTATACAAAAGATAGAAGCACATAATTGAATCGCAATAGCTTATTATATATTGTTTTTTTCCTGTTCATAATGGGAATATAAACACATATCGCAATTTTGTGAGTTATAAAAATCATACGTATTGCTATCATGTTGTTTGCTTTGATGAGTTTGTGAATGAGAAAAAAAACTACTTTAACTCTCTTTTTATAGGGGTTCATGTAACTTATTCCATGCAGTTATAGGAAATTTAGTTTACCTAACCTATTTCATGTACTAATAGGATTTTATTTATTTCATTAATTTGAATCTTATATGTGTTTGGATAATATAAATTTGATGAATGGGAAACCTTTTTCTATTAGGATATGACAAATAATTTTTTTTTTCTTTTAACTATAAAAGATTAAAATTTCGTTTTTTTTCCTTTATCTATATTTTTTTTAATTATATTTTTTTTCCTTTTTTCTAAGACACATGTCACGATCTTAACGGACATAACATTAAAAGTGACACATGTCGCAATCCTAAATTTTATAAAAATCCTACGTGTCGCAACCATCGCGCGCATCCAGCTTTATATAATAAGATACTGCAATTTTGTTTTCCCTTTTAACAATGTGTTCTCTCTTTAGCTTGAAAATAAAAATATTTCTTTTGCAAAACTCTTTACGAGATCTTCAATACATATATATATCGAAAGATCTCTAGAAATTCAGTCTATGGAGCTTTGGTGAATCTGCTTCGAAGATTCATCTATAGTGCTTCACGGATTCTTGATTAAGCATGGAGAACCAAATGAACACGTTAACAAAGTCCATGGAGTCTAAATTCTGCTTGGTGTTGAGCGAATCAGTTTGATCTTGATGTGTAAACCGGATTGGTTTTAGCTATTTGTGCTAGAACTGATTAATCCTTGGGAATGATTTCGATATTTTTTGGATACTCTTGAAGGGGTGCTGCATGTAATCTTGAATGATGTAATTGATAATCTTGTCTTCTTCACTTGGAACAATAGTGGACTCCCGCAAGTCTTGTCACCATTTTGTTTTATTGTTCTTCTCCTCCCTTAACTGCTCAAACTGTTTAGGCAAAAATAATAGTAAAATTGTTTGAGTGGACCCTTGTCTAAAACATTAATGGGCCCTTAAGGAGTCCAATGAGCCAAGTTTTCGAAGACGGTCAAGAGAATAGTTAATTTCGTTTACTTTTTTGTCCTCTCTTTCTTATCGTAGAAAAATTTCCCCTCCTTCCATTTGAAATCGTATTCGTATACTAAAGTTTTTTGTAACGAACATACTTAATATCATACACATGATTAAAAAAACACATATGGAACGAGGCATGAGAATGGAGCAACACTTTTATGATATGCATTTCCATTTGTAATCGTTTTCAAAATATATCGAAAATGTACAAAACACAAATATTGAAATCAATTTCTATTGGTTTAAACAACAATTTCACTCAATAGACATAAGGAAAAGATGACCGACTTTTTAACACCATCAATCCATGATATCTTGACACATATCATTATATACTCCAATGCATGTAATAATGAATCTGACTGCAACTTTGAAAAGGGGCCATTCACTATTGCTCCTTTAAACTTTAATGGGATCCATAGTTTCTAAAATTACAACCAATCGCCTTCTTTTTATCTCTTCTCGATTCAACTTTCTGTTAGGAATAAATTGCATTTTATGGACACACAAATGTATAACATATATCTCTATATGTATATGTATTTGTCAGTTTCTTATAGTGTGACAGAATCTAAACATTATGTGACCATTTAACTCTCACACTTGAGAGACAACAAATAGGATTAAAGCCTGTGTTTGGTGAAGAGATAAGAGAGATGGGAGTAATGGGACCATTAGCCTGCAAATCCTTTACCACAAAATCATTGTTTCGTAAGTAATAATCTTTTATGATATTAACTTTCTGTCTGAAGACGTGACAGACATTATCCTATATTATCTGAATCTTTGTGACTCGAATAATAAACTGAGAATTGTATAGCTAGATATTTTCTAGAGTCAATATTGGACTGTCTTCTAGTCATAAGGTATCCAATTTTGTTGTCACATGAGGTGAACCCACATTTATTTCGTTACCCAATTGAGTTACATTTTATCAAAATTTCCTTTTAAAATTTGGCAAAATCTTATCCTCCTAGATTTAAAGTTCTATCGTCGTTTTGTTTGTGTTTGCATATCATGTGCGATAACTTTAGCCGTTTTTTTTCAATACCATACCACTAAATGTGTTAGATGATGATAAAAAGTTATTTGAGATTACCTATAGTTTTTTTTGTTTTTTCTGGGGGAGAAAATACTCCTAGTCTATGTAGCTCGTACTTTATATTATAATTTTATATATATGTCCACCGTCCATATAAAAACACGTACGTGCAAATTTGACCAGAAGACATGCTTTAGTTTCTATCAGGCTATAGATTCCAATGGTCCGTATTGTAGTTCCATGATCGTACCAGTACTCTTTCTCATACGTATCACACTTTCACGTATGATACGTAAACATATGAATAGTAATTTGTTCAACAACAAAAAAAAGTTGTTCTCTAAAGACAAAAAATGTTCAAGAAATTTAAAATATATATGACTAGTAAAATCACGACAAACGCAATCCCTACTGATTAGCTAAATTTCTATCACTAATCTATAATATTTCTTACAGAAGTAAAATTAATAACTATACATTTGTTGAAATTCTTTCATTTGGTAATTCATCGTACAATTTATGGTGTGCATGAATGTAGATAATGTTTTGCTGGACAAAGTTTTGGTAGCTGTGGCATTCACATGAATCACATATATAGCTTGAGTATAAATAAATACAAAAAGGTTTTTCCAAAACATAAATGCGAAAATGTATGCATAAAACACATAACGATCAATTATTAATAGAAAAATTAAATTACAGTCTACTTGTAATTTACAACTTCATTTTTGTTTTGTCCATGCTTGACCTATAAGTCAAACAAATCACAAATGCAACTTTACGACCTATCTAACTAAGCAATCGCTGCTTAGAGAAATATATCCACAACACTACAATAGAGACCCACATCGTTATATCTACATTCTGATTCGTAATAGATATATCGACCAATCATATATATAATCCAGTTACCACAAATAAATAACCCTAGATTTACGATCTATACTAATAAAATTAACTAGTAATTTTTCACATAAACTGGCTCATCCATTCCAACCCATCAGCGTAATCCGGCGAGTAGAACAAGTTCTCGTAGCCGTCACCGACGTCGTTTCCCACTTCGTAATCTCCAAACAACGGTGTCGTGTGGTTGGCTTCGACGGAGACAGAAGATGAGATCGGACTGTTGCTTAAAGTTCCTTCGACTCTTTGTGCTAGCCGTTGGATCTCTCTTTCAGCGTCATAAAGCTGTTCCTTTAGGTGAAGAACCTGAAAATTATAAGTTGATTTTATATTTAATCACTTTCCCATTAATAGTTAATCATGTTTTTAACGACTGATTTGATGACTTTATTTTGTGGGCCTGGTGATTAGAGGCCCAATGACTAAGACAAGCAAAAGTAAGTAGGAACCACTAGAAAACAAACGATGTTTGTACGGAAAGATAATTACATAAAAATGACACTTTTGTTTTTTTTCAACTTCACTTTCTGTATTATTTTGTTTTTATTTTAATATAACAAACAATTTTCATATCTGTTTTTTCCTCTCAATCGCTTACATATTTCCTTTGTCTTTTAGAAAATGGAATTTATAAAAATCTCTTTAAGACTATACTTATCATATGTATCTAGAGTTATGTTTTCAGGTAAAAAAATTTAGCATTTTCAGAATTAGTAATCAAAGCAGAAAAAAGAGTAAACGTTATTTTTCAACGTGTATACCTTTTTATCATGTATAGATTATTGCCAAAATTTATTCCTTTTTAGAAAGAGAAGACTATCACGCACCTCCGAATCAAGACGACACTTCTCAACGACGACGTTTTCGTGTGTGTGCTTGAGCTTAGTGTACTCATCTTCAAGCCTCTTGTTCTTCCACCGTGCACGGCGGTTTTGGAACCAGACAGCGACTTGACGAGGATCAAGCCCTAACTCCGAAGCAAGCCGATCTTTCCTCTCTGATTCAAGCTTATGCTCGTCTTCGAAGCTCATCTCCAACATTCGTACTTGCTCATCACTCAATTTCCTCTTCCTAAACCACCCATTGCTTCCATCTCCATCAACCTCAGCCGCCGCAACAGTCTTGCTCTTCCTCCTCCTCCTCGGCCGCGCTGGTTTCGATTTTCCTGCTGGTCAAAGAAAAACATATCAAAACTAATGTTATAATTTATCACAAATTCCAAGTCTTTTAACTCTAAGTCGTGTTCATGCACGTTTTCGAAAAGGACTAAAATAAGACAATTTAGTATCAAGAAAAGAAGAAGAAAAATTAAAGAAGACCCACTTGAAGATATATGTATAACCATTTTTGGGTTTCTTTCAAAAGAAAAAGAAAGCATTGAAGATAATAAAAAAAAAATTATAAGATGGGGACTTTAGTATCGGCAAACCTTGTTGTGGTACTAATGGAGTATAGACAGTAGGGTACAACTGAGAAATGAATAGAAGACTATGCTCATCTACATTCTGGTTATTCATGTTTCTTCTCTCTCTAGATCTTCTTCTTCTCTCTCTCGGAACAGATTGGTGAATTTTTGTGTCTCACTTTTTTCTGCAAGAGAAGATGTGTTGGGAGAAGCAGAGGACTTATCATTTATAAAGGAGGAGTAGGTGTCAAGGGATGGTTTGATTATAGACTTCGAGTTTTCAACTTTATAAAAAAAAAAAAAAATTATAATATAACCTCACTTCTTTTTTTCGGGTTTGGGCTTATATTTTTAAAATTACATAACTACCACCTTTGGATTTTAATACTACCTAGTCCTGAAGTCATATACATCACCATCGTTAGTATTATTTCATGTTGAAAAGACATTACTTTGTTAACTTCACAAACATCATTTTGTCGAACTCATGTGAAAGCAATTAAAAACGAAAAAGTAACGAACCTCCTAATATTAATCTAACTTAGAAAAAACACCATTGTAAATTTGTTTCTAGTTAAGACATAAAACTTATAATACTATATAGAATAATAAATTATATATAATCTGTATATTCTTTTACGTAGAGAATAATCTAAAATGTGCAACTAAACCTTCAAGAATATTTCAATTATTAGACCGTTGCATTTTAAATTAGTACTCGATATAGTTATTAGATCTTACGTAGTTTTGTTGAAAATTAGCATTCTGGCATAAGTAACAAGTCAATTAGTTAATGTGAATTCAAATGGGGAAAAGAACCATTTTAACATTCTCTATGTATATTTACATGCAGTCTTCAAACCCAAAACAATACCCAACTGGTCCTCCTTGGAGAAAAAGAAGCAAATATATGTATATATATGTAATGTAGTAAAGTGTTTACGTGTAATAGGAGGATTAGAGGAAGTCGTTATCACCAATAAATGGATAAGTCTTAGCAAACAAACTGAAAGAGAGAAAACATAAGTGACTTGTCTTTCAAAAGGTGGTTTACTTTTAGTCTCATCTTTCCTCTCCAGTATATTAGTAACTTTTTTACTTACTCTTTCTATAGTTTCCTTTACTCGGATTTTTAAACTTGAAAGTTGAAACACTTCAAATTAACAATATATACAGATTTAGTAGAAGAAAAAAGAAAAGAGAAGAAAATAGTTCTAATCTTTATTTGCATATCAATATATATTTACTAGTTAGAGAGAATTCGACTAGAATGACTTATCCGGAATTGCATGCATGATGCATTGTCGAGAAAGAAAAACATGTATGTTTATTTCATGTGAAGAAAACATAGAGTTTGAAACAACTAATTTTATTGTGAGACAAAATATAATATACATACCATTTTGTTTAACATCGTTATAGTTAGGATTAGGCATATGCTTTCGTTACAATAGCTGTCTTATCTCTACTATACTTTTTGTTTCGTAGTTTGGAACAATTTCAAACACATTTGTGTAATTAATACTAAAACATGAAAATGTAAAGCTTAATCCAAATATGAACGGAAAGAGGTGGAAAGTGGCAGTCTTGGGATTCGAGCGTCGAAAAGGTTGTCTCTTGTTGTGAGGACTTAATATGTGTAAACAGGTGGTCGTTTTTAACATGCTAATATTATTAAAAAAAAATTCCTCTTCTAGTATTATATCTGTTTCATCGCATCATAGATTAATAGTTATCTTTATATATAACTTGATTGGTCATTTAGAGTTTCAATTGCTTGTAGATTTGGACTCTGTCAAATTTGACTCAGTTTAGAATATAGAAAAATGAGGATGAGATTTGGTAACATTGGTTAAATGTCTTCAATATGGATAGAAAACAATTAGCTTTCCTTCTTACTTGATTGTCCAACATCAAAATCAAGAAGAAAAAAAAACAAAAAAAAGACATGAGTTTTTCTTAAATATAGGAATTACACTCTCCATTAAATCACATCGTTCAATATAAATTTTATATAAAAATTTCATGAAAAAGTAGATAAACGTAAAGAACTGTAAATGATCATAAATGTTAAACACTTTGTTTTGTATCAAAGGCGTCTATTTTTACTTCTAACGAAGTAAGAAACCAGATTATGAAACGTGTCATATAAAACGCAAATGAGACGAGCGTTTTGGAGTGTAGAGGAATATTCGAAATTTCGAATAGAAAATAACAATGGAATCCTAATTCTTGTCTATGCATCTGTCTCCTCTTTCTTCTTAAATGTATGACTGCTTTTGGACTTGAGTTGTCTTTATTCTTTCACTCTTTTTTTTCCCACTTCCAATTAACACTTGTGCTTAACAAACTTTCTGTGTAAGAAAAAGATTGGTCGAAAATATCTTAGTGGAGGTGAAAGAAATACTTAATTTACAATTTTACATATGCTTGTATTCTACATAATGGTCTATTCTCGTTCTTCTGATGATGATAAATGGTTGAGTAGAGGTGAAAAAACAAAATTGTGTATCCTTCTTTCTCTTTTCCCCAACCAAGAAAATTAGTCGAAAACACTTGTGCGACAAAATCCATAGACTGAAAATATTTGACTTCGTCTTTGGTACTCCATCGCTCCATGCCAATGAAATGGAAAGGGAGATAAGGCGAAGCACATGGGTCTGACCACGTGTCTACTCTCCACGGATTCGTAGGTAGACCTCCTCTCACATTCGTACACGTGTTCTGCTCTTTAGTTCCCACACTATCTCTCGACCAATCATCTCGCTCCGTTAGCAATAGCCGCCAATTTTTTTCTTTCGCAAAGGTGAAATTTTTGTAAAGATTTAAGAGATTGTTTTACTGGTTGTTCAACTGTATTCACTGACCACTCTAAAAATTTTCCAACAGCAAGATTCTTCCTGGAAGCTAGCTACACGTTCTATATTCCAATAATTAAAAGTAAAAAAAAAAAACTAATGGAGCATCATAATTTCAAGAAATATGTTAGAAAGACATGAAGATTACATGACTCAAAAAATTAGAATGTAAGCTGACGTGTGACGTTTATCCGTTAATTATTCATGCAACAAGAATGGTTAATTTTACTCATTATCTCAGAAAAAAAGAAGCAAATAATTTTAGCTATAAATTAGAAAAAAATAAAATAACATCTTATCCGAAATAGCCAAATCCTTATCAACAAATAACCGTTACTTAAATTTTTGCTTCTAAAGTAAGATAAATTAACTAATATCACAAAAAAAACATTGCGTCTGTGGTGAGAATCTTTACCAAATTAATTGAATTTGGTTGGATTATGAATCGGGAAAATTTAAAAGAAATGGTTCACGTATGTCTTTAGAGATTCCGCAAATGAGAAACCAGGTGAACGACGAAAGCATGTGAGTTTCAGCTTTCAACGTTTTGTCCTAATTGGGGTTATTCCGATAAGGACACGTGTCAAAGACCCATTTTATGATATCGTAACCCACATTTTGTATGTCAGTGAGAAAAGAGATGCAAAAATCTGTTCGACCAACAAAAAGAGGTGATGAAAATATATTTTTGTTTTTTTATCATACCATAGTATATTATATGTGGTGCTTTGTGACAAATATTTATTGTCGTTTTTAGTTCTTTTCACTCATTTAGAAAACACATTGCATTGTATAACAATAAAAGATAGTTTTTTATACCATGTATGTCGACTGTCGAATAGAAGATTTTACACGAGTTTAAACTATTAAAACGTAACAATATAAAGCCATACACTATTACTCTATTAGTAAATAAAATTTCTTGTTTGAAAGTAACGAAAAAGGGCCAAAATGTTTGTGACAAAGTTAATTAACCTAAATTATGTTTAGTTTCTTTTTATATTTTAAATGTTAAAAGCTTCTTACTTTTTGCACGCTTTAGTTATTCTTTAATCTTTAGCCACAATTGATTTCACCATTCTGTTTTGAGACATTTTCTTACTCGTTAAGCCATGGAAGTCTTGCAGTTGATATATTTTATTTTAGATCCAGTTTTCGAACTATGAAATCGAAACTCACACAAATTTTCTGATTAAGAACCTTCATAAGGCGGGTAAAATAAAGTAAACTTCATAGGTCATATAAGTGAAATTAATCAGGCAACCGCCGACATGATCTTGTAAAAAAAACATAATTATCGGTTAGACAGTTAGCTGTAATCGAAGTTGATTTGATTAGATAGCTAAATCGAAGTTGATTAATAGGAGAACTGTCAAGATTATGCCGACACTGCACGCTTTTGTTTCCATGTTTCCTTGTATCCAACTTTTTTACAAAATTATGGTTGACTTATGGAGACATAGAGTATTCTGTTAAGTCACGTCAATTTTTGTTATGATTAACACATATGGATTACGATTAATTAGCCTCGATATTACTAACTCGCTTTCATCAAATCGTCTCATAAGATACATCATTTTATTAGATATCATAATACTTTTAACTACTAACATTTTATCACAAAAGTGTGACCAGTCGATAAATTAACATTTACATTTTACTTAGAATATATGTCACACACAAGGCCATGCACTATACAAGAATACAACTGTGAAGCTTCCGAGCCGAAGTACAATAATGCATAGCAAAATCAAACATGCATGGTGTAGCGCGTATTTACGCCATTGTCCGTTGGTTCTACACTAAATATCAATGTGCCACTACACGAAGTTTAAAAACTAGAACATGAAATCACCCAAACAGCGAAGCTTAAATCTTTGGTTGTTTTTTAATAGCAATCTACCTGATTAAGACATTAGTCACTGCCACACAATCTTCACGAGTAAACCTATTAACTAAATGATCAAAAAAAATACGTGTAACATTATTCACGTGGCATCGAAGTCATATGCTTTCCACATATATACATTTAAATTCATTATCATATTGTCTCTCTCCTTTATCTTTGCCTCTTTCGAGCTCCAACCTGTCACTCTGCATTCCATATCACGATAAGGTGCTTTAACCACATGCTTAGCAACTAAACAATTTTTTTTCATTAACACGTTAATCTATGTATTATACATTTCCATAAACGGTTTTAGGACACGTCTCTCCATAGATATGTTGACAAGTATACAGTTTATAGGAAATGATTCCAAAATACGACCAGCTAAAAGAAGGTGGATTTCTAGATAGCTCTTAAGTTTTGGTCCTAGATCTGTCTAGCCAATGAATTTGATAATAATTTTACTAATATTATGATATTCTTTCTATTTTTGTTCATACAGCTTTTAAGGCGATCTTGTCTGACTTCGTGGTGGTCCAAGGTATACATGGCACAACATTGATGCATTTGTGTTGTGTCAATAGATTAATAACGTCTGAATAAGATAAAATAAATATTTTTTGGTCATAAACTTGATTGGTTTCACAACTTTCACATATTAAATCATTTGTTCTAGAATCAACCAGTAAGATCTAATTAGCTGTAAACTAATTAAACTGATTGATTTGCCATTAATTACTAGATGAAGTAGTGTTGGGAATTTCAATCACCTATAAACCAATCAGTCGAGTTTGACTTCTAACAATATTAAATACTGTACATGATTTTCTTTCACCAATATTGATGCTTTTTTCTTGTAACAATTGGTTTATAATTTTCCATGCACCTACTTAAATGTATCTCTAGAGTCTATGGTTTATAGGACTGAGGACTTTTGTAATGGTTTAGGCTTATTTGAATAGGCTATACGTTAGAGTTCTACTTCGAATAGTTAATCACGCCACGGAATAAGTCAATAAGATAGAAATTAACATATAAAGTAGCAATAATCAAATTAAATATGTAAAAGAAAACTTAATTCAATTGTAACGTGGACTTTATACAGGAAAATTTTGCAACTTGGGAAGCTACATGTTTCGTTGTTTTTGTTTCTAAATAGCTGAATGTTGAATGACTTAAAATCATTATAGCCCAATAAAGTCCTTCGCATGAACCTCATACTAAAGCTAACTTAGGTTCAATCTGAAATGGAAAATGAAACCCTGAATTTGTCTGAGAAATCAAAAGCCCAATAGACGTGCGTCTGTTCTCCTGACTTCTTTCATTAAACCCCAAACATATATGTTAATTTTATTTTATGTAAATAGTACTTGAGTAAATATAGAAATATAGATATTCCAACCGGTCTTTTATATAAGTTTTTTTTTTAAGAAAACACCAAAATTACATTTTTGTAATTTTTTGACATTTCAACAATGAAATTTATGTTTTTTTGGACATGATGCAGAAAATGACAAATCTTTTAAAAGATGGCCCTTGTTTTGAGTGGTGCGGTGATCTTTTGGAGAAGTGAGCTATATATTATTATACGAGAAGAGAAGACATGTGACGTGTAGAACTGTAGATGCACATGTCGTCGTCTTCACTCACTGTTTAAACAATGTCTCGTGAACGTAAGCGTTTGATAGCGAGTTAATGGATAATTTTGTCATTTCATGGATTATCATGTCCTTTCTTCTTCTCATTTTGGACAACTCTGGGAAACATAGGGACGCGTAGATTTTTTTTTGAATCTTGTCTACAAAGTCACGCTTCAGTACAAAAGTAGGCCTGGTCGTTAGTGACGTAGTGTTAGGTCTCCTTAAAAATATTTGGTTTTACGTGTGATGGCACATCACTTGTCAATGACTGATATCGAATAGACCACCTTTAATTTTCTTGGAAATAAATGGTCTTCACACTTTTCAAAGTAATAACAGTTACTCTACAGATCATCTAAGCCAGTGTATTTATATATATACAGTCTCTGGTCTATTCCAATTCATGCACTACCATTAACAAGCGATAAACATTATCTTATACTATACAAACAGGTAAGTGGTTGGATATCTCACCTAAACAAAACCTTTTTTGTTATAATATTATTTCGATTTGTAATTTTTTTAACAAAACCTTCTAAATGATTGTTAATCAGATCATGGACCAGCCTCACGCACTTCTAGTCGCTAGCCCTGGCTTAGGCCACCTCATCCCTATGCTCGAGCTCGGTAACCGTCTCTCCTCCGTCCTCAACGTCAAGGTCACTGTTTTCGCTGTCACCACCGGCTCCTCCTCTCCAACAGAGTCCGAGGCCATGCATGCAGCCGCGGCTAGAGGTACCTGCGAAATTACGGAACTGCCCCCGGTCGATATAGACCACCTTGTTGAGCCAGATGCGACAGTGGTCACCAAGATCTTTGCGAAGATGCGAGCCATGAAGCCCGCGTTTCAAGACGCCGTGAAATCAATGAACCGGAAACCGACAGTCTTGGTTGTTGACTTCTTTGGTACCGGTCTGATGTCCGCTGCCGATGAAGCCGGCCTGACGGCTAAGTACCTTTACGTCCCTTCGCACGCGTGGTTCTTGGCAGTGATTGTTACCTTGCCGGTATGGGATAAGGTTGTGGAAGGTGAGTACGTTGATATCAAAGAGCCTCTGAAGATACCGGGTTGTAGACCGGTCGGACCGGACGATCTTCTGGACACGATATTAGACCGGTCGAATCATCAGTACCGGGAGTGTGTACGGTGTGGCGAGGAGGTACCTACGAGCGATGGTGTTTTGGTAAATACTTGGGAGGAGTTGCAAGGAAACACTCTAGCTGCGCTTAGAGAGGGTGGAGAATCGAGCCGGGTTATGAAAGTACCGGTTTATGCAATTGGGCCTAATATTCGATCTAAAGGGCCTATGGAAAAGCCCAATAGTATGATATTCGAGTGGCTAGACAAGCAAGATGCTAGGTCAGTGGTGTATGTGTGCTTAGGGAGTGGTGGAGCGTTGTCCTTTGAGCAAACGGTTGAGCTTGCTTGGGGTTTAGAGTTAAGTGGTCAAAGATTTTTATGGGTTCTACGTAGGCCCACTTCTTACCTCGTGGCGAGCTCAAGCGATGAAGATCAGGTGAGTGAGAGTCTACCGGAAGGTTTCTTGGACCGCACGAGTGGTGTAGGTCTTGTGGTTACTCAATGGGCACCGCAAGTTGAGATCTTGAGCCATGGATCGATAGGTGGGTTCTTGTCTCATTGTGGTTGGAGTTCGGTCTTGGAGAGTTTGACTAATGGAGTTCCGATCGTGGCTTGGCCTCTATATGCGGAGCAATGGATGAATGCCACGTTGCTGACTGAGGAGCTTGGTGTGGCCGTTCGTACGTCGGAGTTACCGGGAAAGGGAGTGATCGGTCGGGAAGAAGTGGCGTCTCTGGTGAGAAAGATTGTAGCGGAAGAGGATGAAGAAGGAAGGAAGGTAAGGGCTAAAGCTGAGGAGGTGAAGGTTAGCTCGGAACGAGCTTGGACTCAAGGTGGGTCGTCTCGTAGTTCTCTTTTCGAATGGGCAAAACGATGTGGTCTTGTGGCGTGATTCACAATCACTACATCCCTTATTATATATTGTATTATTGTGTTCTCTTGATGAAAGTTGCTCTATAATTACATGATGTGTTTGCAAAAGAACTATTATATGATTTATTTAAAGAATTTTGCTTACCATGTGTATTAAGAAATTTGTATGATTTTATAAGCTTATTAGTACGATACTTTATCGAAAACTACACTTTATAGTGTTTCTAAAATGTATAGATTTTCGAATTCAAAGACAAATTATGTCAATATATAAAATCAATGCAAGTAAATACTAAAATTATTGTACTTTGAAACCAAAAAGTGAGATTGCCTCCTATTATATATATGGTTACTTATTGATATATTTTTGTCAAAAGGTTTAGTCTATTGCCAAAAGTAAAACGTTACTGAGAATTGTATTGACCAAAATGCTCCAACAAAATATAAGTAAGAACTTTGACTTGAGAAGATTTCTTAAGAAATCAACTGCAGACCATCGAGATTTGCCTTAGATTCTTTTCACTGGTCGTCTACATAACAAAACCATGAATATCAAGTTAGCAGCTTACACTTTTTTGATAAAACTTTTGTTGTCTTTGTTATTTTCGATTACGGATCGAATTTTTATTCACTTTTGCGTTATTGGGCTTATTATTTGCATCAATTCCTTTCTGTTGATAATTTGTTTGGTCAACCTTGGATCTACATTTCAATATACAGTCCCTTCTTGGAAGAAATTCTTTATGAACTCATCAAAATCTCAATATTTGTCCATAGTTTTAAACTAGGCCGGATCTTTCATACATCATTAGTTCTACTTTTCTCCTAGTTTAATTGCATAAACTAAACCACATGTTTCTTTCTTTAGGAAATAATCATTCTTAATATTTTTCTTTGAAATGTATAAAATTAACTTTCTGTGTGTTTAACCGAATGTTGTTGACAGAACAGGAAAACTTTATGGAATATCAATTTCTCTCATTCTCATTAACCTAGCGACAATGATGCAACGGGCAGACGAGAAACTCATTCCCTCGGTTGCCAAAGAAGTGAAAGAAGCGTTCGATGCAAATCTCTCTAGTATTGGATACCTCTTATTTATAAGAAACATTGCTCAAGGACTTGCCTCTCCCTTAGCCGGTTTATTTGTCATCAGTTATGACCGTCCAACAGTCTTTGCAATCGGTTGTGCATGTTGGGTCTTATCAACTGTTGCAGTTGGAGCGAGCCACTACTTCTTCCAGGTTTCTCCATTTACATATGGTTTTTAGATCATACAATTTTTTTATTCCATTATACATAGATAGTTAGATACTAACATATGTGTAACATTAACACAAACCATAAAGTTTGAAAAAATAACTAAAATGACTAAAGTACATAATAGATATGATTTGATTATATTAAATTTTGGACTAGGTTACACTTGCTGTAGCGGTCAATGGGTTTGGACATGCAATTGTTTATCCAGTGCTTCAGTCAATAATTGCGGATAGTGCAAGAGGTTTTGGTTTTGGTTTATGGTATCTCATTGGTACGGTTGGAGCTATAGGTGGAACCGTCATGGCAACGGTCATGGCTGGTCATGATTTCTTGGGGATCGCAGGATGGCGCAGCGCCTTTATGTTAATGGCAACAATGAGTGCGATGATCGGGATTCTTGTTTTTGTCTTTGCCGTTGACCCGAGGAAAAAGAAGAGTAGCATCTTCGTTTCTCATGATCATAAACGGTAAGATAAAGCTCTACGTTCTTGATTGTAAATAGCACCAACGTGACAAAATATTTTTTTTGTTTATTGTCTTAAGTTTTGAGTTAATCATGCTGTTTTGTAGAGATGAACTTATGAGCTCGGTTTTGATGGAATCGTGGGCAGCCATAAAAGATGTAACGAAATTACGAACACTTCACATCATCGTATTGCAAGGAATCGTCGGTTTGGTGGCATGGAATGCAATGGTTTTCTTCACGATGTGGTTCGAACTTATTGGCTTTGATCATAATAAGACAGCAGCTCTGAGCGGGATATTCACCACGGGACAAGCAATAGGATCTTTGGTCGGAGGAATAGTTGCTGACAAAATGTCTCATATATTTCCAAACTCAGGCAGAGTGATATGCGCACAATTCAGCGTTTTCATGGGAGCTGTATTCTCCATTATTCTTCTAAGAATAATCCCACAATCCACTAACAGTTACTATATCTTCTTGGTCACTCTCTTTCTGATGGGTCTCGCGATAACTTGGTGTGGACCAGCCATTAACTCTCCGATATTGGCTGAGATTGTTCCTCCTACGCATCGAACCATGATCTATGCTTTTGATCGTGCACTTGAAGTTTCTTTTTCGTCATTTGGTGCTCCTTTGGTTGGAATTATGTCCGAGAAAGTTTTCGGGTTCGACGCAAAAGGAATTGATAATGTTAAAGACTATGGTCGTGAGGCTGAGGCATTGTCGAAAGGGATCATGTGGATGATGGCTGTCCCGTTTGGATTGTGTTGTCTTTGTTACACTCCTTTACATTTTCTCTTTAGGAAAGATCGAAAAATCGACACTACTCCGAGTTCAAGGGAAATGGAGATGATGTGAGCATTAGCATGTTAGTGGATTGTTTTGTTTGGTTTCACTTTCACCTGTGGCATAATAGTTTATACTTTATATATTGCATTTATATTTACGATTCGATAAATCAGAAAACCCTTTATTCACTTTGTGAGTGACATGTGGCCATGCAGGAAAAATAATATTAAAAGTATAAATACTGAATTTTTGAGCTCCAAAGTTTCTTTAGGATAAAAACGGTTGCACAAAAGAAAATTTTATAGGACAAAAACAAGATCTATAGACATGCTTTTATTTTTCAAGAAAGACAACAATATTAATGCATTGAGATTTTCTGAGCCAGATACAGCTGATTTGTTCACACAAAACTCAAATATCAAATCTTAATAGATCTTCTTCCTCTGCTTTCTTATATTTTTTTTGTCTCTGTGTCATTAGTATTCGGAACCTAAGTATAACTCAAATATCCCATGTTTTCTTGTTAAATGGACTATTGTCATTTATAGTCAAACAAACTCAACTATAAATAACATTAACCCCCATACCTTTTTTTCAATAGTAGTTACTTTGAAATTAGTGTGTTCTTAGAAAATTCACGATCAAATTCATTGAGAATTTCTTCATTTCTATGCTTTAGTCGTCTTCATACTAACACCATGAAACTCAAGTAAGCAACTATCGATTTCTTCGGTTGAAAATAACGTTATACTTACTTGCGTAGTGTTAACTAGGCCACTAATTGTACATTTATCTATCTATCGATAGTTTTCGTACAATGTGTAACAATTACGTTGTTGATTTGTTTTGTATGCTTGATAATTAATATCATAGAACAGGGACCATCTGTGGGATCTCTATATCTCTCATTATCATCTACTTAGCCACAATGATGCAAAGAGCAGACGAAAAACTCATTCCTTCGACTGCTAAAGAACTGAAAGAAGCGTTTCATGCTAATCTCTCTAGTATTGGATTCCTCTCCTTTATAAGAAATTTCTTTCAAGGACTTGCTTCGCCTTTAGCCGGTCTATTAGCAGTCAGCTATGACCGTCCCACGGTTTTTGCGTTCGGTAGTTTCTTTTGGGTCTCATCAACTGTTGCAACTGGAGTCAGCCGCTACTTCAGCCAGGTCTAAACTTTTGCACCAAAGTTCATTCATATCATTTTTGCGAACATGCACAAAAAAATAAATTATTTTTGCATTTTATGTCATATTTATTTTTAAAAAGTTCATTTTCCATGAGATATTTCTTATTTAAAATGGTTTTTGAATACACACACACAAAATGATATTTTTTAACTTCTTTATCTAGGCTAACGTTTGTTTTTGCCAAGACTTTTCCTGAAAATCTATAAAGGAAAAAAAAAAAAAAAAAAGAAGAAGAAAAGTAAAGACCCTGGTTACTTGACTGAAACGCAACTCTGAAAATCATGTCTAATGGATAAAAGTAAATTTTATTAGGACGGGATAAATGGTTATATATATTATATATGTTTGATTGATTTGATCTTGTTTCGTGGACTATAGGTTACGATTGGTGCGGGTTTCAATGGAGTCGGACATGCAATTGTTTATCCAGTGCTTCAGTCGGTAATTGCGGACAGCTTTAAGGATAGTGCAAGAGGTTTTGGCTTTGGTTTATGGAATCTCATCGGTACGGTTGGAGGCATAGGTGGAACGGTCGTGCCAACGATCATGGCCGGTCATGTTTTCTACGGAATCTCAGGATGGCGATGTGCTTATCTATTGAGTGCAACGCTGAGTACGATGATAGGGTTTCTTGTTTTCTTCTTTGTCACTGACCCGAGGGAGAAGAAAACTAGCACCTACATTGTTCCTGATCATGAACGGTACGTAATAAATATATATAAATCTTTACATTCTTGTTTATAGCACCAAGTTTTGAGTTCGTGATGCGGTTTTTGTAGAGGTGAAAATAATGCTGATGCTGCTGCTGCTGAAACAAAGGAGAGTTCCAGCTCGGTTTGGATGGAATCTTGGGTGGCCATAAAAGATGTAACCAAATTACGAACATTTCAGATCATAGTATTTCAGGGAATCATAGGTTCGGTTCCATGGAATGCAATGGTTTTCTGGACAATGTGGTTCGAACTCATTGGTATGCATTTTCTGGACAATTCTAGTTGAATAAACCAAATGTTTAACATGCACCATTATAGATGATCTTTGTGTTAATCTCAAAGTGGTTTTATTTTGTTTCACCAGGCTTTAGTCATAATCAGGCGGCGCTTCTGAACGGAATATTCACCAGTGGACAAGCAATAGGATCTTTAGTCGGAGGAATAATTGCAGACAAAATGTCTCGTGTGTTTCCAAACTCAGGCAGATTGAGCTGTGCACAATTCAGCGTTTTCATGGGAGCTGTATTCTCCGTTATTCTTCTAAGAATAATCCCACAGTCCACTAACAGCTACTACATCTACATGATCACTCTCTTCCTAATGGGTCTCACCATAACTTGGTGTGGACCAGCCATCAACTCTCCCATCTTGGCAGAGATCGTTCCTCCTACGCATCGAACCATGGTCTATGCCTTTGATCGTGCAATCGAAGTGACTTTTGCCTCGTTTGGTGCTCCTTTGGTTGGGATCATGTCGGAGAAAGTTTTCGGATTCGACACAAATAATGTGAAAGACTCTGGTCGTGAGGCCGAGGCTTTGTCAAAGGGGATCATGTGGATGATGGCTGTCCCGTTTGCATTGTGCTGTCTTTGTTACACACCTTTACATTTCATTTTTCGTAAAGATCGAAAAACTGATAGAACTACAACTTCAAGTGAAGTAGAGATGATATGAAAGATTTATTATATTATGCTGTCACAATTGTTCTATTTTTGGATTAGCTTTTATCACCGGTTATTATAATGTTTACTATATTTTATTCGAAATAAATTTCATTTATATCATCAAATCAGATGACTAAGTTGAAATATTTCTTAAAAAATAAGGAAAGACCTAAATCACTTGATCCCAATATCAAGGCAAATGTACAAAAGAGCAACAAAATAAGTTTCTTGACAAGAAGAAAGCAACACTGAGTTCATTGAACAAAACCTTACATGCAACGAGGGAATGAGGTGTCACCAATATGGCCACCACTCATAGCCCTCTTGACGTTAGACTCGAACAACTTCGGGTTATCTCTTAAAACCGCTGCAGCGTCGTGGTTCAGAGGATCCTCGTAATTGGGTTCCTGTATCAAAACATAAACACTCTTTTAAGTCCTCAAGAAAGTAGAATCAATGGAGTAAGTGTCTTGCTTGTCAATGAGATTTTGGTTTTTACCGTGAAGAGATGGAATAGACCGTAGATAACCGTGTTAATGTTGAGAACCGGTTTCCAATCTTCACGCAAGATGTTCAAACAAACACTCCCTTCCAAATCAATATTCGGATGATACACCTACACAATCATATATACAATTCATTATAAGCACATATACCACAAGACCATCTACATGTTTCAGAGCTTGGAGAGAGAGAGAGAGAGAGCCTAACCTTGCTCCTGCATTTGACTTTTGGAGCTTCATGTGGATACAGTGGAGAGACTTGGAATGTAAAAACAAACTTACCACCTCTGTTTCCGGTGAAAAAAAAAAGAAGAACGAATGAGTGTTGGATCAAAACTCAGTAGCCGAGAGCCTAAAGGGTAAATCAAGATTACACTTACTTGTAATATCCTTCGTCTGGCTTAATGGTTACTTCAAAGTTCATCAAATCACTCTTTCCATTAGGAAAAGATATCGCACAAGACTTTGGCAGATTCAGCTCTGTTATATCTACACACAATCAAAGATCCCAAGAGCAGCAGATAAAATATCAGTACAATTCCTAAGAAAGCCGAATTGCATCAAAAAAGCAAAAAACGAAACGGAGAGAGAAGAGTAAAGATTAAACCTTTGTGAAGACGAAGTTCACCAGCAGATTGTTTCTTCACAGAAGATCCTCTTGTGTTGGTGTTTTTCGATTCTTCTCTTTGCTTTTCCTTAACTTTGAATAACCCAATCATGGCTGCTTCTCTTCTTCTACCTCACAAATCAACCAAACAATCACAATAGATTCGAAGCAGAACAATCACTCAAAAAAAAGCCCTAACGAAATTTCACCCAAAGAGATCAAAACTAATCAAAAATCCCTACAATACAGTCTTGAATCTGCCGATAACCTAAATTCAGAAAACGATCGGAGATTCTCCAGAACGAAAACAAAAGTAATTGAAGAAGAGCTTACGAGTTGAGATTCTTTTACAGAATCAAAGCAATTACGAACGTATCGTTGCCTCTCCCAATCCACTAAATTTCGCTTTCGTGAGCTTCAACGATGAGAGAATCACAAGAGCGATCGAGCTTTTCTCTCTACGATGATTCTGAAATTACAAGAACCCTTCGCTGCTCAATTTTCGAAACTATATATGCAATCAATTGATCAACCTATTGGGCCTAACGAAGCTATATGGGCCTAATGACATACGTATTCGATAATTTATGGGCCTGATTGGCAATAAGGCTGTGAGGACTTTTAGGGACTCTAAAGTCTTTAAAGTTAATTTTTTACCAATGGGGCTTTAAATACTTATTAATTCTTAAAGCTTTAAAAGTCTTTTTTAGTTATTGTTTCAGTTTTCTTTCATTGAATCAAAATTTTCTTAAAAGCCACTTTTTTGTACTTTCATTCTCTTTCTTCAAAATCAAACTTGCTTTTTATTTTTATTTTATTACTTTTTTCTCATCCAAATAAATCAAAGCTTATATTTTATATTATATTATTTTTATTACAACAAATTTTTAACAAATAAATAATTATTATCTTTTTCTCATTCTTTTGAGATCCATTTTTCTAACCTTTTAGTAATTTAAAAAATCTTATAGACTAAAATTTGATGATTAAATGGATTTTAAATGTTAAAAATAAAATTTTGTTAGTTTTAATAAAAAATTAATAGTAATAAGTAAGATTACATTTTTATATATATTTACAGTTTATGATAAAATAATTTTGTGCAATATTTAAAAATAACAGTTACAGTCTTCACAGCTTTTGTTATCAATCACACTTTCAAAAATTTATAAAGTAACAGTTATAGTTCTTACAGCCAAAATCTCCTTACAGCCAAAATCTCTACGGCAAAAAGCCAATAGTTACAGCCTAAAGCCACAGTCCTACACAATCATAGCCCATATCTGAAAATTAATTCAAATTCAACTGCTGGTTTAGTTTGGTTCGACAAGTTTAAACCAGTTATGGGTTCAAAGGAGATTAGGCCCAAATACAGTTTTTAAATATGTAATTAATTAGTACTAGCTTAGTGCAGTGACATCAGATTAGAGATTTTGGATGTCTTACCATTTTTTTTTGCCAGCTAGTCCAATGGTTCCGACTTCTGAGGGATAAGTTTTTAAAAAATTTAGATGAGAATCTGATGAGATGTCTGACAAACAAAAGTTGTCACTGACATGCATGATGCATAGATAAACATCCAAATCTATAAAATAAGAAGAAAATAAAACACAAAAGGTTAAAAAGACAAAATGGATAACATTATGAATTTTCAGTTTTTGAGTGGTTTCATCATTTCCCGTGAGTATAAAACCAATTAAATTAGTCAAACAAATGAAAAATATACTGGAATCTTTTTTTCAAACATCGTCATCTTCTTCATCGTCTCTATTCCACCACTCCGTTTTTAAAAACCCTATCCGTTACAGTCTCCACTACAATCTCATTCCCCCAACTCCAATTCCCAAAAAGATTTGTTCAATTCAAAGTTTTTGATTAATTCCGAGAAATTCGCAATGGCTACTTTGAATCTAAGCTCATGGGTACATCACTCTGTCAGAAAACCCAGATCCGCTTCCGTACCCGTACCCGGATCCATACTCGGCTCCAACCGATCCTTCCTCAAAATCCCACCTTTCCTTCTCCGTCCGAAACTCACCGTTTTGTCAGTCGTCACCAGAGAAGAAAACAGCAGTGTCGTCCATGAGGAAAAGGAAAAGGACCTCAAATTCGATTTCATGTCTTACATGATCGGAAAAGCTGATTCCGTCAATCGAGCTCTCGACTCCGCCGTATCGCTCCGAGAACCGGTCAAGATCCACGAGGCGATGCGTTACTCGCTCCTCGCCGGCGGAAAACGAGTGAGACCCGTGCTCTGCATCGCCGCTTGCGAGCTGGTCGGCGGGGAAGAATCCGTCTCGTTGCCGGCGGCTTGCGCGGTGGAGATGATCCACACGATGTCGTTGATCCACGACGATCTCCCTTGTATGGACAACGACGATCTCCGCCGCGGAAAACCCACCAACCACAAAGCTTTCGGCGAAGACGTCGCGGTTTTAGCCGGAGACGCGCTTTTATCGTTCGCGTTCGAGCATTTGGCGTCCACGTCGGGAGTTTCTCCGGCGAGAGTGGTGAGAGCAATCGGAGAGCTAGCGAAAGCCGTCGGATCGGAAGGGCTTGTGGCGGGTCAGATCGTGGATCTAAGCAGTGAAGGAATGGACCAAAACGACGTCGGATTCGAGCTTCTCGAGTATATTCACGTTCACAAGACGGCGGTTTTGCTGGAGGCGGCGACGGTTTTGGGAGCGATCGTCGGCGGTGGATCCGATGAAGAGATCGAGAGGCTGAGGAAGTTTGCGAGGTGCATTGGGTTGTTGTTTCAGGTGGTGGATGACATTTTGGATGTGACGAAATCGTCGGAGGAGTTGGGGAAAACCGCCGGGAAAGATTTGATCGCCGATAAGCTGACGTATCCGAAGCTAATGGGTCTTGAGAAGTCGAAGGAGTTTGCGGAGAGGTTGATGAGAGATGCTCAAGAACAACTTCAAGGATTTGATTCGAAAAAGGTTGCACCTTTATTGGCTTTGGCTAATTACATTGCCAATAGACAGAATTAATTCAAATGCGAATGTTTTAATTAATGGGTGATATTCTCCGACAATGGATTAAGAAACTCTAGATTCTCAAAACAAAAAGTGGATGACAACATTATGATCCCATCTTTAGAGTTTTAATGTTTGTAACACATCTCTATTTCAAATTTTGTGATTTTGGATGATCCGATAAAAATGTCTTTAGTTAGAATCTTGAAGGCACGATGAAGATTGTGTGAGATTCTCCATTGAACATTTTTAGATTTTGTTGAATTACTTAGTAGTAACGCTTCTTTTTGGGGTCCATTATCGCATAATGGAATCATAATCGTGTGTCGTATTGGATGGTTGTTGGAATTCAATATTCAAACAGATTATACAAAGTGGTGTTTTATAAATGTTGTTTTCTATTTTAATAGAGAGGAAAACGTGAGGAGAAAATATGTGACATGATATAAAGTGATTGATAATTCAATCATTTATAACTAACAAGTATAAGAACTTGGTCAATTCATGGTTAATGATTCTATGAAATCATTAAACATTTGAAAAATTCATACAAGACAGGGATGCATTTCTTATTTAACTCTGTAATAATTTAGTGATAGAAAAGGAGAAATCTGGAAGCAGGCATGCCATTAATATTTTTCAACCATAAAAATGTATCTCTGGAACTTGAAAACGTTCATGTTTTTACAATATTTTTTAAAAATTGTTTTTTTATGATTTAACTTTCTAAAGTTTATACATTTTATTTGTTTTTGTTCTGGCTCTTATATTTTGGTATATAGCCATAAAAAGATTATCATTTCCTCTTCTAAACCAAATAAAGTTACAGTTATTCTAGATGAATATCTATGGGCCCCATGGCTTCAATTTTCAAGCCTCAATTGAATATTTTGGTCTCTGTTCAGACAAGAACAAATAAAAGAAAGAAAAGAAAAGGCAAAATATATTTTTCAGTTTCTTTTTTTAATCCTTCTTCTTTCTTCTGTGTTCTTTCTTCGCTCTTTCAATGTGTGTTTACTTACCCATTGATGAGTCCGTCAAGACCAAGTCGAGAGTAGTGCAAGACTTTCTTGCACTGTACAAAAACAAAACCGTGTGAGGAGGAATGGTCTTCTTCCTCAGATCTCTCCTTTTCCCTTAAAAACTCTCTCCCGCATTTTTCTCTCTCTTTCCCTTCCGATTTTCCCCAAGCGTACAAGCTACTACTTCTTCTTCTTCTTCTTCTTCTTCCCATAAGTACAAGCTCTCTCCACCTTCACCAAAATTCTACCTTTTTTTAGTCTTTCTTCGTTTCAGAGAATCTCTGCATTTTCACTACAAAAAAAAAAAAAAAAGAACCATCTGCAAATTATCAGGTATCTTCAAATCTCGTTTCACTTTTCTTACTGAATTTCCTGCGATTATTCAGTACTCTTGCGGTTAAAGTTTTCACCTTTCTCTCTCTCTCTGCTATGTCGGTTCCATTTTAGATTGCTCCGCAAGATTCGGTTGAAATCTGTTAGCTTTAAATCTATAAATCATACCCATTTCGATCTTCTCTTCTCATTGCATTACTTCTCTATTAGCTCTGGTTTTCTAAAATTCCTAGTTCTTGCTCTGTGATTTTAGGTTCCAGAATTTCAACAAATTTCAATTAGATTAGAAAGAGAATGATGGGAGGAAAATCTAGCAAGGGCAAGAAAAAAACTGAATCTGGTTCGACTTCATCACCTTCAACACCTGTACAGATCAAGATAAACTCAGCTTACATAGAGCACCTGAGCTCTTACGAAAGAGCTTGCAGTGAAGATCCAAAGCTCGAGTCTTTTGACTCAGCGCTTCACGCAAGAACTAACCGAGTCATCAACAAGCTCGCATCGGGCGTCGAGATCAAGTCTCTCTCCTTTGACTCGCTTAGAGAAGTCACGCAATGTCTCCTAGACATGAACCAAGACGTGGTCAAAGTGATATTGCAGGACAAAGAAGATATATGGAACAATCAAGACGTGTTCTCTCTTGTGAACATGTATTTTGACAGCACTGCCAAGACTATGGACTTCTGCTCCGAGCTAGAGAACTGCCTTCACCGCGCGAGGAGAAGCCAAGTGATTATTCAGTTCGCTGTGAAGCAGTTTGAGGAAGAAGCTGTGAATGGGGATAGTAACGAGAACAGAAAGTATGAGAAGACGCTTGAGGAGCTTAAGAGGTTTAAGTTAGCCGGAGATCCGTTTTCGAAAGAGTTCTTTGATCTTTTCGATGCGGTGCACAAACATCAGGTTATGATGCTTGAGGAGCTTCACAAGCTGAAGAGGAAGCTGGACAAGAGACTTGGGAACATCAAAACATGGAGGAGAGTGTCGAACATGGTGTTCGTGACAGCGTTTATCTCTGTGCTTATCTTCTCTGTGGTTGCAGCCGCTGTGGCTGCGCCGCCTGTTGTGGCAGCTATAGCCGGCGCATTGGCTGTTCCCGTGGGGTCTGTTGGGAAATGGTGTAACTCTCTGTGGACTAAGTATGAGAAAGTGGTTCGAGGACAGAAGGAGATGATTACATCGATTAAGATCGGGACTTATGTGTCGGTTAAGGAGATGGATAATATAAGTGTTCTTGTGCGTAAAGTTGAGGTGGAGATTGAGTCTTTGTTGAAGAAAGCTGAGTTTGCTGTTACGGAGGAGAGATGTGTGAGTCTTGCGATAGATGAGATCAAGAAGAAGCTTGATGTGTTTACTGAGACCGTTGAGGAGCTTGGGAGGCATGCGAATAAGTATTGTAGCGATGTGACGAAGGCGAGGACCGTGATTCTGCAGAGGATTATCAGATATCCGACTGGTTCCACTAGCGAAGAAGATACCTGGTAAGCTCCTTAAAGCTTAAGCTCAAGAAGTTTAAAGCTAGACTTATTGGTTCATGTTTTCTTGCTTTAGAATTCTAAAGAACAAGATTGTGAACTTCTCCTACTTATGGTTTATTATTATGAATGTTTTGAACTGAGTCTCGTTTTTCGATTGATGATGATCAGGACGGAGATGATGTCGTGAAAAGGGTGGATTCTGGTTTACGGATTCGTATTTGGCTATGAAGATTGTTGTTGGTTTGTTATCTTTAGCAGAAGTATGTATGAAGAGCTAAATGATGTCTTACTTAATGTTTATTTAGTTGCCCTGAGGTAACCTTTTGTTTAAGACATTAATTAAAAATATTTGGAAGATATTATGCGATTATATTTGGCTTTTATATTCAGACTGTTTATGTTGTCTCCTATAAGGGCCTTGTTTATGTTGTTCTTTAACGGAAATTCGTGCATGAAGTATTGTCTGTTCTGTCTTGATCAACATTTTAGTATAATCCTCCAACTGTTGAAAAAGTCAATTGACTCTTGAGTCGATGTAATGGTTAGTCTTATATAATGGTTGACTGATTTAATCAAAAGGCCAGTCGTTTAATTCAAGAAAACACTTGCTTTTTCTACCCTTTTTCCTTGTAAATTCTTGTTGACTTACTCTTTGTTCTGGATTCTAGTGCAAAGTCACATACTAACACATCCAAGGTTCGATCCATGTGTGATACCCAAGTGGTCATCATAATTAGTCTATCAAAACATAAAAACTTAACACCTAAAATTAGCAAGTACATTGGTATTACACGCACACCATTAATTATTTATGAACAAGTAGACAAAAACAATTCAAACATAAATTGGGCTTTTTTCGGCCCGTTTCAAAAAAAAATTGGGTTTTTAAATCGACCCATCCAGACATAACATTGGGTTCGGACCCATCCGACATAAAATATGGCCGTTCGGACATAAAAATTCCGACATAGTGCCGTTCGGACATAAAAATCCGACATAAGCCGTTCGGACATAAAAATTCCGACATAAATAGGCGTTCGGACATAAAAATGTTCCGACATAGGCCGTTCGGACATAAAAAATTCCGACATAGAGCCGTTCAAACATAAAAAATTCCGACATTAGATAGGGTTCAGACATAAAAATGTTCCGACATAAGTAGTGCCGTTCGGACATAAAAAATTCCGACATAAAATAGTGTCGTTCGGACATAAAAATGTTCCGACATAAATAATGCCGTTCAGACATAAAAAATAATTCCGACAGCCGTTCGGACATAAATGTTCCCGACATAAAGACTGTTCGGGCATATAATTTTCCGATATAAACTTGGGCTCTGGTCGGGCCGTTCCAACTTAAAATTTCTGACAAATAATTGGGCTTTTAATCGGCCCGTTTGACATAAATAGTGTTCGACATAAATAGTTTTCCGACATCAACATTTGACATCAACAGTTTAACATAATGAATGTAGGCAAAAACATCAGTTATTTCTGTTGGCAATGAAGTTTGTAAGAGCTACAAAGGTTTCACTTTCTCCGAATCAAACCCTTAAGATGTTCTTTCGCATCGTTCTTCAATCTCACAACAAACTCTTTCGATTCTCAAGACCCAACACTTTCGGATACGTCAGCTTTCCGGCGATCTGATCTTTCCCGGCGGTTTTCCCCAATTCCTCCGACGACTTGGTCTCATCCAAAATATCATCAACCACCTGAAACAACAATGCCAATACACCTCGCAAAGTTTCTCACTTTCTCTATCTCTTCCTCCGATCCACCTCCAATAACCGCTCCGATAACCGCCGATGCTTCGAGCAACGAACCGGTTTTATGAACGTGAATAAACTCAAGCTCCTCTAATCCGACGTCGTTTTTCCCCAACCCTTCACTGCTTAGATCCATCGCTTGTCCCGCCACGAGCCCTTTGGTGCCAATAGCCTTAGCCAATTCCTTAACCGCTCGAACCATTCTCTCAGATGACACGTCAGCTTCCGTCAGACGCTCGAAAGCTAAAGCTAAGAGCGCGCCGCCGGAGAGAATCGCGACGCTTTCTCCGAAGACTTTGTGTGTTGTGGGTTTGCCTCGTCGGAGATCGTCGTTGTCCATACAAGGAAGATCGTCTTTGATGAGTGACATTGCGTGAATCATCTCCACCGCACAAGCCGCCGGAATCGCCAAACGCTCTTCTCCTCCGACTAGCTCGCAGACCGCGAGGCAGAGTATCGGTCTGACGCGTTTTCCGCCGGCGAGAATCGCGTAACGCATCGCGTTGTGGATGTTGAGAGGCTCGACGAGTGGAATCGCTTCGTCTAGTGCTCTGTTTATCGACTCTGCTTTGCTTACCATGTACGTTTTGAAATCGAAATCGGAACCCGAATCTGAACCGTTTTCTTTATTTACGGTTTGGATTGATGAATTGAGAAACTCGCGGACGTCTTCTCTGGCGAAAACAGCGGTGGCGATCGGAGATTTAATCGGGAGGTGGAAGAGATGGATAAGGCGCCGTGTATTTGCTGGACTCAGCCGATGTTTCAGAGTCGCAAACACGAAGTGTAGAGAGAGAAAGAAGAGTGAGAGATATAGAAATATGGTTTGAAAATCCATTTGATCAGTGAGATGATGATGATTGATTGATTTTTGATTCTTTTCTTTTATAGTAACTTTGTTTTTTTTTTTGGATTTTGAGAAAATAAAAGTTAGTTGGCAAGGCAAGTCGTGGGATCATTGTCATACTGATTCGGTCTCGGTTTGGTTTAAAAGTCAATGCGTCGTGAATGTACTTGTTTGATTACAAAAGGCAAAACCAAATTGAACCGAAATCAAATCGTTAGAAAATAAACAAACTGGATTGCTTGAGGCTGTTGGTATATTTGTTGCACACGTTCAGATGAAACAAGCAATCTCTAATTTTATATAACAAAAACCAAAAATACTTTAGCTTAAGCAATAATCAAAGTAGCTTCTTTCGCATTCTTGTCTCCCATTACTTATTTTAATTATTAGTTACATAGAAAAGCTGAAAAGGGCCATGGAATTAGAAACAAAAAGCTTTTTTGACTAATAATTGTCTGGTCAAATATCAAGAATGAAATGGGTAAAATGCTTGCACACCCACACAAATATTCAATGTGCCAAAGAGGTAAGAACCCTACATGTCTTAAGCAATCACCCACTATTCATCTACTTCTACTTTCTCTCTAATGAAAACACAAGAATCTTCAAAAACAATCGTAGAGAAATAATAAAAGTTTTTAACAGAAAAAAAAAGCTAGACGTGGGATGTAGAAGAAGGATGAACAACCTTGTTTTGTCTCCCTCCAAGCCAAAGCATAGTCCTCCTAGCAAAAGATGGCGTTTTCGTCTCCAAAGACTCCGGATTTTCTCTCTTTTCATTCTCTTCATCAATACCAATCCCATTCTTAAGCTCACGAGGATCATGCTGGCAAGGAAATCGGATTGAAGAAGAAGACAACGAAGAACATTCCTGATCTCTACCCTTTTGCTTCTCTTTTTTACCCCTTAGCCAAATTTTCGACAAAGAAAAGCTCTCTCTTTCCACAACACTCTTCTCAATTCCCTTAACCGTTGGATCAAAAGAGCATTCCGACATAACTGCTCTGTGGCCGGACAATTTCTTTGTCGGAATGTGAACCTTAAGTGTAGCTTCTTGGTCCATAATATACTCAAATGTTCCCATTGAAAAACATCTCCTTTCATCTACATTGCTACTACCACTAATGCTACTACCTTCACCAACATGTTCTGTGTTCCTAAACTTCCCTAGCTTCACTTCTAAAGGAACAACCTTTTCACCTAAACCATCCAATTCAACATCCGGGTCGCATGATTTACGACCCGACCCGACACGGGTCGACCCGAGATCATTAGCTTCAGGAACAGGAACCATATCTCTCGAGCTTTGACGATCACTCGCGGACTCAAGAACAAGGAGATACGAGGAGCTTGGATAATGGCGAGAGGAGAAGTCAGAGAGGAGGAGATTAGATCTGCAAAGAGGACAAGTCGAGTGAGAGAGGAGCCACGTGTCGATACAGTCAACGTGAAAGGCGTGGCTGCATTTAGGCAATAGCCTGAGTTTGTCCTCTGTTTCGAACTCGCAGAGACAAACAGGGCAATCGAAAGGTGAGATCTTGAGGCCGACGATGGATTTGTAATGGAAAACTGGTAACGTGTCGATTAGTGATTGGTCGACGCCGGAATCGTGGAGGTGGAAGAGTTGCTGAAGCTGGCCTTGGAGAGCTGTGACGTCGTTGTCGTCGAAGTAAGAGTCTCTGTTTTGCGTCGATGGTGTGAGGAGGAATTTGACGAGGATGTGGATGAGGCCGGAGATGAAGAAGATGATCGAGAGGATTATGATTATTAGGAGCATGTTTGGGCTGATTTTGCTGCTTAAATCAAAGCTTGTGACGGATTTGAGAGGTATTAGTGGTGGTGGTGGTGAAGGGGAGATGAAATTATGGGATGATTTGATTTCCGGGAAAATCATGTTTTCCCGAGAAAATTTCATGAGTGGGAAAGAGATAGAGATGTGGAAGAATTACCAAAGCTCAAGCTTTAATCTATGAGACAGAGTGATGATTAAGAAGACAAAACAGAGTTTATGATTGCATGCTCTGTTTTCTGAGATTTTGGGTTCTCTTGAAAGAGAAAGTTTGAGCTCAAAGTTTTTTGAAATTTATGAGACAGAGTGATGATTAAGAGAATTACAGGTTGGACCATTGATGGTGACAGATGAGAAATTTAATTTCATTTTAGATTTTTTTTTTCTTACATCAAGAAGAGTGTCTTTGAAATCATTTAAAAATTTCCTGAAATTAATAAGGTTTTGGATCTTCGTATTCAATTACCTAAAGAATTACAAAGTCAACGAAACATTTTTTTGAATAAAGAGACTAATAAAACCACTTTCCTGCATGAATGATTAATATCTTACTGTTTTTATAAACAAACTTCTGCCTTCCATGTTAAAGCCAACCGGACAAACAATATAAATGTACAATCCATAAGAAAAAAAACATTTTTCTGACAATCTAATTGATATAAAAACTAGAAAAATCTTAGTTTGAATTCAAAAGATATCATTGAGACTGAAAATCACTAGACCAAAACTCTAAACCAGTAAGGTAATGAGTAAAATGATATCATTGGTGAACTTTGATCCAGGTGAAAGTTGGCTTGTGATTTTTGAATTAAATATAACCTAGAAAAGAAGTATAGTTGGCTTGTAATCCAAGAACTATTGTCCTCTTCAAAAGAACTAATGTTGTTTATAAAAAGACAGTAGCTAGTATTTCGTTTCATAAGTTTAGGCACTACAAACATTCTATGTTTTGAAAAAGCAGAAACACGAGAGAGAGGAAACAGGAAGCCAAGATGGAAGAAGGTTCAATGCATTTTAATATTTTCTTATTGTTATGACTCGAGGCAAATCTGGTCTTGTGCTTAGTAGTAGAAGTGAGTTTATATATATTAGTTGTAGCCTTTTGAAAGGCTCATGAATTAGAGAACCATTACTAGAAAATAGTTATATTCAAAATTAAAATAGTCTTTTGTTAGCTCGGTTACAGCAGGTGGTGAATTTTTGTTAGCTTAACTCTTGGCAAAGAAAAGATTTGTGTTATTTAACTCTTAATAGAGATGCCCGATGTAACCTGTCGGTCTATGTACATAAGAAAATGGGTAAAAATAAACGTCAGATAGCTTGGAAATAGTGGATTTCTTATTTGAAAATTCAAGTACAGTGTTTTCATCACAAAGGAAAGGACCACCCATATCTCCACACATAAAGGTTTATTAATAAGGTTTTAATTGATATCAATTCCATTTACTTTATTGGAATAGTGCCACGAAATAATCTTTACCTTCTGCTGATCGTATATATCAACTTCATTATATCCTGCAACAAATGTTATGACAAAGAAATTTATTTTTCTTCTTTATCAAACAAAACTAGAATTTGTTAGTCTTAATATATATTGTATTTTCTTCTCTCTATATATAAGATTTTGGATGCGATAATAAATAGATTGTAGAATGTAAACTTACGGAGTATAATCGACGCGGATGTTACCGGCATTAGTATTGGCGATGACCTGAAAAGCGTCACGAGAGAGATTAAGGTCGCCGTTGCAAGGCTCCCGGCAGAAATCAACTACGCTCACGTCTACGGTACGTCCGGTGCACACTCTCGCAGAGCCGTATGTAGCACCAAGGCATCGAACCCTGTACCTCCGACCACAAGCTCCACCTCCTTGCCACAGATTGTTCCTGACTCCAACCACCATCGTCCCACGTTGTGTTCCATAACACGCAGACCCTAAAATCACAACATTGTTTTTTTTTTTAATAAGTGATGTCTAAATATACATATAGATGTATAAAATTGTATATACGCACTAGTGTAGGGAGGATTGTAGTAGACAGCTCTTCCTTGAGCAGCTTCAGCGATTGGAGCTAAGATTTGTGCAAACACAATCACCATCACGACAAACTTTATTACCATTTTCATCATTTTTCTTTGAATAATGTGTTCTTGCTGGTTTGTGAAATAATGAAGCAAGGGTGGAGAGAGTATTTATATGGGTATAGTTGGATTCAAATACTTGTGGAAAAAAAAAGAGGAAAAGTCTTTTAGGTCTACTTCAAGTCTTCCATTATTGATCAGATGGGCCAATTTTTCCTTACTCCCACCTAAAATTTCGGGTGAGTTAAATGAGCATGATGATATTATGAAGGAAAATTCCAAGGAACTAGAGAGGATTTGAACTTCAAGTTTACTTTATTGAACTTAAAGTTTTTTTTGGCGGAGAGAAATGATGAAGATTGATTTTGACAAGCAAAGCTATGTAGGAAATTTCCAAGAAACTATTGAGTTTTATATATGAGATATTAGTCGTAGTTCATAGACGGTTCAACGCAAACCCGATCCATGTTTAGACTGCATGTATTGTGTTTCACATTTGATGCTCAGATAAACAAGAACATAAACTCTCAGATTTTAGGTTCGAAAACTCATTTGTAACGATAAACCATCTGATATTTTTGCTAGTAGTTATAAATAACAAAATCGAGTAAGTAATGCATGTAATTTATATTCCCCCTTCTTTTTTTTAGTTAGGCTAAATTGGATTACATTACATGTGTTTTTTAATTGATTTTTTTTTCTCTTTTAGATCAATTAACTCGGTTTGATCAGATAAGACCTAGAAAATTAGCCAAATGAGGTATGATTGACTAACAAACTTGCTTTTGTTGACATTTCATACTAGAAAGACAAATTTTTCTGTCATGAATTCCAATATTTTGCATGAGGAAAAGGCTGTACGGGCCGACATGGGCCGAACGAGCCCAAATCTCTACATATCACGACCAAACTGGATAAGTAAGAGTATTCGAATCAGTGTGCTCTTACCGAGGAACCTGTGTCTGTCGGCTTGTCGCAATCTCTTTTTGCCTATTGACATGCACATGGGATGTTATTTTATTCACCTATATCAACGATTCAATGGAGAACTATAAAATGACACACGATCATTACAGAACCACCCTTGTGAAGCTTACATAAATAACTCTATTCTGTTACATAAACTAATTTAGATAACTAACACAAAAAGAAGAAGATGATTGCTATGTATAGTCAACCATATGTATCATCTCGTCATCATCATCATATTCATTATCCTAGAATCTTCATCACCATTCACCATCAATACTAATCTATCATCACACCGCCATACATATTTATAATCGGGTCTATAGTCACGCAATATGTTTTCTTTTTACCAACTAAAATATGTTTCTTTAATTCGTGCATTGATATAGAGAATATAATGCTGAAAAATTCTAGATTTTTGAAAGGAATACGGATGACACAAGGACACAACTACTACAAAACTGTGTAGGTAGTGAAACAAAAGATCGGAAAGTAGGTTAAAAATCTATGTTCAGAACGAGTATTTAGATAGTAGCGGTTCCATATGTCTTCAGTTACGAATATTCTTTTCCAAAACAAAAATATTCCATCTTTTCATACTTTTTTTGCTTTTCCTTCAAGATAATATTTAAAATTAACATGAAGTTATTATATAGTTCGATCACATCCGTTAAAAATCCAGACATGGAGCCAAAAAAAATAATCATATTAAAAGTCTTTTATCATATTTTTTTTTTATCGAAGGAGAGGATAAATCCTCCAATTTATTTAACAAAAAAAGTACTACAAAGGAACACGACGTGGGAAGGATACCCCAACTATGTCCTCTAACAATATCGGATTAACAATATCCGAGACAAAATCAAAAAGATGAAAGCCTAATGATAACGAGGACGCATAGTTAGCTAACCCATCGGCAAGACGATTAGCTTCCCTATACACGTGAGAGATACGGACTATCCAGTCCCTTGAGATTAAGCCATGACACAAACATACCAGGAAAGACAAAGGGTTCACTTCACTGATCCCTGATTTGAGAAACCCAACAACTACTTCCGAATCCACTTCCAACTCCACTCTCTGTGATCTCCTCTCCCACGCAATCACAAGTCCATAGTATACACCCCATAATTCAGCAAGTGGGGCAGTACACATCCCAATATTCAGGGCAAAGCCTTGACACCAAGCGCCATTCGCATCCCGGATGACTCCACCTGCATAGGCCAAACCAGAGTTGCCCTTCGAAGCTCCATCTGTGTTAATCTTTATCCAACCCGGATCAGGACATATCCACTTGATCTCTTTCTCCACTCTGGTCCGTTGTAATTGGACGCACGGTGCCCGTTTACTTAACGCCAACGTCACCTCATTCGCTTGATCCTTCACAAACCTCACTCTGTCCCGGCACTTCCCATCGACCTTAAACACGTTGATGCACCTCCACTTCCATCCCCACCAGACCGTGATGGCAAACAGTGTAGCCCATGTTGTGTTCTCAAACTTACTACTATCGCCAAGGCTCGAGTACAACCACTCAAGTAAAGATGCAGCAAAGAACTCTTGGTGTCTTCTCCGTGGAACCAGTCGAAGCCAAACTCCTGCCATTGCAGGGCAATCCCTCAAAATATGGATAATAGTTTCATCTCCTCCCCTACAAACTTGACACATCCCAGAATTGGTTAAGTGTCTCCTGTGCCTCTCGACATTGGTCATGAGCACTTGATGAGCTCCTAACCATAGAAATGAGCGCACTCGCTCCGGTGCAGTCACGCGCCAAATCCTACTGAATAAAGCAGACAAGTCATGTCGAGGTGTATCATCCTTTTGAAGGAGGGAGTAAGCGGAGCACACTGAAAACTTTCCGTCTGAGCTTCCCCCCCAAGACAGGCGATCTCTTGAGCCAGTGACATTGCCGATTACTAGGGCCCGTAGTGACAGCGTCACCATCTCCGGAACAAGCTGTTCGATCTGCTCAATTGCCCAACCGGTCCCGTTCTGCCAATAGTCACACACACGTCGTTCTGTTATGCCGTCTGGTAGCGTTATGCTGCTTAGCTCGCAGAGTGTTTTAGGGAATAACCACTTATCTTTCCAGAAACTTACGCTCTTGCCATCTCCAATGACCCACCGTATCCCTGGGATTACCACCTCTCTTAGTCCCAGACCGATGCTTCTCCAAGTCGAAGACCATGTTCCCTTAGTAATCAACCAGCTCGTGTCATGAGCATCTTTGACCTTGTATTTACTACAGACCACTCGAGTCCAAAGGCTGACGTTATCATGTAATAACCGCCATCCAACCTTTGCAAGCAGCGCCTTGTTCATGGCAGTTGCTGAGCGTATGCCAAGACCACCTTCATTCTTCGGTTTACAGACCTTCGACCAAGCCAAGAGATGTTGTTTCCTCTGTTCTTGTGTGCTTCCCCAGATGAAAGACCTCGAGATCTGATCAATCTTCTCCAAAGTAGACTTAGGGAGCGAAATAATACTCATTGTATGTACTGGTATGGTGGATAACACCCCTCTGGTGAGCGTGATTCTACCTGCGAGGTTCAAGCATTTCCCTTTCCAACCCGTCAGCCGTGAAGACATTCTCTCAAGGATGTACCCGAATGTATCTTTATTGATTCTACGTTGCAAGACAGGCATACCTAAGTACCTTCCCAGGTCCCTTGTTGCCTGTATTCCACTTTCAGCTATGATCAACTTCTCCAAATCACGGCTAACATTTTCAGAGAAGAAGATTTTTGACTTTTCTATACTAACTTTCTGTCCTAAGGCTGAACAGAAACGTTCCAAAACTCTCCTTATAACTTTAATCTGGGAGACTGAAGCTTCCGCAAAAAGAATGAGGTCATCAGCAAAGCACATATGGAAGAGTTGCGGCCCTCCGCGTGATAATCTGATTGGTTTCCACTCTCTTCGAGTCATGGAGCTATCTATCAGATGACAGAGCCTCTCAATACAGAGCACAAATAGATACGGGGAAAGGGGATCTCCTTGTCTAAGACCTTATTTCAGCACAAAGGGATCTGTTTTTTCACCGTTCCATAACAAGTGCATTGACGGACCTCTAACATACAAAAAGTCTTTTATCACATGATCCAAAGCCAAAGCTAAAAAGGGTAAAATACAAAAAGTCATTCATCTCTGAAATTGTCTGATTGCGTCATATTCCTCTTTGGAAATATCTCCGATTAATTTTTTTTCAGTTAACAAATATATCAAATCTTTCCTTGTTTAGCTTTTTCACATTAGATTCTTGTAAAAACATTCACAGGACAGAGACGCCAAAAAATCAAAACAAGAAGAAGAAAAAGTTGAGATTTTTTAAGTTTGCGATGCCTCCGAACAATAATGACCGAATCTCCGGCGAACCACCGTCGACCTCGCCAGCTCCGCCACCGCCAAAGCCGAAAACAAGGATTCTCTCTCTATTCCTCGTTGGTGTTATCATGATTTCAATCTTCTTCATCTTCCTCCTCCTTATCGGCATCGCCTCTGTTCTTATTCTCCCTCTCCTCCTCTCTTCTCTCCATCGCCACCACCGACGCCGTCGTCGTAATCGCCGACACGAATCCTCAGGTGGGTTATCCTCAAGGTTCGTGAAAAAGCTTCCCCAATTCAAATTCTCCGAACCCACCACACGGTACGGGAGCGATTGCGTGGTTTGTCTTGATGGACTCAGACAAGGACAATGGTGTCGGATGCTTCCCGGTTGCGGACACGTGTTCCATCGGAAGTGCGTGGACAGTTGGCTGCTCAAAGCCCCGACTTGCCCGATTTGCAGAGCTAGTGTTAGATTGAAGGAAGAAGAAGAGGCACAAGAAGAAGAATTGTGGAGATGTTTTGGTCATAGAAGACGTAGTTTGATAGATTTGTAAGTGCTCTGTTTTTGTGTTTCAACTTTCAACTATATAATTAAATGGGATTAGATGCTATAATCTTTATTTACAAATGTTTGATTTTGATGGGTTGTTTTTTCTTATAACTCGTTCTTGATGACTTTTCCATTGAGGAGACCAATTGCTTCATTGGTTGCTAGAATCCTTCAAGGTCTTTCGTAAAGATGTAAAAGTTTCGTTTTTTTCAACACGGTTATTGATGAAAATGAGTGTTGATGATCACGTACGTTTTGATGAGGAAGGCCAATTGCAATGAGTGTGTTGTATCTTTTAACAGCGCCTGAGTTATGTCGTGATCAAGAAGTCATCGTTTAGACTTTTCATCCATGTGTGTGTTATTGCTATGGTTTATTGGCCTTGAATTTGTCTAAGGTTTTTGATTTTGGATCATAGGTGATATTGGTGGTTCTGTGACTTGGACTTGGTCAAAATGGATGAGAAGTAACTCCATAAGCGAAGCTACGCGGAGATACAAGCCAAAGACTATTTCCTCCAATAGAAAAGTAGCTGGTCAATGAATCAATCTTGTGGTTAGTAGTATATAAGCAAAGCATATGGGTATTGATCTTATAAACCCACATAATCATTTACAAAACCAATATCCGAGAGCTAGCTTTTCTTTTGTTTCTTTTGCTTGTAACCGATGTCTCGGTTCTTGAATGTTTTAAAGGAGGTTGTGGGTATCTTAAACGAATCCCGCAAACTCTTTCTCAAGAACAAGAAGTTGATGTTCTCTGTCTTGGTGTTCCCTCTCTTGCTCAATGGTTTAGTTTACTTGATTAACGTCTTTGCCATCAAACCGGAGATAACAAAGCTTAATAATGAATTAAGCTTGTTACCCACGGCAGATCCAAGCAGCCCGGAATTCATAGCTCATATCATGAGAATCTTTGCAGATTTTCGCCAACTTGTCGCTTCTTCATACATCTTCTCCACCCTCCATGCAATCATCAACCTTTTGTCCGTTCTAGTCATCGTCCACGCTTCGGCTCTTACTCATAAAGATGAGAACATCAAGATCAAAGAGTTTCCGGTTTTTACTCTTCAATATTGGAAGGGACCTCTTGTGACCTATTTCTACATTTTCCTCTTCACTCTTGGCTATTGGTTCCTCTTCTTTATAATCCTTTTTCCTCTCCTTGTGTTCTCTTCAAGTTTATATTCCTTGGCAGCCAAGTTTGGCGCTTTATGGATTTTATTTGTGCTCTTTCAGTCCTATTTAGCTATCGTTTGGCTCTTGTCTATGGTCATATCGATACTCGAGGAAACTTATGGGATCCAAGCTTTGGGGAAAGCCGCAAAGATTGTTAAAGGGATGAAACTTAAACTGTTCCTTGTGAATCTTTTCTTCGGTTTATTGTCCTTCGGTTTAGCTCAGATCGTGATGCTAGTCGATCTTCAACGTTCGCTTGCGGTTACCTTCACCATCAGTTTGGTCCTTGTGACTTCGATCTTCGCATTGAGTATGTTTCAGCTTGTGACATACACCGTTGCGTATTTCCAGTGCAAAGACGTTGAGTCGCTGAAAGATGTGGAATATACGAAATTATCGTCCATTGCTAGCATATAAATGTATAGCCTCGTTTATGGATTGTTTGTTCGTTTTGGATTTTGGTATATCAGAATAATCAAAGGACTTGTAACAAGACTCTTGTTGAATATCTAATTATCTATCAATATATATTTATCTGTCAGAAACCACATTTCTTTACTTTTCTTTTGACATGCATGCTCGGGTTTCAAGATCGGTATTGTAGCTCTAATTGAATCTCCAAATAGAAACAAAAAAATTCAAGAAAAGTTCCTTTTATCTTTCGGTTTATGATTATCCTTTCTTTTTTTTCCCCTTTTTTAAAGATTTAGTTACTTTTCCTTTATCGATTGTGAAAAGGAATTTAGAACGCTTCTATAAAAGCCAAGCTCATGGCTTCATTGTTTCTCATAATTCAAAGTTAAAACAAAAATAGTCTCAAGGAAATCAAAAGAGTCTCTTGATCGAGCTACAATCCTAGTTTTTTTTCTAGCAACCGATGGGTCTATTTTCGTTCTCGGATGTTCTAAAGGATGTTGCGGGCATGTTAAACGAATCCCGCAAGCTCTCTCTCAAGAACAAGAAGCTGATGTTCTCAGTCTTGAGACTCCCTCTCTTGCTCAATGGTTTAGTGTACTTGTTTAACGTCTTTATCGATAAACCGGAGACAAGAAAGTTGATCAATGAATCAAGTTTGTTCCCCACGGCAGATCCAAGCAGCCCGGAATTCATCCTTCGCGATCTTGTCGTTTCTGCATGCATCTCCATGACCGTCTGGTCCGTCCCATTCATCATCGACCTCGTCTCCGTTATAGTCACTGTCCACGCAGCAGCTCTTGCTCATAAAGATGATAACATCAAGATCAAACACCCTTCGGTTCTGACCCTTAAATCTTTGAAGAGAACCCTTGTAACCAGTTTCTACATTACTCTTGCAAATTCGTTACTCTTCTCCGTTATAATCGTGTTACCTTTCCTTTGGTTCTCTCCAAATTTCCATTCCTCCTTGGTAGTCACGCCTGGTGCTCGATGGAAGCTGTTTGTGGTCTTCAAGTGCTATTTAGTCTTCCAGTGGTATGTTGGTGTCGTTTGGCACTTATCTATGGTCATAACGATACTCGAGGAAACTTGTGGGATCCAAGCTTTGGGGAAAGCTAAAAAGATTGTCAAAGGGATGAGACCAAAACTATTCCTCTTGAATGTTTTCTTCGGATTATTGTCCTACGGTTTAGCTAAGATCGCGAGACAGATCGATTCGGGAGGTTTATTCATGGGTTTAGTCCTTGAGAGTTCGATATTTGCAGTGAGGATGTTCCAGTTTGCGACCTACACCGTTGCGTATTCCCAACGTAATAAGCGCTTCCAAGGCAAAGACGTTGGTCGCCCCACGATGACCAACATACCAAGTTAGCCTCCAATACGCATATTGCCTTGGATATTTCAAGAAGGGCACATATGGTTTAGTCTCTCTGATTTATGCATGGATTTTTATTTTGTTTTGGGATTTTGCAAATTATTATTAATTAATAAATTAAGGTTTGTTTTTTTTTTTTTTTGTTAAAAGAAACTCAATATAGTTTTTTGAAACTCTTCAAAGTATAAAATTACAATGTGATAATAGATAGTTAACAAGAGAATTAAGAATCCCAAATACAAATTATGTAAATCAAGTTCAACTTTCAGATTTTGGGGCTACCACAACAAAAATGCAAAAAGATATACGAACAAGTAGAGAGATTTTAATCAAACAAGTCGAAATATAATGCCAGCTGCATCCTTGCCAATTATTCACATTTGTCAAAGTTCCTTTTATCATTCGGTTTATGCTTTTCCTTTTTCTAAGATGAATTAATTTTCCTTAATCGATTGTGAAAAGGAATGAGAAGGCTTCTAAGCTCATTGTTTCTCAGAATTCCAAGTTAAACAAAAATAGCCTCAAGGAGATCGATAGAGTCTATTTGTCTTGCAACCGATGGGTCTATTTTCGTTCTCGGATGTTCTAAAGGATGTTTCGGGTATGTTAAACGAATCCCGCAAGCTCTCTCTCAAGAACAAGAAGCTGATGTTCTCTGTCTTGGTGTTCCCTCTCTTGCTCAATGGTTTAGTTTACTTGTACAACGTCTTTCCCACCAAACCGGAGAGGTCCACGCCTCCCCAACTTGACGTTTCTTCATGCATCTCCATGATTGTCTGGACCATCCCATTCATCACCGACCTCGTATCCGTTCTACTCATTGTCCACGCATCAGCTCATGCTCATAAAAGGGAAAACATCAACATCAAACATATTCCGGTTCTGACCCTTAAATCTTTGAAGAGACCTCTCATAACCAGTCTCTACATAGACCTCGTCCTTGTTGGATTTTCGTTCCTCTTCGTTATAATCTTCTCTCCTCTCTTTTTGTACTCTCCAAGTTTCAAGTCCTTGTTCGCCAAGCCTGGCCCTTTCCGGTTTCTACTACTGCCCATTCCGTCCTATTTAGGTATCGTTTGGGACTTGTCTATGGTCATATCGATACTCGAGGAAACCCATGGGATCCATGCATTGGGGAAAGCTAGAAAGATTGCTAAAGGGATGAGACCGAAAACTCTTCCTCTTGAACATATTCTTCCGCTTACTGTCCTTGGGTTTATCTGAGCTCTTGAGGCGGGTCGATTTGCGACACTCGTTCGCGGTTACCTTAACCGCCGGTTTAGTCCTTGTGAGTTCGATCTTTGCAGTGAGGATGTTCCGGTATGTGATCTACACTGTTGTATATTTCCAACGCAATAAGCGCTGCCTAAGAATGTGCGTCTGATTTATGGATCGTTTTTTTTTGTTTTGTGATTTGACAATTATTATGATTAAATAATCACAAAGGTTTTTCTTGGCCAATATATTTCAATAATCTCTCATCGTTGGTTAACAATGATCCAAATTTTATATAGCGATTTTCCACTATACTTAGGTAGTTTCCAAACAATTATCACACTTTCTAGCTAACATATAGTAGTAGACAAATAAATATTGGACTCTGTATTGTCGAAACAATATTTAACCTTTCACTAAACAATTACATACTTTAATTTTGCCAAAATATATGGACTCAATTTCAATGATAACGAGACTAATAAAATCTCATTCGCCTAGCAAGCAGCACTAATAAAAATCAATCCAGAACATAGAACATATGCATTGTTGAAAGGAAACAGATCGATTCAGACAAACCAATATATGTAAACCTCAACTAAAATGCAAAAGATAATACGAACAAGTAGAGAGAAATTGAATCAAGCAACTCGCAAAATAAGAGAATCTGGAATAGAAAGAAAAGAACTGATATTTTTAATACAAAAAGTCTTCAATTTCATTAAGACAAAAAACAAAAACCTTAAAAATGTCTCAGAGACGATAAAGAGAATCTAATCCTCAGCAGTAGCATTCTCGCCGCTCTTGACGTTGTGCTTCCTTGCGTACCTCTGGTTCCTCAGGAACTTAGGGTCCATCTGACAACATTTCCACGAAATATTTGAAAAAAAAATCAGAATCCAAATAATAAAATGAAGAACAAATGGAATCGGAATCGTTAGATTGCTTACTCCTTTGGTTGAGGTGTGACGGTGCCTCCTCGGCTTCTTGATTCCGTTCTTATGGGCCTTTGCAGACTGATTGTGCGCCGTGTGATTCTTCGACTTGGCCATCTCTGTCACACAATCACACAAATTATCTATCAATCAATCAATCACCAACGGAGAAACACACACTGAAAAGTCGAGAAATTGGCCGGAGCAAACCTGAGTGAGGCGAGAGAGATCTGCAGAGAGAGGGAGCTAGGGTTTGCAATCGGCGGCGAAACAAGAAGCTAACTTTAATTTATAAGGAAGCTAAATGAATAACTCAAGAGAGCCCTAACAGACCAAATATGGGCCGTTACAATTTTATGTAAAGCACTTAGAAGGATCCATTAAGGCCCAAATCATAGTTTTTGAGTCTTTTGACTAAATTTAAACCAAAAAAAAATCAAAAAGCAAAGTCATATAAAAAAGTTCAAAATTGTTGAGACCGTATTAATATAGCTCAAGGATTCGATTTGAATGGGGTTTGAGGTTTTGTAATAAAACATAAATTAATAAATGATAAATGCGTAAACCGGACATCTCCCCACCTAAAATATAAATATTCAAATTCACTAACCAGATTGTATGAATCCATGTCGACACAACAAGTTACAACTATCACGTGACTTTACAATCTAACCAGATAGATTTGTTTCGTTTGAAGCCAGATATATTGAATGAATAAACGTCTCCATAGTGTAAAAGCGTCGAGGAGAAAAACTTTTGAATAAATTGTCCAAACAATGTAAAAACATTTCACATGCGATTGTCTATGGACAACACGGCAAAATTAAGATGGCACTTTGAATTTCACCCGACATGAAATGATGAAATTGTCACACATTTATTTTTAGTATATATTGATATTATAATTAAGTAGGAGAAAACCCTAAAGACCGACAATTTGGTCAAGCCAAACGAAAAAAAAAAAAAAAAAAAAACACGGGAAAGAAATATACATTTAATTTTGGTTTCACATAATAACGTGTATGAACCCAATTAAATCCGGCCCACTAATTATATAATATCAGCTGTAGTTGTTTTCACATTTATTTACCTAAGAAATTGTAGGACCATCATACAAAAGTTATTGGTGCAAACTGCTCACCCTCTTTAACAACGAAAAAGCAATTCATACTAAATTTTCAATAAACATTATCCAAATGGTGTTTACGATATTGTAAATATCTATTGTATTTTGGAAACATTGTGAATGTTCTAGTTATCAAGAGGATGGCGTAAACTGTTTTGAATGATCATCAAAAGAGAAATAACCTGAATCTCAACAGAAAAAGAATGTTGGAGATTATGAGATACAATCAATAAGGATAAGATATAAATGTTTTGGTTCAATGAATACAATAAAAGGTAAGAATCACATTAAAGTTTCTCTTCAGTGGGATGTTATTCAGAAAATTAAAAGTCAATTATTTTTGGCCAAAATCAAAAATAAATAATTTTTACGCGATAAATTTTTTTATGTTATCTAATAGCATAAAAGAATGAGTCATTCTCCTATTTTATGGTTGAGAATGATTCATTCCTTCGTTCATTGATTTTTTTTATTCCTTTTTTGGTGTTCATTGGTTTTCAATTTTACGATTTTTCATGAAAGATTTCTAAAGTCAAAAAAAAAAAAAAAACATAAAAGATTTATGGGATTAACATACAATATTTTTGGACCAACGCTCATACGTTTCTCTTGTCAGAGTTCCGTGAAACACCTTCCAAAAACAGATTCGAACTAGAACTTCAGAACCTATCTCTTTCGAAAGGAAACAACAAAATACCACTAAACATGAAAAAAATAGGTAAATGCTAAATGCATAAACCAATACTTTCGGGAATGGAAATCGTATTATATTTTTAATACATAGTCGTTTGTGACAATATATATGATTGTTCATATATAAAATCAAGGATCTTTTAAAATCTGGATGATACTATGTTTTATTATTTTTATGGAACGATGCTGCTTTTGTGTTCATATGTAGCTGGCATTTTGTGAAAAACTTTTTGATCATTTTTGTCCGTTTCTATAAAGCTATATATATATACCTTGTTTTTTCTTAGATAATAATTAATAACAAAATAGCGAAAGGACATACTTCGCCAAGGTATGAAAATATTCTCGAGCACATAAGCATTAATCAATAGCGAAGGAAAAAAAGTTATATAAGATGTATTTGAGACGTAAATCATTATAGATGTTCTTCTAGGAACACATACATACGTCTCTTTATATACGTTTGTTGTCTCTATAATCTTATCCAGATCTATATCTAATGTGCCTAGAAAAGTTACTTATAGAAATTAGCTTATGTAAATGAAACCGTAATTTCAACATGAAGTCGTATTTAGTTGCAAATGAGTCAACATGATTCGATGAATCTTTCTTTGGGTGTACATAAGTCTTAATTGGTTTTATAATAAGTTAGTGGTCTGTGTCAAAGTTAGAAATCAATTTTGATTTGATGAATCTTTCTTTCGATTTATTAGCTAAACAATGGTAACCAAATAAAACATTTGTGAAAATTTTAATGTCAATTGTTTATTAACAATATTTTAATCCAGCACTGACCACTTGCTATTATAATCACAATTCTAAACTTTCAATTCGTAGTCCTTTTCGTTTTGTTTAAATTAACAAACGTTGGTAACATAAATAAAACTAAACGTAATAAACAATCTATCATTTGGAACTAATTAACAACGACTCGATTTTTCTACAAGTGAGATAAACGTTTGATTAACATAAACATTGTCAAATTTACGTTCGAGTTTCATTCAATATAGTTGTTGGATTATCTTGAAGACATGTCAGTTTGGTTCGGTTCACATATCAATTATGATGTATTATTAAATGGGAACGTATACGTACAACTAATCCCATTATGCAAATGTTAATCATATAAAAAGGGGATAAAATATAAAATTAAAATCTCCATTTTCTCAACAGCTAAAATCTCATTTTTGGACATACATTTTTTAATAACATGCATAATATTATTGTAATTGGCTGGCCAAAACCGACGGACTTACCCAGTTCTGTTACCTCGACCCTATCCATTGGTGGTATCACTTGCCACGTATTTAGTATTTTTATCATTCGAAATCCACTTTTTATTTACGTGTTTGATCTTCTTCCTTTGCATAGTTGCATTAATATCTCATTTGCTACAGAAAAAATAAACATAAAGGTACTCGAGTTCAATTCATTTAGCAGTGCTTACTTACATAAGTTACCGAATTGCTGATAACTATAGAAACAAAACGAATAAATTTAGCCACTTCTAAACAAGATTTCAACAAATCCTGTTTTTTAGAGGTTACCATATATTTTCATAACATCTGACATCTACGCGATAAAATGTGCCACCTAAGCATTGTAGAGGGACCCATAAATTCAGAGTTAAATGTACCGAACATTTTTTGAAGACTAAAATCCGGCGGCTACGGTCAATTGATTGTTAAAATGTTTCAACGAATTTAACAAAACAAGAAATTGCCATATATAAAGGAAAAAGAAGAGTCAAAAAAAGGAAAAGGAATATTCAAAAAAAAAAGTAAAAAAAAGAGAATGTTTAAATAATTATCCCAAGAGGCTATTAGATAAAGTGGGACCCAAGAAAATCTTTTAGACAACGTGGCTGATCAGATCGGGTCCCTCCAAGACAATGGTTTTCTAGGATTTGGATAAGTCCTCTCCTTTCTTTTTTTTTCTCCCCCACGCCCTTATCTTGTCCTAGAAATTTGAAACAAATCCACCGAAAAAAACAGAAAAAACACCATTAACCACTCATTTCATCTTCAAACTTGTCTTGATTTTTATTTATTTATACTACAGTTTTCCATGTTATGATATTGTTCAAGCTACCATGGAAAATACTTGTCACCCATTTTATTTCGTAATTTTGCTGTCTACGGTTCTTATTTTTTTTCTTTTTTTCTTTTTTTTTTCCTTTTTTTCTATATCTTTTGTTTTGGTCGAACCTTTTTTTTTTCTATTTCTTGTTAACACCTTTCTATTTTCTGACGGCTCTTGTTAGCATTTTGTTCAATTTAATTTCTTAAATCAATACACAAAGTTTTGAAGAGGTGTAGTTTGAATATATAAGCAAATCAATAAGTTCTTTGACGGCAATCCAAGTTTCTTAAACACATGTACTATATTACTCAAGGGTTTTACATTTCATGTTTCATTTTTCTTATAGCAGAACTTCTCTTCCACTAATTATTGAAAGCAGAGGTGGAAATAGTTAGTGCAACTCCTCTATAATTGTATTAGTCCGATTAAAGCTAGCTTTAGTTGTGAGCAATCTCACCTAAAATCCAATCTTCTCTTAAGAAGTTTACTTTTAATTCGATATTATCCATTTTAGGAGTAGAAAAATCATTTTTTTTTTCAAAATAAATGTTTATACCGTTAATCAATTTCAAAACGAATAAAATAGTCTGAAGATTATTTTTGGTCCCTCAAAATAGATCACGAAAGATTTGCTGGTCCAATACAAATCCCTCAAACTTCATAATTTTTTTTCACTCTCCTTTTGGTCCCTGAAACGAAGACAGTAATGCTAAAATTTCATAATTTCCCCCAACTTTTGTTGTCAAAAATAGTTAGATCACGAAAGTTTTGGAGGTGTTAGTTAAAAGTTAGGGGGAATTATGAATTTTTAACATTTGAAACAAAAAAACACTATCAAATGTTCCTTTAAGATGACGCCACGTGTCACCAACTAAGGTCGGCCATCGATGTAAATACCGTTGAAACGAGGAAGAACGGAAGCAAAAGTTTGAAACGTTCCTGGAGGGGAATGGATGAGCTGTCAAACAGTGATTGGCTGACATAGCTGCCGTTGATAGCGAAAGTCTTCCACGTCATCCGTTAAAAAAAAACAACGAAGCACATGCCTCGTGACTTTTTTGCCAATCTCCTCTTCCCACCCTAACACGCCACGTTTCTTCTACATGTTTGCCACGTGGAATTTCGTTATCCACCCACCATAATCGTAAATTCAAATCGAAAATTGTATTTTCTTTATTTACTTAGATAGTTAGATGGATATGAATAGTGGAACAATGTGATTATATGGTTTGGACTGATACAGTTGCGTACAACTGTGCTTTAAAATTATTTGTCTGTATAGTAATCATATAACTTTTCTTAACAGACAATTTTAATCGAGAAAGCTACGACTGTCATTCACTGGAATTAGCTAAGAGAAATGGTTAATTTTGTTGGTTGTTTGTATAATTTGAAATCACTCCACATGTAATGTAACTGGAGTAATAATTATTTTCCCATTTATTCCACATGTATTTCGTTTATTCATGTTCATTTTGTTTCGATGAACATTGGAATAATTTTAGAATATGCTGAGAGATATTTTCCACTAAACAGATTTTATATGCCAAGACAGCTAAAAATATACTAATGTAATCTTTTTGTTTTAATTTCATTTTAGAAAATGTACTTACAGTTGCAACTTACAAGTAATTAATAGTAATATAAAATCTAGAAAAAATAATTTCATTTTTATCCCCAAAATTCATTAGCATTTATAGAAAACTAATATGAGTACAAAAATTCATGGCAGTAATAAAAAGGTGATTTCCCATTGTTGTTTGACCAAAAAAATCTATTTAGTTCCACTGTCCATTTATGTATTTATAAATTTATATGTTCCCTTCAACTTTAAGGTTTGAATCTTGATAGAGTAAGCAACTTTTGTCCAATGCAAATCTAAGTAAATTTAATATCTGTTTCAAGATAATCCACGTCAGCAATAATTGTACATATGAAAATGTATTAGCTGTAAATATTTATTTCCCATTTAAGTTAAAAAAGTGGACATATTATTGGAGAAAGGAGAAGTAAACAGCTCAGAGCAAACTAATCAGTAATCAGTAAGTCGGTTCGAGTTACACACACTCACTCATCCAACGGTTCATGTTAACCAATTATTTCCATCTCGAGAAAATCTCGACCGTCCAAATATTCCACATTGTTTTGTTAAATACTGAGAGATTTATTTTTAAATTTATATTTTCCTCTTTCGTTTCGTTCTTATCCTCACCGAAAAAATTTCCGTTTTTTCTTCTCTTCTTAAATTCCACAATATGGACGCTCTCTTCATCTTCTTCGTAACTACGCATTTCCTTCTCTCGATGTTATGATAAACCCAGAAAAATTCTTGATTCACCAAATCTAAATTCTCTTTCGATATACTCAAGTTTGAATTTTTCGTTTGTTTGAGATATGTTACCGGAATCTTGGAAAGACCAGCTGAGTCTGGTTTCGGCTGATGATTATCGGATCATGGGTCGAAACCGGATCCCCAATGCCGTCACGAAGCTCTCAGGACTCGAAACCAACGACGGAGACGATCCTAACGGCGGCGCGTGTGTCACGAAGCCGAAACGGATCGTGGTCTCGAATCAGCTTCCGATTCGTGCTCACAGAGACATTTCGTCGAACGACTGGTGCTTCGAATTCGACAATGACAGTCTCTACTTGCAGCTCCAAGACGGGTTTCCTCCGGGGACGGAGGTCGTCTACGTTGGGTCTCTAAACGCCGACGTTTTGCCGTCGGAGCAAGAAGACGTCTCTCAGTTCCTGCTCGAGAACTTCAAGTGCGTCCCTACTTTCTTACCCAGTGACTTGCTCAACAAGTACTATCACGGTTTCTGCAAACACTATCTCTGGCCCATTTTTCACTATCTCCTCCCGATGACGCAAGCTCAGGGATCTCTCTTCGATCGATCGAATTGGAGAGCGTACACGACGGTGAACAAGATCTTCGCTGATAAGATCTTCGAAGTGCTAAACCAGGATGAGGATTACGTCTGGATTCACGACTACCACCTCATGATTTTACCCACTTTTCTCAGAAACAGGTTTCACCGGATAAAGCTAGGGATTTTCCTTCACAGTCCATTTCCTTCGTCGGAGATCTACCGTACGCTTCCTGTGAGAGACGAGATCCTCAAAGGGTTTCTCAATTGCGATTTGATCGGATTCCACACATTCGATTACGCTAGGCATTTCTTGTCCTGCTGCAGTAGGATGCTGGGCCTCGATTACGAGTCGAAAAGAGGCTACATTGGTCTTGAGTACTTCGGAAGAACGGTGAGCATCAAGATTTTGCCGGTTGGGATCCACATGGGGCAGATTGAGTCGATTAAGGCTTCGGAGGAGACTGCAGAGAAAGTGAAGGGACTGAGAGAAAGGTTCAAAGGGAACGTTGTGATGTTAGGTGTGGATGATTTGGATATGTTCAAAGGTATCAGCTTGAAGTTCTGGGCGATGGGTCAGCTTCTTGAACAGAACGAAGCGCTTCGTGGGAAAGTAGTGCTCGTGCAGATCACTAATCCTGCTCGGAGTTCAGGTAGAGATGTTCAAGACGTAGAGAAGCAGATTCATTTGGTTGCTGATGAGATCAATGGCAAGTTTGGGAGACCTGGTTATAAGCCTATTGTGTTTATGAATGGACCTGTTAGTACTTTGGAGAAAGTGGCTTACTACGCTATCTCGGAGTGTGTTGTGGTGAATGCTGTGAGAGATGGGATGAATCTGGTGCCTTACAAGTACACAGTGACTAGGCAAGGGAGCTCTGTTTTGGATGAAGCATTAGGTTTTGGGGCAGATGATGTTAGGAAGAGTGTGATTATTGTCTCTGAGTTCATCGGTTGTTCTCCGTCTCTGAGTGGTGCGATCCGTGTTAATCCGTGGAACATCGATGCGGTCACTGATGCGATGATCTCTGCGATCACAATGTCGAACAAAGAGAAAAACCTGCGCCACCAGAAGCATCACAAGTACATTAGCTCTCACGACGTGGCCTACTGGTCGCGTAGCTATGACCAAGATCTCCAGAGGGCATGCAAAGATCATTACAACAAGAGGTTCTGGGGAGTTGGATTCGGTCTTGGGTTCAGAGTTGTTGCGCTAGATCCGAATTTCAGAAAACTCGCTGCGGAAACCATTGTCCCTGCGTATAGGAGGACAAGCAGTAGGTTGATCCTATTGGACTATGATGGGACAATGATGGATCAGGATACTTTGGATAAAAGGCCAAGTGATGATCTCATCTCGCTTCTCAATCGCTTGTGTGATGACCCCAACAATCTAGTCTTTATTGTCAGTGGTAGAGGTAAAGACCCTCTCAGCAAATGGTTTGGCTCTTGCGCAAATCTCGGAATCTCGGCAGAACATGGTTATTTCACTAGGTAGTGCTAAAACCATTCCCTTTCATTATGTCATCTTCTCTCTCATTTGTTCAAAACTAAAACTTTTAATTCTATTGTCACAGATGGAACTGTAACTCTCCATGGGAGACAAGTGAATTGCCTGTGGATTTAAGCTGGAAGAAGATAGCTAAACCAGTGATGAATCACTACATGGAAGCAACTGATGGATCATTCATAGAGGAGAAAGAGAGTGCAATGGTGTGGCACCACCACGAAGCTGATCCTTCATTTGGTTCGTGGCAAGCTAAGGAGCTTCTTGATCATCTAGAGAGTGTGCTCACCAACGAGCCTGTTGTTGTCAAGAGAGGACAGCACATCGTAGAAGTTAAACCTCAGGTATGTATGTATGATCTAATTCGAGATTTTCTGCTTGAAATAGTCATTATTTTCATCATGTTAATGTGAACTTGGTTTTTCAGGGAGTGAGCAAAGGAAAGGTGGTGGAGCATTTGATAGCAACGATGAGGAACAGCAAAGGGAAGAGACCAGACTTCTTGTTGTGCATTGGTGATGACCGGTCTGATGAAGACATGTTTGATAGCATAGTGAAGCACCAAGATGTTTCTCCTATCGCTTTTGCTGAGGTGTTTGCGTGCACGGTAGGTCAGAAACCAAGCAAGGCCAAGTACTATCTCGATGATACACCAATGGTTATCTCAATGCTTAAGTGGTTGGCCTCAGCTTCAGATAGGACAAAGGATAGCGAACAGCAGAACATGTTCACTTTTCAACAGGGACAATGTCGAAATGAAATCATAGATCCTTGAGAAGGGTTTGTTTTTAGATTTTATGTTGTGATATTAAAAGATTTGTTAGGATTTGAAAAGGTTTTAGGTTACAAGAAGGGGTCTCTAGGGTTTGTCATGTATGCCTTTGTACAGAGTATCTTGAACTGGTCAATTGAGTTTACTTGTTGTACCCTTGTGAGATACTTATACATAGAAAAGGAAATAGATATATTGTAATGTGAATTCATTTCAATTTTGTTTCCCCTTCTCAGATGAAGAGAGCAGTGATCTTAAGCTGCTTCTTTTGAATTAAATTTGGAAAGACGACTTGCTCTGTTAAGCTTTTCAATTAGTTTTCAAGAAAGATGTTGACATTGGTTTAGGTTTCACATTATATACTAATCAAATACAAGAGAACAGAGTACAAGATGATTCGATGGTATCATATGTAACAACAAAAGGAGTACAAGTTCATGGATCATACTTGTTAATCTCATAAAACTCAATGTTCTTGTACTTTTGCGAGATAATCTCTGCTTGGACCTTTCTTGCAGTATCTGTAGCACACCCGACAAGAATCAGAACAGAAGTGCCTGCAAATCCTCTGAATGCTGTCAAGTGAGTGATCTGTTCAACCACAGCAGGACCAGCAGCGAGAACAGCCAGAAATGCTGAACCAAGAACCGATATCCGGCCAAGGACCTGATAATTGCAACCACAGCAGTTTGATGATCAACCAAAATGAGTAGTTTGACATATTTGAGGAAGCAGAGAGAGAAAGAGAGAGAGAGGGGGCACTTACGGTTTTGATGAAGAGAGCAGTGCTTTTACCAGGTCGGACTAGAGGAATCGATGCACCTTGTCGTTTCAACTGTTCGCTCACATCGTCCGGGTCAAGTTGCAAGAAAGTGTAGTAGTAGTTGAAGAAAGCTATGAGAAGTATATTGGTTGGAAGATAGAAAGAACCTGCAAGTGAGTTTGTGTGAAGAAAGTATTTACTTCTCTATACCATTGACAAAAAAACGCTTCAAAGGACTCTCACCTCCAGGGGTCAAAGCAAAAGCAACATTCTTCAGAGCAGATATGCCTGTAAACCGCGCTAGAGTAGCAGGAAGAGCGAGAGACGATGTCGAGAATATGATTGGCATCACACCAGCACTATTGACCTTGAATGGAAGATAAGCAGATTTCTGTAGCCCACCGGCTTTGCTTGTGTATCTCGACGCATAATTCAGCGGAATTTTCCTCTCTGCTTCCTGAAAGAAGACTTAAAGCTTGTTAGGCTCTAAGCACACCAAATGAACAGAGCTTGTTTACTTACAGTTAACAAGTTAGTTTACCTGAACATACACAATACCAAGTACCAAGAGGAGAAACGAAACAACAATGGTGGCGAGACCAGTATAGTTTCCTTCCTGTAAAGCCTCCGCTGCTGTTCTACCAAACGATGCAGGCAAGTAAGAGATGATACTGGTGAATATCAAGAGGGAAGTGCCGTTTCCGAGTTTCAGATCAGTGATTCTCTCTCCGATATAAGTAGTGAGAACGGAGCCGAGCGTTAGCAACGTGACGGAAGAGACAACCCATTCAGTGCTGAAGTCATTCACGTAAGGACGAAGGTAGAGCACTTGTCCAATTGCCTGCACTATCGCAAACCCTACTGAAGCGTAACGAGTGTACTGAAGAATCTTCTTCCTCCCAGCTTCACCTTCTTTCTTCTGGAGATCTTGCAGCTTTGGATAGACTTGAGCAAGAAGCTGAAACACAATCTGGGCGTTGATGAAAGGGACGATCCCTAGAGAGCATATACCAAGCCTGCCAATGCCTCCACCGGAAAATGTATCCAATGTGGTCAACAAGCTGTTCTGGTCTAGATTCCCGACGAAGGCTTCTCGGTTGACTCCACCGAGCGGTATGTAGATGCCAAGACGAGAGAGAGCTAAGAAGCCAAGAAGCTTCAGAAACTTCCCTGGTAATGGTCCTTTGAAGAAATCTCCAAAATCAATGGAACTGTCCTCAATAGCAGCTGACATATAATGCAAAGAGTAAGCACCATCTAATGTATGTAATGTAAGCAGCTAAGCTAAACAGACCTGCCACGCCACGACCAGAAGACGGTTTATCTCGTTTGGTACCGGAGGAGCTCTCAAATGGTGGAGAAAGAAGACTCACAAATCCATCCAAAATGCTACTCAGAGTAGATGTTGCGTCTGGTTTGATCCCCAACGGATCAAAAACAGAAGCCTCAGAGCTGAATAGAAACTCCAATCAACAAACAATGTACAGTGAAAGTGAGAAAGCAGAACCATTTCTTGATAAATTTTGCTATGAACAAGCCACAAGGGATTTAAAACCATCAAAAGCTCTTGAAATTTCAATGCTTTTAGAGCACTCCATAACTTAAATTCACACTAATTGGTCCTGAGAAAATTCACATATTTTCAATACTTTTATATAAAGCAGGAGATTTCATTGGAACCCATTTGAGATAAGATTTGAAATCTCAAGAGAAGAAGTACCTTCTAGAGTTGATGACAAGACCGAGATTCCATGATTTGGCTTTACAATTGTTCCTGGTCTTTGTCGAAACGGAGAAGCTTGCTCTGTCAAGTGAAGAGCTTCGTAGTCTCGAAGATGATTTGTGGTTGAGACGAGAGAGAGACGCCAAGTTTGAAGAGGAACAGTAAGAGGAAACTTCGCTTACCGTTATCATCCTTATCCTTCTTCTTCGTCTTCTCCAGTCGAACGATTTCTTTCTTTCTTTTTCTTTTTCATTTTCATTTTCTTTTTCTTTTTTCAAGTTTTATGTTTTTGGTTTTTTCTTATGGGCCTTGTAGAGCCAATATATGTTTTATAAATCAATCTTTCTGGTTTTGGGCTTTTCACTTTTGTTTCTAGTCTACAAACTTTTCTTCAGCTCAATTATTTTTGCTACATTATTATGTTACTGTTTATTTATTTGATAAACATTTTCACTAAACTAATCGTCCATACTGGGATGTTTCCCACTGTTTTGTATATGTGATTTTAGTTGAATTCAAGGGTATTCGGCTGTACAAAGCGTGTAATAAGAACAAAAAGGATTATGCGATATGGTGGAGCATCTTATTATGTGATTTAAATCATACTAAATTATTGCTTTGAAGATGTTTACGTGAGTGGGTTCCTTCTTCGTGGCGATACCACAGTAAAGACAATTAATAAGCCACTTAGATCGGAAAAAGGAAGAAAAAGATGTCTCTCTCTAGTGCTTTACTTGAAAAGAAGAAAGTAAACTATGACACATTTTGAAATGCTATTTAAATCTCAAGTTTGAAATTATTAGCTATGTCTTGTTTTATGACATGGATATTCTAGAAGGAGTATGTGAGACTTGAGAAAGTACATTAAAAGAAGAAATTTATAAAATGAAGATAATAAGTTACAAAAGAAACAGAAGACCCAACCAGATGATGTGGTTCATGCCATGATAGGAAGTGTAGCTTTCACTGACAAAGTACACAATTCCTAATTGGTGGGCACTATTTAACAGCGTGGGGCCCATTCTGCGAAAGATCCACTAATTTCTTATTGGTGGACCTCATTTTTCTAATTCGTTTTAACAATTTACGTTGGCGCCAAACATATTCACTTGTTCAATTACGAAAACGCCACTTCCTCTTTGTAAGCATAAAAATATCAATGTTTTTATTTGTTTTACCTGGAAAGTGGAAAATATTTCTACATATGTAAAAAAGAAACCAATAATGCTGTGAAATCCAGTAATTCTAACCAAAGAAACCAAACACATTCACCAAAAAAATATCCACCAATGGAAACATTTTCAAAGGTTGTTCATATAAAAAAGGGAAACAATTTCAATATGATAAATGACATTAGATCTTTATCCTAACAATGTCTCAGTTAATTGTTCTGATATGGTTTTCTAGCATAATTTTAGTTGTTATAAAGATATGATGATAAAGTGGAACAAAATCCAGAAATTTACTGTTGATTTTATACACTTCAAAAATATCTTTGACCTTACTCAAATAAAATATCGCACATCTTAAAGACATAAAAATATGTCATTCATGATTCAACTGTATATTGCAATAACAAATGTTATTAGCTGTGTTTTAGGTCAATGTGATATAAAAATTAGAGAAAATTTAAAGTTCTGTAACCGAATAGCTTTCATTAACAAAAGATTTTGTCAAATTTTTGTGGTCTATAAAATTAGAAACCAAAGATCTTATGGAAATGAAGAGAGTGGCAGTTTTGTGAATTAGCTGTGCTAGATGCGACGTCACATGAAATCCAACCGTGTAATTCTTTTTTTTTGAAAAGTATATTTTGCATTTAATAAGTAATTCTCAAACACGTTTTCTTCGCTGTCTTCGAAATTAAACATTTCACGGAGAAAAAAAAAGAAAAGACAAACAGACAAAACATACAAACTGTCAACGAAGATTTTATATTGGTTGATTTGAATCCACAGAGGAGAAGAGAAAAAGGGCAAAAACCCAGTCGTCAATATTCAAATCAAAATTCTCTCTTTTAATTTATTTTATTTTTGTTTCAACTCCGATTTTGATTATCTGGGTTTCGAATATTCCTCCTTTTTCCTCCAATCAAAGGACGAAAAGCAATCACCTTTCATTTTTCTCTGTCTTCCCTGTCAAACAAAACAAATCTTCTCCGGCGAGAGTAATGGATGCGCCGACAGAGAAGTTCGTGCCTTCATGGCCATCGACGGCGGATTCCAAGGCCATGAAAGGTTGTGGGCTGGCAAATCTGACGTGGGTCGGTGTCGACAAGGAGGAGCTTCGTCAGAGGCTGATGATGCCTGAATACCTCCGTCTGGCCATGCGTGACTGTATCAAACGGAAAGATTCCTCCGCTATTCCTGACCATTTGCTCCTTCCCGGTGGCGCCGTCGCCGATATGGCCCCTCACGCGCCAATGGTTGTGTTCATCAACCCCAAAAGTGGTGGTCGTCATGGTCCTGTGCTCAAAGAGAGGCTTCAACAGCTGATGAGCGAAGAACAGGTTTGTCTTACTACTCAGTAACTTCATTTTGTTTTGCAATTAGATTACGGCAACAAAAAAGTTGAGATTTTTGTTATTGTGTTTACAGAGGATTTGAAATCTAATTTATATCTATTTATGTGGTTAGATTGTTAACGCAATCGGCATGATCTATTGCGTATGACTTATGGGTTTTGGTTATATGTTCTGTCTTGATCAGATCTCTCTGTTATTCTTAGTTATTGAATTATATTACTTAAAGTGTTTGATTTAGGTTGTTCTTGCTTAGTTGATGTTGGATCTAGTTGTTTGGTTCGGTAGGGAAAGTTGATTTTTTTTTAATCTTTTTTAATTGAAATGTTGAGAGTTGACTTCAAAGATAGAACCTTTAGAGTATTTTGGAAGGCTGTGTTGTTGTTGTTTCTGTTATCAAGAATGTAAATTATTTGGAGTTTTGTGTAAAGTTTTGTAATTGGTGATTTATGTAAATGCTACAGGTGTTTGATCTGACGGAAGTGAAGCCACATGAGTTTGTAAGATATGGATTGGCGTGTTTGGAGACAGTGGCGGATAAAGGAGACGAATGTGCAAAAGAATGCAGAGCAAGGTTGAGGATTATGGTGAGTAGTACTAACCTCAAATCTCAGGTTTTCTTTAGGTTTTAGATGTTTGAATGTGGAGTTGAATTTGGTTCAATAGGTTGCAGGAGGTGATGGCACTGTTGGTTGGGTTCTTGGATGTCTCGGAGAGCTTAACAAAGAGGGAAAGCTACCAATTCCTCCTGTCGCCGTTATCCCTCTCGGTACCGGAAATGATCTTTCAAGAAGTTTTGGTTGGGTGAGACTGAGAGAGTCTTTTCTTCTCTCTTTATGTTACTTTCGCTGATGACAAGTCTCTTGAATTGTGAAGTTGAATATTTGTTTTGTGTTGTTGTTCTTCAGGGTGGTTCGTTCCCTTTTGCATGGAGATCTGCGGTTAAGAGAACACTCCACCGTGCAAGCATGGGTCCAGTTGCTCGACTAGACAGGTAAAAGTCTTGTTTGCTCAAGAACCAGTTAGCTTTGATTCTGTTTGTTCTGTCGTTAAAATGTGTGTGCTTTGGGCTATATATGGTGTTGCAGCTGGAAGATTTTGGTGTCAATGCCATCTGGAGAAGTTGTGGATCCTCCTTATTCGTTAAAACCAGCTGAAGACAATGAGCTTGATCAGGTTTGGCTCTATTTCCCTTAGGTTTGCTTCTTCTTCTCATTGAATCACGTGGCTAGCATTTAAAGCTGGTCTCTTTCTTGTGGTTTTCAGGGTTTGGACGCTGGAATAGACGCGCCTCCAATGGCAATGAATTACGAAGGCGTGTTCTACAATTACTTAAGCATAGGTTTGATCAACTTTCTTCTTCTTCTTCCTCTCTGCTGATATCCCTAACAAACATCTTTATTTGACCAAGGTTTTACGTGTTTGTTTAGGTATGGATGCTCAAGTTGCATATGGCTTCCATAATCTTCGCAACACTAAACCGTATCTTGCTCAAGGCCCTATTTCAAACAAGGTTTGTTTACATATCTTCAGCCGAAACTTAGAATCTCCTCCTTATTTGTCTTTGTTAAAGCTAAACTGGCAACGTTTGCTTTTGCAGATTATTTATTCTGGTTTTGGCTGCACTCAAGGTTGGTTTTGCACGCCTTGTGTCAGTGATCCAGGTCTAAGGTTCGTTATTTCTGCTAATGATTGTGTGCTTTTAACTCTCTGCCTAGCTACTTGTTGTGTTGTTGACCTGTTGTTTGTGCTGTTTGAAACTGCAGGGGACTAAGGAACATAATGAGAATCCACATCAAGAAGGTTAACTGCTCTGAATGGGAAGAGATTGAAGTACCGAAAAAGTAAAAAGAACAGCTTTACACAATCTATGATCATAATAATGCCTAAAAACCTGATTGCATTGATTTTCTATTGTAGTGTGAGGTCAATTGTGGCATTGAATCTTCAGAGCTATGGAAGTGGAAGTCATCCTTGGGGTAACTTAAAACCGGACTATCTAGAGAAGGTATTGTCTCTGTTTCTGTTTCAATAACTCTTTATCTTTGACGTTAATCAGAATGGTGTTTCTGGTTTTTGTTCTCAGAGAGGATTTGTGGAGGCACATTGTGATGATGGTTTGATAGAGCTTTTCGGTTTCAAGCATGGTTGGCACGCGTCGTTTGTCATGGCTGAGCTCATCTCTGCCAAGCACATAGCTCAGGTAACTTGAGAAAAACAACACACGGTTCATGCAAAAATCACAAAGCTTTGGTTAGATTTTGTACTGAAAAAGGTTTCATTTTGGTGAACTATATAGGCTGCTGCGGTTAGGTTTGAGCTGAGAGGAGGTGATTGGAGAGATGCGTTCTTGCAAATGGACGGAGAGCCATGGAAGCAACCAATGAGCGCAGAGTATTCGACGTTTGTGGAGATCAAAAAGGTTCCTTTTCAGTCTCTGATGATAAATGGGGCTTGATCATCGCTGCCACTCAAAGCTGGATTCTTTTGTAGAAAAGCTAATTGTTTTTTGTGTATTTGGTATTTGATCAGTGTAGTCATCATAGATATAGCCTAAAGGCTTCTTCTAGTCTTTATTTCATTTTCTTTTGAATCCGAGAGACTTGTGACTTTTGATAATCCTCTACTTGTTGTTCTTATTGTAAATCTTGTGAGAAATGAAAGTTTGTGCATTTATAAGCATATATGAGACAAATCTTTGGTCAAGTTCAATGCTTTCTTCATTCTTTGTAACTTGAGAGCTTTTAGCATAACGTTTACAACTCTATATTCCTCTTTTACATTGCAAAGACACAAAATGAGCCAAAAGAGCGAACCTTTGTTGGGTTTTATTCAGAGTCAGAGTAAAAATTCGAAAGACGGAGAAAGAGATTTTGCTCTTTTATTGGTAGGGATGCTGCAGAGAAATTTGAATATGGGCCTAATAGTCGTATTATTTTGTATGGGCCGAAAATTTAAATTTGGAAAGTTCTACGAGGACCGAAAAAGAATTTGTAAACAGCGTACATATGTTTGAGTCGCGTCTTGATTTAGGGTTTTAGAAGTTCCTCTCTCAGAGATTTGTTTTCTTCTCCGAAGCTTCAGAGAGATTTCAAACGTCGGCAGCCATGGCGAGCACGAAAGTTCAGAGGATTATGACCCAGCCTATCGTAAGTTCCCTTGCATCGTCTCTTTTTGTTTGTTCTCTCTTGTCTTCGTCATCCTAATTTCGGATTTTGCTTTGTTTTCCGGTGGTTTCGCGCGGCTCCAGAACTTGATTTTTAGGTTTCTCCAAAGTGTAAGTTCGCTGCTTAATTTCTCTTCATTCTGAGTTTTGCTTTGATCAGGTTATTTAATTCCGTCTTCTGATTTGTGCTCACTGTCTACTGTACTTGTGTTGCAGAAAGCTCGGATCCAGATTTGGCTATTTGAGCAGAAAGATTTGAGGATTGAAGGAAGAATCACGGTAAGTCATATTTCATTCTCTCTTGCGCTAAGCATTCTACGCTATGAGTTTGTTGATAATTGAGCTCCATAAGCATGAATTGGTGAAATTCCCTGGTTTTGTTTGTTTCTTTGAAATATCGATTTGGTTTTGTAAATCTCCGGAGGGTTTAAATGTATCAGCACTGTGAGTATCTTTCTTTAATTAGTCATTCGAAAAGAATATAGTTAGCTGAGTCATGGATTCGCAGATGGATTGTTGACATTGTCACTGTAGCTACTGCACAAAGCACTGATAAACGCCTGTCAATAGAAGAAACTAGATTTGTTCTTAGGGTTGCTATGTACTTGTATTGCATAGATTTTCTTCTTCTTGAGCTGAGATTGATGCTTTTCTTATGTTGGCTCTGTGTTAAATTCTGAATAACCTGAGATGTATGATTGTGTCAATCTCATTGGTCTATAAACTTGGAATTACCTACTTGACATTGGCCTATACTTCTATTCTTCTCGAGTCAAGATTGGAGCTTTTCTTTCTTAGGTTGGTGCCATGCTAATGCGAAGAAGCTTGAGATGTTTGGCTGTGTCATTCTCATTAGCTTAAAATTTAGCCCGGAGAAACTTGAGATTTTGTGACTTTGTCTATTCTCATTGGTTTATAAACTTGTAGTTTGTCTACTTGACTTTATGAGTGTGTGTCATTGATTCATTGTTTCGATTTCTCGATTTGCAGGGATTTGACGAATACATGAATCTAGTGTTGGATGAAGCTGAAGAAGTGAGCATCAAGAAGAACACCAGGAAACCACTTGGTGAGTTTATCCTTGACTCACTCTTTTGATAACAAGTCTCAGTCACATGTCTTGATTTTGTTTACTTTATGGTTCACTAACTCGTGTAAATTACCTATTTTCAGGAAGGATATTACTCAAAGGTGACAACATCACGCTGATGATGAACACGTAAGTAACACAACCTCTACTTTGTCCTTTGATGTAAACTTTGGTTATTTGTCACTTACAAGTTGCTGAAACACCATCCATTTCTATGTTAACAGGGCAAAGTGAGAAGCCTGTCTCAAGAAACTCTCTCGTGAATTTGTAGTAGATCGAACTTGACGATGATGCTTTCTCTTTCAATATCGTATAATATTTGCAGTGTATTGACAACTTTATGAAGATCGAATCTAATGGATTTTCTCTTTTGGCCCTTATGGGTTTTGGTGACTTGTTGTAGTGAGGAGTTTCCAATTACTTAAAAAGAGCATTATTCTTTCTGAAAGTGTTTCTTATATGCTTTAGATAAAAATGGGTTTGTTTCATAATCCATTAAAAATTGTGTGTAATTTGATTTATATTCGCTGCAACTTTCCAACCATCTTTTAAAAGTAGACAACATTGAATTGGAATTCGTTCTTGTAATTTATCAATTTTATTTGTTTGATAAACCGACTAAACTGGCCATTAACAGGCTCAAGTAGACTGAAGATAGTTAATATAGTAGTCTCCCAATTGATATAATCTGTCGAGTAGCATTTAATAAATGAATAATTCCATACGAACCAAAACTTTTCCATTGCAATTAGATATTTTAAATTCATGTACTCTAATATTATATAACACATGTTGAATCTTATGCCTAAACTTGCTATTGGTGATATGCGATGTATTTTCTATTTTGTACCTTTTAACTCAAATAATTGTTCTTTATACAAACTAGACAGAGTATTATTTTTTTATATAATCAACTTTAGAATAAAGCATGTGCTAAAAATACATACACTAGCCGCCGGCCCATCACTGTCGACCAATAGCCGAACAACAAAGTGGCGGCAACGTGAGCTCACTGTGGTCTTGCCCGCACCAGATACTTGTCATAATTTACTAAAACCAGTCAAAGTACTCGACTAATCCACATAGATAGACAAGTAAAATTAGTTTGATCTTCTTAATTACTTTGGATTGTTTTTTCCTCTCTATCCAAACCAAACACCATTTCTAAGGTATTTTTTTTCTCTCTCTCTCTCTCTCCTTCGAATCGAATTTCAGTTTCTCTTCCGTTTATTTTTCCTTTCCTCAAAACGTTTGTGAAGAAGCTCAAATAGAAATCAGGAATCTTGCTTTGCTCGGTTGGTTTTTGTTGCGGTGATCAATTGATAAAAGTGGGAGATTTGAGAGCTGGATTCGAAACTGGTGAAGTGTTTTGCTTGTCTCGATCTTACAGATCAAAAAACTTTGGAGCTTCTAGCAGCGGAAATTTAGGGAGAAAAACAAGATGCAGACGAGGTATATGGAGAGGACTAATAGTATGAGAGAGAAGAGAAAATTGGAGGAAGATAACAGTAATAATCAGCAACCGGAGCGTAAACGACCAGCTCTTGCAAGGTACTCTACAAAAGCCCTTTGATTTGTTTGTTCAGATTTTCGCTTTTCAAAATTCAAATTTTTTATTGATAAAGGTAGAAGCTTTATAGTTCTGTGAAGGAAAGAGTTTTGTTTGAATAATTAGATTTTGATTTGGATTTGAGAGGAAGTTTATGTGTAAATTTGCAGTGTAATTGTGGAAGCCTTGAAGATGGATAGTTTACAGAGGCTTTGCTCTTCTTTGGAACCGATTCTTCGCCGAGTGGTAAGCTTTTTTGTAATTCCTTTTGGTGCTTTTTGGTGCTCTGTGGCGTCCCTTTTAACGTCTTGTGATCATTGTCTAATCAGGTAAGCGAAGAGGTGGAGCGAGCATTGGCGAAACTTGGACCTGCAAGACTTAGTGAAAGGTAACATACGACAACTCTAGAGAATCAAATGATTTTGAGTGATTGTGCTTCTTACTTGATGCATGAGTTTCACAGGTCGTCTCCTAAACGAATCCAAGGCGTTGGTGGAAGGAACCTGCAGCTGCAATTCAGGTCAAGACTGTCTGTTCCTTTGTTCACCGGAGGGAAGATAGAAGGAGAGCAAGGAGCTGCGATCCATGTCGTGCTTTTTGACGTGACTACTGGACATGTAGTGACAGTAGGACCTGAAGCTTCCGCGAAGCTCGACGTCGTTGTGCTTGACGGTGATTTCAACAACGAGGACGACGACGACCAAGGCTGGAGTGGAGAAGAGTTTGAGGGTCATTTGGTGAAGGAGCGACAAGGGAAGAGACCTCTCTTGACCGGTGACTTGCAGGTCACGTTGAAAGAAGGCGTGGGGACGTTGGGAGAGCTTATCTTTACAGACAACTCGAGCTGGATAAGGTGCAGAAAGTTCAGGCTTGGTTTAAAGGTCTCCTCTGGTTACTGTGAAGGGATGCGTGTGCGCGAGGCAAAGACAGAGGCTTTCACTGTCAAGGACCACCGTGGAGAGTGTAAGTTGCTCGCTTTCTTTCTCTCCATTCTCGATTTCTGTTCTCTGATCTCGCATTCAAAAAGCTTGTCTCCTTTAAAACACAGTGTACAAGAAACACTACCCGCCTGCTTTGGATGATGAGGTCTGGAGGTTGGAGAAGATTGGAAAGGACGGAGCTTTCCACAAGAAGCTGAACAAAGCAGGGATCTACAATGTCAAAGAGTTGTTGCGCCTTATGGTCAAAGACTCTCAGAAGCTACGGACTGTAAGTGCTTCGTAGAGATGTTGTTCATCCTCGTTGATGACTGGTGACTAATGCTCTCAAGTCTTTCAGATTCTTGGGAGTGGAATGTCAAACAGGATGTGGGAGACACTTGCAGAGCATTCCAAGACATGTGTCTTGAGCGAAATGCTTTACGTCTACTATCCTGAAGACTCGGTTGGTGTAGTGTTCAACAACATCTACGAGTTCAGTGGACTCATCTCAGGGAAGCAGTATTATCCTGCTGATTCTCTTTCCGACAACCAAAAGGTTCGCTTTTGCTGATGAGTCTTGTTATAGGTTTCTCAAATTGCTATAAAAATGTTGATATACATATATGTTAAACGCAGGGCTATGTGGATGGATTGGTGAGGAAAGCTTATGAAAACTGGGATCAAGTGATTGAGTATGACAGCAAGTCACTCATGAACTTCACTCAAGTGAACAAAACGGATGCTTTGGATTACTCCATGCCGGTTTCAGTTCCAAGCCAACCTTCTACATCTTATTCTGACGTAACTGGTGAAGGTAGAGAGAGTTATTTTGGTTCTTTTAATTCTTGGTTCATTAGCCACATAGTACTTCTAATTCTTTGTTCTTTTGGTTGTTTTGTTTTTTTTTATCAGCTTCAAGTTTTCTTGCTCAGTCTCAGCTAGCTGATACCAGCTCTTACATGCACTACGGAGACGCTGCATTTGCACCGCAAGAGCAGCTGCTTAACAACACTCACGAATCACAAAGCATGATCAACAGCAACGGCGGTGTGAGAATAGGGCTTGGTCCATCGAGAGGACCCCAAAGCCAGCTTCCTCCTGAGAGTAATAACTCTTTCAGTGATTGGGGGAACACAGGAAACAACGGAGGAGGTGATGGGTTTTTAACTGAGGAAGAGATTAGGCTAAGAAGTAACGAGATGCTCGAGAACGACGATATGCAGCAACTGTTGAGGCTCTTTAACATGAGTGGTGGTGGTGGTGGTGGTGACCAGCAAACTCCGATGAACATGGCAGGAGATGGTTTTGGGTTCCATTCTTTTGGTGAGTCTTGTTCCATGGAGGAGGGCCGTTCGCATTCGGGTAAGCCTGTTGTTGGATGGCTAAAGATCAAAGCAGCCATGAGATGGGGCTTCTTCATCAGGAGGAAAGCTGCTCAGAGAAGGGCACAGATTGTTCAACTCGATGAAGACGATGACGAATAGGTTGAAAACACAAGTCTCTGAGATGCTTTGTTAAACAGTTTCCCAGAAGAAGAAAGGTCTTTTTGTTTTGGTTTTTCTTCTTTTGTATAGTATAAGCTTTTTATCATCTTCTTCTTGCTTGTGTGTGTTTATATTGTCATCTCTGTTTGAGAGATTCAAGAAACTTAAACCTCGTGTAATTCTTGTTGCTTCTTTTCTCTCTTGTGTCTGTGTGTGTGTTCTTTGTGATTTTCCTTTTGGGAAGATTTTTATAACAAGGTGTGAATTTTGTCTGAACCAGTAAAGTTCGGTTTAGTTTTTGGTCCAATTTGATTATTTAACTTCCAATTTAATCGATTACACTAACCAAAACTCCATTCTATGCGTTGACTAACGTTAATTCATGTTTGTTTGGGATCTGACGAAAATACCCTTGGTTTATTTCAAAATATACGGTCAGGCCTCTCTCTGTTTCATCTTCACTACGACTCTCTCTCATCTTCACGGAGAACAGTTTTCGCCGGCTTCGTCGCCTCCGTTCATCACCGACGTGCCCATCTTCGGCTGCTGCCGTGTTTCTCAGCAGTGAGTTCCGACTCTATTATGTTCCTTTTTTTTTTCTTCTTTTACGGTATCTTCTCCCAGCTTTCGCTGTAATTCTGGATCTAGGTTTTATAATTCCTCTTCGTTTTGCTTGGCATTCGTTTTCGTGATCCGCAATTTGCCAAAGTATTAGTAGTTTTACGTTTCCTTATTGTTTGCGATCTGGATTTTGTAAGCATTTTGGAGAATTTGTTCGCCAATCAAGGAAAACAGTGTTGGAATCAAAATTGTGTTTTTTTTGTTGATCGGTGAATAATTGAGCTTCGTCGTAAATTTTATTTTGAAGATTGTAGAAAATTGTTCTCTTACTCATAGACGAGAGTCGAGAGGTTTATAATGCACAAGATCTGTTCGTTAGAATGCGTGAAAGAAGCTGATAATTACATTGTTTTGCTTTGTATCTTAAGATTTGTGCTTCTTGTGATTCGTTCGAGCTTAGTTGCTGTAAATCGTTATGTTTTGGAGGCAGAGGAAGCGAAAACCGGAGGGGGAAACAAAAAGGAAATGGAAAACTTGGAAGGCTTGCAAATTCTGGCGGAGCAGTGGTTGCATCAAGGAATTGAATTTGTTCAAGAGATACCACCGTCTCAGCTTTACGCTGCTATTGGTGTTGTGCTGTTAACCACCGTCTTGTTCTTCTCTGGTAAGTAGTAGACATGACATTTCTTCTTCTTCATTGATCATGGTTTTGAGCTGTACATTAGGATCTTGATTTTTGGATATATAAAACTTCAATAGTTGTCCTCTGTGCTCTTGGTTTACAAGTGTTATTTCCAGTTTTTGAGGTCTATGCAACACCTAACTTGGTCACTTTTGCTGCTCTCTGTAGCTCGCTTGTTCAGACGTACAAAATCCAACACTGTACTCCTCTCCGGGCTAACCGGAAGTGGCAAAACAGTGCTCTTCTATCAAGTGAGTATAATTATGTTCCTTTCCTCATTCGAAGAATGGTTTTTGATTTACATTTTGTGAATGGTGACAGCTTCGAGATGGATCTTCGCATCAGGGTGCTGTAACGTCAATGGAACCGAACGAAGGCACCTTTGTGCTCCACACTGAAACCACCAAGGTAAAAGAAACATCTTTTTTTTTTTGCTTTGGCTTTGTCCAAGAATTGTAAAAGTGTTTTCTCACCTACTCAAGCAGACTCTGCCTTGTGTTTGACAGAAAACAAAGCCTGTTCATCTTGTTGATGTCCCTGGGCACTCTCGGCTTAGATCTAAGCTAGAAGAATACTTGCCTCGAGCAGCCGTTGTTGTGTTTGTGGTCGACGCATTGGAGTTCCTCCCGAATTGCCGTGCTGCTTCAGAGTAATGAATTGCTTACTGCTTACTGCTTACTGCTTACTGCTTTAGGCATAAGGTGACTCTTAGAGATGGAACCCTTAAACATTGGCTTTGTACTTAAACTCTTGTTCTCCAGGTACCTTTACGACATTCTGACCAATGCGAGCGTGGTTAAGAACAAGATCCCGGTCCTGCTCTGCTGTAACAAGACGGATAAAGTAACTGCCCACACAAAAGATTTCATCCGCAAGCAGATGGAGAAAGAAATGTAAAAAAAAAAAAGAAGAAGATTGGTTCTTTATCTGTTTCTAAATCGTTAGATGAAAGCTCTCATCTTATGTTTGTTTTTTTCTGCAGAGAGAAACTTAGGGCTTCGAGGAGCGCGGTATCAACAGCTGATATAGCTAATGACTTCACGCTCGGGATTGAAGGAGAAGTGTTTTCCTTTACGCATTGCTTAAACAAAGTCACGGTCGCTGAAGCATCTGGATTAGCAGGAGAAACTGATCAGGTTCAAGAGTTCATCAGAGAGTATGTTAAGCCGTGAGAGCCGAAATGTGTAAGCTTTCAATCATACACTTAAAGACGTCTTTTCTTGTACATGAAGGTTATGATTTGTGATAATATTTGTTGGGAGGATTTTGGATGTTGAAATCTTGTTAGGGCCTCTTAGAGTGAGGTTGGTTTATTGACTGAATCTTGTAGCGTCTTATCCAAGCAACCTCATTATCATTAGGAAATGACTTTATTGATTTGATTTTAGTCATAAGTTTAGCGTGACAACAAAATTACTGAAATGTGTATAGCTAAAAATTTTGCTAAAAATCACATACGCATACGTATGAACGTATGATGATAGAAACAATAAAAGGCATGGCGGGAAAGAAGAAAGAAATAAAACTGTTTTTAAATGGTTATAGAAAGACCGTTTATCACGAAAAAGGTTAATCAAAAGGTTAGCGAATGGCACGATGACACATGTCCCGGTTGAGTTAATGGGTTGATTATGATTCTACCTTATTCGGTCTTAAAAGAGTGAAAAAAGAAAAATCAAACACACGAATCAAAAACTAAATGAACAACGACAACGACGAAGGAAAGATCGGGACAAGGCCGATACTGGTCTGAGTTGTATCAGGAATGTCTCATTGACATACTCTCGCGGCTGAGTATGGAAGATCGTTGGACAGGCTAAGATTAGGATGTAACACACTAACACATTAACAATATTTATTTTAACTTTAAGATAATAGAATGATTATTATTTACATGGTGATGGTGTAGAGCACTATAGCTTTTGATTTGTGCTCTCCAGGCTGTTCGCTTCTCACATTACCCACACTAAACTGACCTTTTTCTAATTTAAGAAATATAAAGTAAATTTAAAGACTGAAAAGACAATATTTAATCATTAAAGAATTCATTATATATATATGTATATATATGCTTCTATAAATACCCACTAATCAGTAGTCGTCTGAGTGTCTCAAACTCAAATCAAAACCCTTAAACCACCTAAAATCTTCAAGAAGTGACTTCCCAAAAGTGGCAAACAAAAAAGTCACAAAAACTTAAATATGGCTTCTCAGACATTTTTGGTTTTGTCAATATCTCTTTTTGTTGGTTTTAAGATATTGCTTTCGGCACACGCTAACGATTTCAACCAAGACATTGACATAACATGGGGTGATGGTCGAGGAAATATTTTGAACAATGGAACACTTGTAAATCTCGCTCTTGACCAATCTTCGGGATCAGGGTTTCAATCGAAAGCCGAGTATTTGTATGGAAAAGTCGACATGCTGATCAAACTTGTCCCTGGAAACTCTGCCGGGACCGTGACTACCTTCTATGTAAGTTCATCTAAATTTATATATCTGACCAAGTAATACGTGTTTATACGTCTGCATGATGGATTTTGGTGTATTTTTGTGTGTGTGTGTGTTTATAGTTGAAGTCTCAAGGATTAACATGGGACTCAAGGCAAAGGCGATAGAGAGCAACAATTCTATCTTTCGTTCGATCCCACCGCTGAGTTCCATAACTATTCTATTCTTTGGAACCCGAGTCACATAGTGTAAGTATACACCACAAAATCCACACGATCAGTAGAGATGTGAACCAAAATCTTTGTGTTTTTAGAAATCTAACAGAAAAGTGAACCGGATGATCGCGGAATCGAATTCTTGCATCGCAAATCACTAGCTCCATAACTTTTAATTTTATATAGATTTCTTCAGTTGAAAATGTAAACGTATTATATTTTCAGTTATTTTTATAATATTACTTTCTTGGGCAGTCATTTGTTGAAATTCTATGTAGGTTCTATGTCGATGAGAAGCCAATTAGAGAATTCAAGCTTGTGTGCGTCTCGGGTCACTAGCGATAGCTAGTTCTTGGCTTGAGACCTCACATTTAAGCTCCATTCACGAAAGTGAAGAGCTTTCCCTCTGTTTTGTTTTCCTCGGTCCCAAGTTTTAAGCGTAAAGCTATCCCCTTAAGCTCGATAGTCAATCGTATTCACCTAAAGGAGTCGTCTTTCTTCATTTCCTTTATCAAGTTCCAATCTTTTAGCTCAAAGTTGAAATCTTTATCCTTGGATTTAGATTTGGACCGTTAATTACTGTTCAAAGTTTGTTTGTTTACTGTTAAAGTTTCGGATTTCTTAAAAATCAAGTCTTTGTTCTTGATTTGAAATTTTTTTGCATTTTCTTAAGACACAATCTCTCTATGGTTTGGATTGATACATTTACTATGCTGCGATGATATGAGCAAGAATCTAAGAGTTTGAAACTGGTAAAAATTCTGTTTTCAACACACTAAAGTAATATTTATATTTTATGTGTGTTTAAAAAAAATTAGAGTAATATGTTTGTTTGAAGTAGAAAACACACACTAGTCATCAAATCAAACACAACCAAATGAAATGCTCCATATCATAATGCATTACCTATAAAAATTGAAAAAATCACCAAATGAATGATGAAAACTTGAGATAAAGTGTAGTATTAATATCTTAATAAAATAAAATAGAATACAAATTGATCATATTTTTAAGTGGTTCGATTAACTAAAAACATAAATAAAAGCTGACACAAAGTCATTATATTTCAAATTAACAAATATAAATAAAATCAAACGGAAAAGTTGTCGCAAATGACCACGCACGTGCGCGGAGCTTCAATATCTAATTATTTATAATTACTACCTTCCTGTTCGGCACATTGGACACTTGCAAACATTTTGGCTCCCCTCTGTTATACATGTGCCTCCTCCAGGACCGATACGTTGAAGAATGCATATCGTATCGCATTTTCTCCCACCATTGTGTTGATAACAAAGCCTTGGCGGCGCTTTTGTATTGGTGACCATCACATACTCACCACATGCTTCTACGTTAGAGATCCATATATCTGTAGAAAAACATTCAAAATCCTTTGATTTATAAATCATTTGTTTGAAATGAAATTAATGTTACATGATATAATTCAGAAGTCAGAACTTAAGGAATTACGAGTTTCGGTACAGATTTTGGTAACAAAAACAAAAAAAAATCAAAGATATTGTTGTGTGTGTGTGTTTAAAAAAAAAAATTAAAGTAATATGTTTATTGGAAGAAGAAAACACACACACTAGTCATAAAATCAAACATAAAACCAGACGCTCGTAGTCTGGTGGTAATGGACCCACGACTGTGGTATCCGCCATCAGGGTTCGACGTCTGGCCATTGCGGATTTTACATACGGGCTGCAGCGTCTCAGACCACGGACTTCGGTCCAGTGGGCTAGTCAGCCAACAATTGTGGTCTGGATACTGGATTAGCAAAAAAATAAAAATAAAATCAAACATAACCAAATGAATGCTCTGTATCATAATGCATTACCTGTCAAAATTAAAAAAATCACCAAATGAATGATGAAAACAATGGCTTTCACACTTTTAGCCATTTACACTTTTATTTTTATTTTACTTTTTAATTCTTTTTTGATTGATAGCTCTATGCGCAATCATCTAACTGTTCTATATAACATATATTTTTGCTCTTAAAATAGAAAATCAAAAGAATTTTTGTCCATAAAAACGCCTAGGAATCAGTTATAAATAAATAAAATAAATGTTTGGTTGACCGGATATTCCTCCTCATTATTTTTCTATTTATAGTTAATTCTAATTTGTACCTCTCTAATATGCACACAATTACCTTATGTGAATTGTTGGGAATAAAGTTTTTGTTTTCAAGATATTTTCTGACAAATGAATTTCGGGAAAATTAGCTAAAAGGGTCATAGTTTTTTGTGGTGTTGTGGACTACATTTTTTTTTATAACTTTGACATTGTAATAACTAAAAACCAAAGAAAAATATTATAAAAAAATCAAATTTAAATTTAAAAATAAAGAATCATAGTTATTTTATGTTAAGGTTAAACTATTTTTAAAATAATAAATATGTGTTTTTGTTAACATTATTGTATAATTCACCTATTTAATAGTCGTATTCTGGCTTACTTCATCTAGATATCAAAACTAGTTTTTGTAAAAGACGTATTCTGGCTTACCCTACGTAGAAAACTCTTCTGTCTAATCTAGATTTTTAATCTGCCTCATGTAATATTGTATTCTGCGTTACGTAATTTAGAAAATAAATCCAGCTACTCTAAAATACCAATTTAGCTTACCTAATATGCACCACATTTTGGATTACCTAATATAAATTTCATATTCTACTTTGTTTCCAATTAAAAAAACCCTAGATCTACATATCTTTATTTCGTGTTCTAACTTTTGAACTCTTAATCTTGACAGTAAAAAATGGATATACTGCAGATCTATACGATTTATGGTGTATGGAAATCAATTTGAAATAATTGGGAATTTGTTATTAATAAAGAGAGATGTTGTAGAATAATTTCGTTTGAATGTAAAACTACTATTGAAGAGTTTAAAGTTATGGTTTCAGAAGATTATGCCTTGGAGCAGATTATCCTTGATATGGAAATCATATATTTGCCTAATGACTAGGTTGGACAGTTTGAATTTCCTGTGATGATCTTCTCACACAATTGACAATTGAAAAGTTTGATTTGTTATTTAAGTAACGAAAAAGAAGTTTGGTTGTGTGTCATTGAAAGACTAGTTCCAATGACATTAAAAAGAGTAAAGTGAAGATCGATTATTTATTATTTCTATGTAAAAAAAAATCAAATACAAAATATGGCCATTTACAAACTAAAAATAATTATTCTCTTTTATTTTTATTAATTTTTATTTAAAATAATTAACTTAATAGAATCTATTACTAATAAAAATTGACCCTATATGCATTAGAGGGTGTCCACCTAAGATTATAAAATTGAATTTGATTGGTCCACATAAGCACTTATAAATAGTTTCGTTTTTAATTGTTATTAAGATAATTACTTAATACTTAATTAGAAAATAGAAAAAATAAAATTTCTAGTTACATAAAAGGAAAATATCCATATATAGATTTTTTTTTTTTAAACTCTATTTAATTTGTCCACATAAGCACTTTCAAATAGTTTCCTTTTTAATTGTTATTATGATATTTACTTAATACTTAATTATATTTTTATTCGTATTAAAGTGTTTAGGAAATAGAAAAAAAAAATCTAATGACATAATTTTTTTTATTTCATATGAGAATATATATTTATTTTTAATTTCGTTTTTTCTTAATATAAAATATAAAATATTTAAAATTATATATTGTTAATATGCTCCATGTTCATTTTATAATTTTGAATAAAATATGTTACACATTAGTTTTTAAAAAAATATATGTAAATATAGAAAAATTATATTGCATTTAAGTATCCACATATTATTAGTTTGTTGATTTTTTTTGATAAAGGAATTAGTTTGTTGATTTAGATGCACTATATGAATCATATATTAAAGTGATCATATATTAAAGTGGAAATAATATTTTGTTGAAAATAAAAACTGCAACTATATTTGTTTATAATTTTGGGAAAGCTATTGAATAAACGGAAAATGAACCAGCATGAACACTCACTAGCTGAGTTCAAAGACATGCCAAAACAAGATTTAACCGTCTAACCTAACTACAATAAATCGACTATATTACATCATTTTTGATATTATCTAACAGCATTTTTGAATCTTCAGCTTTGCATCTAAAAATGAAGGTAATGAATTTTTAATTTCAGAGTGATGATGAACCCCGCTAACTAATATTACTTAATGACAACAAAATTTCTGAAACGAGATGATTAGTAGTGTTTATCTAATTGAAGCAGAGGAGAGGTAGGGTTTGTGCATATAATTGAAGCAGATGACATGTAGAGTGATCGTAGGGATGTAGGGATCTAAGATTTCGACGAAACTGGGTTTCAAATGAGATGTAATTTAAGATTTTTGAAAACACAATGGCAAAAGATTCACATTTTTTAATCTTCATCTTTGCATCTCAAAAACGAAGGTAATGAATTTCTAATTTCAGAATGATGACGAAACCCGAAGTGTGACAAAACCAGACTCTTCAACCGAAAATTGAAGATTTGATTATGTATATTATTTAAAAACAAGGATTTTTTGCAAATTAATCCTTCAAGTGGTTTTTGTTTGCAAATTTACCATCAATTCTAGAAAAATGCATATCAACCCATCAAGTTCGAATTAACCCGCAATATAACCCGTATTTAATAAAAATTATTTTAAAAACATCGTTTATAAATAACAAAGGAAATTGAAAATCTTATTGGTTTTCATAGCCACGTGTTAGGCTTTGTGTTGGAGACCAAAAAGTCTAGTGTGGTCGAACAACTGAGATAGAACCGAACTAGAGTTTTTTCCATCTTCTTTTTTGAATTGAAGAGAATCTCTGACTCCTTTATTTAAGAAATAGAAAAAAATATATTTAATTTCCAATATCCAATGTAGATAAAACACTTGTTTAAGTTAATGAATCATGTATTCACTTTAATTTTGTAATCATATATATAGAATAAATTAACTCAAACATAATACTTTTAATAAACTTGGTCTGTGGATACCAAAAAAACTAGTTTGAATACATGTAATAAACTTGCATGTGAATACCAAAAAAAATAATTTAACTTTTTATTTTTAGATACGGGTTATATTGCGGGTTAATTCGAACTTGATGGGTTGATATGCATTTTTCTAGAGTCGAGGGTAAATTTGCAAACAAAAACCACTTGAAGGGTTAATTTGCAGAAAACCCTAAAAATAATAGGACAATAAATTTTGGGGATTAATGTAACTTTTCGTGCTTTTATGCCTTACGAGAAAATATGAAAAAGGTTTCTAATATGTTTTTAATCAGAAATTCATAATAAAATATCTTCTACTATTGTGACTAATTATATAAGAATTAAAATGATTCATTAAAATTAAAAATATGAAGAAATTAAATAATAAAACTTATAATGATAAAACTTTTAAAATATTAAAAAGAAAAAATATGAACTTTTAATATTAAAATTTTAAAGCGTTGGTATCTATGAACTTTTAAGAGTTGAAAATTAGAAAATTCATAATTTTTTTTTCTTTCTAAAACATAAAAATGGAACCCACGCTACTTTATATATTAAAATAAAGTCTAAATATCTAATAAATTACAAAAGGTGTAGTTCCACAACATCATAAAAAAAAAATGATCGATTTAGCTTCTTTTCCCATGAATTTTTCTACGTACAAATCAAATTCATGTTTTTATGTTCTTAATTAGAAGAAGAAAAATAAAAGAATTGCGCTCCATAAATAGTGGTAGGCATTAGATAAGTTGGCCGTAGGTTTGAAAGTAAAAATTGACTTAGGGGCATTTTAATGTGTTGAGAAAATACTATTTCAGACTATTTTTTGTTAAGTTATTCCTCTCAATTTTCAGTTTTCAAGCGCTACATCATTTTCACGGCACTTGGTATAATAATTGAATAAAACAATAAGCAAAAACGAGTGTATAAAAAAACAACAATGAGAGCATTCCACAGTTATATTTAAATTTAAAAACACGAAAACAAAATATATCCATATTATTAAGCGGCTAAACCTACCTATAACAACAACCTCTTCCGACAATGTAACGAGTTTGGAAAAACTATTGAAAAAAAAAAAAAAATTCAGGATAAATATTCAAAGAGCGGTTGCAGAGAAAGATTGTCTAAAAGGAAAAAAAAAAGGAAATGCTCATTCGTTCACGGCCTTATCGGTTGGCTCTGAAACGAATTACAGCAGCTTCAAACTCGTTCACGGCCATTAGTTAGTTACATGTGGCTATATAACAATGTTAGATTCTATAGTTTGAATTTAATCTCCCCCCCCACTCCCCCATACCGCTTTATAGAGAGACATTAATACTCTGTGTTGACGAAAAAAAGAAATCGGAAACCAAACTCTCTGTTTCTAAAAAATATCTCGCCTTCTTTCCCAGAACCATTGAAGAAATTAACAAGGATGCCGTGAAGAAAGAAGGAATCTTTTGAAGCTATTAAAGCTAAAGGTATATAACTTGTTCTAGCTCCAATCGCTTAGTAATTGTAAGAAAAGATGAAGCCATTGAAGCTAGCGCCGCTCACACTAGTCCTGCTTGTGACGTTGCGGTTTGCTGAGGCAATCGCCAGGACAACGCTGACTAGCACAGATGAGTTGTCCGTCAATCAAACGCTTGTAAGGGGGGAGTTCGAGCTCGGCTTCTTCGCTCTCAACGAGAGTTGGTATTTGGGAATTTGGTATAGGAACATAGAGGTGAAACCCCGAGTTTGGGTTGCTAATAGAGATGACCCGCTCGACGACTCTAGTGGAATCCTAAAGATCTCCGATGGTCAGCTAGTTCTCCAATACAAATCTCACAAGGGGAACATCTGGTCTTCAAAAAGAAACGAGGGATCTTCTTCGTCTGCGCTGGTGGCAGAGCTGTTGATAAACGGAAATTTTGTCCTGAGATCTTTAAACAAGAGCGACGACTATCTGTGGCAGAGCTTCAATTACCCAACAGATACTTTACTCCCCGGCATGAGTCTTACGTCCTCGCATGCGTCAGAGAGACGGCTTGTATCTTGGAAAGGAGAAGATAATCCAGGAGAAGGAGACGTGACCTTTGATCTCTTGGGTCTAGATGAAACCAGGCTACGTGTCTCGGTAGGAATAAAGCAATTATACTTGAGTGATCCGTGGAACGGAGTTGAATTCACCAACGTACCTATGAAATTTAATCTGACGAGAAGCTCGGATGAAGCCGTCTGCGTGTTTCAAGGCACAGACGATGATCACACGCTTTCGATGATCCTCTTACACCCCTGGGGAGCAGTAGTTGGTTTGGTTTGGAAGGGTTCTTGGCAGATTGTATGGCTTGCGCCAAAAAGCTTTTGCGAGGTACCAAATTATTGTGGCAAGAATTCCTTCTGTTGCGCCACTGAACCGGTGGACCCGGACACGTTCATGTCCATGCCCAAGGCCACGTGTAAGTGCATTCTAGGTTACCACCCGATGAAATCAGGAGAGAGCATTGGGGTGCGTCCGTGCGAGAGGCAGGCAGAGCTTAGCTGCTCTGCTAATGAGTTTCATCCGTTCAAAACAGTCAAGTTGCCCGCCACTGCTAGCACCAATAGCTTCATAACTCCCGGTTTGGAACAATGCAAGGACAAGTGCTTACAAAACTGCGAGTGTAAAGCATACTCGGTATTCGCTTACGGAAACGGAAGCCTGACGCAAAACTGCACAACCTGGAGCGGAGACTTAACTGACCTAGGATGCTACAATTCCTCCGCAGCTCAAACTCTCTACATCCGACAAAACGGTACGTTATGTTAGAACATAAACGAGGAATGGTTTTATTTACTCTGAAACTTGATTGTTTACATTACAACACTAATGGTTTAGATAGATCACAAACAGACACAACACAAGAACACAAGAGTTGTGTCTCTTCATCACGCACAACTATCAAAAGTAAACAGTCATAACCGTTACTAAGAGAATTAAATGTTAGAACAAACTCAATTATATTCTAACACGTTAAACTTATGCATTTGACTAGTCATTATTATACACACTGATTAATGACTCTTTTCCCTTTCTTTCCAGGGGAGATGAAGACGAAGACGAAGACGAAGAAAAAGAAGAAGATGAGCATCATAGTGTACGTAATCATAGGATTATCTGTTTCCGCTCTGTGTCTTTTGTGCGTAGCCTTATACTGCTACCGCAAAAGGATTCAAAAGAAATTAACACCAGCTCCGGCAGCCACGGACGAAGTGGAGATGAGATTGATTCGGGAAGGAGCCACGGACGACCACGAATCACTCCCACAAATGGAGTTTTCCACAATTGTGGATGCCACCGAGAATTTCTCGCATCTGATTGGCAGAGGAGGGTTCGGTAACGTTTACAAGGTAAAACTATAAACGTTGAGGAGTGGGATAATTATAAGACGTAAAACACAATCTTGGAAATGTGATATATATATTTAATTACTGGAACACAGGGATTGTTACCCGATGGGACAGAGATTGCTGTGAAGAAACTGTCGGAGCAGTCAAATCAAGGCAACGAGGAGTTCTATACCGAGGCGACATCAATCCGACGGCTCAGACACGTGAACATCGTCCGACTCTATGGCTGGAGTGTTCACAATGACGACAAGCTCCTGATTTACGAGTACCTGGAAAATGGAAGCCTGGAACGTCATCTCTTCTCTGAGCCATCTGGTGAATATCTGCATATATATACAGTATATGCTACAAGGGTCAAGGTAGCCCCATTTATTTCATACAAGTCTAACAAAACAATACTATATTATTTTCGATTTGTAAGGTGGTGGTGGCGACCTAGACTGGCCAAGGAGATATCACATTGTGAAAGGTATAGCCCAAGGGCTTGCCTATATCGAAGAAGGTTTTCAAGATACCATAGTCCACCGAGACTTAAAACCGGCTAATATCCTCCTCGACACCAACATGACCCCCAAGATTTCGGATTTCGGGTTCGCCCGAGTCTATGGAAGGGCCGAGGACGAAGCTTTCACGGAGCGTCCGTCTGGAACTTAGTAAGTGATCCTAATACCAAAAAATTCACTTTTTTTTTTTTTTTTTTTTTTTATCTCTCTCTCTCAAACTAACCTCTTTCTAACTTATTTTCATTTTTACAGTGGTTACATGGCCCCGGAGTATATGCAAGGAGGGTCATACTCGGCTAAGTCGGACATCTTTAGTTTCGGCGTTACTGTCCTTGAGATTTTAAGCTGTAAAAGGAACAAGACCTTCGCTGCTGACATGGGTCTCAACGTCAACCTTCTAGAATATGTAAGCTTATGTTTCTTTTTGATTCACTGCTGACTCATCTGCTAGCTAGAGGTGGTTTTAATCTGGCTTCTTGTCTTGTTTGGCTTTGAACAGGCCTGGATCAAGCTGGATCAAGGCGACTATTTGGAGGTTGTAGACGAGAAGATCAGAGGAGATTCTTTACCAGATTGGCAAGTCCTGAGATGCGTCCAAGTTGCTCTCCTTTGCGTTCAGCAACAGGCAAGTGAAAGACCAAATATGTCTTTGGTCGTCACTATGCTCCAGGAAGAAGACTATCCCACTCCCAAACCGCTACGTCCTGGCGTTATCGCCGTTGCCTCAACTTCATCGTGCCAAGACCCTTCCGGGTCTACTCCCACCCACATCATCGAACCCATCACCCAAGTCTACCCCCGCTAGTTCTGATGAAAACTTCCAAATCATTCCTTCTCTTTCAACTCTCTTCATAACTCCCTTTATATATATATATATATATATATGTGATTAGCTGGGACATAATGTTATCAACCTTGGTCCACCAACAACGAACTGCTGTCTTTTCCTTGAATAATACATATTTTGCTGCATATTGTTTTTCCAACATCCAAGTAACCGATCAAATAGCTTGCATCATACACTAGATCCACGATACGGATAACCAAAAACTTTGTTTCTTGTTTATCAAGTTACACCTCTGTGTCTTTAGAAACAACAGAGTAGAATAATGCATTGTAGCCCATTCTGGAGCCAACAAGAAGGAATCAGGAGAGGGACACAACGTGATGAGTAATCAAGATATCGAATAACCAAACCTTAGCCCTATGAATACGACCCAAACGCTATTTTATACTATAAGTATAACCTAAGTGATTTTAGACTAATATGTTCGTTTAATTATTTAAATTAAAACTAAGAAATTAAATCATATTGTGCATATAAAAATTTTATATCTTCGTTTTGAAAACTAAATTATTCTTCATATAACTAAATAGCTAGGCATCATACACTAGATCCACGATACCAATAACCAAACTTTGTTTCTTGTTTATCAAGTTATACCTCTGTATCTTTAGAAACAAGCGAGTAGAAGAATGCATTTTAGCCCATTCTGTCTTCAAGTTTTGCTTTTTTTTCCATCATGGAGCCAACAAGAAGGAATCAGGAGAGGGACACAATTTGATGAGTAACAAAGATATCGAATAACCAAACCTGAGCCCTGTGATATGAATACGACCCAACCGCTGTTTTATACTATAACTTAAGTGATTTTAGACTAATAAAGATATCGAATAACCAAACCTTATCCCTATGATTACGACCCAAACGCTGTTTTATAAATTATACTATAGCCTAAGTGATTTTAGACTAATATATATCATATTGTACATATAAAATATCTTCGTTTTGAAAACAAAATTAGATTTCTTCACTAAACTACGATTTGTTTGGTTCTTTGTATATAAAAATAAAAGAGATGATATTGCTTGGCACGACTCCAACGAACTAAACTAGAGTAAACGCTGGTAATCCTACGTGGCATCTCCCGCCCAATAATCCAGCAAGTTTGTTAACGTAAGTATACGATTGACCCAACGAAATTTTAAGATTCCCCACTAATAATACGACACGTAAGCAAACGCGCGAAATCACTAACCAAACACGTGAGGAAACACGGATAGATTGGGTGCACCGTAACGTACAAGATTACAACAATTATAAAAATTTCATCTAAAATTAAATTTGTTTTTAAATCTCCGCTCACTCCCCAAGATAGATCTATCCGAGAGAGACACAAATTCACTCTTTTTGACTTGCTTTTTTTCTTTTCTTTTTTTTTAATTTTGGTGAAAAGCTGATTTTGTCTCTTCTATTCCCCCCAACTCTCCGGTGTCAGTTTTACGGCGGCTCCGTCGTTTATTACGGTCAACGATGTCTGTGACCGTGCCGGAATTCGATTTCAGAGTACGTCTCTTCTTCCCGATTCACTCTATCAATCTCTAAGGTTTCCTTCATTGCATTTTTCTTCTTCTTCTTCTTCTGTGTTTGCTTCTCTACAGTTGACGCCTCGATTTGGTTTTTCGCCGATCGGGTGAGTTTTCTCGTCATTTCTAAGATTTATCCTTTCCCTGCTTCGATTGGATTCACTGAGATGGAGATTTTGACTCTGTTTATCGATCAGGGAGCAGAGTTTCGCCGATGCCGATAATCTGGAGCACTGTGTAAAGTACTTAAATCAGAGCTTAGTCACTTACGGATTCTCTGCCTCGCTCGACCTCTTCGCTGCCGATCCTGTGCGTCTTCTTTTCTTTTTCTACTCTTTGATTATCTCTACTGTTCTGGGTAGTTTTTCATGAATCTGAATCCGATAAACTACTTGTTGTTATTAGGTTTCGATTGCGAGAACTTGCAATTGCATATACGCTTTGATTCAGCAGAGGCAACGAGATGTGGAATTCAGAGAATCCTCTAATGATCAGAGACAACGGTGAGTATTTTGTCCTTTACCTGAATCGTTTCCGCTTTGAATGTGCTCTTTACGTAGATTGCTTTTATATCATCATTACTCAAATCAAGAGATGGACTCTCTGATCTACAGAGCCTGTTTTTGGTTTTATGTGTGTTTAGAGTATAGTTCTTGTGAAATGGCAAAATGATATAAAAATGCTGACACAAAGTTACTGAGAATGATAGTTTTGTTCACTTGCTGAGAACATTTTCGTTCTTGTTTACTTGAGGCTTACGTCCGACATGGCGAGGCTCGAGGCAAAAGTTGAGAGGCTTGAGACTCAGTTGCAAGCAAAGGAGAGGGAACTTGGTTCGCTCACAAGAACGGAAGCCAAGAATTCAGCGGCTTTAAAGGCGCAGAATGAGAAGCTACAGAAAGAGAGAGATGAGTTTCAGCGGATGGTGATTGTTAACCAGGTTTGATCATTTCTCAGGTATCTCTTAATGCTTATGCTTCTGCATCGCCCTATGAACATTTGTTGTTGTTGTTTTTGTTTTGGGTATGAAAGCAAGTCAAGACTCAGCAATTACATGAGACGAAGAAAAAAGAAAAAGAGTACATAAAGCTACAGGTATTGCATGGGTTCACATTTCAAGTTTCAAGTGTATGCATTGCAATCACTATATATGTTGAATCTTAGTAATGTAAACATTTTTAGGAGAGGTTAAACCAAGTGTTGATGGAGAAAAAGAAGGAAACGAGATCAGGCATGGAGATCATGAATCTACTCCAGGTACTAGTACAACTGGGTTGAGTTGTTGAAATGATCAACAGTTATCGTGTTTTCCAAGACTAGATGATCATTTTCTGTGTTTATAATTATATATATATGCACAGAAAGAAGGGAGACAGCGTGGAACATGGACCGGGAAGAAAACTGATTCCGATTTCTACAAAAAGATTGTATAACTTACTTACCACCTTAACTAGCTTCTCATGCCTTGTGTTGGATGAATACGATCTTGTAAGTATGATCTTGTCAGGTGGATGCATATGAGGCTAAAAACCAAGAACTCATGGCAGAGAACACTGATTTGAGAGCGTTACTGCGATCCACGCAGGGAGACATGCGTTCTTTCTTGAACGCTAATGGAAGACAGAGCTTAGACCCTTGTCAGTCTCCTTTGGGAGGGAAGACGGTACGCAAATCTCATTATAACCTCAAATCAAGATTCAGTTTTATACCCATAACCAAAACACAACTTCAACAAGAGAGATCGGGTTAATGGCAGGACGTGTTCGAGCTACCTTTTCGTATGGCTCGAGGTCAAATAGAAGATAGTTTACGCTCTAAGATGGTTTCCATCAAGGTAAAGATTCTGTATCTTATAGCTTTACATGTAAATGTACTACTACTAAGTTGCAAGTTACTAACTTGTTCGAAATTTCGTCTTGTTTCGTTTGGTTGATTGAAGGAACGTATGGGTCAATTAGTAGACGCACAAAAAGAAGTGACCATTACTTCAGAAGCGTCAGAGAGGGAACTTGAACTTGAAGCACAATTAGTCGAGGCACGCAGCATAATTCAAGAACAGGTTTCTACTAATAATGCTCATTGTATTTCTCAATTACTATATATATAATCATCCAGAAACGTTACGAATTCACAATCTTGTTTCTCTCTCTCTTTTTATGTTTCGCTTGATGTAGGAATCTATAATGTCTAAACATTTACCTAAGACGGATCGGAGAAGGAACTCAGCTCCTCCACAGTCTGTCAATGGACTTCGTGGATGACTTAAGATTGTGTAAATCTCTTAACAAGGAAATGTCTTGTGTCTTTTGTAATCAATTTACAAGAATGTGTAACTGAGGGAGAGTTTATATGAATTTTTAATCAAAGTGGATTCGTATTTGTCACATTAATTGTACAGAAGAAAATCTTGAGGTTTGTATTTTTTTTGCATATACACGTAAAAGTTTGGAAGTCACATGCAGAAATATTAAGTGATGCAAACATAATTAATCTTTTATACATGCATACATTCGAACTGATTTTTTATACCAAACAAAAATAACCTTCTTGACACTTTGATTTCTAAAAAATAATTTAAATTAAAGTTATTCGAACTGTTTGATTTCTCATAAAAGATTATGCTTATGAATTTGACTTAAAACTATGGATCAAAACAGCTCAAAAATGAATCTAAAACTATGACTTTGAAACTCCTAAAAATTAGGAAAGCGAACATATAGGTGACCGTGATGCTTACATCGGCTTCTACGACTACACTTTACACTCTTTTCAGTTGGCATTTAACAAGTCAAATTGTTGTTTTTGTTCAGTCAAAGAGGGTTTTAAAACAATAAATGAAGATATTAATTACATTGATAATTTGACTAAATCATTTGCTCCCCCTAAAAGGCTAAAACTATGACGTTCTTAATGCACGTATTGCCATAATTTTTTGAATCTATAACTTCGAAAAATTAAACTTAAGTTTCTTTCACATTATATATGCTAATAAACTTTAATTAGAAGTATGACATGCATAAATTTGAAAGTGTATATTCAATGTTAATGAGAGATATCTACATCTATATAGAGCATTCATTAATATACAGCATAGACTTATCTCTCAATGAAAATGAATACAATTTTTTTGTTTATATTAAAATTTTAGGCACAAAAAACCTAAAATCATAATCCATTATAACAAAATGGGCTCTAAAATATTAGATTAGCCCAACAAATGTTAACTTTATGATTATTAATTTGTTTTCATTTTTATCAAAAAGATTAATTTATTTTTATAAAAATTGATATTTAATGGGCTTTTTTGTTATTTTAAGTCACTTTGTTAGAACCCAACCAACTATGATTCTAGGGTTTAGATAGCATTCACGTATTTTATTTATAAATAGAGAGATCGCCGCATACAAAACGAGAATGAAATTTCATATCCAAAAACTCTAAACATTTTCAGTGGAGAAAATCTATGTAATTCTATGAGTTTAGTTTTCGCATACGAGTAAATTCTGTTCAGATTACAATATTAGTTCCATCCAAGAGCCTCGAAAAGCTATTCAATCGTAATCTCTATAAGTATATGCAACTGAAATTTTAGATCTGTTTCATTACATTGAGTTAACTATATGCATTAATTTCACATAGTCATTTTATATAAATATTTTCTGAATCTATCATGATTTACATTCAATAAGTGACTTTTAAATCTACTAGAATTTCTTAGATCTTAAATTCTAACAATTAACATTAGAGAACCATGAAATTGTAAAGTAAAATGAATCTAAAACGAATAGAAAAAAATAATTGTAAACTTGTAAATTTTCATTTTAAAACGAATTTTCTTATAAATGATTTTTTTTTAATATCAAATGTCTTAACATTGTTGTTTACATTATTTACATAGTGAGTGGATTACTTTTTTTTAGAACCAAATAATTACTGAAATAAAATTGAGTTTATGTAAACCATTTTGTCATGTTTGTGTCATTTTCTTTCCCGAAAATATTGAATTCAGAATACTTTTGATATTTTCAACATTCGTGAAAAACTCATGTCTAATTTTATCACTTTGCCATTTTGAAAATCAATTCGCCTAAATGACCCTCAATAAGTTTTTAACATATACTGTATAATTTAAAAAATAAATATTACATTCAACAAATTTTCATATCATACGTGTTATAGAAAACACATTTAACACACTATGGCAGATTTTTTTTTAAATATAGTTAATTAGCTCAAAAATTAAGATCAAACTCATATAAAACGATGCAAAATTGCAAATACAAACTACTAGAAAATAAAATACCTAATCTATTATACGATGATATGCAAATTATCTTTTGGGCCCACAGGTCCCACACTATAAATTCTCTACAGTCTCTCTCTAAATTTTAGTCCTTTTTTTTCTTCTCTTCTCCAGTCTCTCTACGCTGCAAAATCTTTCCGCAGACGAATACAGAGAACCGTTTCGATTCTGTAGTTTGTGGAAAAAAAAATCATAATTTCGTATTCCTCTTCTTGTTCTCTTCTTCTTCCTTCCCTTTTTTTTTGTTGACGAACGATTCCACTCGCTCTAATCTATTTACTCTGTTTCATTTCATACTCACAAGCCTTTTTGTATCCCATTATCATTGCCGGTTTTTGGTTGATTCTGATGGTAATGTGGGTTTGATTAGGGCTCTCTCTACAACTCTCTCTCTCATGGACTCTTCTCCCGGCGGTAATTTTCCTTTGGGGTTTCATTATTCAATAGTTTTTTAGAAATTTTGCTTCGCAAGATTTATCGAAATTCGTGCTTTGGGTTTTAAGATGATGTAGAGTTATTGTAGTTTCTGCCTTAGTTTTTTCAGATGGAGTCGAAAGTTTGTGACTTTTTTTGTTAGCTCGTGAAGTATAATGATTGTGAATGCTGATGCTATCGGTGAGTCTTTCAATATTCTAGTTACTTTGTTGAATGGTAACATAAAAGAGGAATCTTTCTTTGTGCTTGGAACTTAGTAATGAAATTTTGGGTTCTTGGCAAAAAAATGTATCTTTTGGGTTGAGTTCAGGTTTCAAATAGCACCAAATCATATTAGAGTTGCATACATTTTTGATTCGGAATTTGGTAAACAAGTCCATGTCTGTTTCCTGTAGCAGTTCTTTGCCTAATTTAGTGTTTCTGTCATGGCACATTGTTCTTCTCAGGTAGCTCAATGGAACGAAGCAAAATGAGTGTTGCTGAAAAGAGACAGCTTGTTCATGATCTGCCGAAAGATGTGAAGTCAGCGTCTAAAGCCTTGAAAGACTGGGACTTGGGTGAGATTGAAGAGATCTTGTGGGCAGAAGCAGGGAGGAAAACAAAACGAAAGGGCAGAGCTGAGACCATCAACGTCCTTTTGAAAACTGTCAGAGAGAAAAAAGATTCGTCGCCAACTGATGAGAACTCTGGAGAGCAAGGAGACAAGAAGAGAGATTCTTCATCATCAACCAAGACAAACTTGAAACGACGGAGGAAGAATTATAATCCTTCTCGGCATATGGCTCCAACGAGCTTGAATTCCTCTAGGAGCACTGATTCAGGTAACACTAAAGGTAGCAAGAACATGTTTTGCATTTGCAGCATTTGATTCTTGTGTGTTTCTCTATGCTAACTGTGGAAAGTTAAAAAAAAAAAAAAAATGATCAGGAAAGGATACTATCTACTGTAAGAACTTAGCTTGCCAAGCTATAGTGAGACTGGAAGACTTGTTTTGCAAAAGGTGTTCTTGTTGTCTCTGCCACAAGTTTGATGACAATAAAGATCCTAGTCTCTGGTTGACTTGCAATTCGGATCCTCCATTCGCCGGTGAATCTTGCGGCTTCTCTTGCCATCTCGATTGTGCTTTCAAGAATGAGAATTCAGGTCTCAAGGAAGATAAGCCAAGTAGTGATGATGCTGATGGATGCTTCTACTGTGTCTCTTGTGGCAAAACAAACAGCTTGCTTGAGTAAAATTCAAATCTTACTTAAAAATCAATATTTTGTTATTTCACTCCTTTCTTGTCAATGGATGTTTATTTTCCTCTCTTGTTTTCTTTCCCAGATGTTGGAAGAAGCAATTAGTGATCGCAGAGGAAACCACAAGCGTAGATGTGCTTTGTCTCCGTCTTAACTTGGCTAAGAAGCTTCTAAAGGGCACAAACAAGTACAGGCAAGTATCTGAAGCCGTGGAGGAAGCTGTGAAGAGTTTAGAAACTGAACTGTGTGGTCTTCCATCGGGGAAGCTTCAGGGAAACGTAAACAGGTTTACTGATCTTCCATCGGCGATGCGTAGAGGAAACGTGAACAGGCTTCAAAATGCTCAAAAAGTGAAGAATCTTTGCTCTTCTGCTTTGAAATCCTTACAAGATACACCGCTTCATGATCGTCCTGCACTACCTTGTAAGATGAAAGGTAAGCGCTTTTTAAGATCAAGAAAGGGTACTTTTTTTTTTGTGTTTTTTCTTCTTCGATCGCTGTTGCTTGATTGGATATCAAAGTATACGCAGGATCAACGAAGATGAGCTTCGAGGATGTTCACGCGACTTCGCTCACTCTGGTTCTTGCTTCCGGAGAAGAATCTTCTTCATCACCTGGAAACATCATTCATCACAGGATATGGCATCGTAAGGTCTCAGAGAAAGATTACCCAAAGGACTTGACTTGTGCATTGGTGTCTCCAAACACAAGGTTTCTTGTCTCTGGACTGACTCCGGAAACAGAGTATTGCTTCAAAGTTGCTTCCTTTAGCGGCACCAGAGAATCAGGCGTAGATGAAACCAAAGTCTCTACAAAAGCCCTTGAAGAAGAAGAAGAAGAAGAAAAGGAAGCAACTTTAAGCATAGAAGCAGAAGAGAAGCCAGAGGAGAAGAAGGTGGTGAATGGTGAGAAATCAGCAAGCTGCGGTAGTTTCGGGTTGGGGCAATGGGTGAAGATCATGCGACAGCTTGAGGTTTCAGGTTACGTTGACAAGGATTTCAGAAAGAAGTTTCTGACTTGGTATAGCTTGAGAGCGACGGCACAGGAGATACATGTTGTCAAGACATTCGTTGATGTCTTCAAGGACGATTCAGAAGCTCTTGCTGAGCAGCTCGTTGACACATTCTCTGACTGCATATCGAGAAAGCGTTCTCCAGACGGCGGTGGATGTAGCGGTGCGTCTGCGGTGGTCTCTGCTGGTTTCTGTATGAAGCCGAGGCACTGAGATAGATTTGGTCATATTTATAAAGGATTCATCTTTCTTCTTACTTTCATTTCATTTTGGAACTTTTTAGCATTATTATAACATTTTTCATGGAACAACATAGTTTTGATGAGTGATCGAGTTCTTTAACAATGATATCAAAAGCAAATTAAGAATTGACTAGTAGTAGTAGTAGCAGTAGCAGTCTTGTTCAAAAGAGGAAATAAAAAAAGGAAAATGGACTAATTAAACTTGGAGCTGCACTAAACAAAAATCCTCAAGATTTTGTGGTTAGGCTTCTTGTTCTTGTCGTATCCGAGAGCATACGTGTCCAATCTGTAGAATTTATTTCTGGTTTGATCAACCTGGTTTGCCCCAAGGTGGATACTTTAAAAAAAAAACTGGACAAGGTGGTGATCATCTTTAGTTCTAAGTACAGCTTATTCTTAGGTCTAAATTCTAAAATCAGGTCTTGTTCAAAAGAAACAAACAAAAGTATTGAAAATGAAAATGGACTAAACTCGTAGCTGCACTAAACTTGAAACATAAGAAGAGCACACAAGCATTCCAGGATTGGTCCGGGGTGACCAAACTAGTCCGGTGTTGACAAACTTGAAGAATCCATCTTCTCCAAAGATGTAAACCATTTCGTAGTAACAGTACTTGTGCTGATTAATTATGTCTAAATCAAGAAACACAGCGACTTTATTCTCCTCGTCAATGAAAAAGCTCAAAGGTGAAAAGTCTTTCGGGAAACCATCTGGTAAGCCGTTGATAAGACTCAAATCCAGTTTCAAAAAAGTGTTCCACGAGACCGCATTGGGCTCAACCGTAGTCGAAATATAAATCTCTATTTTCTCGGGCGTGTCTTCGTGGCTACATAAAACAGCGAGCTTCTCATCTCTAACACAATAAAGACTCACAATTTCAATACTAGGATACTCATGGTGAAACGGCACAGGCATGCGCGGTCCGAATCTCTCTCTTGTAAAATCAAAACAGACCAAGAAACGTTCATAATCTATTGCATATCCTCCTCCGTCCTCAAATGTTATATCATGACTGAAAAAGTACGCATTGCCCTTCAAAGAAACGCCGCTAGCAGTATCCAGTTTATTGAGATCAAGATCAAGAACCCTCCATGATTCAGTGCTAAATTCGTAGACTTCGGTGTGGTCTTCCATTGGACCGCCTTTGTTCAGGTAGTCACTATTAAAAAGCCTCAAGATCTTGTGGTTACGGTTCTTGTTATCGTCTGTGTATCCGAGAGCAAACGCGTCAAAGGTGCAGAAACTTTTTGTGGTTTTAACTAATTTGGTTTGCCCTGAATACGGATTCCAAACCAAGAGCCTCGAGTGGTCTTTGCCTTCGGGGTAGAATAAGAATAAGCCGTCGAAGTGATGGATTGTATGGACTTTGTGATTAGGTACACTTATTTGCTTTGCAGATGCATCAGCCAACTCGTCGTTGCGGACTCCTTGGAGATCTAACCTCAATGAATAAACCCTAAAATCTTTAACCATGAACTCCAGAAACTGACTCTTCCTCGCTGCTTTTTGCCCTAAAATATGATTTCTCGATAAAGCTTCCCACGTTTTACAAGTCGATCGCACTGCGCCTAGAGATGTTAATGGAACCCTAGAGAAGATCTCTCCCACCATATCCTCTGAAAGATCAGAAATTTTCGTTTTCATTGTTCCAAGTTTCAATCAAAAGTTTTGAACGCGGTTTGTGTATTCTTCTTCAACTTGTGTGTGTCCCTCTGCCGTGTCGATCGGTTGTGCTTCTAATAACCTATTTGTACGGGCCAAACTTATTGTATTTGCAAAAGAAACCCAATTAAATAATGATTTGTGCTCATTGCAAATGTCGTCTCGTTATAGTACACACTTTAAGCATGAGACCTGCATGTCTATTTTTTCTGTTTTTCTGAAACAAATTTTCATATCTCTAATCAAATACGTATAAGTATAACCTTTCACAAATCATAAAGCTCCGAACACAGATCTTTTGAGCAATATTTGGTAATATAATATTATAATCTAACGCACATATTTATTTATTTTTGAATTCAAATGTATATATATTTTACATATTTATGACATTGTTGTGTCTTTGGTTTTGGTTTGAAAGCAGTGCAATGCTTGCTTGCTTGTACTTACTTTTTACGATTAACGAACCATACTAAGCGAACCGAACAGGTTGAACCGGAACCCCATTTTTTATTGTAGGCGTCGATCGCTTCACCATCTCGTGAGGTATGCAAATGCAAATGCCAACTTTATTGCATGCATGCCTTCTTTGGTGACAGTAAAATCAAATATCTTTTTTCACCAAGACAAAAACTGACCAAACTCTTTACTATTTGAGTTTTTGTCTCTTGGGACCATATCATCGTCCAATTATACTGTATTAAAACTCTCGAACCTCTATAAATTTAGTTTTTGTTTCGGTCAATTATATTCTCCCCATAAAGTATATCTAGCTAAAAAAAAACTCTATGCTTTATAATAGGCTCCATTTTCAAGTAACTTTATACATAAGTTTTTCAATATTGAATATATAAAAAAATGAGAATTTCGGTTACAGTATTTGCATTGAAACTAATTAAAATTAAACAGCACCTTTCTTGGTTTTTCAACTATAAAACAGCACTCTTTATATAATAAAAACTAAACCGAGAACAAATTTATTTTCAAATGAAAGGAGTAGTATTTTAGTCGTAGATATGAAATCTAAATAAATTTTTAATGTTAATGACATCAACAAAATGAATAAATCCAGTTTGAAAATAAATAACCAAAGACTGGAGTACTAGCTAACAATAAAATGTAAGGTTGTTGTCGCTGTCTGACATAAAGAATCAAGGTTGAGAGGCTCGTGAATAAAAGTAAAACGTCGCCGTCCTGATAGCTATACAGGTTGTGGGCTCTTCAGTCTTCGCTCTCTCATAAAACTATTTTCTTTTCTTTTCATTTGTTAAAGTGAATAAATTATTTCATGAAAGTTAACAATCATTCTTCTAGTTCTATAACACATTATGCTTTTTTTTACCCTCATCAGTCTATCACCTTTGAAGAAAACCTTCTAGTTCTAGATAAGACCTCTTCTTAAATTAACTAAGGTTCGTCAAGTGAACTTTAATATTAGAGACAAGATCGATCCTCTAATAATGTACTTCTGTCAATTTATAATATATCAGTTTATTTAGCATCCCTTAAAAACTAAACATTATCTCAGTTGGCATTAAGTAAACTGTTCCATTCACAGAGATCAAATCCTGTCCAATTAATTGCCATGCGTCGACTTCTAGATATTTTGAAGTTGATATGAGGCCGTAATAATAGTTATTTAATAACTAATAAGCCACCTAATATAATATCGATACATACAAGCCAATTAACTTTAGACACTCAAATAATGAAGTAGACAAGACAATCAGAAGAAGATGAAACATTCAGTTGAACTGAACATGTTTTGCTTCTTCACTTGTTCTGGTAGTTAGATCGATATACGTAATACGTACACTAAATTATTTAAACTAAAAGATAGGTACTGAGTAAACTGTTATGGTATTCCATATTCGAAGAAATAGATCTATAATCTTCAAATAAACGCAAGAGGGTTGACCATATATATGTATTCATTAATTTGATTTGATCTACATCTACCTATGCGTAAGTCTGAACTAGTCATGTTTTTATATGAAAGTTTTGTAATTATGGTTAAGATTCTTCACTCCTAGTTAAGCAACTCCGCTTTAAATGAAATGAGAGGCCATAACTACATGACTTGGACGTACGAATAAGATCAAGTAATTTCATATATAATCATGAAAACAATTGATATAAGCAAACAAATTCCTGATTAATTAGCTCAAGTAGATATTCTTTAGGATTGGCGCTAATAAAACTGACGAGTGTTAGTTAGGCCGAAGAAAATACGATTTGGACTACCTAACAATAGTTTCACTTAATTAAGCAAAATATGTTAGGCTTGACTTTTTTTAAATATAAAGAGAGTTTTAGAAGAATACATTATACATCTCTGTCAAAGTGACATGTTGTTTTTTTTTGCTTCATTAACTATTTGACAGTAATCTGACCACAGTTATTTGACGAACACAAATACACGAATATAATAGACCAACATATACATCTAAACGCCATTAACCCAGCCGATTTATTAATTTGTTTGCTTATTGAAGAGCCATTTTCAGATATAACGTTTCGAAATGATTTTATTATTACGGCTAGGTAAAATATACCTTCCCTCTAATATTTATACTCAAAAATTTGGAAAAGAGAAGAGAACAAAAATAAAAAGTAAAATTGAGAACATGGATATCATCCAGCGAAGCTACCTGCCTTGAGAGATAAAAAAAGCATAAAAAAACCATTAAAGTCTCACCCACACAAAGTTCCCTCTTCATCTTTTTCTTACACTTCAAATTAATTTTCATAGTCATAACCCCAAAACGCAAAACTCTGTTTTCACTACCTAATTCGCTGTGGACGCCCTCACCGTAAACCTTCACCAACCCAAATTTAATTCTTGTGTGTTTTTATTCACAAAGTACAAAAAAACAGACAGATAATAATAATATCTCTCCTTCTCTTCTTCTTCTGTCTCTTCTTCTTCCCTATGTGATTTAATTATTTGCATAAAACCTCGAGTTTCTTCTTCTTCTGTTCCGTTCCAAGAATACTCCACAGAAAATGAAGTACATTCGAAGCAACAGCTTGAAACGCCTCTTCTCCTTCAAACGACGCAGTTTCGACTCCGACTCTGAAAACTCAACTCCTCACGCTTCTTCTTCCACCAAATGCCTCGAGGGTTTTCAAGAAACAGAGCTGTTTCAAAGACCCAAGTGGAAATGTTTCTCCTTTGAAGAAATCTACGACGCAACCCACGGTTTCAGCTCAGGTTCTGCCTGTCTCCAAACTCTTCAAGAGTTTTGATTTTCCTAATAATGTCTTCATCACTAAAAGGTTTCTTTTAATCATTTTGCAGAGAATTTGGTCGGAAGAGGTGGATTTGCAGAGGTTTATAAAGGGGTTTTGAGTAAAAGCGGCGAAGAGATCGCTGTGAAGAGGATAACGAGAGGAGGGAGAGACGACGAGAGGAGAGAGAAAGAGTTTTTAATGGAGATTGGAACAATTGGACATGTCTCACATCCTAATGTCTTGTCTCTTCTTGGTTGCTGTATCGACAATGGTCTCTATCTTGTTTTCATCTTCTCTTCACGAGGCTCTGTTGCTTCTCTCCTACATGGTAAAGACAAAACTCACAACCTTTTCTTGAAAACAAGATTTATGAAGCAAAATTGAGGTTTCTTGCTTCTGTTTTTTTTTTTAATCAAAATTTGTTTGTGTAGATATGAGTCAAGCACCATTGGAGTGGGAGACAAGGTATAAGATTGCAATTGGGACAGCAAAAGGGCTTCATTATTTACACAAAGGTTGTCAGAGAAGGATCATACACAGAGACATTAAATCCTCCAATGTTCTCTTAACCCAAGATTTTCAACCACAGGTCCTCTGTTTTTCTCTTTCTCTCTTCCTTGTTAATTAGTATTTAATAAACAAAAATTTACAATTAATAATCTTTGTATTTTTTAGATATCTGACTTTGGGTTGGCAAAATGGCTGCCTTCTCAGTGGTCTCACCATTCAATTGCTCCAATTGAAGGCACATTTGGGTACTTTTTCACTCGAGTTTTATTTCCATATCTAAACTATACAACAAAATGTGTTTTGTTTAAAAAAGGTTGATTGATCATTTTGAATAAAAAACAGGCACTTAGCACCAGAGTACTATACACATGGGATTGTTGATGAGAAGACTGATGTATTTGCCTTTGGAGTGTTCTTGCTTGAACTCATCTCTGGTAAAAAACCTGTTGACGCCTCTCACCAAAGCCTACACAGCTGGGTAAATCCTGTTTTTTAACCTGATTTTTTACCATTTACCAATTATTTATATAATTTTAAGGTGTTATTCGTAAAGGTTTTAGAATTTTTATATAGCTTTCAGATCACTTCTCTATAACATGTATTACTAATCAAACTTTAGGAACTATATAATACCCCACCAAAATGTTTTGATGTTAAACATATATATTTTCTTTTTTTTTTTGGTTACGAAATACTTTTAAACTACAACGTACAAATGTATTGACTTGTCACAGATAAATTGATATACAGCGACAACCTAACCAATTGGACTCTTAATCACTTATATATGATATTGACATTTATACATTTTAAACAGGCGAAAACGATTATAAAAAATGGAGAAATTGAGAAGCTGGTGGATCCAAGGATCGGTGAAGACTTTAATATCCAAGAGCTTCATCGTATAGCTTTCGCTGCGTCGCTCTGCATCCGATCATCGTCTCCATGTCGACCTTCCATGATCGAGGTACGTTCATTAAGTTTTTATCTAATCATAGTCATTTGGTACTGTAGTCTTTTTCTTTTCTCTTCATAGAGTGCTTTATTTGTTTGATTTAATAATAAAATATAGTATAGTTTTCTTTATAAAAGCAAAAAGCAGATTTATGATTTGTTAATAATGAGACGCAGTACTATCGTGTCGATATGTTACTCAACGTCAACGATTCGCTTATCAGTTAGCTCATCTGCGTCACGAAAAAGTTTCTTGTCGTAATTTTCTGTGTCTTGCATTAATATTATGATACTGAATGATAACTATAAATCTTAATTTCTTTGCTCAAAAAGATAAACCTTAACTTAGCACCCATATACATAATACATAAAGTTGCTTTTCCAAATTATTAAATAAGAGATAGGAAACTTTTGTAATTACATATAATGAAGAAAAGTAATATGGAAAAGCTCTATTACCGACACCTAATCTTGAATCACAGTCCCACACAGAACAAAACAAGCACTATGTTTTCTAAAACCGGATTTTTAGTATGATTATAGTATAAAGAAGAAAAATACTATTTTATATGGATGAAGCTCATTTACCGACATTTAACTTTGATTAATACAAGCAAAACAAGAAACTGTTAAACCAGATTTTCCTAGACCAAATCACCATATGATTCTATGACTCAAATCATATGTTTGTCAGGAAAATGTTACTGCATTATTACAAGATTGACAATAAGATATATTCTTCATTATTATTATCTTCTTCCTTTTTCTTATATAGAAATCTTTGTGTATTTGGATTTGTGGTATACATCAGGTATTAGCGGTACTACAAGGTGAAAATATAGAGAAAGAGAAATGGAAAATGGAAGCAGAAGAAGAAGTGAAAGAAGAATTTTGGGGATATGAAGATCTTGAGGATTGTGAATGTGATTCTTCAATCTCACTTTCTCCTCCTGACTCTATCTCTAATCGAAGTTCTTCGCATCGTAGTAGCTAGATCTCAAATTAGTTGTAAAATCTTGAAAATTTCAATTTTGTTTTATTGTATATATTTGCTTAGAGTTGTCTATATCATAAACACTTGTTTTTCAGTGAGGTGTTTTCTTTATTTTTGGATGTTGACAGGTTACAATATTTTAACCAAACTCTATCCAGAATTTACAAGCCCAATATAACCATATGATATCATCTCATAGAAGAGATTAAGAGTTAGGGTCCCATTGTCTTGCAACTAGTAATTAAATTGTTGCTTACGAAAGTAAACACAATCAATTATGTTTGATAGTTGCTAGAATATTCCAGTTTTTATATTTTAAATCATGTAAGTAAATACTAAACAAAAATCTACTAAAACCACATCATCTTACTTCGTGATCACGCACTCCTTCAACGCTGGAGTCACACGCGAGGATCACAATTAAGCCATTGTTTTATGTTTCTCCGCTTGTTCGTCTTTGAAAAACGGATGTTATATTGAAACACAACTATCGTTTTAGACTATTGTTTGATCCATAATAAGTGTCATTAAATATATACTCTATCAGTTTCACAATAACTGTGTTTTAAGACTTATTTGTACACTATTAGCTGTCATATCTTAAAATAAAACGTTTTTCGACATTCAGTAATCAAAGATTGATCACCAAAAACGAAATATTTAATTATTGTTTTGAACAAAGATCTTTGTATCAAAGAATCTTCAAGATCGTTTAATTCATCAGTTTGAGCATGCCAAGTCCTCGGATGCCATTTGATGATCAGTGATTTGATCCTAAATCCAAATAATATTAATCATTGTATTTACATTATACGTTTTTAATCATAATAATGCATTCTTGGATCAATACAATGATAATAAGTTAAGTGTGGATACTTGTTTGGTGGGAACCCATGCCATGTGTACGGCACAGACAGTATCGTAGTATCAATCTACAATTATTTAAATTTTTGCGATAAACATTTGGTTTTTTGTTTATGCAGTTAAGCATCTGATGTTCCTATCATCATCGTCACTGAGTTGAGGTGTTACAAAAGATTAAGATCTACTAAAACAAAGATTTTTGTGTTAGTGTTAGTGTCCGATTCTCATAGCTGGCGATTAATTTAAAAGTATAAATTTCTATCCGCGTGATAATGTGACATAACATCTTTTAGTAGTCTTTTTGTTATTTAGACGATTCTCTGCTAAAAATTCTTACATTTGTGGTTAATAAAGTTTCTCTATAAAAGTTGGCTATCAAATTCAACTACATTTGCAGAGTTTTTTTTAAACTTCCATTAATCTTGGATAAAGTATTGTGTTTTTCAAGGAATAAACAGTGAATTTTTTTTCCATCTCTTTCTTAAAATTAGAAAGCTTTTTCAATACGTAACACAAACCTTACAAACTATTGTCCTACTTGCATGTGGAAATTAAAAAGAAAAGGTAAGTGTCCCAACCCAAAGTAAGAAACTTTTTCATGTACTTAAAGATAATTTAGCTCAACATATTGGACCACCAAAAGTCCTCTACATGATAGACCTCGAATCATAAAATATTTTAATTTGTATTCCCAACTTAATAATGCAAGATGTTTGTTGAAATATTTGGATATTGGTTATAGTTCCTTTGGTGGGTTAGGACCACCTGATTCGTTTTACAGTTATTGAGAATCTCAAACGGCTCCAAATTGTTTTTGTTCATCTCAAGTTCTCAACATACAAAACCCCGGTTTAAAGTTTCGTAAACCAATCTGGATTCCGGTTCTAATGCTTTTGTTTTCCCTTTCTTAAATGTGCAAAGAATTATTTTCTCTTTAATTTTTGGTAAATTCATTAACTATGGTTAAACCGGGCACGATTCATTACAATCATGCATATTGTTCCAAAATCTGGTAGCAACAACATAAACCGAACCGAATCTCACAACAAAAAGCTACAAAATTTCCTGAACAAACTCAAACTTTGCTCTGCAAAATGAGTTATTCTGTGTAATCCTTACACTACCTTTTAGTGGCTAAAGTTTGTGTAAATCGTCACTATCACTCCACAACGGCCGTCGTTTTCTCCATCAAGGACTCAAAGAACTCAGCACATAATTTCGGAAGAGGCGGGAAGTTTAACGTTGAACCGCTGAATATCGTCTCCCACGGTCTCTCTGACGATACAAACGGTGTAGCCAACGACTCAGAATCCTCCATTCTCTTCTTGTCATAATCCGGTAACTGCCCGTACAACGATGTGTACCCAAAATCTCCTGAAAAAGATGGACACTTTCTTGATTAATAACATAGCAAAAACGGGAGGTTAAAAAAAAGAAAGTTTCTTTCTTGAGTTGTGATGCTTTTACCTGTAGTCTCTTCGTGACCAGCAAGACCCTCGTAGTCAATAGCGCTACGCTCGTGTGACTCATCGCTATTGGGATCGAAAACAACATACTCGTGGCTTCCATTCACATATGCAAGACGAAGCTGAGACTTGTCTCCTTCTAGAAATGAGATTGATCCTCCTTCAGCCTGCAATTTAAGACAAGACATTGGTTTCATCTCTCCTTCTTCAATGTTTTAAACATTAGCAGGTTTTATCTTTTTTTTTTTTTTACTGTCATACCTTCATTACGGTCCATATAGAGACTGGCTTAGGATCTGATCCGTTAAACAAGAGTATGGCACCATCTCGACCGCGGAATATCTTCTTCTTAGATTTACCCTTTTTAAAAGTTTCTGGGATCAGAGCCAAGACAGCAAAAGCTGATGAATCCACTGCGGAAGTGACAGCTGCAGGACGAGGAGAAACATTTACTAAGCAAACAGCCAAACACACAACATGAATGTTCATGGAGAAGTTAAAGAAAGTGTTATGATACCTTCTATGCGTAATCCATATGACCATGATAGAGATAGCTTTGATGTATCCCAAAGAGATAGCTCGGGTTTCGGAAAATGGGATGCAGCAACAAGGAACTCAGACTTTCCGGCGAAACAGAGCTTTGTGATTGGCTGTAACGTAATGAAAGATTTCAACATCATCAGTCTTAGTGAAAGAAAGGCTCTAACTTTTCAATGGAAAAATACAGAGTTTTTTTTTAATTTACCGTAAGAGTAGCTCCTAAAACAGACAAGAGAATGTTCCTGTCCGGATTCCAAAGCGTAATAACATTCTCAGCTGCGGCAGCAAGAACAGTGCCATCACCAGAGAAAGCAGCAGCAGTCATTGGCTTCTTCCTGGAAGATATTTAAAGAGAAGACAGTTAATATATAACTTGATCGCCAAGTTGAAACAGTAGTGAATGTTGAAGTTTCCTAATGCATAGAGAAGCAATTACTTGTAAGAGCCAACTGCATGACATATCCAGCTAGTACTCTTGTCGCTGTTGCAAACCCAAATCTGATACAGCAAAAGTCATGTCAATAATATAGAAAAATAGGATACACTGTGAGAGATATAACATAAGATCAGTTTAAGAGCTACCTTGAAGTCCCCACCGAACGATGTACTAACTGCCATGGAACGGGTAGGGTGGAAGGCAATGGCTGAGACACCAGCATCTCTGTAAGAAATACAGAAGGAGAAAATTAACTCTCATGTAAAAATCTGAGAAAGCAAAATCTAGATTCTCTAGGTTTACAAGAAATGAAGATAATTAAGACTACCTGTGAGGATCATATACGATTGTGGATAAGGTGAAAGTTTTGTTGTCTGGTTCAGACTCCCAGAACTTGAGGGACACTAAGCCTCCTATGCCATCTTCTGGAAGTTTCACCTCGGTTGTACTCATCACTGAGCCATCTAAGGAGAGAGCAACCGCTGTCACCACAACCTATTACCATATTCTCAAATTATCACACAAACGAAAATAAACTTAAACAGTAAACCAAATGAAACAGAAAGGAAATCTACTTACTGTGATTTCATCGCCTGGTTGATGGTTTCTCTCACAAACTTGAATCTGCAAAACAATTGGTGAAAAAGTTAACATTACAACTATCACATACCAACTTAGGGAATTCATAGAAAGCAGAAAGTGAGAAGCAGAAAGTGAGAAATAGAGCCAAATTCTAACCTCTGAAACTCCCCGGTCATTAAGAAGATTGTACAGTTGAACACAATAATTCTCTGTGCACAATGCAGCTATGCCAGATGATCGATCAAAGGCAATAGTACTAGCCAAGCCTTCATACATCTTAGGCAATGATGGCGGAGGCTGAAAAGCAAAAACATGCATTCAAAGTAAATGCCAACGAAAATGAAAGATCCAACCAGACAGACAAGAAGTAGTTTCTAAGACCAACCTTGATTCCAGAAATGGTCCTATAGATCTCCATGGAAGGCATTTTAAGCAAATGGATCTGATTATCTGCACAAACCACCTGCAACTCTTGCTCTTAGTAAAATCAACAAAAACATTCCAAATCTTTTTTCTTGCAGCTAGATTGCGATGTTAGACTCAGATTGAAACAGCAAGCTCCGACTTACAGAGGAAAGAGTTGGATCTGGAGACCACATGAAATACAACAAAGGAGATCCTATTCTTGGTAAGAACTTCTTCTTCCCTGTCTCTAGCTGCCAAACGACAAGCACACCTTCCCTTCCCCCTAAAGAGTAAGGAAAAAAGATGCAATATAGAGTAAGAACTCAAGACATAACTTTCAAAACAAGCAAACACACTATCACTCAGTCGCACCTGAGTACAAATAAGCTCCATCGCAAGAGAAGTTAATGACATTTACTTCAGCAGAGTGCCAATGCCACGTGGTGCAAGACTCAGCATCATCTTCACCTCTCACCCCAGGGTTGTCCACATCAACCACTGCTCTCCCGTTCTTCTTCTGATTACCTAAAGCAAGCTTCCTGTTACCGAATCCTCTCCAAATCAACAATCTCCCTGTAACATCTCCAGCAGCTATGATCCTCTCCGTGGGATGAAACGCAAAAGCGTTGATAGCCTTTGTGTGGTGTAACGTCATCTTCTTGGAAACCGCATCCTTTGATCTTCCACAAGGAGCATCCCATACATGGATCTTGCACTTGTGACGGATTCCGAAAAACTCCCCAGAGGGACTTATCACAATAGATTTTGGCTCTTCCGTCTACACACACAAGAATAAGCAAAAATGGATGTTAAAGTTTTGAACTTGACACAAGTCCGAGTTATAACTCTATTAAAAACTGACCTCTTTCAAAGTCTCTCCGCGAGGAAGACGCTCTTTAGCAAGGTTGAATCTTCGGATGTGTCCACGCAACTCTTTGGTTCCTTCTTTGACTAGACTTGTATCCTCAACAGAAACATAAGCAACTAACTTACTAGAGTCATAGCGTTTATCAACTTGTTGAGGCTCACTCAAAAGCGATGGAATCACCTAAGCAAACAAAGAACAAGAACAGAGATTCACGAACACAACACTCACAAATTGATGCTAATTAACGCCAAAGGATTCAACTTTTTGACTGACCATTGAGTAAATCGGAAGTTGGGCGTTAATGGTTTTCAAAAGCTCAGGTCCTGAGAAATCCCAATGGCGAATCGTACCGTCGAGAGACGCAGTCCAGCAATAGCAGAGGATTTTCTGAGCAGGACTCGATGCAGGAACAACGATTAGAGTCGTCACTGGAGCTGTATGACCCTCGAGCGAAGTAATCTAGAACGAAATCAGAGGAAAAGTCTGTTAATTGACGATTCTAAGAGAGAGCTTGAGAAGATTTAGGAGAAAAATGGTACCTGTAAGCCAGTGGCGGCGCTGAAAACAGAGACTGTGTTTCCTGTGCAGACAAGGAGCTTCTTAGCGTCGTTGGAGAAGGACGGAGGTGAAGTAACATAGCTTCTCCCGCCGCGAATCATGTTTATTTAGAATCTCCGGCGAAAAAAGTGACGGAGAGGCGGAGTTTTAAGGTAGAGGAAGAAGAACAAGGCAGACAAGCGCAAAATTATCCCTACTTGAAAAGCCCTAAACCCTTTCTTCGTGTGTTTTTGTTTTTGTTTTTCCAGTTTAATTACGTTCCAATTTTCATTTTACAATTTTAATTTTAATATATAAAGACATTAACATTAATTAATTACACTTGAGGTTCTGTCGGAAAGTCTCGCGAACAAGATACAATTGGGCCTTTATAATGGGCATCGAATATAACTAGGCCCAATATTAATGCTAAGAGCTAGTTTTAACCTTTAACTCTCCTTGTGATGAACAAAATATGCAAGTTTGTGTTTGTGATAGGAATCGAACTAGTAAAATTGTTTCTTGACCAAAAAAAAAAAACTTAGTAAATTGTTTTAAATTGAGACATACTGTAACATAAAAATATATAGGATCATAGTGATAAGGTAAAAAGGAAACAAAGTGATTAAACATACAAATCAAACCAAATTGATCAATGCAACTCCATTTTCCTTTGGAGATAATTTCACCACTACTAATACATAATAAAACTACATAGTTTCTCAATCTCTCTAAAGGTTAAATGGATTCAATGATCGATTCATCTGAATAACTTTCATCAAGTTTCAAGCTTTTCTTTAACTCTCTCAGGAACTGGCCAAAGGGACAAGAAGTGGATATATATGGTTGCTTATACACTCTGTACTTTTCCTGGCATCTCCTTTGCCTTGACGCTCTTCATTTCCTGCAAAATACAAATTACAGATGAATGTTAAACACAATGTGCAATAATTATAAACCGGTGACTAACAGACAGTCAATGACCAATCAATGTCACAGGGAAGATATGACTTGTCATTTCCATTGTTGTGTTCATTAGCTTGGAAGCGAAAACAAGAAGTAAAGAGCAAATAAACTTGAAACTAGCTTTGCTTCAAAGCTTACCAAAAATGAATACTAAACATAATGTTTCTCCAACTAACCAGTTAGGCAAAAGCTGATAGAAACTAGTACACAGAAAGATTCGAAAACCGCAAGAACAAGAAACCAGACATATTAAGAAGCAAAAGGAAACAATATATATGAAAGGATTAAGAAACACTTACAGATCCTTTGCCTTCATAGTACTCATCCAAAGCCCACTGATACTTTGATTGGTTTAATCCAAACCATCTCACCAAATGGTCATCCACGCTTGAATGTGCTATAGCAAAATTGTTAAAACCACAGTTATAATCTATACTAATTGATTTAAAGACCAAATCACATAGATAGTATGAAAATCCACAATTTTCAGTACATTATCAGTAATCTACTTCCCAATTACTTCACAAAAATAGAAACTTTAGATCAATTTCTTCAGACATCAATCAGAAGATCAAGTAAGGGAAAGGGCAATCTAAAAACAAACTCAAGATCCGGAAATGAGGAAACTTTTTTGTTCTCAGATTCCTCTCGTGTCTTACCAGTTTGAACCTTTGTGACGGCGTTTCTGAAGAACCCCAAAACTGAGCCTTCGTGCTCAGAGGAAGCCACCGACTTAAACTGCTGCGGCGGAGGAAGAACCGGCGGTGGAACGATGGGCTTTTGAGACACGGCGGCGGGAGATTCTGGTGGTTTTGGGGTCGCAGGAGGAGTCATGAAGACAGTGTAAGGCCCGATTTTTCCGATTACAGGCGGAGGCGTTGATGGGTCTCTGTTGATCGGCATCTTTGAGGTGAAACTGAGAGAAAATGGAAGGAAATTTTCAGACAAGAATCTCAAAAAGAAGAAGAAGCTGCTAGCTGTTTGTTTGCAAGTTGCAGACAGTGAAAGTGAAGACGGTTTCAAGATAATCTGAGAGAGAGTGGTCAGGTTTTGGTTCAATCTCTGTGTGTCAAGTGTAAATGTGTACTTACTTTACTTTTCACACTCACCATAGAGTCAAAGACAGTTCACATTTCCATTCATTTTTTTCTTTTTCTCCGAATCTTTTTTTGATTGGTTCTGTTTTGATCAAAAATTGAATTTGTTTTGAGTATTAAATTGCAAACTTCTTATATGATTGGTTTTGGATCATTCATTATTCATTAGGCCACCTACAAAAGAAATACACTAGAGAGAATATACAAATCCAATTCGTAATATTTGCATATACAAAATACCATTAAATCAACAAAAACATGGACGGATCAAACTTACAAACTCACCATGTACAGAGCAATACAAACATGTTCTTTGAGTATGTCCCATTTTGATTTAAAACATCTAAGAAGAAGCCTTTTTCTCTTCCATGACTTGAGATCTCAAGTGACTGCAGTAGTAGAAGTAGCTAATAAGAGCTCATGAGCTTCATTCAGCATCCACTCTTCACCGGTTTGACCACCTAAGACCACCAACCTTGTTCCTCCGACCACACAAGTTGTGTGTCCCCACGCAAACCTCGGTGGACTTCCACTAACATTCAATATTCTCCACGCCGGATCCTCCTCCGTTGGTTCAAGCAGATAAAGCTGAGAAGCCGAGTCGAGCCCTGCAACCGAACCACCAAAGATCAAGATCCTCCCACCGGGAAGGCTAATCGCTACATGGTCTAGCCTCGGTCTTGGAGCTGCCATGCCTCCCGGTAAGCTAGATCCATACCCGTTCACAGCTCTCCAACACGGTTCCTCCTCGCTAAGATCCATCGTGTACACATCGTTAGACCGGAATCTCAAAGAACCGGACTTTGCAAGACCGCCAAACATGAGGATCTTGCGGTCACCGTAGACGGTTAAAGTATGTCCGAGGCGAGACGGAGGAGACCACAGAACCGGTATCTCCCTCCAAGTTGGTATAGCCATTGAAAGGTCAAGTAGGAACGTGTCGCTGAGTAGAGCTCCTGAATCAGCACAGCCACCGGATACAATCAGCTTGGTTCCATCGAGTGTGCATGAGCTGTGCCACGATCTTGGTATCGGAGGAGCTAAACCGGACACTTCTCTCCACGTCGGAAGGTCTGCATCAAGGTCTAACAAGAAGACATCGTTGAGTGAACCGTGGCTGCCATAACCTCCAAAAACTACTAAACAGGAACCGTTGACACAAGAGAGCGTGTGTCCCCAGCGGCCCGGAGGAGGAGAGCTGACCAGAATGGACTTCCACTCGGGACTAGTCGAGCCAAGGTCCAACACAAACGTATCATTCATCGGCTGCATATTCACACCTTCCCCGCCGAAGATGACTATCTTGTTCCCAACCGCACAAGCGCTGAAGTTACACCTGGAAGGCTCAACAGTGCCTCCAACCGAAAACTTCCTCCACGCCATTGCTTCATGCGTGGTAAACTCTCTCGCCAGCCGCACCCAACCGATCCTCTTTGCGCCTGGAACGCTCTCGAGGACACGTGTCGCCTCGGTCCCCCATGTGTTTTGACAGACCATTCTCCACACGTCATCGTTCTTTGTCAGCTCATTGAGCCGCCAACACACACAACCAACCGACGCGATATCGCGAGGAGACAGCTGTGACAGTATCTTCACAGCAATCACCTCATCGCTCAGTTCGAATATCCCGCAGAGTCCACGGAAAACGTTACGCTCTCCAATCGGTAATGCAGTGGCGAACGAGCGAGACGTTCTCGGGGTTTCTTTACCATATAAACCAGGAGATGGAGACGGAGATGGGCCGAGATCGATTTTGGCGTCTGTGAAGAAGAGAACGCCTATGAAATGAGTGATTTCGTCTTCTTCACGGATAGGGACTAGACGCAGCTTGTTCATCAAAGGAGACCCATCTTTACGGAAGTTTAGCAACTCGCCTTGAAACTCGATTCCCTTTTCAAGACACTGTCGCATCTTCGAGACAACTGTAGAATCTACTGATGGGTGCCTTCTCTTAGCATACGGCCCTCTACACTGCAAAAACCGGCTGCCAAAAAGGAGAAAGAAACAACTCAGCCTCACAAGCAATACAACAAAGATCAAAACGCATTGCTTATAACACATTTATAATTATGTGATGAATCGGAGATATTAGCAGCTCAATAATGCATAGGAAAGGGAAAAAAATCACAAATTTGAAACATTTTTCTACCTTGGTTGCTCTATAACCAACTTCCAATTTAATTCCATGATTTTTAACATTTAAATGTGAGCCATAAGTATGAATCAAAAGATAAGATCACTCTAGCTCCAAATAGCTCTCTAGTTACATGGTATCAATGTAAAAGGGTAAAGACTCGGCAAGTAGGAGAAAAGTCTGGAAATTTGAGGGCAAAGAAGAAGCAAACTCACCAGTTTCTACCAATAACTTCCTCAGCTCGATACCCAGTGACAATCTCGAAGACGGTGTTTACATAAATGATAGGCTGGTCAGGCTCGAGAGCGTCGCTGACGACAAACCCACACGGCGCCGTTCCGGGAAGACTACCTACCGGAAACGGGATCGGTCCGTTATCCCCGCCGAACCATCCATCCTCAGCCACATCATCGCCGCCGCTGAGATCGGAATCACTATCCCACTCCATTTGATTTTGCATACAGTACACCCAGAAGAAGAAGAAAAAGCTCGAATTTTTAAAACAAACCCAGAAATCGCCTTGTAACCCAGAAGAAGAAGACGAAGAAGAAGAGAGTTTTGATTATGAGCCAAGCAAAAGAGTACGGAGAGAGAGCGAAATCTGATATTTGTAGGTAATGGTAATGGATGTCTAGAGACTCCACCGCCCACTTTCTAGAGGTTAGGGATTCGATGTGAGACGATGACTCAGGATTCTCAGTGCCTCTCCTTTTTCTTTCTTTAACCGGTTCCTCCATTTTTAACCTTCCCGGTTCAATTCCATTTCCGGTTCTAACCATTTCTGTTAGGCAATGTTACCATTTTTTTTACAGTAAGTTTCCTTTTTTTTTACAGTAAGAATCTCTATTAAATATAGATGTGGTCGGCGAAACAAGAGTAACCGTGTGGCTACAATGTCGAACTCCGCCGCCGAAGAGCCGCCACGGCACAAGAAAACGAAGGAGGAGCCACTTCCGCCGGCGTCGTCTTCTCCGTTTACGTCGCTTCCAGATGCGGTAGCTCTGAGCTGTGTGGTGCGAGTCTCGAAACTTGAGCGGGCGGCTTTATCTGTCGTCTCCAATAGCGTTAGGTCTCTGCTGGTTTCGCCCGACTTTAACAAGACGCGATCGCTGTTTGGTCTCGCCGAGAAGCTCGTCTACGTGTGCTTACGCACCCCTCCTCCTGGTCCGGGATCCCCACGCTGGTTCATCTGCCGCATAGAGGAGGATAACCATTGTAATCGACTTTGTCAGATTAGCTCGTCTCGTTCTAATCAGGCTTTGAAATCCTCCGTCGTGTCGCTCGATTGGGGGATCTACGTAATCGGAGGGAAGTTGAACGGTGAGCGTAGCTCCGATGTCTCGCTGCTTGATTGTCGGTCTCACAGGTGGCAAAAGGTCTCGTCTATGAGGGTGGCTCGTGCTTCTGCGGTGGCTGGAGTCGTTGACGGGAAGATTTACGTGTTCGGAGGCTGCGAAGAGAGAGATCTGTGGGGAGAGGTTTTTGATCCAAAGACGCAAACTTGGGAGGCGCTGCCGGATTGTGGTGTAAGGACCTATGGTTTGATTCGTGGCGGTGTGGTGGTGGAGAAGAAGGTCTACGCGGTGGATGCGAGAGAACAAAGATTCTATTACTCTCCAAGTGAAGGTAAATGGGAAGTTTGTAATTATGATTTCACAAGGTGCTGTGTGATTGATGGTTTGCTCTGTTTTTGTGATAGCTTTGGGAATTTGTTTTGGTGTGAGCCCAAGGACATGGCTTTGAAGAAAGTGCATGGTTTGGAGGATCTTGAAAGGAGGGTCTCTGGCTCGAAAGTGTTCCACTTTGATGGATACGTTTCGGAGTTGTCCACATTGACCTCAACCAGGTCCGAGAATGGTATCACCAGAATGTGTAGCTATGGTGGTAACCTTTTGGTGTTTTGGGATGTTGCTGTGGTGTGTGATGGTGATGATGATGATGAGGTTGTTGAGATTTGGTGTGCTGAGATTTCCTTGGAGAGACGTCCCGGAGACGAGGTTTGGGGCAAGATCGAGTGGTCTCGTGCCGTCATGAGCACCGATCCTCTCTTGTATTGCTCAGAGGTCTTACATTCTGTTTCTGTCACTGTCTGATACAAAACGAATTTACATAATTAAAAACCAAACAGGTTCTTCGTTTTGGTGCTTTTTGGATATTTAGGAAGCAAAAACTAAAAACTCAATTGATCTTTTCCTTTCATCATTTCCTCATCAAAGTTGGGCTTATTGTTTATGTGAGATGAAATGTATATTTAGAATACAAAAAGAAACACAAAAATCTACAAAAAAAAAATATACATAATTGATTTAGGACTCTAGATTCTCACGTACACGTAGAGCAAGCCGATGGATGGACTGATCATCAAAGAAAGCATCAAGGGACTTAATCTTGGAAACAAAAACCATGGCTTCACTATACCTGCCTGCTCTGCAATAACCATCAACAACCATCTTATAAGTCAACTCATTCGGTCTGCACTTGTTCTTCCCCATACACTCAATCACATCCTCAATCTCTTCAAACATTCCCATCGCCGTGTAACCCGAAACAAACGTGTTGTAAGTGAAAATGCACGGTCTGATCCCGCGCTCCGACATCTCGGAAAGCATCCTCACCGCTTCTTGCATCAACCCTTTCCTGCAGAAACCTTTGATCACCGTGTTGTAAGAGACGAGGTCGGGTCTTAACTGAGACTTGTCTAGACCCTTGAGGATCTCTTCCGCTTTCCAACACTCTCCTCTTCTCACGTAGATGTCCATGAGGCTGTTGTATGTTACGAGATCCGGGTTTAGCTCGTGCTCGCGGATAGATTGGAGGATCTCGTGTGCTTGATCATACATGTTGTTCCTTGTGTAGATGGAGAGCATCGAGTTGAAAATCACCATGTCCGGTTTGTACCCGTTCTTTTTGAACAGTGTGAATGCTCTCTCCATCCCCGGGAGTGCTCGGCATTTGAAGTTTGCGAGAAGTAACGTTCTCAAAAGCATCCAGCTCGGGAATATATAGCCCTCCACGATCTCCTTCTCGATTCTCTCTATCCCTAAAACGTTCCCTCCCTTAGCATAACACTGAAGCATCAAGGAGTAAGATGTCTCCGTCGGTTTGAAACCTTTGCTTTTCATGTCGGAGATCACATTCTCACCTGATCTCCAATCGCCTTGTCTAGCCAATGCGTTAAGTAACGCGTTGTAAGTCGAAACACAAGCGTTAAAACCGGCTCTAGTCATCTCGCCAAACATTTTCGACGCATCAACATCTGAACCACATCTCCCATACGCACTGATCAACGTGTTGAATGTGTCTCTATCAGGCTCAAATCCGCAGCTCTTCATCTCACGGAACACCCTGTTCACATACTTATCCATACCTTTATTCCCACAGAGAGCAAGCATCGTGTTCCAAGTGACACGATTCGGGGAACATCCATTAGACTTCATATCACAAAGCATCTTTATCATGTCATTCGATCTCGACTTCTTCCCCAACATGCTAAGCACTGCATTGTAAGTGCAAGTGTTCGGAACACAACCGGCTTTCTTCATGCTATGAAACAGCTTCAAAGCCTCTTCCTCCTTCCCTGACTTTCCATACGCATCTATCACCGTAGTGTAAGTGATTGCGTTCGGCATCACACCCTTTCGCGTCATCATCTCAATGACACCAGCAGCTTCCTTGCTAAAACCAGCTCTAACATAAGCAGCAACGAGCTCATTGTACGTCACGGAATCTGCTGGGCAGTTGTTCTCCTCCATCTCTTTCAGAATCTTTAACGCTTCTGTGTAAACTCCTGCTTTACCAAAAACTTGCAACAGGGCATTGTAAGTCACGGTTCCAGGCTCGTAGCCGCTTGACTTAAGCTCAGCGAAAAAGTCCTTGGCTTGTCTTAACAAACCTTCTCTTGCACAAGCAGATAACACAGTGCTACAAGTGAACTCATCAAATTCCAATCCTTTGCTTCTCATTTCGTCTAAAACTGTTAGGATTTTGCTCCAAGATCGACCCATTCGCCCGAAAACATCGAGAACCACGTTGTACGTTACCAAAGTAGGTGAAGGTCCCATCTCTTTCATCCTCTCAAACAGATTGATTGCTCTCTCATACTTCCCTGTGCGTGAATAAGCATGGAGAATGGTCGTGTAAGCGCGAACATCGAGCAGATAGTCTTGCAGAGGAATTTGATCGAGCAGGTTAGCTGCAACAGAGTATTGAGATTCTCTACCTAAGATTCTAACTAAGATCTCGATGACATGGTTATCTAGCTTCAAAGCTCCTGAATTCGAAGCTGAAACTAACCATTCAAACAGCAAAACCGCTCTTTCCCAGTTTCCCGAATCATCTAAACCCTTGACCAAGCTGAACAAATCGGTTCTGAGCAATTCCGATTTCGCGGAATCGAAGAAACTGCTCAATCCGGGCAATGGATGTTCGACGATGGAATTGAGCAGCACGACTTCCTTCTTGCACAGTAACTTCAAAGACCCGTTTCCAAATTTCGCTTCTTCGCTTCCAATTTCGATACCCAGAACGGAACCGGAAACGGGTTTCGCCGATTTCACCTCGTGACGCCATTTATGAGTCGATTCCGTCGAGACCTCGAGAGAAGGGAAACGAGCGGCGGCGGAATTGGCGTGTCGCGGCGTGGAAGAGAGGTGGACGAGATGGTGGAGAAGCGAATCGAGAGGGAAAGACGGAGGAGAGGGAGGAGGTAAGTGAAATGTGGCGGAGCTGAATTTGACGGACTGATTAGCGGATGGAGTTGTTGGTGGAGGTCTTTTGGATTGAATTGGGTATGGAGGTTTGTGAGGGAAGAGTGCACCGTCCATTGAAAGAGACATTATCCGATTGGAGAGGATTGAAATGGTGAAGCAGAGAGTGAAGAAGAAGAAGGAAAGAAAGTTAGCGCCTTTGGATTTGAGAGATGTCGCATTTTGAATGGCCGTAATAACTTCGTCTCTATTGGGCCTTTAAGAATTATCTCCAGCCCAAAGGCTTCAAGCTCGAATCCGACAACGTTTTGCAAGTGAAAAAAGGACACATCACATGATATTTTGTCGGCTGTCGGATTTTTGTACTTGAAACAAGTGGCAAATGTACACCACACTTTTTTAGCTAAATAATTTCTATAGGTTTTTCTTAAAAGGTCTTCTAGAAAATCTAGCTACTAATTGCATTACACTAAACATCTCAAAATGGTTAAAGTTTAAGAATTTGTACCAATCTAAATCGAATTCAGATTGTTCAAAACACGCAACAGTGACACCAATTATTCATTTTCGATCGACTGTGCACATTTTTCCATGCTCAAGTCGTTATATTTGCTCTCTCTGTTCATTCCAAGGATCATTTCTTCTGATCTTTGACAATAGCTTTCATGGAGTCTCTTCTCTCTAGTTCTTCTCTTCTTTCCGCTGGTAACTTCCTTCAACAAATCTCGTTAGATCTATTTCCCTTTGTTTTATAGGTTTTGTTTTCTGATTCAGTTCCATATAAAGTTCGGATTTTTTTTCCAAATAATAAAAAAGAAGTCAAAGTTTCAATTTTTATGAATTTTTTTTTTTTTTGGTTTCAATTTTTATGAATTGTTTAATAGATCGAAGTGATAAACCTTTTTTATGTGGAGAAGCTTAATTTCTGGGGTTTAATTTGAATTATGTTTTCTCATGCATGCAATTTATCAGCTGGTGGTGGACTTTGCTGGAGGAAGCAGAACCTAAAGCTTCACTCTTTATCAGGTGCGTCTAAGGGTTTTAAGGGTTTTTGTAAATCCACTTGATTTCCACTTTCCCTAAGCAAATTTCGTTACGAAATCTGGTCAATCAGCTTCTTAATTGCTTATATTCGATACAAAGTGTTATACTTTTGGGGTTTACAAGACAATGTCTGTTGGAATTAGTTAAGCTTTTGCTGATTTGAGACTCTGATTCTGCAGAAATCCGTTGTAATTCGAGGAAAGTTGTAGCAAAACCGAAGTTTAGGAACAATCTTGTTAGGCTTAATGATGGTCAAGAATCCTCATTTCTGTTGTATCCGAAACATAAGACGAGATTCCGAGTTAATGCCACAACGAGTCAGCCCGAGGCATTCGAACCAAACAGCAAACGAAACACTCTTAGAGACTCGATAGATGCGTTTTACAGGTTTTCAAGGCCTCACACAGTTATAGGCACAGTTAAGTTTCCTCTTAAGAAAACCGAAATCTTTGATTGGTACAACAAAGAAGATAAAATTAGTTTCTGAGATTGGTTTTTGATTTTGGCAGGTGCTTAGCATTTTATCTGTATCTTTCTTAGCAGTAGAGAAGATTTCTGATATTTCACCATTACTCTTCACTGGCATCTTGGAGGTAAATGATAATATGGTTGCAAACGGAAAATTTAAGCTATCTCCTTACTCTATTTTGAACAATTGGGATTTGTTGTCAGGCTGTTGTTGCAGCTCTCATGATGAACATATACATAGTTGGGCTAAATCAGTTGTCTGATGTTGAAATAGATAAGGTAACAAGTATGTTTGTGTGTGTGTGTTCTTTATATGAATCATCAAATCTTCATTAGTGCTTAGATCACACTCTCTCTCTCTCTGTGTTTCTGCAGGTTAATAAGCCCTATCTTCCCTTAGCTTCAGGGGAATATTCTGTTAAAACCGGCATTGCGATTGTAGCTTCCTTCTCCATCATGGTATGATAACATTTTCACAAACTTTGAGTGGTCTGCATAAACATATACGTAACCTAATTTGATTACCAAAACGTTATAGAGTTTCTGGCTTGGATGGATTGTTGGTTCTTGGCCACTATTCTGGGCTCTTTTCGTCAGTTTCATTCTTGGTACTGCATATTCTATCAATGTAAGTAAGTTTTGTCACCTATAGAATTTGGCTCAGATCGAGTTCTTGGTTCTTGTTTTGAGGTTTTAGTAAACTTTTTCCTGTTACAAACAGTTGCCACTTTTAAGGTGGAAGAGATTTGCATTGGTTGCAGCAATGTGTATCCTCGCTGTTCGAGCTATTATTGTTCAAATAGCCTTTTTCCTACATATTCAGGTACTTAAACCATTTTCCTTGTCTTTTGAGTTTCAGTTTCATCAAAATCAGTTTCAGCTGTGAACTTTCTTTGCAGACTCATGTGTTTGGAAGGCCAGTCTTGTTCACGAGGCCTCTTATTTTCGCCACTGCGTTTATGAGCTTTTTCTCTGTCGTTATTGCATTGTTTAAGGTAAAATAAAGATGGAGAAAGTAACTCTTAAAACTTGAAAGTTAAGCATTGTACTCTTTATGGATATGAAGGTTTTCTAATAATGATTTTGATGCAGGATATACCTGATATTGAAGGTGATAAGATCTTCGGAATCCGATCTTTCTCTGTAACTTTGGGTCAGAAACGGGCAAGTTTTCGAAACTCAAGAACTTGTTTTTGACTCTATTGTTGGATGATCAAGATACTAAAAGAAAATTCTTGTTTTCTTGCAAAAAAAATAGGTGTTTTGGACATGTGTTTCACTGCTTCAAACGGCTTACGCGGTTGCGATTCTGGTTGGAGCTACGTCTCCTTTCATATGGAGCAAAGTCATCTCGGTAACAATCTTTTCTCTACTCCATCAAACCACGCTAATTCACCATCGTTTGAGTGATAAAAGGTTTGGTTTTGTTGATTGTTTAGGTTGTGGGTCATGTTGTTCTTGCAACAACCTTGTGGACTCGAGCAAAGTCTGTTGATCTTAGTAGCAAAAGTGAAATAACTTCATGCTATATGTTCATTTGGAAGGTGAGATTGGCTTATAAACATTGTCTTTACCTCATTTTTTCGGATTTAAAAGAGTCTTTTAAGTTCTCATCAAATCCACCATTTACTGATAAGTTCTCCATTTTCTGTCATCAGCTGTTTTATGCAGAGTACTTGCTCTTGCCTTTTTTGAAGTGACATTAGAAGAACAAGAACAAGAAGAAGAAGTAGAGATTAGGGATTTCTCTTGAGACATCAATAGACTGCAAAGTACTATTGCTTCATAAGAAGAAGATTTGTTGACAAAAAAAAATAATGATTACTTTCTTGTGGACCAAGAATAATAATAAGCCTTGTTTGATTTTGGAGAAGAGAGGCATTTGTTTTTATGTACTGTCGCAGAATAATGGGCCATAATGGCCCAATAACATGTAATATTTCCTACAGAAATATTTATTTAGATCTTTTGCTTATTTGGATCATGGATTTGTGACTATTTCTCTTACGCTTGTTATGTAAGTTTTAACTGTTTTATTATGAAATCTTATGTTGTTGGACGAAACACTCTTCAAAACTAGTCCAAAGTAACTCTACTCAATTTTTTTGGTTTGGAAAAAGTTTCTCCAATTCTAGTTCTTACGATTGTTTTATTAGTTAAAAATAAAAATAAAGATCTTCATGATTTTAAGTGATGCTTTAATAATACTACAACCATTCTCCAGCATTCATCCGAAATCATTAGAAACATCGGAAAAAGTTATCAAAACTCAAATCATTTCAAATTCAATGTATTGAATAGTCTCCCTTCGTGTAACCAAGGCGAGAAACTATAGTGGTTCCACTAAATGCTAACATTTGTTTGTTTTGTGAGTATTTAATTCTGATAACACATGTGTTGATTCATTGACGTTTTTCTGTCTTTAATGTTGAGAACGATAAGAAAAAAGAAAAAAAAAAAGATTAATAGTTGAACTAAAATAGGTGTACTTGCTTCTTTATTTCGCACTATTGATACCAACAATTCACAACAACAAGTCATATAAATTTCAGATTCAAACTTGTTATACGACGGACAGGTTAATACAGATTGAAACTTATTTTATTTCAAATTATAGGATGGGAGAAAAGAAAAAAGGTACTTGAAGTGCGGAAACAAAGGATAAGAAGAAAGCTAGTCCATTGAAAGTTGGAGCAAATGGACAAAATAATGTTATGATTATTCTTCTCACATAAACCTTTGAAAGAATATATGCGATTTGTGAAAGAACTTTCATCATGTTCAAAAGAAAGAAATAAAATAATTGTTTATGTAAAATAAGAAAAACAAGAAACTCACCAATAATTCAGCAAAAGTTCCGAAAGTGAGAAGTGGGCACGAAAGTGTACATCTTTGGTTACAATCAAAGAATCCAACACAAAATCAAAGTTCTCAAGATGCTCCATATAGCATATAGCCTCCTTTTCTTTAAGAGCCAATAATTTCTTTTATGATAAAATATACAAATTATTCCATTTGCTTTTTGCTCACAACATTTTCTTCTCTTCTCCTTTTGGGTCCATTGACACAAAATTTTCTTTGAAGCTCCAGCATTCAATGAGGCTAAGGTCTAAAGTAATGAATTTTCTTAGCCGAGTCACTTCAATCTATTCCAATTTTTGTTTTAAGCATCAAAGTCACTGGGTTGGATAAAAGTTAATATCATCTTTTTGTCCAAAAGTTGGTTTAGATGGTTCTTAAACATCCTCGCATTTTTACCTTTTTAGAAGAATAAAAAAATTATTATTCAAGGTTATTAAATATAGGTTATTTTGAGTAAACATAGATTAGATGGTTAGATGACCAACTCAAATTATAGGTTAATAAATGAGGGATCTGCAGACGATTAATAAAGTAAAAATAATCCATAGTCTCCATAAACAATATGCCCCCCCTAACCAATTTAAGTTCCAAGAGTTAGGATCATACTGAATAACCTTTCAAAAATTCTATAACTAACACCAACAAATAAAATAAATATGGAAGTAGTCTTCACCGTCCTAGAATGTCACCTTAATACAGAAGGTTGGCAACAACCGTTTCATTACTCAGCAAAGCTGAAAAGAAACCAAAAAAAAAAAAAAATTAATGGTTTATTAATTACACTTTCACAAATGCTGTATATGTGCCAAGAGACACGTCTAAAGATTTGGTGAGGTTGACAGAAACAATGAGCATTTTATTTTATACTATTTCATCGTTATTCTTTGATAAAAGAATTTTATTGAATCATGGTCATTTTCATGAGCTTTTACCTTAAATTCTTTTTTATTGACATTCTAAATTTGTATGTTCCGTAGCATCTGAGTATTTTTGGACTGAACATTTAGTTTCAGCGGAGGGTTTTTTCATATGAATATACGTTTGAAAGAATAAAATGTAAGTTTCGAGCCTGAGAATCGTATGGCAGAGTGAATAAAGGAATATATCGTACAATCATAATCTTTGACTTTTCACCTGATTCGTTTAAAGTTTTAACTATTTTTTCTGTCAAATGTAACTTCTGAATTTTACATGTTAACAAAACTTTTCTACGGTTTGATCTTTGTCAAAATAGGTAGAGAAATAGCCAAAATAACATGTTAGTCCTCAAATGCAACTAAAAATCATGGTCAAATGAAATATCGATTTAGGCTATCATTTTAATGTTGTGTACAAGGATTTGGTTGCAGATTAAAAAGTAACCATACTGGGGGTTTGAAATGGATCAGATCTATACTAAAAGTTTATTTAGTTACTTATTTAAGCATGATATATGTTTACCTCATAAACCTATATCTACTAAAAACATTAGGGTTACATATGTTTGAATCAATGGAATTAGATGATGAGTGATCGACCCACCGGAAAATAAGTTTGACTATAAGTAAGGATGAGGACAAAACATAGATACTAGCTATATGGACTTTTGTTTGATAACAGCTCTTGATGCGTGATTACTAAAAATAGATTTTACTTCTGTATTGAAGAGAGGCCACGAAATTAGCGATGTACAAAGATGTCCTGATGAAGTGAATCATATGGTATTATATCGAAACAAAAAAGAATCTAATATAAAACTATCATCTGATTCGATTGAGAAGTTCTAACTAACGTGAAATAAACACAAAACCCTTAGGTATACATCAATATTTGGCTCATATAACATAATCCACATATATCATAATGTAACTTCTACTCTTCGTATGAATATTTTTCATTACTTTGATAGATGATGGACAAGAAATAAGATTGTATGTTTAACAAGCATGGGCAAAATCTATTTTGATTATAATGAGATGCGAGAAAGTGGTGGGTACATAGGCAGATGCACAAGCATGGCCAGTGGCCACCTAATAAATTCAAGAAGATACCACAATTATATTACTAATACATTATACATATATTCACATATATTATAACAAGAATAAACTTAGAACTAGTGGTGCCAATCTGTATTTTAATTATAGATGGCCCTTACTATGTGGTTACTGCCCATATGGCCACACACATACACACACAGATATGTATATGCATAAAATGAAAGCATGTTAGGTCCTTAGCTATTTATTTTATCACCCAAAATATTTCCTTGCGCATGAATATTGAATGCCACATGATCACATGTTTATCTTTTTACCTGAAAAACTATAACTAGTATATCAATTTCAAAGAAGAAACTTTGCTATTTTTATTCAAAGTTTTAAATATTTTATTTATTCTTATAGCAAGTCCCTCGACCGTTTACTTGTTAGTAGCACCACAATTTTCTGACATTTTCGCATACGGCATGTACATTTTGAGGTAAAAAAATCGTACTGGATCCCAAACCGAACTTTTGATTAGGTTTTAAAAAAAAATCGGCTTTTAATTTCAATGTGACCTACTTGAATATCTTCTATAATAGAACAAAAATCAAATTGGAAACGGATTTGGATGATATAGAAGCTGTTGGTTTAGTCAGAAAGTATAAGCTATTACCTTGTTTTTAGTTAAGGTTAAAAAAACGATGCTGTTAGGGTTAGGCTATTCAATGCGTGAATTTGCTTATTCTCTTCGTACATGCTGTACGATAAAAAATAAATTCAGATGCGACCAATATTTGTGCAGTTACTTGTGTACTCCTAGCATTTACAATTATATTTGGATGTATACAAACTTTATGGTTAACTAATGGATTTTAAATTAATGCGATTGAGGAACCTCAAATATGGGCGTCTCTGTTATGCGATCGAGGAACATCATAAGAAGAATTCCTTGAGTTTGGTTGACTTAGTTCGATTTAGTTTGGTATAAATCAAAATCAAGTCAACGTAGTTTCGGTTTAGTCTACTAAATATTAATAAAACAAACGTATCGGATCACTTCTACTTGGTTCGTTTTCACTTCAAAACCACTTGGATTAGTTTTGTTTGCTTTGGCTTTGTGCGCTTATCAACTCTTACTTTTTTATACGATGTTTAGCAGATACATTAACTGGATTGTAGATTTGTAGCAGAAAGTCTGCGGATGTTTATCTTTTCTATTTTTTATAACTATAATTGTGATATCTTGGTTTTTTTGGTGAGAGTTTTTTTGTATATAGATGTTTATTCTTTTTGTATACAATTCAACACCCTATTGCCTATTCTCTCGGGTTGACCTGGAAATATATAACGAAAAGAAAGAAAGCAAGACCACTAATATTCTATCACGTGTTTGGTTAAATTTTGACATGTATTATTTCTTTCTTTCATCAACAATTGTGACATGTTATCTACCTAAGGATGTGTTTTACAATTTCACACTAAATAAGAGTTTTGATTGATTCCATTACTATTATACTATAGCTAGGATCTTTCTTCTTCTTTCTAACCATGAGATTATGCTGATGCATAAGAGTTTTGATTGATTCCGTTTCTAATATTCAGTTTTATACAATAACATATGCTGATGTATATAAATCATGCATATATTGGTGCACATGTCATCCTTTTATATATTGGACTCTTATTGTTCTACTTCCACAGTTAAATATTTTGTGTAGAGGTGCGTGTCTTGTCTACATATACATGTGGAGAACCAAAAGGGTACACATATCATATGTTATGTGGTCTCTTTCATGAAGCCAAAAGATGGGACAAAAGAGCTTAGATTTTTCTGATTTTTTATGCCTAAATAATGTCTTTCATCGCAATGACCTATCTTCAATTTAGACTAAGTTCTAGTTTGCCCCATCTTTCTCTCCTTGGCCAACCTTTACACACTCACATATATATTATCATATGTGTTCTAATGTTATCTTGATTTGTCGTTATCTTCAGAATCAATGAAGATTCAACCAAAACTAAGATATGGCATTAAATAATGTAAAAGTGAAAACGAAAGTACCTAAACGGTAAGAGTGGCTTTCTTGTCTTTTTATTTGGCTCACCCATAAGTCAACCAAAGTTTACATTTCTTCCCAAGAACAAATAATTGTGCTGTAAACTATAGTATGTAATTAATTTCAGAATCTAAGATGTTTTTGGTTGTATTTAGAACATTACCGTTTGAATACATACGTAAACACCACCAGAATTTTGTTAATACTCCTACAAGATTTTCCTTTTCTTGCTGCATTTATTTCAATTGATTTCTAACAAATAAAAAAAGTTGGGGTCAAGTGGGTTCACACATCACGAGATTCAGTGGACTTAGATTTCTTATGATAATCACAGAAGCTGTAGTTAGTACCACGGATCCACATAGCTTTTCTTCTTCTTCTTCTTTCACGTCTGTGATGTATAGTGATGGACCGTACAAGTGGCAACTTTTGATTGGATGTATCTGTCTGTCACCTACGTAAATGACAGAACCTTAAAAGCTTGGTAAAAATAAAAACAGTTTCTTCTTCTTCGTAACGGGTAACGGTCCCGTTAGATTTCAGTGGAGTTAAAGTCCCCACTCTATTGCTCTCAGTAGCATTTAAAACCTATTGCACGACAATCAATGAGACTTGACGCCTGTTTCGTATTCACTGTAACGGTCGTTGGATTCTCTAACTGTAAAATAAATTCAAACGATAGATAAACTAAACTAAAAAGTACTCCACAAGTTAGAAAACAAAAACTGGATACTACTACAATTTATACCGTTTGAAATCATTGTGAAAATATTTGTAAAGTTCTGATCTAAATCCACATGGAGAATTACCATAGACTGAGATTTACTATATGAGTTCTTCAAATGTCCACCAAAAGTGCCATTTGTATTAAAAAAAAAAGGGGAAAGAAATGACATCTTCAACAAATGCAATTTTATAAAATGACATGACGATACTTGTCCTATATAAAATGATATTGTAAGATGTAATTCTCTAAGAATACAGCATAGTGCATATATTGTTGTTACATATTCTAACATTGGTTGATTGGGATATTTTGAACTCTATGGATTCATTCTCTGCTGTCAAGAAAAAAAAATCCATTAGATCCTTGTATCTGTAGAAAATTTCAAACAATTTTTTGTTTATTGATAGATCTTAAAATAACTTTTGATGTATAAAATCACTATTTTCAGATATTTTCATAGAATATTACCATTTTGCTTTCGAATATCAGCTAAAACTTAGGCTTATAATTGTTTGATACTAGTTACTAGCATAACCTATGTGTGCATTTATGTGTCATTTTGACACCTTCTCTATAAATTAATTATTTTCCTCTATATATAGTACATAGGATTCTAAAATGGCATTCCGTATGGAGTATTTGTTCAAACAAGAATAACAGATAAATTGCTGTCGCAAAAATTTATTCGAATTCAGTTACTTAAAATATATGAAATTTTCATCCTCGATGGATACTATAAACACACTTCTGATCACTGATAATTGTGAGTACTGAAAATAACTTATTTTAATACGAATCTAGAATTTCTTGATCCAGATGGTTGTTCGAAGAAATTCATAAACATTATCAGAAGTTTAAAACAAACATAAGATAAAAATAAAAATAAACAGCAAGAGAACAAGCAACTAACTTTTGCTTATCTCGAGTTTGACGAAGGCGTGTGAGGCCGTACATGTGCAGAATTCTCAGGGTACTACAAGCATACAAGGGAAATTGCCAAATTGGGGTAGATAGTGATTTTGGAAAGTGAAATTAAACAATCTTTATATTATTAATTGAGAAGTACATTCTAATGTTTGGATACAAGAATTAGAGAAACATCTATTTGGATAGAAGAATAAATGGAAACAAAAGTTGTTTGGATATAAGAATAAGAGAAAAATCTATTTGGATAGAAGAATAAATGGAAAAAATTGTTTGGATACAAGAATAATAACTTAAAATAAACCGATGGTTTAGAAAACTTCCGTTTTCCATCTCTTAAAAATCTGCAAAAAAAAAACTTAACATAATCTAACGATAATTCCAAATCAATAGAATATGCTTTTTGGATTTTCGGGTTTTTATAGACAAGTTCGGGTTTGGGTGAAAATCTGAGACATAATTTTATAGAGATATAGAAATTGTTCGGGTTTCTTTGAAAATTTCTGTTCGGGTTAGGTTCAATTTTTTTTTCAGTTTAGGGTTTTCCGGATTTTTTAGATTTCTGGTTTTCGGGTTTAGATATATTAAAAAAATTGAGTATTTTAAAATTTTGATTAGGTATTGGGGTCGGGTTCCGGGTGAAAAAGTTTCCAGATTTTTTTTGTTCAGTCAGGGTTTTCGGGATTTTTTTGATTTCGGATTTTCATGTTTAGACCTATTAAAAAAGTTTGGGTTTTTAAATTTTTTGATTAGGGTTTTTTGTCGGGTTCGGATTTAGGGTTTAAATTTTCTACACAAAACAACAACGTCACACCGCACAAACGTGCGGGTACTTTACTAGTCTGTTTTCTTGACATAGAAGTATAAAAAGGGCCACTTAGTGAAATAACCAAAAGCAATGTGAAAAATGGTGAAAGAGCTTGTTAACTTCTAAAAAATGGTTTAGTAATGTAAATGTGATATTCTCATACTTAAGTCGAATCTTCTCCTTGCTTGTCTGGAAATGGAGCCAAACTACACTTGTGAATAATTTAAGCAAAGTGCGTGTAACAAAAAGAAAAGCAGCCAATGTCCATTGTCCACTTTGTAATGTGGCAATGGTATGATAAATCTTGTTACTTTTGAGACAACGAAACCGAGAAGAATCGGTAACATCATGCATTCAGTTGGAGGATGATAATACAAATAATTAGGCTACAAATTATGGGTCTGAGAAAAAAAAGATCAAATTCAAGAAAATCTAAATCACATTACGTAGGGGAGGTGCATTATTGAGGGACCCAGCACGATCAAAAGTCAATACTTCCTTAGCGATATTGATGAATAAAAATAAAATTGAAACCATTTTCGTTATATTAAAGATAAAATAATATCCACAACATGTGAATCGTTCCAGCAATTGCTGACCTTGCCATGAGGCACCTTGGAAGAGCCATTGTTGCTTCATTACCATCCTTTAAAGCCATAGTTATGAAATTAGGAATTTCGGATTACATTCACTTTTGTAATGTTTTATATATATATATATATATAAATCAGACCGATGTCATCTCATTTTTTCCCCCTACCATACCTAACTTTTTTTTTTTCGTTCTTACCATCACATATGTCATATAAAAAGTAAAAGTTAGTATAATAGGAAACCAAGTTAAGATTAAATTTGCACAACTCTTCGGGAACCAAAACCCAATTTTAAGCATATTCAGTTTTTGTATTATTATGAACTGTATAGAGATTTGGTTTTACTAATTAATCAGTTTTCTATTCACAAAAGGGTAACATTCAAGGACTTAAGATTGATCATACTATTATTATATATCAATACATCATATATACCTACAAATATTAATAAGGAACACGAATATCTACAGCTTATAACATTTTCTTATCATAACTCAATATGTAAATAAACTTATTGCGAATGTAATATTTCAATATTTTTTTCAAATGATATGTATCTATATCCAAAAAAATTAAATCAAAAACTGAAACTTTTGTGTGTGTGTTAAATTTGTCATATCATCATCATAAATTGTGTTAATTATAAAATCTCGCTTAATTGTTTACTGCTGGGATTTTTGAAGTTTCTATAATTTGAAAAAAATCACATCACCTTTTCATTATATATTCCATAAACAAAAACAAGGCAATCAATATTAAAATTTGATGCTAACCACAAAAAAACGGTATAATATCTGATTATAATTATAAACCAGAGAAAGTCAAATACGTTTTCCAAGTGAGAAGGGACCCATAAAAATATAATCAAAGAAACCATTGATGGACACCAAATCATAATCAACGGTGGAAAAACGAAAAAAAAAAGAGGTAAATAAAAACAATATTAGTAATAGAGAGTCTGGTACGGGACCCACATAAAACCAAAACGGTGAACCATTTCGTCGTTTTAACTCGTATAAAACGGGAGACGTATCTCCTTTGCAACAGAAGCTCGCTTCACCCACTTTTTTCCTTTCTCTCTCTCTCTGGTGTGTGTGTGATCGAGTGTTGAAACGACAGAGAGAGACGCCGTTTTGGATTCCGTGTGAAGGAGCAAGGAAGGAGAGGGGAGAAGCGAGATGTCAGGTCTCGAGGATATCAAGAACGAGACTGTTGATTTGGTAATTTTTTTCATTTCTTATCTTCTGGGTTTGAAATCAGCTGATACCACTGTGTTGAATCATGCCCAGAAAGTGTTCGATGATTTGCTTGAGTGAGGAAATAGATCTGTGTCGTTTCTTTTTGCATGATTGTTTTGGTTTTCTGCTGAAAATCGGTGATTTCAATTTTTCCGATGATCGGATACTTGCCTAAAATCGCAGATTTTCCTCTGAGAAAAATTAATTGGGGTTTTTCAATGATCTTTTTCTTTCCTTATTTTCCGATGATTCTATTTTTTTTTTCATGGATTAAATTATCATTTTGTTAAAAATAAACCGAGGATTTTCAGGGAAATTAAATCAGTAAAGATATAAACTTTTTAGTCGAGATTTAATCCGACTTTAAATTAGGGAAAGAAATAGAACTCTTTTTTATATAACTTTTTAGGAATTACCCAAAAACAGTTTGTATTACTGTTCATCAGGAAAAAAGTAGATCTATGGAAAACTATACACATGTGAAACACTGTAGGCAAAAAAGATAAGAAAATGAGAGCGTCTTTTAGTGGTGGAGCTAAGCTACGTTTTAATAAAAGTCTTTTTCCAAAATATTAATTAAGAAATTGATACATAAAAAGAAAAGTTGAATTTGCTTGTGATGTAGTCTTCTTTATTTTATCTTTCTCGCTTTACAAAAAAATTAGTCTTCTTTTTTGCTGTTAAAGCATTTCTAATTACTCTTATCTTCCACCCATAAAAATACAAGGAAGAGTTTTAATTATTAAGGAATAGAAATTTCTTTCCTTTTTGTTTAGAAATGATGTACCTTTCCGTAGTACGTTTTTTTTTTGGAAAAACTTGTCTTTTTGCAAAACATTATTCAACCGACGCAACTTGTGAATTTTTTTTTTGTTCTCGATGGTTTTATGACCGAAATACCCTTAACCGGACCTTGGCTTTCACGCCGGAAAGTAGCCACCTTTCATGGAGGGAATCACGCAGCGCGTGTGTTACACGTCTCTAACACGTGCATTGTAGCTACTAGTAGTGGTAGTGGTGGTCCCTGCCGCCTCCTCCACTGCCAGATTCATTTTTTTTTACCTTTCATTGTCACTAACTTGAGTCAACGCCACTCTTCCGAGTCGCCGATTTGTATGAAACTAATAAAAGTTTTCCTTTTTTGTTTTTCCCTTTTGTGGTTTGAAGATGTTACACCATTCTTCTGTACGAGTTGCTTCTATCAATGTGACTCTGATCGAAATTTTCTTGGATTTTCAGGAAAAAATTCCGATTGAGGAAGTTTTCCAGCAGCTAAAATGTACAAGGGAAGGATTGACGACGCAGGAAGGGGAGGACAGGATTCAGATATTTGGCCTCAACAAGCTCGAAGAGAAGAAGGTTTTGAGCTTGACTAAGCATTGTTGTATTCTGGTATTATATCCTGTTGTGAATTTTCTGGGAACTCACGAGGTTGATCTTTCATGAAAAATAAACAGGAGAGCAAAGTTCTGAAGTTTCTGGGGTTCATGTGGAATCCGCTTTCATGGGTTATGGAAGCTGCGGCTATCATGGCCATTGCTTTGGCCAATGGTGATGGTAGACCTCCGGATTGGCAAGATTTTGTGGGTATCATCTGTCTGCTTGTTATCAACTCCACAATCAGTTTCATTGAAGAAAACAATGCCGGAAACGCTGCAGCTGCTCTCATGGCTGGTCTTGCCCCTAAAACCAAGGTAATGTGTTGCAGAATGCTGTGAAGTTTCATTACTCTACAGGTTTTCGTTTTGAGACTTCTCATGGCTGGTCTTGCCCCTGTTTTTTGTTTGTTTTCTTACTGTGATGTTTCTGGTTTTCAGGTGCTTAGGGATGGAAAATGGAGTGAACAAGAAGCTGCTATTCTTGTCCCAGGTGATATTGTTAGCATTAAACTTGGAGACATTATCCCAGCCGATGCCCGTCTTCTTGAAGGTGATCCTTTAAAGGTTGATCAATCTGCTCTGACTGGCGAGTCTCTTCCTGTGACCAAGCACCCGGGTCAAGAAGTTTTCTCTGGTTCAACTTGTAAACAAGGAGAAATCGAAGCGGTTGTTATAGCCACAGGAGTTCACACCTTCTTTGGTAAAGCTGCTCACCTTGTGGACAGCACTAACCAAGTTGGGCACTTCCAGAAAGTTCTTACATCCATTGGAAACTTCTGTATCTGTTCAATTGCTATTGGTATTGTGATTGAAATAATCGTCATGTACCCTATTCAAAGAAGAAAATACAGAGACGGAATTGACAATCTCTTGGTCCTCTTGATCGGTGGTATCCCCATTGCTATGCCAACGGTCTTGTCCGTGACTATGGCTATCGGCTCTCACAGGCTGTCTCAGCAAGGTGCCATCACCAAACGTATGACTGCCATTGAAGAAATGGCAGGAATGGATGTTCTGTGCAGTGACAAAACCGGGACACTAACCCTCAATAAATTGAGTGTGGATAAGAACTTGGTTGAGGTTTTCTGCAAGGGCGTTGAGAAAGATCAAGTCCTATTATTTGCAGCTATGGCGTCAAGGGTTGAGAACCAGGATGCTATTGACGCAGCTATGGTTGGAATGCTTGCTGATCCAAAGGAGGTATAACTCTTTTCGGTTTGAATTACTTTTATAGTAAAATGAGCATTCGAGAAAACAAGTTCTTATGTTTCATTTGGATTCTCTTAGGCCCGAGCTGGAATCAGGGAAGTTCACTTCCTTCCATTCAACCCTGTGGACAAGAGAACTGCTTTGACTTACATCGACGCGGATGGTAACTGGCACAGAGTCAGCAAAGGTGCTCCAGAGCAGGTGATGAATCTTCTGCTTTCCCCTGCTGATGTTGGTTTTCTCTTTTATGCGGTTCACTAATTCGAATCTATTCTCCCACACAGATCCTGGACCTTGCCAATGCCAGGCCTGACCTTAGGAAGAAGGTACTTTCTTGTATTGACAAGTACGCTGAACGCGGTCTTAGGTCATTGGCAGTTGCTCGTCAGGTACTTATTTACCAGTCGTCTTATCTTTTCAGACTTCTTTTGCCTTTATTTTTGCATGGAAACAAATGTTAAACCTTCTGTTCTTAATTCCTTTTTAGGTGGTCCCCGAGAAAACAAAAGAAAGCGCAGGTGGACCATGGGAATTTGTTGGCTTATTGCCTCTTTTTGACCCTCCAAGACACGACAGTGCTGAAACCATTCGTAGAGCTTTGAATCTTGGTGTTAATGTTAAGATGATCACCGGTAAGTAATACTTATTCATCAAATTTTCCATAAAATCCATGGCTATTTAGATGTTTTCCCCTAACTTGCGCTCTGACTATGTTGCCAGGTGATCAACTTGCTATCGGTAAGGAAACCGGTCGCAGACTTGGAATGGGAACCAACATGTATCCATCTGCGGCTCTTCTCGGCACTGACAAGGATTCGAACATTGCATCCATTCCTGTTGAGGAGTTGATTGAGAAGGCTGATGGGTTTGCTGGAGTCTTTCCAGGTTATAACTTGCTTTCAATCCTAAACCCTGTCATATGTTCACTAGAAAAGTTTTGTTCATCAGCTTGCTTCTTATTGCAGAGCACAAATATGAAATTGTGAAAAAGCTGCAAGAAAGAAAGCACATTGTTGGAATGACTGGTGATGGTGTCAACGATGCTCCTGCTTTGAAGAAAGCTGACATTGGTATTGCTGTGGCCGATGCTACAGATGCTGCTCGTGGTGCTTCAGATATCGTTCTCACCGAACCTGGATTGAGTGTTATCATCAGTGCAGTGCTCACTAGCAGAGCTATCTTCCAGAGAATGAAGAACTATACCGTGCGCATTCTCTTAATTTTATTCTTATATCATGCCCACTACTTGTGTTCGTTTGCACCGGAGACTAATAATTTTTTCTTTTTCCTGCTTCCCACAGATTTATGCAGTCTCAATCACAATCCGTATTGTGGTAAGTAGACACCTCCGTATATCTATCTATCACTTGTTTAGCATGATTTTTCTATTTCTGTGTACTGATCATATTGCGTTGTAACTTTTGCAGTTTGGTTTCATGCTTATTGCTCTGATATGGGAATTTGACTTCTCAGCGTTCATGGTTCTGATTATTGCCATCCTTAATGACGGTAAGCAAATGACTTTACATTTATACATAGCCTCCTAATACTTAGTCATCTTTATCTTATAATGGTAATGTGTGTTGCCATCTTATAGGTACTATCATGACAATCTCAAAGGACAGAGTGAAGCCATCTCCCACACCTGATAGCTGGAAGCTCAAAGAAATTTTCGCCACCGGAATTGTTCTGGGAGGCTACCAAGCCATTATGAGTGTTATTTTCTTCTGGGCTATTCACAAGACCGACTTTTTCACGGTAATCATCATCAATTTGGTGCTCAGGGATTATATATTGCCAGGCCTTTTACTCAAGAGTCTTAAAAGTTATGTCACCTTTGATTCTCGCAGGACAAGTTTGGTGTGAGGTCAATCAGGGACAATAACGATGAGCTAATGGGTGCTGTTTATCTACAAGTTAGTATCATCAGTCAAGCGCTTATCTTCGTCACGAGGTCAAGGAGTTGGTCGTTCGTTGAACGTCCTGGTGCGCTTCTGATGATTGCATTCGTCATTGCACAACTGGTAAGGACTTCAAACACAGATATATATATTTTCAGAAAAGAAACCTGTTAAAATTCACTCACCACGCCTTCCTCCAAAAAAATATGCAGGTTGCAACTTTGATTGCAGTATATGCAGACTGGACATTTGCGAAGGTGAAGGGTATCGGTTGGGGATGGGCTGGTGTGATATGGATTTACAGTATTGTGACATACTTCCCGCAAGACCTTTTGAAGTTTGCCATTCGATACATCTTGAGTGGAAAGGCTTGGGTCAGCTTGTTTGATAACAGGGTACGCGCAACGCTACGCTACTAACTCCCTCTCTGACCTCTCTTTTGAATACCCTGATGGTAAATATTATGCTAATTGCTTCTGCTGTTGCGTTAACAGACCGCTTTCACGACCAAGAAAGATTACGGTATTGGAGAAAGAGAAGCTCAATGGGCGCAAGCTCAGAGGACACTGCACGGTCTGCAGCCGAAAGAAGACGTTAACATCTTCCCAGAGAAAGGAAGTTACAGAGAGCTGTCCGAGATCGCCGAGCAAGCCAAGAGAAGGGCCGAGATAGCTAGGTAAGTGCTTGGTTAATTAATGAAACCGCCGAAAAACTGGAATTGTTGATTGATTCTGATTGGTGACATGCTTTGATCTTATCTTGTGACAGGCTTAGGGAGCTTCACACGCTGAAGGGACATGTGGAATCAGTCGCAAAGCTAAAGGGCTTGGACATTGATACAGCAGGACATCACTACACTGTGTAAATGCAGTTGCTCGACACAAACATTGCCAAAACACCAACCAATCATGACTCCTCTTTTGTTTTGTCTTCGAAATTCTCTCTTTTAAGATCATTTACAGTAGAGGGAAGAGAACTTTGTGTATTGTCATAACTCTTCCAAAAACTCCTTTTTTTAAAAAATTGTTAGTCATTGTTCCTAAACTTCTACTCAAGCTTTGCAAAATTTGCATTTGAAGAAACAAGGCTTTTGCCTTGGTGTTTTCGCACTTTTGCTCCACATCTCTCGTTTCCGTTCTTGTATGTTTGATGAATTTTATTTGAATCCAATATTTTAATCATATTAAGGTACTTGTCTAGTTGTCTCTAGTACATAGACCATGTCTGAGCCAAAAACATGCGTGTAACAGGTGTATATATATAAATAATTATTCATTTATCTCTCGTACTCTCTCTCTCACTCTCAAATGCTGGAAATTGTTGACGGAGAATATATAGACCAAATCAACAATGCTCGCCTCGCCGTTAGATTGGGGATATCATTTCTTAGAAGAAATGTGCTCCTATTATGCTTTGTCTTTCAATTTCGAGGAGGTGGCATGAGGCTTGTAATTGATGATGGCATGAGGCTTGTAATTTGATGTGGCGATCGATAATTGGATCCATATATGTGGCGAGTTTTTGGGTTTTCGTTTTCCTCTCTTTCGATTAGGGGATTAGTAAATGATTTCTTACATGAAAACAAAGTATCCAAAACTATCGATCATGTACTCGCTTTGCACACTTAGCAGTAGACTATAGTCAGCTTAGTCTAGCAGACGTTTCGTGACAAAAATTCTATCTAAATTTAGCTGTCTAATATTTAAAGAGACTATTTATCTGAATCATTCTCGCTCGTATTTACTTTTCAGCTTGCTCTCGTGTGGTAGCTGTTGATAGCACTGGTGTGCGTGTAAGGACAAGACTTTGTTGGAATCTCTAAAGTTCCGTCAATACTTTGAGCTTTACGCAAAGGTATGTTTCATCTCTATTGTGAATACAAAGATCTCATTGAATTATTAACCATTTTATATCTTTGACTAGTATAAGTTTTCACTTGTTTGTTCAACAAGAAGAAGATGCATTAGAGTCACACAAGACGCAACCAACTCCTGAAGAAGCAACCAAAGCTGTAAGTTAATTGTAATGTCTTGTTGAGTTCATGAATGATGAAGATCTATTTAGCCTTTTACTAATGGTTGGATGAAACCAACTTGCACACCTCTATAGAAAGTCTCCCTGAGGAGTTGATTGATGAAATTTTTTCTAGAGTTGGTCCACAAAAAGCATGTGCTGCTGTTTCCCGAACTTGGTGTTATCTGTACCGTTCGAGACTAAAAGAGCTGATATTACGTGAATGGCCATTGAGTTCGGAGATCTTTCCTCTCAAGGCCAGGTGAGCTTCATTTTCGTTTTCAAATTCTACCTTTCTAACATCAATTTTCAGTGCTCTCGACATCCAATTCTTCGATTTCATTTTTGTTAGCTACTTCAAGAGTGAAGTCTACCGTTCGAGACTCAAGAGAGATACTACAGGAACCGGCTCCAGCTCCAATGCCTTTGACTATATTTCCTCTAAAGGCCAGGTGCCTTTGAGTCTCTACTCTACTATATTTCTCTCTAGGAAACCATAATGTAAATTCCATATCCTCCTAGTAAGTAAATATAGCAGTTGTGGTACTTGCCTTTTATTTAATTTTGGGAGAGTGATTGGAATAATTTCCTTTTCTTATTAGATATATGACAATTTCTTATTAGATTTTTTCCTTTTTGTCATATATTAAGGAAAAAAAGGTGTATATAAATACAGGACCGTTCCTGAATAATTAAAACCTAATCAAACCCTAAGGAAAAAGAAATCAAATAAAAAACCAGAGCGTTCCTGAGTTAATGGCTTCTACAGCGAACCCTAGCGGTAGGAGGAGAGTCGGCGGAGCAATGGATGGCGAGAAATTGGTCTTCGGGTCGAGCGAAGGAGTCGAGACCATCGGGAGTTTCGAGGAGATGGGGATTAGCGAGAATGTTCTTCGCGGTATCTACTCGTACGGTTACGAGAAGCCCTCGGCGATTCAGCAGAGGGCGGTTATGCCGATTCTCCAAGGGCGCGACGTTATTGCTCAAGCTCAGTCCGGAACGGGAAAGACCTCTACGATCGCTTTATCCGTCTGCCAAGTCGTCGACACTCGGTGCAGAGAAGTCCAAGCCTTGATCTTGTCCCCAACAAGAGAGCTGGCTTCACAGACACGCAAGACGATACAAGCTATTGGGCTTCACGCCAACGTCCAGGCACATGCATGCATCGGTGGGAAGAGCCTTGGAGAAGACATGAGGAAGCTGGAGCACGGTGTCCATGTTGTGTCCGGGACACCTGGCCGTGTCTTTGACATGATCAAGAGGAGAAGCCTACGCACCAGAGCTATCAAACTCCTGATTCTCGATGAGTCAGATGAGATGCTGGGCAGAGGATTCAAGGACCAGATCTACGATGTTTACAGATACCTCCCACCCGACCTTCAGGTTTGCTTGGTCTCCGCCACTCTTCCTCGCGAGCTTCTGGAGATGACGACCAAGTTCATGACGGATCCGGTGAAGATTCTTGTGAAGCGTGACGAGTTGACTCTTGACCAGATTAAACAGTATTTCGTCAATGTTGAAAAGGAGGACTGGAAGTTTGAAACACTTTGTGATCTTTTCGACACGCTTACCATCACTCAAGCTGTTATCTTCTGCAACACGAAACAAAAGGTGGACTCGCTTAGTGACAAGCTGAGGAGAGAAAACTTCAGCCTCTCATCCATGCACGGGGACATGCCCCAGAGGGAAAGAGACCAGATCATGAATCAGTTTCGGTCCGGTGAGAGCCGCGTTCTTGTCACGACAGATGTGTGGGCTCGTGGGATCGACGTGCAGCAAGTTTCTCTCGTCATCAACTATGATCTCCCCAACACCCGTGAGCTCTACATCCATCGTATTGGACGCTCTGGTCGTTTCGGGCGTAAAGGTGTTGCCATCAACTTTGTTACCAACGAGGATCTCAAGATTCTCAGGGACATTGAGCAATACTACAGTACCCAGATTGACGAGATGCCAGCAAATTTAGCTGATCTTATCTAAATTATTACATGTCATTCAGGGAAAAGTTTTTATTAGCTTTCATTTTATTAATGTAGAGAATTTTTTAAAATATATCAAATTATGGTGTTTTTCTTTTCTACTCTGAAATAATAACTAGAAACGAATTGAAGAAGACAAAACAAAGGATTTGGGTAACACATGCTGTTTTTGGATGTATCACAACCAACAACAACTTCAAATTAAATTGTGTAAACATGAACAAATAAAATATAGTAGATTCTCATTGACCACACTTCACATATTTAACTTGATTGACTATATAAGTCGGGCATAAAATATCTAAATCGAGCTTCTAAATTTTAAATTTATCCAAATTGAATTTCTAGATTCTGCCTATTGATTATATCTTAATTCCCTATCATATTTTAAAGAAAAAATATTACTCTATCAACGTTATGAAAAATATATGTATGTTCTTTTCTTAAAAATTAATTAAAGGAAAAAGAGAACTAGTTTAGCTTTAAGGAAACATATATTATTTTTATTTTTATATTAAAATAAGCTCACTTTCTTGAGGATTAAGATAAAGAAATAGCTAACTTTCTTTGTTTGATTTAAGGACAACGCATGTGAAACAATTAATTATTTTATATTCAAGAAGTGTTATCTTGAACAAGAGATTTTAAAACAAGCATCTGCAACTCAAGACATACAATGTAGCTTCCAATCTCACCCAACATCTCGTCCATGTTCATCTCTTCTCCACCAGGCAAAAGCTTTTGCAATTCCTTCAATCTCTTCTTGATCTCTCCTCCTCCTTCTTCGTCGTCTTGTTTATAGTTAGATCTTTCCAGAATCTTGGAAGATTCACTAGGATCTTCATGAACGGACGATAATAGCTTGTGTTGCAAGAAACGGCTCCACGCGAACTCTTGAGCAGACAAAGCCAAAGCCATGTCTACTTCATGTTTCACGGTTTGTTCGAAACTTTTGTGGTTGACTTGTGAAGAGGTTTTGTTTATGTTGATCTTGTTGAGAGCTGGAACCAAGTGACTCGCGTATCTTCTCGCGAAGACAGCCTTTGGGCTCTTGTTTGGTTGGAGAGAAAAGACTCGTTGTCTCTTGTTCATAGTTTGCCTCTCCATATGATAATTTGTTTGCTTCGTAGGAATTTTACAAAGGAAATACTTATATATAGCCAAAAGCTCACAAGAGAGAGAGAGAGAGAGAGATCCTACGATTGTGTATAATGATGTGGGGGACGGAGTAATGCTATAGGTAGAGCTCATGTGATATTTGACACGATCACACTTTATGGAGTTATTACTTTGAATATAAATGACTTAATTTTTTTGAGAATTAATACTGGTATGTTAAATAATTGATTTGTTTTTCTTTTAAGTTCAAGATGATTTAGACTGATGATATTTATGTGGTCAATCAAGTACTCTAGTAGTAACAAGTGAAATTTTCATATAATTTGCGAAACGATGAGATAAATCACGATATGAACTAGACACGTTTTCCTTTCGTCACTTCATATTTTACATGACTGTTGCAAATCTTTAACAGGAAAAAAACAAACTTTAATTAATAAGTACCAAGTTTGTAGAAAATATGTAAAGATATTATGGTATAGCCTTCAGAAATGTTTTTAAATTAATTAAAAATGTTAATCAGAATTACAGGAGCTTATGAATGTAAGAAAAAGAAATGGTACATAGTTTAAACGACCACCAAATATCACCAGCACAGGATCATAGAAGTTAATTGAAAGATAATGAAATTCGAGAGGGGAAAAGAAAAATAAGAAGAAAGTGAATAATGGGTGAAGGAAGAAAAAAAAAAACACATGGAGTCACATGGAAGAGCTCTAAATTTGGATGCATCATACCTACCCTAAAAGAGAGGAGGATTCAGTTTCTTCTTTACCATGTGGCTTCATTGCCAGAATATGAAGACATCAACACTCAAAACCCCACCTCCTATTAATACCTTCACATGTCTCTCTCTCTCTCTCTCTCTCTCTCTCTCTCTCTCTCTCTCCCTACACACACATCCACACATACTTGTATAGTTGTATATTGTATGATTTTATGTATGCATGCATGTGTGCATGTGTTTCTGTGTCGTCCTTGATTTTACTCATTTGTTCTCTCTTTGTCCTTTACCTCTACTTTACCTCCCCTCATCAGTTACTCCCCTTTTGATCATTCTCTTTGGATGTACTTGTGTGACTTTGATATTATTGGTTTTCACTATGCACCCACATCTCTCTTTGTGCAATTTAAAAGACAACAAACTATATTAAACTTAGAGTTTATATTACAATGTTACAAACTAACTGTTTTATGTTGGTAGATACCATCTTATTTTAGCAACACAAATAGTTAATTAGATTCCGCTTATTAACCAATGCGGTGGGCGAGTGATCGTAACATTTAAAAAGAATTGGTTTTCGTTGGTAAAACTAAATGATATGATTTTTTTTTTTTTTTCAAAATATTTTCACGTATTTCAATATACAAAAAGTTGTGAACCACACTTGAACCGCCCTAATTTGTGGTGGTTGAAGGTAATTCACGAAATATGGCAAAAATGTATTAAGCATACCGCACATGAACCACATTGCATATGGGTTGTTTAGTGAATAGTGACAACGCACCGTATCGCACTTTTTTCCGCAATGCAACCCATTTTTACAGCTCACAATACACAACAAGAAAGTTAAGGCCTAAGGCGTTAGTAATTGATAATTTCTTATTGTCCAATTTTAAGTCTGAACCACGCTATGAGATTATGAACGGGGTTTAAACCCTCTATATCTAAGAGCCACTTAAAGTTCAAATCGATTTTGACCAATCTTATTTGTTTTCTAGATATGTTAAGAGCTTTCTATGAAACTGTGTAACTCCGTACATTAAAAAAATGCACATCATCTGAAAAAAAAAAAAATCTAACTGCGCACATTAAATCATAATTTATAACCAATGAAACCATTTTGTCGGTTTGAATGATGAGAGATCGTACAATGCTGTCAGAAAATTTGTACAAGTTTTCATTGTATCCACATGATATGATTTAGTGGTTTAATTATACTCTTTTACTAGTAGTATTTGATTAAATGTAATTTAGAGAAAAGGGGGCCCAAAGATATGGTTTTGGATTGGGAGGAGCATGTGGATTGAATAAGTGCTTTGTTTGTATTCTTAATTTGGATGCATTTCCACAAATGCCACCACGTGCATTCCTCATTTGTTTCCCTGTATACCATTTTTCGTTAATTATAAAACAGAAAGACAGCTTCATTTGTATGTATATCTAATTTATTTTATTTTTTTTTTCTGAAGAAATGTCTCTAAGAATTTTAACTACCAAACAGAAAGACATTCTTTATTTGTATATGTATTTTTCATAAACACTAAGAATTTATCTGATATTTTTCATATATACTAACAATTATTGAAGACATATTACTATTTACTAATACATAACTATAAACAATAGCAAAAAAGTAATATAAAAACCAAAAAGAAGGGAAAAGGACAGGGAACACGTAGTGAAACAGAGTGGCCAGAGTTCCTCGCTTTGGTTAGAATTGCAACAACGAGTCTCATCCTCCTTCACATCTTCATGCTTTTTCCTCTTTTTATTTTTCATAATTGAAGTAATTTAATAAGGAACTCGAAATTTCCGTTGCAAATTAGTTGAGAACACTAACAATTGAAAAACGTTTTCTCTCTCACCAAGTCTAATAAATTTTGCAAGTAGGTTTTAAAAGCTTATGAATACAAACGGATCACACATTCGTTTTAGGTTTAGGTCTTTAATACAGTAGTAGTTTTAGCCCAGCTTACATTCTCGTTATCTCCATTTAAGTTTTGTTTTTCCTAAAACTAATAGAAGCAAATTTCAAATCCTGACAAGGAAAGTAAATGATAGTTTGATATTGTTTTTTGAGTTCTATTGAAGAAATCAGTTTTAAAAAAAGAAGTTGCATGTTCACTCATCAGTCATCACTGTAATATCGAGGAAATAAACAATACGTACACGTTTGCTAGAGTTTTCGTTCGTTTGTTTTTATTGCATTAAAACTACTCCTACCGATTATCAAGCTCCCTAAAATCTGAAATTAGACACTTTCCCGAAAAATTGTAGCCTGCCTAAATTTTCTCATTGCCTCTTGCTCTAAATAGCCAAAAACAAACCACTGGTCAAATATCTACTCGGTTTTATGTTATATATATGTGTGTAAATCGAATCATAATCCTCACCAATCTCACAACAACAAATACAAACACGCACAACAAAATGTCTACAAAATCTATCATCTTACCTTTTCTTCTCCTAATCATCTTTGTCTCTTCATCTCAAGCAAGTCGTCAACTTTGGGATAGTGGATTCCATGAGTTCTTCTCCAAACACGGGTTTCACGGGATGGCCGGATTTCACGAAAATGCGTTTCCCAAAAATGGAGATTTCATGAGTTCGACTCATACATGCTCGATGGATGGACCTTGTAAGGGTAAGAAACTGACTTGTCCTGCGGAGTGCTACAAATCAACCAACGTTGAAAAGGAAGGTTATAAAAGCACCAGCAAGACAGGAGGCTGTTCAATGGACTGTACCTCCAAGTGTGTGGCGACTTGTAATAATTAATCTGGGAGATACATGTATTAATCACGTACATGTTCTTCTGTTGTGTTATCTTATAGTCTATGTATATTAATATTATTAAAACGGCATTTGTATTGGAGAGTTTGTTTCTCCGTTTGTATGATATTGAAACTGTAGGTTTCTATCATTTTATATGTACATAATATGTTTATGGAATAAAACAAAATTTTGCGTTTCTCAAGGTTTGTGGGAGATTCTCTAACTCTTTTGAACTGATTGAAAAGGTCAACATGGTGATTTGGCACTTTATTTTATAGAAGTTGCATTTCATACGTCTATTCAAAGATGAACGTACGTCATTCATATCAGATTTGCAAGTACTTTTACGTCATACAAGAAGTAAAAAGTCTCAAATATTTGAATTTTATTATTTATATAGGTTCGTCTTGGAGACGCAAAATTATTTTGGTAACGGTTGTATAATTTTCACCACAATTAGGATTCTCTTATCTCAGTTTGTGTATTTCAATTCGTTCGTTATGCTTATTATATTGTAGAGTATAATGCATGCATTTATCTTGTTTGTCTAAAATATATCAGGTGAATATGACAACATGACTTTATATCGCCAAAATTACTACTTCTGTCCTATGTGTGACAAAAACGAGTTTTATCTCTTCTCATGAACACAGATAAAACTATACCAAATTATATGACCAATATATGACATACTACTATACATATTTATAATTTGATGATACTGTTATGGTTAACTTTTTTTTAAAAATTGGCAAAAAAACTCAAAGCACATTCTTAGACTCTTAGTAGCATTCCACTATCACCAATTGTCAAATTGGCTAAAATTAAAGATTTTCATCCAAACATGAAAATTACAGTCTCCCTTGATTTTCTCATTTCCCCTTCCTTTTAAATAGCCTTTTAATGTTCTTCATAGAGCTAATATCAAATTTAAACTTAATCTTCCGGCCTCTCACTTATATAGCTATATTTAAAAAGATCTTTACTTCTTCTCTTCAATAAATTTTTCCTCTTTTTAGTTCTCTGTTTTTGATTTTTTTTTTCTTTAAAGAAATGGTTGAAGGTATATTGTCCAAGGCATTTTGGTTTGTTGCTGCCACCGTGTTTGCAGCAGCTACGGTAGTTCACGGTCAACAAGCGCCGTGTTTCTTCATCTTCGGAGACTCAGTGTTCGATAGTGGCAACAATAATAACTTGCAATCCAAGGCAAAGGTCAATTTCCCACCTTACGGTATTGACTTTCCAAAAGGCCCGACCGGCCGGTTTAGCAATGGTCGTACTATCCCAGATCTTATCGGTTAGTCTATACGTTTTCTAATCATCATCGATATATTATTTGAAAATTTAGAAATATTTTTTTTTAGATAAATCACGAACAAAAGAAAGAAAAATAGCATTTCAAATAAAACGTTACTTTTGAAACTATAACAAGTAATTGGTAAACCAAGTGTGTATAAGATATTTTTCTTTTCAGGTGAACTATTGGGTTTTAAAGATTTTATTCCGCCATTCAGCGGAGCATCACCGGAACAAGCGCACACAGGGTTGAACTACGCTTCTGGCGGAGGCGGACTTCGTGAAGAAACTAGCGAACACTTGGTTAGAAATAATTAGAAGTAAATAATTATTGATTCTTTAGTTAATTATATTGCGATATTGTAGAGGTTAATGGGCCATGAGGCCTTAACCTCTAGAGAGTGTGCAAGATAAAAGTCCCACATCAGAAAGTGGGAGGGACCTTGAATAATATATAAGGGACTGAGGCCTCTCTACCTATTGCCAACTGGTTTTAGGTTGGATGCCAAGGAAACTTAACATGGTATCAGAGCAATGATCCCCACACTCTCATGACCCGGCCCAGAAAGGGCCCGACCCCTGACCCTTGGATTGATGGTCTGCGAGATTAATGGCTAGAATGACCATTATCTCGAGGGGGAGTATTGCGATATTGTAGAGGTTAATGGGCCATGAGGCCTTAACCTCTAGAGAGTGTACAAGATAAAAGTCCCACATCGGAAAGTGGGAGGGACCTTGAATAATATATAAGGGACTGAGGCCTCTCCACCTATTGCCAATTGGTTTTAGGTTGGATGCCAAGGAAACTTAACAAATTACGTACTAGATAACATCAACAACGACAAAAATTATTTTACTAAACTAAACCCGCTTTAAGCATAATGATATACATAATACTGATCTCTCGCGATATATAGGGTGATCGAGTCAGTCTAAGCAACCAAGTACTAAATCACAGGAAGGCGATAAAGAAAGCGAAAGTACCATCACAAAGACTGCAACAATGTCTCTACGTAATCAACATCGGAAGCAACGATTACATCAACAACTACTTCATGTCAGAACCCTACAACTCGAGTCGCCGCTTTAACCATAACCAATATGCATATTCTCTCAACCTACTCTACCGTGCTCATTTGAAGGTATATAGGAACAATTTAGTTATGCTTGTGAAGCAATCACAAACATAGAGTTTGTGAAGCAATGCAACGTCGTCACGTGGGTTTTAGTTAGGTTTTTCTAAAGTTGTTTTTTATGTTTGGTAGACTTTGCACCGTCTAGGAGCGAGGAAGGTAGCACTTTTCGGGATTACTCAGATTGGTTGCACACCAAAGGTGATGTTGTCCCATGGTGGAGGTAAAGCTTGCGCAAAAGAAGTGAACGATGCAGTGAGAATTTTCAATAAGAACCTCGATGACCTTGTCAAGGATTTCAATAAGAAAGTCAAAGGTGTCAAGTACACCTTCGTTGATGTTTTCTGCGGTGGAGATCCCAAAGCATTCGGCGTTTTAGGTAAAACTACATTGAACTAAACACTTGATACATTTTATTTTTACCCAATCTACATAAATAGCATTTGCCTTAAATGTGGAAAACATTTGTTAGTTTAACTTGTAGAATTCCTATCAGTTTCTTAGCTACCTAACAATGTTTACTCGTAATGATATATTTTCTTATGTTTTTTTTGTATATTTGACAATGAAAATCCAACATAAAAGCTAAAAATATTTAAAACGTAAAAAAAAAAAAAAAAAAAAAAACTGAATTTACCTTGGCTCTCGTAATGCTGTAGGTTTTAAAGTTGGAGACAAGAGTTGTTGCCCAGTATCCCCAGCCCCAGGGGAGGAACTTTGCACACCGAACCAGCAGGTTTGTGCAAACCGGTCTGAATATGTTTTTTGGGATGATATTCACAGCACCGAGGCCGTAAATAGGAAAGTGGCTAAAGGCTCGTTCGAAGGACTCTTAACAAGACCGTACAGCATCTCCCAGCTTGTGAAGGAATAGAGGCTAGCTTGTACACAATTTACATGAAAAGTTAACAAATGTTTTTACAAATTTTCGGATAGATCTTTGAAAAGGAAAGTAAATATTAAAATATGTATATACTCAGTTACAGTAAATTTCGTGAGGTTAGTCCCCTCTCTGTTAGTTGAATGCAAATCAAAAGAAATATTATTTCGGTCAATATATAAGTCCATTAATTTGAACCCTATAGTACTATATATAATATCATTGTTTTAACTGCATAGATGAGAACTTTATCACTTTACCTAAATTTAAATTCAAGCACGGCATTTTAAAAATGGTTTTTAACAATCTACAACAATCAAACAGAAAAACTTTAGCATCTTCCAAAATTAAAAGAAAAAAAAAAAAAACCTAAAACAACTCAAAAGAGGTCTTAATTTGTTTCATCCTAAATTTAGCGAAATGGAATGTATATATTTCCCCACTTCTATAAGAAACGAAATCAACAAGAAGAAGCATCAGCAATCCCGATAAGTTTTTAAAATATGAAAACATGGGTGATATGCTTGCTAGTGATTTGTGCCGCCGTGGTTGCTGAACCAGCGGAGGGTCGGTACATAGATTACGGTGTGCTTAACCCATGCCACGGTCCTAACCCTCCTCCTGGATGCAGTCCACCAGGCTCCCACCATAAGAAGGGCCCCATCAACGAGTATCGCCGTGGCTGTTCTAAAATTGATCGATGCCACCGAGCTGCTTGATCGTTTTTACTATTTATTTATTTTATTGTAAGAAAAGAAAATGTTTGATCATTTATATATTGTTTGTTTTGTATTTCTATAATTTTTTTTGGTTTTAATTATTTTGATAAGAAATAAAAACCGAGATCGTGGGTTTTGTATTATTTATTTATTTATCCATTGTTAAAAATAAAGAAATACATGATTTGTCTTCTTCAAACAATTGTGATAACATAAGACGTGGCAGTGATTAAGGACTATGTTTTGATATTTAAAACATGTCCAGTTTCATTTGTGTTTCTATGTATGAACTTGCCGGAGATTGTGAACTGCAAATCTCACACGCTCGCAAACGAATTTGAACTTGATGTCAATGATCATATAGAGTCTACAAAATGAAAGAAACACAAAAACATAATTAGCGAGTTTAGATACTGTTGAAGCTAACCTAATCTCGGCTATATACATGCTCATCAATCCAAATATCCAATATGGGTTTTGATAAAGATAATTTATCTGATCGTTTAAAGTTGTAAATGGATAAACCTATTACAAAAACTAAAAATAATTAATAAGTAACAACTTTAACTTCTAACTTTCATTCTTCAGCTGAGATTACTATATTGCCTTCACGTCTTAACCATTATCTAGCGTTTGTGGTTGTTGCTGAGTCGCATCAGCTTCAACATTTCATATAGAAAAGACAATGTAACCATATTCCTAGTTTTGTGGGATTCACGACGTATGTAAGCTTAAAACAAATAAACAAACTACATCTGATTGTAGAAGTTATCAAAATAATTAACTAACATGGCCAAATGGGCCAATGCGTCGACTTTACACTCTATATCATTTTGTCTGTTAATAAGATGTGATCTATTTGATTTATACTATTAAACTAAACAAAACACCACGAAGAGAAATATAGGTATCAGACTCAAAATTTGGAAAACAAATATTAAAATATTCTTGAAAAACACCATGAGGGTGCTCTATTCCTGTCAAGATGACTTGTATTTTTCCCATTACAACTCATGTACAAGTTGACTATTGAAGATCTATCCAAAAAAACAAATAATGACTCAGATACAAATTGACTATTAAAGAATAAAGATCTTTCAAAAATAAAAGAATTAGCATCCCTTGATTACTCATTATCTTTTCTGTTGAATTGACTTGAAATAGAATTTTATTTCTGTCTTGTCTTTCTCTATGTATGCTTATATATAGACTTTTTCTTCTTTTCTTCAACGTCGCCATTTGCAGATTCTCTTAATCGATCTCCAAAATATGGCCGAAGGAATGTTTAAGGCATTGTTGTGGGGTTTTGCGGCCACGGTGTTGGCCATGGCCGAAGCCACTCGTGGACAGCGTGTGCCTTGCTATTTCGTTTTTGGAGACTCAGTCTTCGACAACGGTAACAACAATGCATTGAACACCTCGGCCAAAGTTACCTATTCACCTTACGGTATTGATTATGCTAGAGGTCCTACCGGACGGTTCAGCAATGGTCGTAACATTCCCGACTTTATCGGTTAGTCCCAAGCTTGGTTTTTCTGCTTGTCAATATATTTCCGATGAAATTGCTTCTATAAACTACTATAAATTGTCAATATATGATTTTTACTAAGAAAAGTGAAGGGAAACATTAGAAGTAATGTTATGCAGAATAGTCGTCAAATGCAAATTAAGAGACTATTTTAGGACATAGATAATTTTGTTTTTTACTAACTTTTTATACGTATTATTAATTTATTCAAGACTCTATTTTCTAAGGAAATAGAAAAACAAAACTTGAATGATAAATCGTGAGTATCCTTCATAACTAAATATATATGTTTTCTTGTGTTACATGAGTTTGAATGGTTTATTTTTCAGCTGAATTAATGAGATTCAGTGATCACGTTCCACCGTTCACCGGAGCAACGCCCGACAAAGCTCACACCGGAATAAACTACGCTTCTGGTGGCGGAGGAATTCGCAAAGAAACCAGCCAACATTTGGTAAGAACGGGACAAACGTAAAAACAGAGATTAACTTAAATCTATTTTTTTTTCCTTGGGTAATCATTTTCACTAGTTTTATATGGTTAAGTAAATTTTTCTAGACGTACGATACTAATTTAGTAATGGTTTGATTGGTTCTAAATACGTGCTGTGATCATTTTTTTCTCATTTTCTTTATATTAAGCTAAATACTAGTAGTAAACAGGGAATCTGAAACATAGGGAAGAAAACCTTTATATATCATACAAATCTATTAAAATAATGATTGTAATTATCGTCGAGGTTTTCTCCAGGAAGAATAACTAATCACGTGATTGTCTGATTGATTACCATAAAGAGGCCTTGATCCATTGGATTTCAATTCAAAATTAGGCTCCAAATAGACAGCATGAATCACAAGGAATGAAATTTAAAGTATTATATGTAAAAGGTTTAGGACTAAAATGAAACTTAACAAGGGAACTAATCATTTGACTTTAATTGATTTACTTCTTCCTTTTTGACGTAAAACGACTCGTTTATTTAGTGATGCTTACATCTAAAAGACTAAAACTAACTACTTAATTATGATATTTTTGATGATAGGGTGACAGAATCAGTTTTCAACAACAAATATACAATCACTGGAAGATGGTTACGACCGCAAACGTGACACAGGAGAAGCTGAACAAATGTCTATACACAATTAATATTGGAAGCAATGATTATCTCAACAACTATTTCATGCCAGCTCCCTACAATACCAATCGCAAGTACACTTACGATCTATATGCTGATTCCCTCATTAGTGATTATCGCACTTATTTGAAGGTAAAACAAGGTTCTTAATAGATGGATTATAGATCTCTCAATATGATTATTTATTACGGCATCATTTTCAAGATATTAGTGGTTTTTATATTATTCAATATTAAAAAGCAAACCGAAGAAAACTAGAGAAAAATGATGCAGTGGATTGGATTGCTTCGCAATAATCATATGTATCTTTAAACATATAGTAATTTGAAGATACATGTGTATTTGTAGTCATTGTACGCCCTAGGAGCAAGGAAGGTGGCAGTGTTTGGGGTCAGTAAGCTCGGGTGCACGCCGCGGATGATCGCTTCCCACGGTGGTGGATATGGCTGTGCCGCTGAAGTGAACAAAGCGGTTGAACCTTTCAATAAGAAGCTCAAAGCTCTTGTCTGTGAGTTCAACAAAAACTCCGATGCTAAGTTCACCTTTGTAGATCTCTTCTCTGGCCAAAGTCCTCTTGCGTATGCTGCCTTAGGTACGTAAACTATACAGTATATGTTGTACTTTTAGAAAGAAAAAACAAAAGATGAAAAAGGAGTTTTGCAAAGATTCAAATCTATATAAGATTTTATGATCTTCGTAGTATAATTTCAATAAATTTCTTTGTCACAAAAGCTATTTTCGATGCTGTTCCTATAGATTTAATCATATACATATTTCATGTATTTTTGTAGGATTGACGGTAATGGACAAGAGTTGTTGTACGGTAGAAGCAGGGCAAGAACTATGTGCGGCGAATAAACCGGTTTGTGCGTTTCGAAGACGATATGTGTACTGGGACAATGTCCACAGCACTGAGGCGGCTAATATGGTTGTGGCTAAGGCTGCGTTTGCCGGAGTCCTTACTTTTCCTTACAGTATTGCTTTGTTATCAAAGTTATAGGGTCAATACCAAAAGATATTCACATATTTCATTTTGAAATATATGTATATGTATGATATAACCTTATTCTTTAATTCAACAATACCAAAGTAACTAGTATATGGAAACATACATGTTGCCTTGTAGGTTATCATGTATGATCTATTGATATAATTTTTCATCCAAATACATTGCTAAATTAGTTTAGCATTGGTATATATAAGTCAGCTTCAATAACCCAGGTCATATATATATATATATATATATATATATATATCAAATATTTAAGGACAAGCTCATCTCTAAATTCTATGCCAATTTTTGTTATAATAAGCACAACAATACAATGTTTACATGTATCGTGTAAATTTATTGTTACAGTTCAAGAACCACAGCAGTAGTAGAATATAATCCCTACTCGAATCCTTATTCAAATGAAATGCATAAATATATGAAGACTTGTGTGTGTGTGTCAGTGTGTGTGTGTATAAACCTAGATATCTTCATAAAAATATTTCTTGAAGGCCTCCATGTGAGGCACCTGTAGACACGTGGCGAGAATCAGCGAGCCGTCTTCATTTTGATCCCGCAATAGCAGAGAGTCCCCGTCTAAGTCATGCGTGCCTGGTCCCACGTAGACCTCCTTGCCCCATCCGAAATCAAGGCCGTACATTGGCAGAGTTAACCAGCTCACCAGTCCAAGATTAGGGTTGCCGTAGAATGGACCTTCCGTGCTTCCCAAGGCATGTATATCTTGAAACTTGCTCAGATCCTCTTGGATCTTTAGATGTTGTATCCCAACCATCACGTATTCGTGTGTCACATTCTTTATGGCTTTACTGATTTTTCCCGCCGCGAAACCCAACTCATTTGATATCAGTTCACCTATATGCGTAACAAAATTAAGGATCCCTATATCCAAAACTAACCTACTCTTAAAAAGAAAAAAAAAAGTAACCTACCTTAAATCCCAAGAAACAGGAAATCACAAATATAGTAAGTGAAAATTAGACAAACGAACCTGAGGTGCTTGCTGCGACCACATCAAACGTGGCATTGCCGAAGTAACCACGTGGCAGAGGTGGCTGCATCCGATTGCGAATATCTACAGAGATTCCCACTGACGCGGGTTGCTCCGGCGAGTGCCCACGTGCTTTACACGCGCACCTCCATACGTGTCCGGAGACCGTCTCGTACCTTGTAAACCCTCTCGCTGGATCAGCGTATTTGCTTGCATTTGCTCTGCTTCTAAGCTTCTCAACCTGAGATTTGCTCAGTTTTAGCATCGCCACAACCGTTTTCTTCTTTCTTTCTTCTACATTGTCCGTTTTTCCGATCAGAAACGGAGGCCGTTCAAACTCTTCGTGGTCGAAGTTAGGTGGTGACTCAAACGGCGGAAGCGGTTCATCAGCCCAGAGGACTCTCCGGTCAAGAAATGGAACGGTTTCTAGCGGTTGGCCGCACGCGATTCTTCCCCATTCCCTCATGAAATGAAGCGCGCTTTGGCCATCAACCACCGCGTGTGAAACTTTGACGCTGAGGCTCAGTCCGCCGCATTTGAATTTGGTGACCTGAGCTAGAAAAAGAGGAATCGTTTCGATAGGGTTTTTATAGTTTACTTGCGGGATAAGTTTCTCATATTCCGGCGTCGGACAGAAATCGTTGAAATCGGAAAGCTCGGCCTCAGATTCCGCTTCGATGAACGTCACTCCCTCAGCGTTACAGTTGAGCTCTAACCGGCCCCGTGGAAGCCACCGGAGACGTCCGGCCATAGGGTAGAAATAGAAAAGCGCACGGCTCAATGAATTTTTTAGGGTTTCGACTACATTGCCTTGAAATGATTCAGATGGCTTGTCGTAGAAGTAAACGGTGGGAACGTGAGTTATTGTACCGACTTGATCCCTTTCGGCTAATGGATACGGACCGGTCCATGTTGGCTCAGCCGGTACTATGGTGTAAGTATTTCTCAAGACGATGGGAGCCATTTCATAAACCGTTCTCTTTTTGGAATTCGTTGCAGGGTATTGTTTATATAAAGTATCATTGAAATTCATGGGTTTGTATCACAAGTTTATAGTACTTAATTAAAATGTCTTTCTCGTGGTTTAGTTTGTTTCCTTGTTTACAGCTTATTTAGTGGAAGTGTGATGATAATAAGGTTTATTTTCTTTGGTTATACGATCATGCTTATTGTCCTTTTTCTTAATCACAAAATCGATGAACATTCCTATCTTGAAAAAAAAAAACTTGTCTACTTCAACTCTTCAACCAACATTTCACATTTACAATTAAGAATCCTATATATTAAGCGTTTAAGTAATAATTAATACAAAATAAGACTATCATAATGCATAGTTGGCTTTTATAAGTTTTTGTTTTTTACAATTGGTAGAGATATTCACATTTCACACAGAGACAAACACTATAGTCCTCGTGTTGGACTTAATGGCTAATTAAAGGTAGTCCATGGGCTATATATCAAGCCCAAAGTGGATGGACTGTTAATAAACCCTAGCTTAAACCCGACCGACTAATCCGGACCTGGACCCTGACCCGAACTGGATCTTCTTCCCTTCTCGCCAAGTTCAATTTGACGATCAAACTTACAAGTACACCACGAACCAGAGCTCTCGAAGACGACAATGGAAGGCGTTGAAGAGACGGCGAATTACACTCTGGTGGCGAGGAAGCCTTGCTTCGGTCTCCCAACAGCTTGCCCTAGTTGCCTTCCCGCTTACATATACCTGAAACTAGCCCAGCTTCCTTTCGAACTCGCCTTCAATTCGATCTTCCCTGATTCAGGTTTGATGTATTTCTGAATTGGTATTAGTTGGAATAAGGTTTTTGGTTGCTTGATTATCTATCCGTGATCGAAGTGTAATGCTTGAATTGAGATTCCAATCCCAATCAGTTCTGGATTCGAATTCGTAAGCATTAAGCTCTAGCTCATCTGTTATTAAGAGTCTAAACAGAGCTTTAGGCTATAGTATATTGCTGTTTGAGGTTTAAAGGATTCGTTAAGAGAGGAAAATGAATACATTGGCGAATTTTGCTCTGGCTTTGGTTGATTTTTTTTTTCTAAATTCTAAGAGGTAACGAAGAATTAGTCGTTTGATTCAGTTCTCAAGTTTGTATATCAACAATTTCTCCACAGCTTAAGATTTTGTGTACAGCTTAAGATTTTCGTGTAACGTTGTTCATTGATTTACAAATTTGAGCTTTAGGTGCTTTCTCATTTGTAAATTTGTGGGTTTTGTGCAGATGAACTTCCGTACTTTGAAACCGGTACATATGTTGCATACAACAATGAAGATGGAGGAGTGATTGAGAAGCTGAAGAAAGATGGGATTGTTGATCTGGACTCTCAGCTCCAGTCTCTTCCGGAGTATCTCTCGTTGAAGGCTCTTATCGTTTCTTGGCTGGAAGAAGCGCTTACTTACGAGCTATGGGTTGGCACCGAGGGAATAGCTGCGTCAAAAATCTACTACGCAGATCTTCCTTGGGTCATCAGCAAGGTCCTGTTTTATAAGCAGACTTACCTGGCCAAGAACCGTTTAGGTATCACCAAAGAAAACGCAGAGCAAAGAGAGAAACAGGTAGCTCCTAGTTTTATAAGCTTTGTTGCTTCGTTATTTGAAAACATGTAAACTTGTTACCAAAGCTTAAGGTGTTGAAATGAACAGATATACAAGAGGGCAAGTGATGCATATGAAGCTTTGTCGACTAGGTTAGGCGAGCAGAAGTTTCTCTTTGAAGACAGGTACTGCAAAGCCACATTGACCAAAACTTGATTCTTTCTCTTAAGCCTTTTTTATGAAAAGATTGATTGACTATGTTCCTCTCTAATGCTCTTCGCGCAGGCCATCGAGTTTGGATGCTATCTTTCTCTCACACATGCTTTTTGTAATCCAAGTCTTACCGGTAAGCAGCTTGACAAAATTTTCAACTGATATACTTTCCCTGATTGGTTGCTACTAGGTAGATTAAGTTTGTTTCCGTTGTGGTTGTATGTATGATCAGGAAACATCAGTGCTTCGGTGCAAACTTATGGAACATAGTAATCTTGTCAGATACGCTGAGAAACTGAAGTCAGAGTTCCTCGAGGCCTCTTCTTCTTCTCCTTCGCCTCCACTTCAATCATTCCCTTCCCCATTTTCAAGAAAGGGTAAGTATACACATCCAAACTCTATGACTCTCATGAGTCATGTACTCTTTTCAAATCTTATGAATCTCATCGGTTTGTTCAGGTTCGAAGCCAAAGAGCAAGCCAAAGACTGAAAAGACGGAAGAGGAGAAGAAATTCAAGAAAAGAGCAAGATTCTTTCTAGCTGCTCAGTTCTTAGCCGTCGTTATCTACTTATCCGTCATGGGAGGTACTAGTTCCGATGAACTGGAGTATGAAGATGAAGATTACTAAAATTTAACTCTCAGGCAAACTCTTTGACCTCTTCTTCCTTAGACTAAGAAAAAACAGAAACCAATAATCTCTGTGCTTTGTTTGTTAAAACTCTTGAGGTAGAGAGAAGATACAGATCCATGTTATAATGATTTTCGTTCGGAAGGATAGATTCTATTCGCTTTTATACAAATTTCATTGGTTTTAACTTTTAAGACAATGAGGCTCGCGTTTTGTGACATCAACAGAACCTGTTAACCGGATAAATAACCGAAATCAGCTGAACTAAACTCTATTTGTCTTACTAATACAAATCTCATCCATCTAAACACTATCTTCTGATAGCAAAAGGTGATGCCCAAAAAACCTACCTAAATCTAAGCTCTTCTAAAACCAAATAACAATTAGGAATTCAGATTTACATCAGGACGTTGCTCCGGCGAGGCGTCCTCCGGTTGGTTAACGAGCTTCAAGTGTTCATCGGCCGAGTTGATAGCAAACTCAGCCAGTGAACTCACTGCAACAGACATTCCATGGCAGAGAACTTTAACAGCAACCTCTGCAAGTTTCTCAGCAGTCATGACAACATCTTCTTCTACACTATCAGCCACCACAAGGTCCATGCTTTCAGACCCGGAATATCTTCTTGACCCGCTTCCGCTCCAGTTCGGATCTTCCCTAACCTGTCTTGCGTAGATTGAACCCATCCCTGAGGCAAAGAAGTCTAGTTTGTCAAGAACCGGCTTCTCGTTCAAACTCTTAAGTAACCTTGACCACTGGATGCAGACTCTGTATATAGGGTGAGGACATGAGGATAGTCTAACTTTCTCAGGGTCAGGATCACATCTGAAACATCTGAGAAGCCAACCGGATAATGCTGTCATGTAGGATCTTTGAGACGTGATCCAGAACTCGAAACAGGCTCTCCAGTTTCGTAGCTGAGCTTCAAGGTTCAATGCAGATTGAGCTAATCTTTGAGAGTTGATGGCCTCTGGCATTATCTGAGGCTGTCTCTTCTTGTGCCGCTTTGAAACAGGTGTCCCTGCGAGTAACATTTTGGCTTCGTCTAGTGTTCGTTTCTGTATCTGATGACTCTCTGCCATCACTTGCCACATCTTTGTTAACCTGTAATGATTACCATTTGAGAAAGGTTTAAGAGAAACCAAAGAGGAAGAAGAAGAAGTTGTTGGTCTTACCCTTGAACAAGCTCGAGAAGCTGAGGCAACAGTTCTTGATCACGAAGAGTCTCAATCCTTTTGGAGATAGACTCAATCGAGTGTATAGAGACCTTAATCTGAGTATCAAGGTCTCTGAGTGTAGCTCTTGTTTTATCAACTGAAAACGGATCATCTCCTTTAACGTCTTGATTCCTCAGCTGCATACATTTCTTCTCATACGCTCTTCGAACACGTTCTCCAGACTGTTAACAACACCAATAAAAAGGACGTTGTGTTCATAAACAACACAGATTTTTTTGAATCTTTGATACTCAAAAACTTTATCTCTTTGTTACTTACTTTAACTTCATCGTAGAGTTTCTTCTCCCACGCGAAAAGCCTGTCCAATGTCGTTTGGTGGCTACCTGAAATCATGCAAGACTCCTCTGAAACATCGCTTCTGCTCTCAGACCCACTCTCCTTCGAACCACCACCAGAGGAAGTGATCAAGAATCTTGCAGATGAAGATCTTGATGATCCCGAACGGAACAAAGCCACTGGATTCAGCATTTTCATTGCTACAAAACACACACAAAGATAAAACTTCCTTCAACATTCAGAAAAAGAAAGAGAAGACTGCAACATTTTCAAGAACTTAACTTACCACTATGATCATTAGAGGATGGTGCGTACTGAGCTCTACTAGCTTCTAACAGCCCCGAGACTTCTTTAGCCGCGTCGCAAATAGTTGTGAACTGATCTTCAAGATCTTTGATCACCTCTGCCATGCTCGTTGGTCTTCTGTTGACATAAACAGTGAAACCATGAGGCGTCTCTCTTTTGGCAACATCAACAACATTCTTCATCTCTTGAACACTCTTCTCAACTCCAACAGCAACATTCCCTCTAGTCTCTACTCTTGGCACCTCAACACTTCTCTCTTCTTGCTCTTGCCTCCCAACGCCTTTCTCATCTCCTCCTCCTTCGTTCTCACTTTCACAACCACTATCCGTAAACTCTCCATCCTCATCCTCATCCTCCTCCTCCTCCTCATCATCATCATCATCAACATCTTCAACTTTCACTTCCTCCTTGCAACAGCTCTTATCGACTTTACCTTTACTTTCTTGATTATGATTCTGAAACCTCACAGGCTGAGGTTGTTCAATAGGCTCATCTTCTTCCAAATCTGGAATCCCTTCTTCCTCACGAACACGTCTCAGACCTCTAATCTCATCATCCATTATTACACCACCACTCCGGTTATCAACACTACTTCCTCTATCATAACTGTTATTGTATCCGTAATAATCTAAGGAAGAGAATGGATTCCAGAAGAAGTCCCACTGAGAATTCTGCGGAGAAGGAGGAGGAATGTTATGACTAGTACTACTGCTTAATCTCTGCTCAGGAGAAGAGCTCAACGGATTCCAAAACGAAGAAGAAGATGCTGCAGAAGTGTTCATGTTCATATTCATGTTCATCCCAAAGAAACCATCTCCTTCTCCTCCGTACTGTTGTTGACTCGGAGGTGAGAATGACTCAACACGAAACGTTTCAGCAGATCTCTGTTCCACGCGAACCGGTTTGCTTCGGTTAGCCATTAAGTAACTCGCTCTCACCTTCGATCTCGGCTTATCTTGAATCATTTTAGCAGGATGTGGAGGCATCGAGGAAGGCGAAATCGTTATGAACTCGCCGCCGCTGCTGCTCCGGCTGTTGCGGCGGCGGTTCGGTGGTCTTCTCTTAACCGGAGTGACGAACGAGTCGTGGTGATGATGACTCGGAACAAACTCGTGAGGCTTGTAGTTGTCGTCTCCTTGGACAAAGTCATGGAGAGCGTCAGAGACTTTTCGAAGTGACTGGATGTAAGCAATGTGGCCTGAAGCGAACTTGGTTCTGTGATCTATCGCTTGTTTGATGAATCGTTTCCTGTCTTTACAGATCTGAACAGCTTCTTCGTCGTCTAGCTTTGAATGAGAACATCCCATTTCTCAGCTCTTCTTCTTAAAAGCTTCAAATCCACAGATCAAGACTTCATATCAGTAGCTATTTGCTTTAACTCGCATTAAATGAGAAAAAGACATTGTTTTTCTCAATGTCTGAAGAAGATTCTTTGCTTAATTTACACTCTTAACCACACTCTTAAACCCTCTTCAAGAAAAATCTAAAACCCATGCACAGATTTTTGCTTGTTTCCTTTAAAGAGACTGAAAATCGACAGAGACCGAGAAGAGAAATAGTGGAAAAAATCTAATCTTGGATTTGATCTGGTGACAATGGAACAAAAAAAGCAATGAACGAAACGAGAGAGAAGACAAAAAAAAAAAAAAAAAAACCTAATAGAGTTATGATATGGTCAAAAGAAGCTGGAAGGAGCGTGAGGATTACTGTGGAGGAAAGAAGAGACGTTGGAGAAAGCAACGGTCAAAATTACTGTCGGATGTCGAAGGAGAGAGAGTGAGAGAGAGAGAGAAGTCAAGAAGGAGAAGAAGACAGAAGCAAAAAAACATAAAAATAAACAAACCAATAACAATACAAATAAATTCTCTAAACAAATACATAAAGGAAATGGAAAATGGAGGTTGGAGGAGACGAGAGCTAAGCTAATTTAAAGCTACGAATAATTATATAATATGGCAAAGAAGAGACTGGACACGGAATACGACGACTACTTGTTTTGCTTATCATCCTCGCTTTTCACATTTATTTTCGTTATTGCCACTCTCAAATTTCCTTTTTTCTTGTCTTTTTCTTGTACTATGTTGATTTTTTATTTCATTCTCGCACGTTGTTTCATGGCATTGGCATTATATATTGACGTTAATTACATGGGATTCTGATTTATATCAAATCACTCTAGTATTATATAAACTTCATAGATCAAATTTTGTACTCATAATAAATTTCATGGACCTACCAACAAATACAAAATGAGAAATTATAATGCGAATGATGGGTATTTGTGTAATTTGGTTAGCATCCGCAGTGGGAAAATACGTTGGAAGAATTTAGGAAAAGCAATAAAAAGGAAGGACCGGCCTGTAAAGTAAAAGGTAGGATCTGGACCCACATTCTAAAAGATATCATGAAGTGCCTCGATACCCGAAATTTCTCTTCATGTCCCTCACTATTTCGCTTAATCACGAAAACACCATTAGGTCTTATTGGGCTCACGTTTACAGTAATATCTGACCCAATGGACCATTAGGTCTTATTGGGCTCATGAATTAGATTATAGTAATTAACCCATACCATAGACCATAGTATGTTTTCTGCTTAAACTTGCAACTTAATCCAGACCCAATCTGTTTTATTGAGTCAAGAGTATCTACTGACCAAAATTTTCAGACTCATGAGCATTTCCACTGAAAGAGTATGTCGTATAGTGGATTAAATTCTCTTGAGACTTTCTGTTAAAATCAAGGTCTCTCCAACACTTATAATGGCGTTACCATTTAGGTCTCTGGTGATCGGGTGACGTGTATGTCTATATAAAGTTGTATCTCCATTCATTCATTAGTTATATAACATATGTATGCTGCTAATGCTGGGTGTTGATAGTATGTCCACTATATAACTTCATCGTGTTTTTCACTGTGTACATGTCATGATAAGACAAGTGTCTCTTGCCCTTGTCCCCATTTTCAATAGGAATTACCAAAAAAGTTATTAAAAAATCTCAATACACGTCTTAAGCAGTATGTTAGAATTTTAGATGTACTTAGTCGACAATTTTTCGGTTGTAGATGTGAATTTAAGACTGGTTATCGCTCATCGGGATTCGGGATAAAGGTGGATCTCACAAGTTACTACTTTGCATCAATTCTGTCATATAACTCAAAGGTTATAATACATTACACTCTCGATCGTAGAACGATATGCTTTTCTTTGATAAAGATACGATTATGATAACATTTAACGAATTAAGTATACTATTAAGCTTGACCACCTCATTGATAATTTAGTTGCATTGCACATTTGCACTTTCATAACCACTATTTCAACTTTTCTCAAAATATTATATATCGATAAATAAAAGGTAATCCATTAGTAATATTCTAAATCATATTCATGACTATTTTAATGCTTCGCGATAACATATCCAACAATATTTTACTAAAAATTCGTGTATTAGTTTATACAAGAAAAAATTAAAATAAATTAGACCGATCTAGAGGCCTCAGCCACACCTAGGCTTCTAGGAATCCATTGCCATGGTTAGAGAATTAACAATTCTACTGTTATTCTCATTGTAAAATTCTATTGTTAGCTGAAACTTAATCCTAAATCAAAACATACACTAATTTTAAACCCTTTAACAAAAAAAAATCAAAACATAAACTAATTTTCATCACATATTTTTGCTAATTAATAAGTTTTGCAAAATAAAAGAAATTCATATATGTTGGATTTTAATAAGGGTTTTGTCAAAATAATTCTACTAAAAGTCTAAAACCATTGAAAGAGTATGATTGTATTAGTGATGAAAGTATAAATATGAAATGTTTTCTGCATGTAATAACAGAATAAAAAAGGGTATAAAAAAACAGAAGAGAAAAAGGTAAGTTTACTATATTGAGAAAAAGCTCCCAAGTCTCGGGAACTATTATTTTAGTGTATCAGGTGGTAGAACGAATATAAGTACAACCACTTATCCAAACACAAACAAAGTTTCATGTCCTAGTTACAATTTCAATTGTTTTTTCTTCTTCTTACAATTCCAATTCTTCTTGCCCACCATTCATGTGTTTTATATAATTTCTTACAGTAATTATTTATACTGTTGCCTAATTTCTTTTGCTTTTCAGTATATTTTTATGAAAAGAAAACAGCTTTTTCATATATTTTTCTAAAAAGGAATTTTAGTTTCTTGCACTTTGGGAGATTCTTCTACCACTTCAAGATCTTTTGTGAATATAGTGAAAGCGTGTTTGAACAAAAAAAAAAAATCGTATGAAGTATCCAGTTTGAGGAATAAGATTATGATTATTATTTTTTGCCAAAGGAATAAGATTATAATATAAGGTACTATCTAGCAAGAATTATATGCCATCGTTAAATATCCCGCTAACAGTTAGTTATGCTTAATAACGAATCTCTAAATGATGGATTGCGCTCAATTCAGACATAGTTATTGGTAGATCTTGAACTATTTTTTGGAGTGAACATAGCACTTGATAAAAAAAACTACTAGTTCGGTGTTAGTTAGAATCTGAAAATATTGATGCATATATTCGAAAAGTAAAGCATTATGATGCATATCTGCTTACAAATTTACAACACCAAGGCCTCTTAACTGGCTGCCGCTTACGCAACGAATCACTCTACAAAGAAAAAAGCATTCACGTGTTGACTTGGCTTAGCAAGTACATCAGTTTTATGAAACTTGGTGCGAACGTAATCCACGGAGACAAAGCATTGGCTTGTGCATCCCCATGACTCAGCAACAATCCAAACTTACATCGCTTTTTTTTTTCAAGTTGCTTATATGATTTCGTTTTCTTCTATTTCTTTGCGATTTTGAAAAGAGACATCTAAACATACAAAGCCTACATATAACTGTATATATCTAAAGTAACTAGTATGAATTCAAGATATTTGAAAATAATCCAAACATGCAAATTAAAAGATACGAATATCCATGTCTACGTATATATTAATATATATATGAACTATTACAAATATGAATAAAATACGAAAAACTTCTACTTGTTCGCTACCTATCAAAACGTTGCTGACATAACTTTTCAACAATAATTTGAAGATATCTATATCATGAAGCCATGTTTTCATGCAAAACTGAAAAAATAAGACGAGAAAAAATCTAAATAAAGCAAACCAGTCACTTTATCTAGACATACTACTAGTCTTATTTAAGTAGTAATGTCACGATTCTAGTCGATATTTAGAATTTGATTGAATTCTACTTTTGTTCAAAACAGCTTATTTATGCTTAACGTTGATTGGTAGTCCTATGTAGGGAATTTGGCATTGATGAACTGATTGGGGATGACTCTAGTAGTCTCGGTAAACTTTTCCATTATTGTTAAAATGTGGGTAATAGGTAACACATAACGTCTCTCTCTCCCTCTCTAGATCTCTATATATATAGTCTATGATTTGTCACGTCTCGGACGCTACGGTTTGTAGGTCTCAACGCCTATTCACGGTCTACAAAACTTATTTTAATTTGATGGCCGGCATGCTAATATCAGAAGCTCGTAAAAGTTGTTACTTGGTCTTGCAAATTACTGCGGACCCTACTAAAAATCTTTTTTTTTTTTTCATTTTAATAGATCACTCATTTCAACTTAACATGGTCCTTGTAATGTTCTCAATGATCGAAGGAGATGCAGTTGAAACAAGGAAAAGAGAAAACAAAACTATTCCATTTTGAATACTGCGTACACTTATTAAGCCGGTATGTTAGCTGGTCGATCAAAAAGGAAAGTCTTTATATATATATACGAGTTCGAGAAATTTGGAAATGGCTAATAACAATGTTTTGGTCCTTGGACGGATGATCAAAATAAAAAAGAGAGAATTCACGTTTTGCAGAACTGCCGTAAATTTTTAATCTTTCTACCCAAGAACCGAGCATAAGTACATCTTATGCCTTATGCAAACATGTTATTAATTGAAGAAGATATATAAAAGATTTAGGTACATCTTAGAAGAGAAAAAGCTACGAAAGTAGACGACAATTGGTGCGTTGCGTGGAAAGAATGTGTAGTTAATTAGAATTTTATAAATAAACTAAGAAAATTAATTGCACCAGAAACCAAAATAAAGAAAGCAATGAGATGAGGAATCACACATGGATTCCATTTTGCGACGTTACACTTTTGGTGTTTTCCACTAACATTTTACTATTTTAGTAACTTTGACTTCGTGTCTCTCACTCACGAGATTAAATCCCCCCTTTTATCAAATTTTCGGCTCAATTAGATAACTTGCAAGAATCATGATTATAATAATTCCAATTCTAAGTACGTATGCGATATCGCGAGGATCATGTGTGTAAACTAGCGACGTATCGGACAAGTTATATCCTCGCCCCATATTCAAACTGATAATGTTTTGTAATCTCGCTTTTTCCTTTTCAAACATTTTTTATTTATTAAAAGATATGTAGTTGTTTTTATAAGACTCTAATTGATCATCTACTCCGTAAAAAGTTAATGTCGAAAATTTATAAAAGAAAGTCATATGCACAAACAATTGATCTTGTGATTAAGAATGTTTTTACTTAAAACTTAGCTAGGTTCAGTTCAAATCTCAAAAACATAGCCAATTAAAATTTTAAGAACTTCGGTGGTAGTACTGTAAAATGATCCATCGATCTTTTAAAAAAAGGAGTTAGATTAGACTAGTCTTTAATCATTATAGTGAAAACCGTTACCATAAATTATCATACTTTTATATAGTGCTGATGTAATCGATTTTAAAGTAAACTTATTATTTGTATTCTTGGAAATTACTGAAAACAAAAAGATATCACATCTTGAACGTAGGAACTAGCCCGAAAATTAGGAAGAAATATAGGAATTCAAAACAAATGATTAAAATATCCTACGAAATTAACATGGTAAAAAACACCTAAATCAAATAAAAATAAGTTTTGATGCGAAAGAATCCAAACTAACCACAACTTTTGAAACAAAATCTATAAATGATAGGTTTAGAACGGCTTTAATCTTTTAAGAACCAAATTTGTGGTTAATTTTTCGTTCGACTTTGATGTATATGAATTTGTTGGTAATTTCGGAAAACAAATATATCAAATTTGGAACTGTTAGAGACTACCCTAAAAGCAGGTTATGGAATTCGCTGGTCAAATGAATTCATAAAGAAAACAAATTATAAATCAAAATTTAATAAAAAAAAAGCTGATAATTTCGAAAATGTTAAAAAAAAAACAACCAATCACCTTTCATCTAACATTCTCACTTATCTGGCCTATATAAGCAACTACCATTTCTAGATCTCTTCACCTCAATCTTCCTCTCTAAACCTCTCTCACTCTCTGTCTGATACAACCGAGCCAAACCGGTCCGGTCTTTCTTCTTGGCATCGTCGCTTCTCCGGTATTATATCTCTTCTTGATTCTCATAGATTTCGCAACAAGTGATCTATACCATTTCTGATTTGTCTTCCTCCTCTTCATTGAATATTTTTCGGGATCAATGAGAGAGTGGAGATTTTTCGACTTTCATTTATCATTGTTTCAAGAAAACAAAGCAGTTTTAATGAGAAAACGTATTATCCTAATTTGTTCTTTAAAGGTTTTAAACCTGATCAAATTCACGATAGTGATATCTCCAACACGTTATATGCATCCCAGCAAAAAAGTTTTGCTTTAATCTCTTTTCCCGTAAAAAGAGTGTAAAAGTAGTCATTAATCCCATAATAATCTCTTTTTTCGATGTGATTTGTTTTTTTTTTCTTTTTAGATTTCCGTTTTATAGATTTTTTAACCATAAAAAAACTTCGATACAGAAATGGCGTTACAGAAGGAGGACAAGAACAAAGAAGAAGATAAAAAGACAAAGAAGCAGTGGCAGAAGAGTTACTTCGACGTTTTGGGAATCTGCTGTACATCGGAGGTTCCTCTGATCGAGAATATTCTCAAGTCTCTTGACGGCGTTAAGGAATATTCCGTCATCGTTCCGTCGAGAACCGTGATCGTTGTCCATGACAGTCTCCTCATCTCTCCGTTCCAAATTGGTAAGCATTAGCTAATCACTTTATTCGAATTTTATATTATTTTCATTTTTTAAAAATATAATTAAAAAGCATAAAGTAATCACTCAACACGAAACAATCACTTCAGTTTTCTGTTTTTTGTTTTATCAGAATTAATGGTTTTGCGTCGTCGTGTGATATGCAAAGTCTCAAACGTTACTTTTTGGGAACTAATTACTCTCATTCAGTTTTACCACAAAAGCTTTAATTTGCCTTTACAAAACATTTATTAGGAAAATTCGTTTATCACCTACCTATTCAAGATTTAAGTGAAAATAGTTATCCTAAAAACTAGGGAATTCAGATTTTTGAGGTTTTTACCGATTCTAATGAAAAACGAAGCCCTATTATTTGGGTTTTTCCTCAAGATAAAACAGAATATTGTTGTTATGGATTTACTTTCCTTTCAATTATTATTAAACTGTAATTAAAATCTAAAAGTCAAGTTTTTAAAGCCATTTTCATGGATTTTTTAAGGAAAATTGATCTAACCAACACTTGCAAATTCGTTCATCTATTATCTATTTAATTTCTTCGATATTTTTGTGTGTGATAAAGTCTACTTCTTCGACATTACAGAACTAGAAAATTGAAAATTACGGCTTCTTTATACAATTTTGCTAGAGCCTTTTATGTGTATAATCTAAACTTTGCATAACTCATACATACCACATGTGTCATGTCACGTGTGTAGCATAAAGCCATAAACAATATATCTAACTGACATCATAAAATAAGTTGAGTATTCCCAAAACATATGCAAAAAAAAAAGTTTCGAAAAAGCCTGTCGAGTTATTTACCAAATCCATTTATCATAATATTTTATTGGTAGTGGATCATACTCGTTACGTAACTATATTTTATAGTTTTTATTTGACAGAAAACGTATTCCATATATGACTTAAATTTATACTTTTTTTAAAACAAATTTTCTTTGTTTAATGATGAGCTTCCAAACAAAATTGTTGTGCAGCCAAGGCATTGAACCAAGCGCGTTTAGAAGCAAACGTGAGAGTAAACGGAGAAACCAACTTCAAGAATAAATGGCCAAGCCCTTTCGCGGTGGTTTCCGGCATACTCCTCCTCCTCTCCTTCCTAAAATATGTATACCCGCCTCTTGGTTGGCTCGCTGTCGTGGCAGTTGCTGCTGGTATTTATCCGATTCTTGCAAAAGCCGTCGCTTCTGTCAGAAGGCTTAGGGTCGACGTCAACATCCTAGTCATTATAACAGGTAATGCCACTCTTCATTCTTATTTTTATCCGCATGACTCAATATTTGATGTGTAACTATAATGATTTGTTAGCTTATAGCTCTTCATATTACTATGTAGCTAGTATTGGCTAAAAAAGAACTTAGAAAATTGTTGTTGGTAAAACTATCGAAGCCTTGTTAATAGATCTAGAATTTTCTTAGAAACTTGCGAGTCTTTTACTCTCCATTTTATGGTACTTTAGAAAAGCTTACATATACTGCTTTCCTGCAAATCTAGCACGCCACGAAACCTTTTAGAAAAGTTTTTCTTTAATTTTTCTTAATATTTTGAAAAGTATGCCCAATTTTACTTTATAAAAATTCAATATTAGAAATGTAGCAATTTGATATTTCTGTTGTATAGTTAAGTAATTTTTGAGTTATAGGTTGTAGAACTAAATAAAACGACTTTATATTTTTGTTGTATGTAAAGTACATTTGAATAATAGGATATAGAAAAAAAGTTCAAAATGTTCTTTGGATAGGTAAAGTGAACATGTGATTAAACTCGGAAAGTTGGTGTGGAAGATAATGCAAAATTTAAAGGTGTATATTCAAAATATGGGAAAAAAAAGATACGCCTTTCTCTTTTCTCTTTACAAAAATCTATATTTTCGTTTATTAAGTACGACTCAAAAACCAAGGCCTCGTGACCCAGTGGTAAAGGGGTCACAGCTGTGACTTCCGCCACTTGGGTTCGAGTTCCCTTAGCCACCTGAGCTGCCTTAAATGGTAAGAATACGCGGATTGCCGTGGGCCTCGTGGGATTAGTCTTTGGGTCTAGAAAGCCTTTAGGATCCCACGGTTATCGAAAAAAAAAAAAAAAAAAAGTACGACTCGAATTTATTTGATGATACAGTAGCATAGGTGTAAAACATTATTTTCATTTTACGTAATTTTTTTTAATGCAAAATTTAGAACGTAGTTTAAGAAGAGAAATCTTTTACTACACACAACGTAGAAATATAGATTTTATATTAAACGATCGAGGCAACTAGGAAAACGGAAGTTCCATGATCGAGAGTTGTCTAGTTCTTTGGGAAAACTTAATTATTTTTGGTTATTTATACGAAAGTAAAGGATTCGTTTGGTTGTTGCTCTATTTATTTTTAATTCTATTTTTGTTAAAAGCTGCAGTTACGTGTTATAGAAGGAAAAAAGGTTATATGGTTTTTGATTGGCTTATCTTCTACGACTCAAAATGGGAAAAAGCAAACTTTTTAGTTTTAACTCGTGAAAAGAAAATGAAAAAGAGCAACAAATAATTGAAAGAACAAATATCATCAGAAGTAAATAAATTAATTCATAACTGATTTTAAATTATACTTAGCCATTGACTGATAACGGAGTTACTATGAGTTGAAATTTCGGTTTAGGACACATTGTTAACAAAGATAAATCAAAGAGACACCAAGCTTGTGAATCCATAATATAAACTATTTTGGTTATACCTTGATCTGTTTTTGTTCCTTTGTATAATGTAAGAAAAACTATAATCCACTAATAATCTAAATACATCAAACAGTGGCTGCAACACTTGCAATGCAAGATTACATGGAGGCAGCAGCAGTTATCTTCTTATTCACCATAGCTGAATGGCTTGAAACAAGAGCTAGCTACAATGTATGTTAACTAGTAATGATCATATCTTGTGTTAATCAAACAACTGTGGAAGATCTTGCTTTATTTATAGATGAGCTGAAGTTGAGATCGTAATGGATTATTGATTATGGCAATTGTAATCTCAGGCCAGCTCGGTGATGCAGTCTCTGATGAGCTTAGCTCCACAAAAGGCAATCATAGCAGAGACTGGAGAAGAAGTTGAAGTAGATGAGGTTAAGCTCAACACAATCGTAGCAGTTAAAGCCGGTGAAACCATACCTATTGATGGGATTGTGGTTGATGGAAACTGTGAAGCAGACGAGAAAACCTTAACCGGTGAAGCATTTCCTGTGCCTAAACAGAGAGATTCTTCGGTTTGGGCTGGAACTATGAATCTCAATGGTAATGTAACCCTCTTACAAAAGGTTCAATCTTAGAAAAGTTTCACTCTTTTTGATATCTTTCTCCAATGTGTTTTGGCAGGTTATATAAGTGTGAAAACAACTGCTTTAGCCAGTGATTGTGTGGTTGCAAAGATGGCTAAGCTCGTAGAAGAAGCTCAGAGCAGTAAAACCAAATCTCAAAGACTAATAGACAAATGTTGTCAGTACTATACTCCAGGTTTGCAGAAACATAACCAGAACTCTTTTTCTTCTTTATGTTATTGATTCTTGTAATTTGAGACCTCTCTTTTTCTTGTTTTGTTTCAGTAATCATCATAGTATCAGCTTGCTTTGCGATAGTCCCGGCTATAATGAAAGTTCACAACCTCCACCATTGGTTTCACTTAGCACTGGTTGTGTTAGTCAGTGCTTGTCCCTGTGGTCTTATCCTCTCTACACCAGTAGCTACTTTCTGTGCACTTACTAAAGCAGCAACTTCAGGGCTTCTGATCAAGAGCGCTGATTATCTTGACACTCTTTCAAAGATCAAGATCGCTGCTTTCGACAAAACCGGAACTATCACTAGAGGAGAGTTCATTGTCGTAGAATTCAAGTCACTCTCTAGAGACATAAGCCTACGCAGCTTGCTTTACTGGTAAATAGAACCAAACTTTTTCTTCTGACTAAAAAAGAGTTTGATGAGATAACTTATGAATGACAATTTCTTGTTTTGTTCTCAGGGTGTCAAGTCTTGAAAGCAAATCAAGTCATCCAATGGCAGCAACGATTGTGGACTATGCTAAATCTGTTTCTGTTGAGCCTAGGAGTGATGAGGTTGAGGATTATCAGAACTTTCCAGGTGAAGGAATCTATGGGAAGATTGATGGGAACAATGTTTACATAGGGAACAAAAGGATTGCTTCACGAGCTGGTTGTTCAACAGGTAAAGCTTCAAAAAAAAAACTCTACGGAATGTTTTTGAGGTTTTGTTGAGTCTTTGATCACTTTTAGACTGTTCTTTCTTGACAGTTCCAGAGATTGAGCTTGATACCAAAGGAGGAAAGACTGTTGGATACGTCTATGTAGGTGAAAGATTAGCTGGAGTTTTCAATCTTTCTGATGCTTGTAGATCAGGCGTAGCTCAAGCAATGAAGGAACTCAAAGATCTTGGAATCAAAACCGCAATGCTAACAGGAGATAATCAAGATTCAGCAATGCATGCTCAAGAACAGGTAAGAGACTAAACAAATTGTAACCAGAAAGTTTCCATTACTCTCTTGATCGTTAGAGATTATATAAAAACCTTGAAATGTTTTTATATGGAAACAGTTAGGGAATGCTTTGGATGTTGTTCATGGAGAACTTCTTCCAGAAGACAAATCCAAAATCATACAAGAGTTTAAGAAAGAAGGACCAACTTGTATGGTGGGAGATGGTGTGAATGATGCACCAGCTTTAGCTACTGCTGATATTGGTATCTCCATGGGGATTTCTGGCTCTGCGCTCGCGACGCAGACTGGTCATATCATTCTCATGTCCAATGATATAAGAAGGATACCACAAGCGATAAAGCTAGCAAGAAGAGCTCGGCGGAAAGTTATTCAAAACGTGATTATCTCCATCACTTTGAAAGTAGCGATACTGGCTTTAGCATTTGCTGGTCATCCTTTGATTTGGGCTGCGGTGCTTGCTGATGTAGGGACTTGTCTGATTGTGATTCTAAACAGTATGTTGTTGCTGCGAGAGAAGGATAAAGCCAAGAACAAGAAGTGTTACAGGGCTTCTACATCATTGTTGAGTGGTAAGAAACTTGAAGGCGATGATGACCAAGGCCTTGACTTAGAAGCAGGGTTGTTATCAAAGAGTCAATGCAACTCAGGATGTTGTGGTGATAAGAAAAGCCAAGAGAAGGTGATGATGAGACCAGTTAGTAAAACAAGTTCTGGCCATCTTCACTCTGGTTGTTGTGGAGATAAGAAGCAAGACAGTGTGAAAGATAGCTGTTGCGGTGAGAAAAGTAAGAAACCGGAGGGAGCTATGGCTCCATTGAGCTCATGCAAGAAGTCTTCTCATGCCAACCACGACCTGAAACTGAAAGGTGGTTCAAGTTGTTGTGCTAGTAAAAAGGAGAAGCTGAAGGAAGTAGTAGTAGCAAAGAGCTGTTGTGAAGAGAAGGAGAAAGCAAAGGGAAATGTTGAGGTGCAGATTCTTGATTTGGAGAAAGGTTTGCATAAAAAGGTTGGTGAAACCTGCAAATCAAGCTGTTGTGGAGATAAAGAGAAGGCTAAGGAAACACGTTTGTTGCTTGCTAGTGAAGATCCATCTTATCTGGAGAAGGAAGAAAGGCAAATTACTGAAGCTAACATTGTGACGGTGAAACATAGCTGCCATGAGAAGGCAAGTCTGGACATTGAAACTGGAGTTACTTGTGATCTCAAGTTGGTCTGCTGTGGAAACATAGAAGTGGGAGAGCAATATGATCTTGAGAAAGGCATGGCGTTAAAGAGTGAAGGACAATGGAAGTCTGATTGCTGCGGTGATGAAAAGAAAACCGGAGAGATAACTCTAGCTTCTGAGGAAGACAGTGTGGATTGCTCCTCCGGATGCTGCGGAAACAAGGAGGAAGTGAAACAGAGCTGTCATGAGAAGACATGTCTGGACACTGAAACTGGTGTAAGTTGTGATTTAAAGTTGGTTTGTTGTGGAAGCATAGAAGGAGAAGTGAGAGCGCAATCTGGTTGCTGCGGAGATAAAAAGCAAACCGGAGAAATAACTCTGGCTTCTGAGGAAGAGACTGATAGTTCGGATTGTTCCTCAGGATGCTGCGGAAACGAGGAGGAAGTGACAAAAATCTGTCATGAGAAGACATGTCTGGACATTTCAAGTTGTGATTCCAAGTTGGTTTGCTGTGGAGAAACAGAAGTGGAAGTGGGAGAGCAAATGATGAATGAAGGACAATGCAAGTCTGTTTGTTGCGGTGATGAAAAGAAAACAGAGGATATAACTCTGGTTTCTGAGGAAGGGACGGACAATCTGAAAACTGAAAGTGGTGATGATTGCAAATCTCTTTGTTGTGGAACTAGTCTGAAGCAAGAAGGGTCTTCTAGTTTGGTCAATGTGGTGGTGGAGAGTGGTGAATCCGGGTCAAGCTGTTGCAGCAAGGAGGGAGAGATAGTGAAAGTATCTAGCCAAAGCCGTTGCACAAGTCCTAGTGATGTGGTGTTATCTGACTTGCAAGTCAAGAAACTAGAGATTTGTTGCAAAGTGAAGAAGACTCCAGAAGAGGTTTGTGGACCTAAATGTAAGGTAACAGAGAAGCGTCACCACATTGGTAAAAGCTGTTGCAGGAGTTATGCAAAAGAGTATTGTAGCCACATGCATCATCACCACCACCACCATCATCACCACCATGTTGGGGCTGCTTGACGGAGATAGTGATTGATTAGCTTTTAACTCTCAACGCATCCATCTATTTGCATCACCTTTCCGTCTTCAACCAATGTCGCCGAGAAAAAATAAAAACATTTCCAGCAAAGGTTATAGGTTTATCAACTGTGTGAATCGTAAAGACAATGCTAGTGGTCGTTGTTAGTCTTTTATGTTTGCCAAAACCCTAATGTATATTTCTCCTTTTCTTGTTTTTATTCTCTTTTTGAAGATGCCGAGAAGAAGTTTGAACTTCGATCTTAGAGTCTTAAAATCAAATAGAACAAGCAGTGAAACATAACTTCAAGATAGACTTGGAGCCTTTTTTTGTATGTTGTGTACGAAATAAGATTTATTGGCTGACACGTTTCTTGTCAATTCTAAGGCATTACTATATTAGGACAGAGCATCTTCTGCTCGGTATTCTTCGTGAAGGGTAGGTGAGAAAAAAATAAAGAGCAAAAACTGACTTGTTTATAAAAAACACTATTACATTGATGTAATCAAGAATCAGTAAAAAATAAAAGTTAATCAAAGGGTGACACAACTCATGATCTTATATGAATAAGGGACTGTAAGCACAACATTCAACCGTTCAATCTTCCCCCCAAATCACTAATCCATTAGAATCAGTAAAAATTAATTTTCAAAGTCCCCAAGTGTAAACACATACATAGAACAAATATTTTCATTCTTTTATGCAAAATGTATATATTTATATTTTAAAATGACGTTTAAGAAGAAAAATCTTTACTTCTTTTTTTTTTTTGACAAAGAAAAATCTTTTACTTTCACACAACGTAGATATATATAGATTTAATATTAAACGATCGAGGCAACTAGGAAAAATGAAAGTTTTATGATCGAGGGTTGTCTGGTTCTTTGGGAAAACTTAATTAGTTTTGGTTATTTTATACGAAAGTATAGGATTCGTTTGATTGTTGCCCTGTTTAATTTTAATTTTAATTTTGTTAAAAGTTGCAGTTACGTGTTATAGAAGGAGAAAAGGTGAAGTGGTTTTTGATTGGCTTATCTTCTACGACTCAAAATGGGAAAAGCAAAAAATTTAGTTTTAATTAGCTCGTGAAAACAAAAATGAAAAAAGAGCAACAAATGATTGAAATAACAAAAATCATCAAAAGTAAATAAATGAATTCAAGATTACTTGCAATCCAATGGCTCGAAAGAAGAGCTATTACAAAATCCCATCTTATTATAGTTAATTTGGTGTTTGGAGGGTTTTATTATGACCCAAATAGTTTAGGTTACCCAACTCCAACACTTGTAAGTTCGTTCATATAATTCTTTTTAATTTCTTCAATATTTTTTTGTGGGAGATAAAGTCTACTTCTTCAACATTACCAAACTAGAAAATTGAACATTACGGCTTCTTTATACAATTTTGCTTTTATGTGTATAATCTAAACTTTGCGTAACTCATACATGCCACATGAGCAGGCCCGGTTCTAGGAGTGTGCAACCAGTGCAAAAGCACATGGTCCAAGGCCCGGCCCATATCAAGCAAAAAATGTGGGCCGACCTATATCAAAAAATACCAATCCTTGTTGTTGTATCAAGGAAACCATGTTTAAGCACAAGCAATTAGTCTCGGTATTTCTTTTGACAACTTACTTTCCTCTGGTTACTCTAGTGCATGAGCTTAAGAAAGTTAATATGGATCTAATATCCTCTGATCAGGTTCTTGAGGTTAGGTGTGTATCTTGTATTGGAAAAGCTAGAGCTCAAAAAATCGAAAGCTAAATCTCAAAATAAATTTAGATGCAAAATGAGTTCATAATATAATAAAGCAACGATATGGTTCAAAATGAGTTCAAAAGTAAAACTGAAGGGTTCAAACTGAAATTAAAAATGACCAAATTGCAAAGAAAGAAACACATCAATTCCCGGAACGGAAAGCTGAGAGTGCAACGACATATCCCAAATAGGCCTCCAAGCTTGCACGAATGATCTGATCATCAGTGAGGGGCCAAGCCCAGTCTCCATCAACATCCACATCGCCCAAGTGTCCAAGAGGTACACCAACTACCATCAGCAAACGGATTGATGATGGCCAGGTAAGACGACACAGCAAGTCCTCTCCCGACAACAACTTGTGGGTTTAAACCAACAAATCGGTTTTCAGGGTTTGACAGGAATTGGGAAAGTGCACTAGTGGGCAGTACATGGAGCACGGTAAGCTGCACCACAAGCACCTCCCTTCCCATGGCCATGGCAATGATTAACATGGAGGCAGCAACAGTTGTCTTGTTATTCACTGTATCTTCTCTTCTCTTGACCTTGTAAAAAATTGATGATACTCTAAGTACATGATTTGTACAGCTCGTGAACATCTGATTAAACTCCGAAAGTCAGTTGTGACATCCAGCGAGCCTCTGTCAAGTAAAGTTGTCGCCGTAACAGTGAGGAAGGTGTTGAAAAAACATTCGCCATTTTTACGAGAGATTTTAGATTTTTTTTTTATGGGTAAGAGAGAAGTGAGTGTGTGTGTATATTTACTTATTTAGTTCCTCCCTCTTGTTCTTTCTAAGCAGACCATTGCAAATCTCTTTCTTCCGTGCCCAACGTATCCTGTTTTAGTTTATTAAATTAAACTAAACTAATAACTGCTTAGGAGTATGTTTAGCTGTCAGGATTACATTGATGTTTTTTAATTGAGTCTTCACTAAAAAGCAAAACTCAATTTTGTGATTATATGATTGAGATGTCATCATCCATGTACATTTGCATTTCCAAATTTTTATGTCTTCAATCACGATGTTGGTTACAAGGGAATCAAAAAGCAATGATCATATCCATATAGGTGCTGGACGCGGAGGTTTTGCTTTTTAATAGGTACCGAAATAGTCTGGATATGATTTCTCAAAACCCCAGCCGTTATTGTAACTCGTATAAATTAACTCAAAACGCAAACAAACAATCTAATCTTTGATCCGCAATTGCTTCCCTTCGGAATGTCGTGAACGAGTAATACCTCTTTAGTTCCTCAATTTTTTTTCCATACTTTACAGCCTCTTCCTCCCTCCTAATCCAGTTCGTACGTTTTATTTCATGATCTTCTTCTTCTCGTTATGAGAAACCTGCCTTAATTACATGGTACTTTTTTTTGTAACTTAAATCTCATCAATTTCTTTGAACTAAAGAAAAAATTATGTAGCCTTGCTTTATATTAATTATTTCATTACTTCCTTCAACTAGTATCACGGACATTATTTTAGTTTGACGCCGATCACGGACATTAATTTAGGCTTAGTCCTAATTAAGCAACCATAGTCATTTCAGGGTTAGTGCCTTTAGTTTGACAATGACAGTCAACGCAGTCAATGATGTGAGGTATGCAAATGCAAATGGAAACACTATTGGATGCATTGTTTGAAAAGAAAATGAAAAAAAAAAAAACCTACTTAAACCAGACATGGAAACTAGTGTCATATGACTTGAGACACGAAAAATTCTTGTTCTCTGATGCTGGAAACTCTCTTTTAATCAGTTTTGAAGTTCCTTGTATCTGCAGAGATGATATAAATTGAATAGAGCTTACATTGGGGTGCGCACAAGGCAGAAATGGGATGTGTTGGAAAGCCAATGGTCTAGGCCCATTTTGGACGTGTTCTTGGGATTCCTCTGAGTCAGCTTGATCTTCATCTTTAGTTCCTTCCACGTTCTTGGTGCTCTCCTCAAGTAGTCGCTGTATTTGGTCTCTCTCGGATCCATGGCGTGTACCGTAAGTTTCCTGTCCTCCATGTATGTTATCTCATGCGTTAAGAGCATTTTTGAAGTTGACATCCTTAATTTACAGAGAAGATTCTTACCTTGATCTTGCAGCTGAGATGCATGGCTGATGGTAAGACGATCGAATCCCTCATCCTTCTCGGGAACGTGTGGAGCCTTTTAAAATTTTCTCTAGATGATAGTATTTTCTGTTACTTGCTGAGCATGGGTGAGAAATTCAAAACCATGGTTTTCCTCCTTATGGCGGCGGTATACATCCAGAATCCTGTTAACAAAAAAGCTCAGAAGTAATGGTGAACCATATTCTGGTCTACTTGGTAATTAAACCTATGAGGCTCAATGGGAATAGAGAGGCTTCTGCTGAAGAGATGTGAACATTGGCTTCTTGTAAGCAGTCTGTTAATTTACGTTCATCCATCTAGCACAGAAACCCATTAATGTACAGCCAAAGTTTGATCAAGAAGCCGACCTCAACTAGCTAGTACCCAATATCGATCAGAATACACCAGTGGAACGTCCTAACGAAAGGTTATGGCATCATCATGGTATGTTAAATATATATTTCATTTCTACCTATACACACAGACACACACACACATTATGTGGATATAATTTGTGGTTACTTATCTTTAATATACACTTCACATGTTTCATAAAATTAGATGTTTAAGGACAATGCACAAGGCACACATACTAAATATACCCTTATTTTATAATTACTTAAAATTTGTTTCATAAGTTTTAACTTTAACCATTAATTAGAAGACAAAGTAGAAAATGTTACGTACACAAATTATGCATGGGAAATACAAAACATATATATCTTTATGAAACATTTATTTTTCTCTAAAGAAGGGAAGGAGTACTTTGTTTCAAGATCAAACCTGTTATTAGGATACTACATGATTGGGCGGACGAATATTGTGTAACGAATTTTAAAATTTTGCTGGAAAAGTCTTCCCAACGAAAAAGAAGAAAAAATGATCATATTAGACAATGTTTGGCAAATAGAAGCAAAGAGTGAGGATGTTTCGTCCGTATTCATGGTAACACAAACATGGGGTGGTAAAGAGAGGACTCATTCCCATTTGACAGATTTAGCTTCCCGTATGAGCATGTACATTCGGTTATGCAAAATCCAAAAGATAAATGATACATGTAGAGGTAGGGTTCCTCGAATGAAAGGAAAAGTAGTATTTGATGGAGACAAATACAGCGACTACTAGCAAAACAAGGAACTTAACAACATTGGAAAATCAACTGAGAAACTGTTGTGACTTTCAGCGTCATTTCTTCTCGTTTAAAAATAAGATAAAAGAGGAGACGTCGGTTGTTTGTTAATTCCTTTGTATCTGTTGACACGTGTATTTTTGGGTTTGGAAGAAGGTGATTTTTAATTGGCTGCTCAAAGCAACAAGAAACCTGGAGGGAGCAGGGAGGGACCCACACCAAATTATAAAAATGCATTACGTAAATTCATTCTTTGTATATATCTCACAATCACACACAAATCAGAAAAATCAAATCAAAACGAAATAAGCCAAAAATGCAGTTTTCCCACTTTCTTCAGAATCCACCGGGCGAACACGCAGGATCATAAGATTCGGAAGTTGATACTCAGAGGTCTGCTGGAGGAGTTGTTGCGAAGGTCACGACCACCGAGTCACTCGCGGTGGCTCTAAACTGGATCAGAGGAATTGGAAACGATTAGAGTTAATTTGAGAAGCAACATATGTGTATTTTAGTGAGCAAATATGGTGGACAAAACAAATCCGTGAATCTCGCAAAAACCATGTATACATGATGGCCTTCATAACCTTAATGTAAAATAGAGAAGTTTTATAGATTATTAAGTTTTTTAAATAGAAGTTTTGTAAACCGTGATGGTCGCCGAGGACCTAGACGTGAACCAAACTTAGTTGGTCATAGACTCTATTTCGTCTCAGACTCGAAGAAAACAATTTCAAAAGTAGAATCGCGGATACTCTAAGTGCATGATATGTTCAAAACACTTTCAAGTCATAGGCTAGCGATGAGCCAAGTTGTTCAGATTCTTGAAGGTGTTTTGGAAATGAATCCACCACCGTTTCCATTGATTGATCCAAGCTTTAGTTTAAAACTTTATTGTTTGGTTACAAAATAATTTTATGTTTAGTATATATTCCAATTTTTATTCTCTGTTTGCCATTTGCCAAATTTAAATTATGATAGTGTTATTTATTTTTTCTTTCACTGTGTTTATCTCACACACATATTTTCGGATATATTTTTTTGTCATAGACAATACTCTTATACGAAGAAGTATTATACTGCAAACTTCGGACAATTGTCAACTATGTTATTAGCCTAATTCTTTATTTATTTAACTCTAAAAGATGATATTAAAGCAATACTTTTATTTGCCTACAAATTCTATATCTGAATAGTTCAATAATTTATAATCTTCATATAACTTAAACTTTAAAAATTTCGAATATACGATGTAATCTGAAAACATGAGAGCAACACACTAATGAAGTGGGATGAAGGTACTTTAATTGTGGCTAAGGGCAAGCTAAGTATGTGTGTGTAGGCCGTTGACTTGACCTTGTATGAATCGTTGATTTGATAACTTATCTAATTACGACTTTTCGATGATTAACGGTTTCTTTCTATTAAGAGTATATGCTTAATACAACATCATGATGTTGGATAATATCATGATTTGATCGATTAAATATTCGTGGGAGTTTATCTATGCGAATATAGGAAATGTTTGGAAATCGACACAGTCGTGGCCTCGTGGGAAGTGAGTGGCACGATCTTTTAACCTTTACTTCTCTGTTGCTTTAAGTTATATCGAGCAATTTGTTTTTAACAAAACCTATTTTTCATATAAGAAATTAATGAAATTGGAGAGCATGTATGTCGCGAGTTGGTCAAGATGTTCTACGCGACTTTTGTTTTTCCTCTCTTTATCACATAGTTTTAGTAAAAACAATAGTAAACCAATTTTATTATTTTTAACGGTAGAATGATATATCTATCATATATGGATGATCTGGATTATGCTACACATAATTTTGACAAATGGTATTTTTAAAAAGGGTTGAATCTACGAACGGCAATAGTTTACTTTTCAAATCTGAATCTAGACCTAATCTTAAGAAATAATAACATCAATTGTTCACGATTATACGAATTCACGAGTTATACCAAAGACAAAAATATAAGTAGAGGTCAATGTCCACTTGTTTGAGAAAATGGGATAATAAATGATTAGGGATAGTAAACAAACCAACAAAATTTATAATATTACAATTTGTCTGGGATATGCTTTGGAACATAACTCAAACACAACGTAACAAAAAAAAATTCGAAGTGAATAAACACATGGTAATGTTTGTTTTTTACAGAGTATTGGATGATCTGGATCTACGTATGAATCTCCTCCGACCGCCGGGATTTGGAGGGCCGTGTTGGTCGCCGAAGACCGCCGGCACCAGGTCGTTGATCACAGAGATGGGCCCATCGCCATCTTCAAATTGGCCCGTGACGTCATCACCGTCTTAAAAAAAGTGCATGATTTGTTCAAGACACTTTTAAGTCATAGGCCAGCGATGAACCAAGTTGTTCAAATTCTTGAAGGTGTTTTGAAAATGAATCCACCACCGTTTCCATGATCGATCCAAGCTTTAGTTTAAAACATTATAGTTTGGTTACAAAATAATTTTATGTTTAGTATATATTCTAATAATTTTTATTCTGAAGTAGAAGAACACAAAAATGGAATTTCCCCCGCTTAATGGATAACCATCTGTCATTGGGGGTTTTCTAAAAAATGGAGTTGATTGGATTTCGCAAAATTAAGCGTTTCACAATTAGTGAACTGTATTTTTTGTCAGAATCCGCATTTTCTAAGCAAATAGATCGTTTTCTATTTAATCATCCTCCAAATAATTCAAATCTAAGCAATTAGATGTCCGATTCGGGCCACACCGGAGGAATCGTAGCAAAAGCGAGTCTTCATAGGGCAATTTTCACTGCTTATGGACCGAGGACTCCTTCTCCTTCCCCTTCTTCAAACTCCGATTAGTATATATTCTAATAATTTTTATTCTCTATTTGCCATTTTATGTTTAGTATAATGTTTAGTATACTATTATAGTGTTATTTATGTTTACTATCACTGTGTTTATCTCACACATATATTTCCGGATATATTTTTTTTGTCATAATACAACAATACTCTTATATAAAGAAGTATTATACTACAAACTTCGGACAATTGTCAAGCATGTTATTAGCCTAATTCTTTCTTTGTTTAACTCTAAAAGATGATATTAAAGCAATACTTTTATTTGCCTACTAGTTTATAATCTTCATACAAATAAACTTTTAAAATTTGGAATATACGATGGAATCTGAAAACATGAGAGCAACACACGAAGTGGGATGAAGGTACTTTAATTGTGGCTAAGGGCAAGCTAAGTATGTGTGTCAGTGTGTGTAGGCCGTTGACTTGAGCTTGTAGGAATCGTTGATTTGATAACTTATCTACGTACGACTTTTCGATGATTAACGGTTTCTTTGTATTAAGAGTATATGCTTAATACAACATCATGATGTTGGATAATATCATGATTTGATTAAATATTCGTGGGAGTTTATCTATGCAAGAACAAATAGGAAATGTTTGGAAATCGACACAGTCGTGGGAAGTATATGAGTGGCACGATCTTTAACCTTTACCTTTCTGTTGCTTTAAGTTATGCCGAGCAATATTTTTTTTAACAGAACCTATTTTTCATATAAGAAATTAATGAAATTGGAGAGCATGTATGTCGCAAGTTGGTCAAGATGTTCTACGCGACTTTTGATTTTCCTCTTCACATAGTTTTAGTAAAAACAATAGCAAACCAATTTTATTATATTTGATTGTCGAATAATACATGTATCATATATGGATGATCTGCATTATGATACACACAATTTTGGTAAATGGTATTTTAAAATAAAAGTTGAATCTACGAACTACAATAGTTTACTTTTCAAATCTGAATCTAGACCTAATCTTAAGAAATAATAACATCAATTGTTCACGATTATACGAATTCACGAGTTATACCAAAGACAAAAATATAAGTAGAGGTCAATGTCCACTTGTTTGAGAAATGGGATAATAAATGATTAGAGCCTGTAAACAAACCCAACAAAAATTATAATATTACAATTAATTTGTCTGGGATATAATTTGGAACATAACTCAAAACACAACGTAAAAAAAAAAAAATCTAAGTGAAAAAAAACACATGCTAATGTTTGTTTTTTACAGAGTATTGGATGATTTGGATCTACGTATGAATCTAAATGATACTAACGTGCATTCCTTTGACTCGACACCAAATTGACCAACCAATTTCTAGATGTTGACTTATCCAGAGATGAACGTGAAAACCGAACCAAACCAAATCGAGTCGAACAAAAAAAAGAACTTATTAATGTAAGTTTGTTACGAATTTCATATCAAACCCAAATGATATGATACATGCACTTAGACCATAAATTTTATACAATCGAATCGAAATTCATAAATTTGGATAACCAAAACCCAATAGAACCTGAACCGGATCCAGATTGAACCGAACAGAGCCACACAATTATTACCGGACCAATAAACGTACAGTAGTTTTCGAACATACGCGGTCTTGATAGCGCGTGGTTTGGTAGGTCTTGAGTATTTTACAATTACACAAGTAGCCAATTAAAAAATTACACGTCATTGATTTAGAAAATTCTCAATTGCTGTTCAATGAAATAAAAAATTCTAATTAATCTCTCTACCTCAAAATTTTACTTGTCCATGTTTTTGAACCGAAGAGACAGACAGACTTCTTCTTCTTCGTCGTCGTCGTCTTCTTTTGTTGTGTACAGACATACCTTCATTTTATAGCGAGAGAGAGAGATCTTAAGAAGAAGAAGAAGAAACGAAATCGCGAACGAAGAATAGAAGAAATTGAAATTACCCATAGACCGTAGTTCTCTCCGTGAGATTTAGACACGTTTCTTCGAGTGTGTGTAGCTCTCAGTTGTTCGTTCGCTGAGAGTTAAAGGATTTTTCTCGGAGTTTTTTGTTTTCGTTAGATCTTTGGGTGGAAACAAACAAGCTCGTGTAGACGGAAAGTGGAAACTCTCCGCCGTCTGTGGGATCCGCCTCCGTTTTGAAAAAGGTTCCATTTTTCCTCGGATTTTTTTATTGTTAGGCTGTTACAGTGTTCAATTTTGGATTTTGTGCGGCGATGAATTTAGCTTTAAAAGAGATCCGATTTGGTTTCGGGATATTAAAAAAACTCTAATTTGATATTTCGATTTTCATTTGATCTCCTCCTTCTGTTCTTAGATTGAGAGAAGCATTTGTGGAAATTGTTTGACTTAGATGTTTGCTTTGAAGCAATGCGCTTGCGTGAATGATTGTGTTGTTGTGCATTTTGAGTTGGCTATGAGAAGCTGTGACGATGGTTTGACTTTTTCTTTGTTTAGACTTTGTTGTTGTACTAACTTGAAATTGTCAAAAAAACCCATGTTTGATTCTTCAGTCTTACTCTTATGATTATAAGTTTGCTGGTAGGAAACTTAGAGAAAAGGTGAGATTGTGTTGTTCTGTTCAAGAAAGGAACTTTAGAGAAACTATCTTTTTCAATTTTATATTTTGATTCATTTGTATTAGCCAGCTTGGATAAACTAAAGAGACTATGGAATAAACTTTGAATCTTGATCTGGTTTAGTTTTATGAGCTGCGACTTATTCTCTTCTCCATTTCTCTATGGTTTCCTTGTGTGTGTATGGATTTCTGATATTCAAGTATGGTTTTTTTTTTTAATGTAAATGTTAGGTGCCAAAGTGGAATTTTCTCGTTTGAGGTGAAGAAACTTGTTCCTGCAAGTCTGAGGTGTTGCAGTATGCAATAAAGGTTTTGTATGAGATGAAGGCAATGAAAGGGTGGCGTCTAGGCAGAACAAACTATCTGCAGTCTTTGCCTGGGGCTCGCCACCGTCCTCTTACAAGGAAGCCAGTATGGATCATCGCCGTGGTTTCGCTGATAACTATGTTTGTGATTGGTGCTTACATGTTCCCTCATCACAGCAAAGCTGCTTGTTATATGTTTTCATCTAGAGGATGCAAAGGGATCACTGACTGGCTTCCACCTTCGCCGAGGGAGTTTTCGGATGACGAGATTGCAGCTCGTGTGGTCCTTAGGGAGATATTGAGCTCCCCTCGTGTCATTAAAAAGACTTCTAAGATTGCCTTCATGTTTTCGCTGATAACTATGTTTGTGATTGGTGCTTACATGTTCCCTCATCACAGCAAAGCTGCTTGTTATATGTTTTCATCTAGAGGATGCAAAGGGATCACTGACTGGCTTCCACCTTCGCCGAGGGAGTTTTCGGATGACGAGATTGCAGCTCGTGTGGTCCTTAGGGAGATATTGAGCTCCCCTCGTGTCATTAAAAAGACTTCTAAGATTGCCTTCATGTTCTTAACTCCTGGTACATTGCCTTTTGAAAAGCTATGGGACCTCTTTTTCCAGGTAGATTTCTTCTCTTCCCAACTTCCTTTTCCCCGCATCAATTGTGTCATAGGTTTCCTTCTGTGTAAAAAGATACTGATGATACGAAGTACAGTGAACTCTATTTTAGTTTGGGTTGGCTTTTTATGCTGTTTGGTACTACTTGGGAAACGTAAGATCTTAGATGATAATGCCTTATGAACACTTGCAATATGTGTAGTATCTCTGCTTTTGTTTGATTCTCTTAAGTTTTTTTCTTTCACTGATGGTTTTGTCCTTTAATCCCTACTCACAGGGTCATGAGGGGAAGTTCTCTGTTTATGTCCATGCATCAAAGGATACGCCGGTTCACACCAGCCGTTACTTTCTTAACCGTGAAATTCGAAGTGATGAGGTCTGTATCTTTTTCTGTGTCTGATATTCTTCAGATATCATGCCAGTTCTCTATATGGTCATGAGTACAGTTGATGTATATGTCATGAATTTTTCTTGCTTCTGTAATAAACAAGAACCATATTCGTTTTCTGAAGGTGGTATGGGGTAGGATATCAATGATTGACGCTGAGAGACGTTTACTGACCAGTGCTCTTAGAGATCCTGAAAACCAGCAATTTGTTTTACTCTCTGATAGGTAACCTCCCAGAAACTTCCCTTCTCTTCTCACTGATTATATTCTGAGTTTTTCCTAACTAAGTTGAGTGTTCCTTGTTTGTTTTGCAGTTGTGCGCCACTTCGAAGCTTTGAATACATGTACAACTATATGCTGTACAGCAATGTCAGCTATGTTGACTGGTAAAGTCATTTCTCCAAGTTGATGAGATTTTTCAGAATTGTAATCACACATTTTGCCAAATTTCTTCCTGGCTTCTTCTTGATACTAAGATATGGTTTTCTCTTGCTCTTCAGCTTTATCGATCCTGGTCCACATGGAACCGGCAGACATATGGATCACATGTTGCCTGAAATTCCAAAGGAAGATTTTCGAAAGGGTGCACAGGTAAAAACTATTTCACTGATTCAGTAATATGCCTGTCTCATACTCTGAACATACATGCGAAATCACTAAAATGTCTCTATATCCGTGCAGTGGTTCTCCATGAAGCGTCAGCATGCTGTTGTAACAATGGCAGACAGTCTTTACTACTCTAAATTCCGGGACTATTGTGGGGTGAGTTTTACATAAACCCTCAAAATAGATATGTTTTGCTTTCGTTTCTTGATTTGATGGAGATCTTGCTATCTACTTTATATGGATATACTGTAACCACACATTAATAGGAAGCCTCTATGTTTTCTCTTCAGCCAGGTATAGAGAGCAACAAGAACTGCATTGCGGATGAACACTACCTGCCAACATTCTTCTATGTGAGAATCTATCTGTTCTGACTCTTATAACTACAAGTTCATTTTTTTTTGTACTTTCTTTATCCGCTAATATACTTTTGGTGTGATAAATCTCTCAGATGCTTGATCCTGGTGGCATTGCTAACTGGACTGTGACATCTGTTGATTGGTCTGAGAAACAGTGGCATCCAAAGACATACATGCCCGAAGACGTCACTCTCGAGTTACTCAAGAATCTCACGGTATTATCACCAAACCATAAATCTTATACCTTCTTGGCTATTCCCTTGCTTGAGATAATTATTTGGTATACCCTTTTGATCCATTTGCAGTCCATTGACGCAGTCTCACGTGGAACAACTGAGGGAACGGTACACGCTTTAAAACCAATTCATCTCCCACTTGTAAACCAATTGTGAAATTACAATGGATATAACTTTGTTTCTTTGTTTTGATGTCTGCAAACACAGGGTGAAGAGACATGGACACATTGCATGTGGAACGGAATCAAAAGACCTTGCTATCTCTTTGCAAGGAAGTTCCACGCAGACACTCTCGATAAACTCATCGAACTCTTTTCAAACTACACAAGCATCGCATGAACCTTCATGAGATGTTTTGATTGATCGATACGCAAAGCAAAAGGAGGAGGTATTCTTTTGACTCGGATTCTTTTGACCAACGTCCCATTACATTTCTGAAGAACCAAATTAAGAACTTGAGGAACTATCATGCAGTCCCTAGAAGATGTAACAACTCGCTGTAAAGTCCTTTTTTAAGAGCTGTCTTGAGAAGCTTAGGAAGAAGTGTTTGGGGTTTGTTTTTTCATTTGGTTCGGGACGTTGGTACATTTTTCAACTCATCTGTTTTCACTACATTTCATTGTTATTATAAAAATGAAAAAAATTCAGAGTGCCTTTTGTTTCTCTCTTTGGTGGAACTCATTTGTTTGGAATCGGTAATGAATCGTTAGGAAAAAAAGAAGACAAAAAGTTTGTACAGTTTGAAGCTAAACATTTTTGATCATATATCACTGAAACTCCAGAAAGTGGAGTTTTCTTTATCAGACTAAATTATACAAACTGTTATTAAGCAATTTTCTCTTTGTTAAGAGTTAAGACAGAGTTCTCTAGGACTACATTCTTATTACTGCATGTTACAAAAAAATAATATTACAATCACAACACCATTTGTTGTTCATCGCCGATGTCCCAGAGCCACCACCGGAATCCTCACCTTATGCCCTCGGCTACCTTTCAACTTCACCTCTCCAAAGCTGTATACTCCAGAAACCGATCTCACTGTCAGAGTGACCGAGAAACTTCGAGCAGCGCCAGGTCTGAGAGTCATTGCCGGTGGGTTTACTTCAATGGCGATAGATGGCTGCATCCTAGCTGTTATTGTGTATGTTTCTTCTACCTCTGCCACGTTTGTCACTCTCCTTGTTATGGTTTGAGTCCCCACAAGGTGAGAAATGGCTATAGATGGTGCATTGAAGTTTGAAGGGTGTTTCATGTTGAAGTTGCATGGCGTGTTTGTGTAGTTTCTTATCTCGTGGGCACTGATCCCCGGGGTTGTGCACAAGAACCCTATATAGTCCTCATAACCTGCAAAGAACAAAATCCATCAGTCTCATTAACAAGAGATTCAAAGATCTTTGATACCTCATTGAGGAAACACAGAGAAACAACTACCTGCATCAAAGATAAGACCAGGATCTAGAGCAGCACTTGGATTGACATGACCACTTCCGTAATCAAAAGGAGTGGCTTTAACAAGCGTTACAGTTTCTGTGTCTGAATATTGCTGTGCCTGAATAGGCCTTCCTGCTCTATCTATGACCGTTGAAGTTGTCATCAACGCTGATTTGATAGCAGCTGGACTCCATTGAGGATGCTTCTGCTTCACCAGCGCAGCTATCCCGGCTATGTGTGGTGCAGCCATGCTGGTTCCTGATATCATTGCAAATCCTTCACCTGCTCCAACAGAGCCCAAAGTAAGAAGAAACTTTTTAGTTCTGTTCATAAGAATCTCCACATGTTTAGCTTCAGTACTTTGAAAATTTGAATGCTTACCAACATAGTTAGGCTCGTCTGTTCCATTTGGAGACCAAGCAGCCCATATTAGATAACCGGGTGCAAGAATATCCGGTTTAAGAAGATCAGCGTCTTGAAAGCTGAAATCTTTGGTATTAGGTCCTCTAGCTGAGAACAATGCCACTTGAGGTGCTGATTTGTGAAGAACAGGTTCTAAACCATCTCCGATGCTTCCCTCAGCTTTAAAGCTTTTTACACGTCCTGTCCAGTCCCTTAACGTACTGACGTTATAGTAGTCAATCAAATCCTAACGATGCCAAGAAAAAAAAACAGCATTTCCGATTGAGAAACAAGGCTGAGAGTAGTAAGTGAAAACATTGAAACTTCCATTACCATTGACTTCGACACATCTGTAATCAAGATTCCTGGAATGGCAGACGGAACAGGATCGAATTTTGTTCCCGGAGAAACATTTTCAACGACGAGAACAAAACCAGCAGCTCCGAGATGCTTTGCGGTGGCAACAACTTTCTTGATGGAAGCTGTACCAACAACGAAGTTGAAAGAATATCCACAGAGGAGAATCTTCCCTTCAACCAGTTTCTTGTTCAGAACTTCTGGTCTCTGGCAATCAGATGGATTATACTTGGAAACAGATGAATCCAGCAGAACATCATTTGCAGAAACCAAAGTGTACAACCGATGAGGCCGAGTTGATGCTGCAGAAAATACACAACCATTCATCAAAAACATAAAAAAATAGAAACTTGGTGTAGAATTAAGATCATGCCAAATGAATTTTATAACATTTTTGTGTGTCCTTACGTGCTAATCCCATCCCAGCCAGCATTTTTCCGTTTCCTAGGGTCAGATGATTTTTGTATCTGCGGTCGTCGATTGCAGCAGCTACTGTAGTTATCCAGGGGCTATACGAAATCAAAGTCTTAGGAAATGGGCCTCCGTTTCCAGCAGCTTGAGCAACGAACACACCAGCTTTCACGGCTCCAAGAAGTGTAGCATCGAATGGATTCAAGAACGTTGTCTTGGTAGTTGTTGGAGGATTGTTTGGACCAACAGAGAGGCTAAGAATATCAACTCCATCATGAACAGCCTGCTCATGAAAATTAGCAGTTAGAACAACAATACAACAAAGGAGAAACTTGTGATGAGTTCTTAGTACTCTTACCTGATCAATCGCAGCAACAACATCCGCAACAAAGCCTCCAAAAAGCCGGTAAAGAGCCTTGTAAACAGCAATCCTGAAAGAAACTTAGCCTTTAGCTTATGAAGGAGAAGAAAACTAAACTGCCATTTTGTATTATCTACATACCTTGCACGCGGAGCCATCCCACTTGCTTTTCCGAATTCATAGCCGTGCATTCTCAACGGAATACCGTTATTTCCAGCTGCAATGGCTGCTGTATGACTGAAGAATAAAAGAATCAGAATTGCTTAGTACAGTGAACTAAGAGCACAATGAAAGGGTCCTGAGGACAGTATTAACTTATAGAGACAAACCTTCCATGTCCATCGCCATCCATTGGCGATGCATAGTCAATATCAGGGTTAAATGCACCAGCCGCTTTAGCAGCTTCAGCAAAATGTTGTGCTCCAACGATCTTCCTGTTGCAGAAGCTCTTCTTGGTGTGAGGATCTTCTTCACATTTCCCTCTGTAATGAGGAAGAGGGCCATAAGGTAGTCTATGGTGAGAGGCAAAGCTCGGGTGATGCGGATAAATCCCGGAGTCAACAAACCCAATAACAATGTCTTCTCCTGCTCTATCAAAACCACCACCAGTAGGCCAAACATCTGTTGGTAGTCCAAGAAACTCTGGTGTATGCGTTGTGAGTCTCCTCACTTTCCAATCTTTGTTTACAGATTTCACACCGGGGGCGCGACGTAGTGTCTCTGCCTAGCAAATATAGTGGATTAGTGTAAGGGAACACAACAGACCAAAGAAGTACGTAGAAAATGGTCTCAAATCAGTTTTTCCACCTGCTCAAGAGAAACATGAGCTGCAAATCCATTTATAACGTGTTTATAGCTGTAAAGCTTCTTGTATGATCCTTCCTCAAAGAGCATCCCAAGAATCATATCGTGCTTCCTCTCTAAGTGACGAGCATAAGATGTCACCAACTCACTGAAAGAAAGTAACAGATTGTTCATTGTTGATCTAGCAAGCAATGTATAGACAGTTATGAAGAAGAGAAACAATGTATCTATATAAGTACCTTGATGTATCAATCTTCTCATCAGACTCAACAGCGGTTGCTTCAAAACCATTTTCTCCACCTTTGTAACTTATGATTGGATCTCCTTCCATAGTCACAATGTAGACCTCTGCTATCACGGTAATAAGAAGAGAGGAAATGACAAGAACTCTCAACCACATATCCATATTGATTGATTCAAACCAATGAAGCTCCAACTTTAACTCTGCTGTAGATTCAACTGCAGCATCAGAATCAAAAATGAAGGCATTAGCATTTGATCTCTAGAGAAGAAAGGACTCAATAGATCTGAAAAAAACAAACTTTCTCACAAACTACAGACAACACATACTCCATAGAGACACAACAACCACCCTCAAGGCCACAGAACATCAAAACTGAAAATCCAACGGAAATTGAAACTGGGACCAACAATCTTTCTCACTGTTTCAATTCAATTTTCCAGGAAGCAAACACATAGAGAGAGCATAGCAATGTCGAACCAACTCCAAGAAAAGAACTAGAAACCCAAATCAGAGCTTGAAAGACAAAGAACCTATAGTTCTTGGTACTCACTCCAGAGAGATTTGCCTAAACACATTAATCAAGTAAAGAAAGCTCAGCACAATTGTATGCCATTTATAAAAAGAAAAGCTAAAAACAGTAAGTACAGTATAACAACTATTGCTCTTCAATTAATGAGACAAACAAAGAAGACGAAAAAGAGAGAATCTTCTAGTCTCTTAAACCCACATTTTTGCCAAATTAGCACAAATCAAAAATGTTAAGACTAAAGCAAGAATAATCCCACTTTCACAGATCATCCAAGCAAAGAATAAAAACATCAATAAAACCCAGAGGAAACAAAAGCGTGTCTACATTTTATCCTCACACAAAGAAAAAGAAAGATCCTGTTAAAATAAACTGTAGCTTCAATAGAGTAAAGCCAAAAAGCCAATAATGTTTGTACGAACTTACATTTGCTTCACGAGACGGAAACAAACAACCGAAAGTTGCTTTTTGAGACGAAATGGTGAGATTGCGGTTGAAATCAAACCGAAAGATCAGAAATTTAGTCGCTACATAAATCACATTTGCAGAAAGAAGAACAAAAAAAAACACAGAACAAGCTGATTCAGATCTTTAATCGAGTGATTAAGAGAAATTTGATTCTGGGTTTATTTGTAGAATGGAGATCTAGCAAAAGATCAAAAAGAGAGAGCAAGGGAGCTCAAGAGGTAAGTGAAAAAAAAACTGAAAAAAAAACTGTGATTTAGTGATGAATGAGAGTGTGTGTTGAAAATTGAGAAGAAAAGGTCGTTAGGGCTTTTATTTTTGTTGATATTGCTTTCAATGTTTTTTATTTAACTGCTATTTTTGTTTTCTTATAAATTTGATGGAGACAATGAACCGAAGATGATGGAGACTCTTTGTACATACTCTCTATAATCTATGATTGTTTGATCAAATCGTAACGTTTTGTGTAATGGTAAAAAATCATTAAAATGTAATTATGTGTGTTAACTTAAGAACTTAATATTATTTATGGATTTCTACATAAATATCCGATTGGTCCGAAAGTGCGGAGGAAGGAGAGTGACGACCATTCGCGCGCGAGATCTACCATCAGTTCGTTCTGAAATGACGATGGTACCCCTGGAAAGTAGATGTGTTGAGTAAATGTTTTGTATAAATGCGAATAAACGAAAATGTTAACGACGATATTTATAAAAAATGCAATCAGTGATGTTTTCTTTTTATACACAAACTTTAATAATAACATGCACTAAGAAAGTAACGTCTACACGATCGATCCTATTCCTACCTAACCTAATCATATCTTTTGTCAAAAACTAAAGATAATATACGAGTTAATATATATTGAATCTTATAAATTAGTCTTTTGCGTTTCTTGGATAAACTTTACTTTACAAATTACAAGTATACAAACAATTTCCATGTTTAAAAAAAAAAAAACAATTTCCATGTCATTATTATAACACACAAAAAACGTTTTATATAGTTCTTCAAGTTCTATATACCGTTAGACGACATTTGATATTTGATTTTTTAAGATTCATGAAGAAAAACCATTTTACTCTAATTATAGAAAGTAGAGTTGGAAATCAATGCGGGTAGCTCATTTGCTAAGCAAATACTTCTTTAGGAGAGACGATGGCTCTTTACTTTGGGATTTAGTTTTGTTGAAAAGGAGAAATGATTAACATTTTACAAGTAATGTAAAAGAGTGGTTGGTCCATGATTAAGAAACACATAATGTGTAAAACCAATAAAAGAACACACAAATCGAAATATGTTTTGAGCCAAAAGGTGCCTAATCTGTGGACCATGTTATGCCACACTGTCATTGTTTAAAATCTTTATCTCTTAATCAATTTTTTAAAAACCCATGCAAACACTTGAACTTTCTCATTCTGATTTACCTTTTTCTTGTAGATTTTCGGTTTGCTTTTCTTCTTATATAAAGATTAATTATTTGACGTTTCTTATAAATGTTAAATCAAGAATAAATTTGTTCACAGGCAACACTATCGTTGTTGATCAAATGAACGAGACAGATGTATCCGTACTAAACCAATATAACATACAAGTGCTTACAAATGTAAAGCTAGTGTAACGAGAACAAATACACTTCACTAGGAGACATCGGCTTTTTGTTATTTTCCTATGTGTTTGTACACCATCGTAAAGTTAATAAGAAAAAGTCACTTAAAGCATCCAAATCATAGGTCGGCCACTCCAACGATCTTGGTACATTTTGTATGAGGTGCTTTGAATAAAGTATGAAGGAGGAACATAATCAGTTATTTTCATACGTTCACAGCCTAAATGATCCTATCTATATCTCGTATGAAGAGCTGGAATGTCTACAACATCCTTAAAGACTTAGAAGATAGTGTTGTGATAGCTATATCCATGTCTCATTCTTAACTGTCATGAACAAGAAATAGCTAACCATATTCAGATCAATGTTTTAACTTTTAAGTATTGTTAGTTCTAATTCTTGATATGAAAACAAGTTGGTATCGAATGTGTATATAGAATCATAATGAGGTATATGTTGCATATAGATTACGGATTGGAGGTATATGGCAGATTAAAGTTAACATCTGAGAGCACATGTGAGGATTGTTCCCACAAAGATGTCGTCTAGTCCAAAGTCCAAACACATCATGTGTCCTGTCATATTTTTTATTTCGTTGTCCAAAAATCAATAAATTGTTCTTCCTCTAACACTCCGTATATACATTCCTTTTATTATATTTGGGTAAATATATTTACTTCTTTATTGTCGATGTAACCACATCATGCATGAGACAGAGTTACAGTACGTATAATAGCGATGCTGCGATCTATCTTTTATTTTTCTTGAAACGAGAGTCGATGTATATAATTTTATAATTCTTCACTGAAATATATCAAACTATTTTATTGCATTATATTATCTTTCTTCCTAAAATCATTCAGAGTTAAGGGAGATACATTTTCATAGAAAAAAACAAATCTAAAGATCCGGTTCTCATCTCATTTGCAAGACTGGTTTCTAGAGCTAGGCTTGTTGGCTAAACCATTGCGTCTTGAACAAGTTTGATACCTTTAGAGCATGAATCAAGAATGGAAGAGACGATCTTTCTATGTCGCTCTTTGAACTCCATCGCCATTTTAACATCCCAATCCGTGTCGATAGACTCCGCATCATCCCCAAGATTGTGCATCATGTCCTCGAACGTCGATCTTAGATTCTCGAGCACTCCCATCTCAACTTCCAAGTTCTTCCATAGCTTCACAAGAATCAACAAAACAATACAAGTATATTCAGAGATACATAATCATTCACCTACCAAAAATAAAACTGTAAGAAGGTGAGCAAAGATTAGAATACATACATCTGTTTCGGAATGATGAACAAGACCATGAGCTCTCCGCAAGTAGTTCAACAACGGAGTAGGCAGGCCGTAGTGGAAGATGTTGTGGTTGCTCGAGAGCCAAGTCCCGCGTAACATGTGACTTGTCCAAGAACACTCTTCATCATCAATGACATCAACATCTGCGCAAGGGAAAGAGAGACTCAGACACAGCTTTAGGCCAAAAACAAAAGGAAGAAAACTGAGTGATGATAACAGAATGATATGAAGTACCTAAGGGAATGACATCATACGGGTTATCCCCTTTCGGTAGAAACCCGTAGAACGTTAAGAGATGCGAAGAAGAGTAGTTTCCGTAGTTAAGAAAACATTGTTCTCCTTTGTTGCAAGGCCTTGAGAGTGGGAACTTCAAGGAACTCGTCCCGGCGTCTACTTTGCCATACTTCACTATGTGCGGCTTTATCTACAAACCCGCCAAATGATCAGAAATCAAGAAAGCACAAAGGAAGTGTGCTTAGAACACCAAGAAAGATCAAACGAAACATACCGAGTGGTTGAGAAAACCGGCGACAGGAACCAAGCAAGTCTTGAGCTTTCCATCAGGGAACTTGATTTGCATGCTGTTTGAGTAAAACAACTCACAGGCCCATAAGTAATGTTCCCATGTATAGAGCTCCACTGGAAACACATGCCCTTCGTTCGATAAAAGAGGAAACAGTTCGTCATACCTCTCACGCAAAAGCTGCAGATTAACAAACAGAACAACACACAACCATTGGCAACGGATTCAAGAAATGTTTTTTTTCAAGATTACAGCATCTCGTTCCCACCTCTTTAGCTTGCATGATCTCATCTAGGAGTAATGTACCATCAAGCGCCATGATCGCATCGACCCCAAAACTCAAACCTGTTAAGAGAATTAATGTTTGTTATATATCTTGCAAAACAAACAAACACTACTTACAGCAAGAACAGGGGATTTGATCTAGTTACCTGTACAAAACTTCTCCTGTAGAGAGTCAAAGTATGGTTTAAACTTGGAGTGCCGGTTATGCTTCTCCCTCATTGTCCATAACAGCAGCATTGTCTCACATGTCATCCCATCAATCTTCTCCAGTATTGGGTACTGAAGACAAGAAACCACTCATCATCATATACATAACATTGAGATGTTGTGAAAAGACACAATCTTTCGGAGTTGTGTACCATGTCGGAGTTGAACACATAGTCCTCAGAAATGATGCATGAGATTGGTATCTCTAAAGCAACATCGCCAAATTTGAGGTCTTGGTCAGCTATAGCTCCACGTCCATAGCCATCGATCTCTATTCCAAATAAAATAAAAACAAAACACACTTAAAAGTTAAAACCTTTCATCATTGTGTTTGTTCATCATTGTGTTTTGAGGTTTCTAACAGAGAAAAAAAACAACCGCAATAGCTTACGAGCAATTTGCAGTTTGGTTTTGACGCCATTGTCCTGACCCCACTGTACAATTCTGCTTTCTTTTTCATCAACTCTAGCTTCCTCCTTTTCCCCTCCAGCAACCTCACTGATTCTACTGATTACAGCTGCTCGCAGAGCTTCCGATTTACACGAAACCGGGATAAGAGAAAGGATCCAGCTGAGAGCTGAGATTTCGTTTCTGAAGCTGTACATTCCTGCCGGAGAAGTGCAAGCATCTTCTCCAAAATAAACTTCCACCTACATGCAAACTCACACAATTCATCATCTATCTAAGCAACTTTCACAATCAAGCATATGATATTTGCTTTACCTTGTCGAGGTTAGCTATTCTTCCAAACTGAAGCAATTTTTCCAATGCAACATTCATTGATTGTTGACACAATGATCCACTTATATTCACTGTTTCTTTTACTCCTAGACCTTTGCAATGCAAGAGCTTCTACAAAGCATAAAAAAAAAAGTCAAAACTCAATGTCAGTTTGATCCATCATCGACATTATCTTAACTATCTAACATAAAAATTGTTTATCATCTGAATCTGAGAAACCATTTCTAAAGAGATGGACCTATACCGATATTCCAGAAACAACTACAATGTAACTTTTTTTCAATTCTATTCTCCACAAGAAAAAAAATTAAAAATCCGATCTTTCGAATGTCATGGAACTGAAATGAAAAAAAGAAGCTCTAGAGACATAAATTGGGCAAGTCAGACCTTTTTCTCTTGATAAAAAGGATCATCTTGGGACAGCTCCAGACATAAATCACTAGTCTCTGACATTGTATTCAAAGCACACACCTTGCAATTAACCAGCAACAGACTAATCACGAAACAGAAAATTTGCTACGGTATTTTTTACTGAAGCAGAGCTTTCACTAAACCAAAGCCAGTTTTCACAGAAGCAATAAGGAAAATCAGAAGCCAAAAGGAACTCGAAGAGCTGAGGAACCGAGGAACTTCGCACTGTGAAGAAATCGAAGCCACCGAATCGAGAGTTAACGGAAGAAAAGGGTTTAATGGAGAAAAAACATCATGAAACTGCGAACTGAACTCTCTCTGTTCGTGTCAGAAGGGTTCGTCTATTCAGGCTTCCTCGGTTTGGTTTTGGTTTAATCAATTTCGGTTTTGTAAATTTGTTGTTTAAAATCAACACCAAGATCAATTTCGGATTTGATCAATTAGCCCATTTCAAGCCCAATTTCACTGGTTTTGGAACCTTTGTTTTATTCCAACAGATTATTTTATGAAAATTATTGAAAATTTTGGTCAAGAAATTAAGTTTGAATTACTAATTTTATATATGCTTCTTAAATCCATTCTGTTACTTGAATTATTTTTGCAGCATATTTTACCGAAAAATATTTTGAGTTACATTTTCAACACCCAAATTTAGAGAGTTCTCTTCTCTTCTTCATCCCAATATCCAAAAATACTAAAATAGACACATCTAAATATATTTATTTTCCAATATTCGGGTCGGATCTCACGAATTCGGATACCCGTTTCAGTTGCACCGTCTTACGCAGTCATCGTTTATAAATGGAAAAAAGCAGCTCTCTTTCTCTTCCGTTTCTCCTCTCTCTAAAAAAATGTCCCGATTGCTGTCAAAAGCCCTAATTCCCCACGGGAGATCCTTCCTCCGTCGTCTCAGCGAGCCGGCGAAGGCGCCAAACCTCGTCTGTTTCAGCCGCCGTCCCTATTCGTATAAGCCGCACGTGATCGAGATTGAGCTCGATTCTTCCTCGTCAGCGTCCTCCAGGGCAGAGGCCGAAGCAGCGATGCTGAAGAGGCTGAACGAATTTGTTCGGAGGATCGTCGTTCACAATTCGACTCCAGATTGGCTCCTTTTCTCCCCTGGCTCCTCCTTCTGGGTCCCTCCGCATCAGAGCACGGCCGCCAAGTTCGCCCATTTGGTCGACAGGGTGGCGAATCGGCTGACGGAGGAGGAATCTCTCTCCCTCTCGTCTCCTTTTGGCTGGCCCTGCTCCTCTTTCTTCATCCCTCCAGGTACTTTTCTCAGATTCTGGATTTCATTTTCCCAGAAATTTTGCAATTGAATCCGCAAATTGCCTTCCTTTGAGGTTAAAATCGTCATAGCTTGATAATGATGGGTCTCGCTTGTGTCAAAAATGGTCCCTTTGAGTAATTGTGTGAAAGCTCAAGCTTGAAATAACCTGAAAAATGAGATTTTAGGGGTTGATACGTTTAGATTGTGAAGGGGCATTATGTTGTTGTCTTGTAGAACACATAATGGAGCTGATTTGTGATTGCTCTATGTCTCGTTTTTCCAAAGATGTGATTCTCTTCGTCTTGTTCCTGTTGATTACTGTATATGTTATGGTTGTTACCTGTTATCTATTGTGTGACACGTTTTATCCTTACTATTGAAATGGTAGATGGTGGTTCCTCATCTACACAAGGGTTTGAAGCGAGCACGGAGTTGAACATTCCGGGGAACGAGATGTTGGAAGTGAAGCTAGCTCATTTCCCAGATCCGTTTTATTCATTTAAACTTGAAGACGACGATGAAGAGTGATGATGTAACACAACATGAACATAGAGAAATCATCCGATCCGATGAAGGCCATTTCCTGATGCGTGCTTTGCGTTTATATACAGGCTTTGGAAAAAACTGAAAGTGAAGGAAGTTGTATATACAGTTGCAAACCATGGAGTTATATTGTATGATTTTTGGCTGACTTTAAAAGCCTTTTGTTGACTAAATATTTTATATATTATATTAGAGCTTGGGGATTTCTTCCACTATTTAGCCAGAGTTCATGGTGATGCTCGAGTAATTTAACCATTAATTTCAATCTTTACAAAATCAATGTTTGTCTCCTCCAGTCTTTGTTTATTGCTTTCATGGAGGCTAGTAGAAAAGAAGATACTGTAGGTTGCATCATTCTCATCCTTAAATTGCCATATAGAGTGTGTTTTCATGAGACAAAAAGCATAAAGGAACAAGTCAAAGATTAAGGTGGTTGTGACTTGTGAGGTGGATCCACCCAAGCAACGCGGGGAGACAAAGAGGCCCTTGAAGGGAGACGAGAGCTTTCCTCATCGCTGAGGGAGTAGTACATGTCATAGAGCCCGAGCCAACAATCATCAATGCACGATGTATACATTTTGTTCCTATGCTCCGCCGAGGAACAAGCTCTTGCAAAAGAGCCAGGGTAGCTTGTAAACAAAGCCAACCCACCAAGGTCTCTCTTCTCGTCCCATACATTGCCTTCAACGTTTAGTTTAAACACAGACGGTCTGTTGATGTTGTCGCCGCGTGTATACGTCACAAAGATGTCCTTCATGTTCCGTCATCATTACTGGCCACATGTGTACTGTCCGGCGACGATGAGAGGCAGGGCAGGGTTCCACTGGAAGAATGTTCCACGTTGCTCTAAGCGGGTCGAAAACCCCGAGGTGGCCACAGGTACTGAGACAGTAGAACACACCGTTCGAGTAGACACACTTGTCCCATCTTCGCCATGGTTCCTGATTCTCAAACCGATGGGTGGTCCACAGGGTTTCACCAGGCTGCCAAGTATCGACCACAACACAGCTAGGCGATGTAGGAGCGGATGAGAAAGCTAAGCAGTAGCCTGAGAAATCTGGTGACGCCTGGGGCAAGTAGATGTGTTCCAGTGTGAACGGGTTGAGAAAGAATGCTTCTGAGTTTTGCAATGTCACAAGTAGCCAACCATCTTTAGAATGAGAGAATCCATGGCCTCTCAGCTCTGGGAGATCGAGCTCACGTGTTTGAGATCGTAATGTGTCAGTAAGAATGTAGGTTGGACCAGTGGGAGACCATTTTTCGAGTGGATAGAAAAGCCATGGGTGAGGCTGTAACTTCCTGACGGAAACAGAGGATTTAAGCCATGCCTTGCAGACAAGAGAAGCATTCATGTTGGCTTTTAATCCGAGGCGGGAGAGTATCTCCTGCAGGAGCTCTGAGGGAATCTTTAGATTCCACATTCCAATATTCGATTTTTGATTTCCTCTAGCTCTTCTTATACTGCATTTCACAATTAGAAGAAGAAGAAGAAGACGAATTCAGGGTAAAGTAAGTGAAATTCCGATGGAATTGGAGAAGGAAAAAAGGGGGAAAACTCACGATTGGAGCTTTCTTCTTCTTGTGACGGAAATTGAATGTGATTCAACTATGGGATTCGCTGTGATGGCTTCGGGTTACAACGACGCCGGAGTTGCCGCCGTGTATGTTCGACGGCGAGTCCTCATTTCTGGAACTTTGTCATGTTATGTTGCTAAATAAAACGACGCCGGAATTACATTTTCTTTCCTTGTCCGAATTTAATCACGGTATTACAAACCGAAGCAAACCGGATCAAACCGATTTCAATTTGGCATTTTTATGCTAGCATACATATATGCATAATGATTAGCATTAACAATTTGCTCCGTATGGTACTGTAAACATTTCGTAATATATTGTTAACACCGTATATTACGAAAATTGCAGTCAACAAAAAAAGGGGGTAAAGATAATACTAGATATTAAGAAAATGTTTTATTTTTTGTAACAGGATATTAAGAAACTGTTACTTTTTAGTCTCATTCGTCCGGATATTTTGCTTAATCATATCAGGAAATCGTGGTTAAACATAATGCTGCTTAAAGCGTATATTTGATTTATACGAAGAAAATTAAAGTAAGAACTTAAGATTGTAACAATGGCGAGTGCATATTCAACAGCAACATTACTCTTCCTAATGCTTTTGGTGGAGGCTTCATCGGGTCGATTTTTTAACCCTTATTTATGGAGCTGTATCATAATCCGAAATGACTCTCCAAGCAATCATTCCGATATTTTTCATGGCAGCTCGTGTACCTTAAAGCGTAATATAATTCTAGATTAATTATAGCTGATTTGTAATAGAGAAGCAATTCCAATTCCATGGATTTGACATGTTTTGCTTTTGGTTTCTTCCGGTTTTGAATCGAAAAGGGAATGTGACGATAAGATGGGACATGATGAATCAAGCTCGTTCTAGTTACTCGGCTAATGTCACAATCGTCAACTACCAGAACGACGACATTGAAGGTCCATGGGAATTAGGTTGGACATGGACCGACGACGAATTGCTATTGAGCACTGTGGGGGCTAAAGGTACACAACATGGGAATAACGTGACCTTTGTGAGCTTACCGAATGTGATAATTCCTTCTTGGTTTAAAGAAGAAGACCTAGCGAAAAGCTCTTCCTCGTTTCAAATTTCTGTTGGTCGAGTTGGTATGATATATTATATGCGAGGACTTGCTGTGAGTTTGACCACAGAAAGATCGAAATACAAATGTCTTGATGCGTTTATGGAAGTAACTAATACTCCTGGTTATCTCTGTAAGTCCATTAATGAATTGTTCTTGGCATGCATGCACATATTCTATATTCCGATCACTTCATGTTTCTTTTTATTTTGCATGCAGATACGTGGACGACGAACTGCTTCTCTACAACCCCTAAAAAAAGTCGTGGTCCACGAGAAGTTTCATGACATAGAAGAGCTATGAGGTTGGGACTTGGGGTGCGTGTTGTTTTTTTTTGGTGTTTTCATTTTTTCTTTCGTTTTGGACGCTGATGCCGTAGTCTTCACGTTATGCGTATATGGCAACAATCAGTCATCATTTACTAAACCGAGACATTAACTACTTTACGCAACCATGTGTGTTTCCAATTTATGTCTGGTCAGAGTATCACAAACACAAGTTAAAAAGCGAACACAAGTTAACCGTTTTCTTCTTCTTAAATCACACTTTACACCAAACATAACTTAAAACTCAGATGGATTCAAGAATCCTCTACCTGGCCTGAGGAAACATTCCCGAGTCAGAAGTCGTCATCGCCGGCTCTGTAAATTCACTGGCGCCAGAACCACCACCGGCTCTTGCTCTGCTTACACTCTCCTTCAGCTCAGCCACTACCTGACTCATCGTCGGTCTATTTTTAGAGCTATGAGACGCACAAGCCATTGCTACTTCAGTGATATTCCATGCAGAACCAGCATCAAAACTCTCTCCTAGGTTTGGATCCACAATACCTCTGATATCTCCTGTGGACAGAAGAAACTTGACCCGGTCGGTTATGTGTCTGTTCTCTGCTCTTGTTGCGGAATGTTTAATCACAGGTTGGCCCGTGACAACCTCTAAAAGAACCACACCGAAGCTGTAGACATCACTCTTCTCGCTTAGTTTCTGCGTCGAGTGGTACCTTCATTATTGTAAAACAATGCCTTAGAAACCATCACACGTACAACTAATAATAAATCATGAACACATATAGTAGCTTTGTTACTTACTCAGGGTCGAGATAACCGATAGTTCCAGCAACATCGGTTGTCTCCTGGTTATTACCGTCCAATGAGACACTTCTAGATAACCCAAAGTCAGCAATCTTGGCCTGAAGCTTCTCGTTGATGAGAATATTAGCCGGCTTCACATCTCTTTGTACAATGGGAGGCTTGCAGCCATTGTGAAGGTACTCAAGTCCTGAGTTTCATACAAACACAAGAATCATTTCATACTTTTGTTTTTTATTCTCTCAATTCTTATTCTAAGTGTGTGAGTTTGAGATCCTTTAACCACAAACCTTGTGCTGCGTCTAATGATATCTGTAGCCTCTCCTCCCAGCTCAAAACATACGAATTTTTCCCTTGATTAAGAAAGTTGTAACGAAGAGGTTAGGCTAGTTTCCTCTGGCTATAGTAGCAAAAGTCCAAAACTAAGTAGAAGAGAGACTGACCTGACAAATAATCTCCTAAGGTTCCATTAGCCATAAACTCGTAGATAAGAGCCATCTTCTTGTCTTGGTTGCTGTATCCGATAAGAGCAGTTAGGTTCTTGTGATGAACTCTCAGGAGAAGTTCGACCTGATGAATAAACAAGTGAATGCATATCCTGATTACTCTATTAACTCACTCATATTATAAAGAGTTACATTTTAGAGTATATGAGAGACTGACCTCTGCTTTGAACTCTTTGTACCCTTGAGCTGATGATTCAGACAGAATCTTGACAGCGACTTGGTCCTCATTTAAGACACCATGGTACACTTTTCCAAAGCCTCCTTTCCCAAGAACTCTCTCAAAGTTGTTTGTCATTTTCACAACTTCTGTGTATTTGTAATATCGTTTTATTGTCTCCAGTGGCCCAGTCCTAGCACTGTTAGGGCCGCCTGTAAAGATAACCATGAGAAGTTTTCTTGCAAGTAATCCTAGAAATTAATTAAGAACAAGCAATTTTAGGATAGTTTCTTGATGGCTATACCACGTTGATGTCTCTTCTTGCACAGCAAGAACAGAGCTATTGCAATTACAAGACCAATCACTCCTGCGACAGATGCTACTAATGGAATCATGTATGCACTCTTCTTTGTCTTCAAATCCAGATTTTGACAGGAAGCAGAAACGCAGAGGTCCGTATTCCCTCCAAATCTTAACGATACAATTCAGAATTTGTGTTCAACAGCTACAGAGCATATGCAATGTGTTTTAAAAGCCGAATATAACCATGAACCAACCTCATCAAAAGCGATCCGTTGTTTGATCTCTCTAGTAGTTTCACCGGAAGAGCACCCGTTAGCTTGTTTCCTTCCAAGTTTCTGCAGACATGAACGAGCCATTATAGAAAATATTGTTTATGTAATCTACTATTTTAGTTACTATGACTTACATTTCGATCAAATTATGTAAATTGGCGAGGAAATCAGGTACTTTTCCTGTTAAACTGTTGTTTGATAAGTCCCTGAGATGAAATTTTGGTTGCGTGAGTTAAAAGATATCACAGAACTGTTTGGTTGCGTGAGTTACAAGACATCACCAAAATGTGTACTCAAGATTCTTAGATCAAATAGATAAATACTGACAGTTTCTGTATCAATGTAAGGTTGGAGAAAGCTGGATCAATCTCGCCAGACAAGCCACTCAAGGATAAATTCCTGCAGATCACACAACTCTTTTGAGAATATGAGCAGAGAACAAAATCATGTATTAAGAATTTGAAGATAAGCCTACAAAGAGATGATTCTCGGAGACTCATTATCGACATAGCTGCAGTTAATATCCCTCCAAGGATAGTTTACAGGTGCACAAGGGTCTCCAAGCCAATTCTTCTTCACTCCATACTTAGACTTGATTCTCATAATTGCATCAACTATAATTCAGTTTCAAACCAAACATATATGGATTAATGAGCACTTAAAGAGTGATCACTGTTTAGAAAAATGAAAAACATACATACCATCTTGTTGATCAGTAGGTGGCTGAAGAAACTCGTTGACACGATACGTCTCAACGGCGTTGATGATTGGTGGGAGCGTAGATTTATCAGCTCGTTGCAGACGAAACTCGTGGAGTGGTCCAGTGACTGGTTCCTGAGTGAAGAGTGTGTCTGTATACAAGAAGCGAGGGCTAAAGCTATCATACAGAGTAGTATTATCATTCCAAAACAATGAGAACTCTCTCGTCTCGTTGCTTGGTATCTCTTCAACTTCAGCGAAATGCATGTACACGTAGAACTTCCACGAAGGGATCGTTGGTTCCCAGTAGAGGATTATGTCTAAGCTTGCATTCAATGGCGACGAAGCAGTGTTCATGATGGCACGAGCAGGCTGAAATCCATTGTTGTTGTTGGGATCTATCGTGAGGTTTGTACTGAAAACTCTATGGTTTGGGAACTTTAGAGGGTTCCATATACGGTCATACACATCATCTTTGTACCTGAGAAAACCTAACTTAGAACACAAGCTAACCAAGAGATGTGAGATTAATCTAACAAGACTCATACTAACCTGACAGGACGATCTCCGAGTGACCCGAGATCCCATCTACGATACAGCATAAGAGAATCATAAGGAGTCTCATATGTTTCATTGTTCAAGAGCCTGAGTTCTAACACAGACAAGAATGGGGTTCCTTTTTCTTTATCAACAAGGCACACGTGAACATGGTCTGAACGAAGAGTGTGGATGATCTCTTTGGTAACTATGGTGGTTTCATTGTCTATTGCAACAGAATCCCAGAGGTTGACTCCAAGATACAGATCAAACTCGGGTGCTTTCCCAAGATTGTCATAGTTGCCGTACATGAAACGTGTTCTGATCAAATACTTGAAGCCTTTTCCACGTGGAGGCTGCACATCGTAACAGTTTCTCTTGCCTTGCGGGAAGCTCCTAACGTTTTGGAACTGCTTCTCAAGAGAAGTTGTCTGAAATTCAGGATTTATGCTATGGATTGTCCCGGACTCGACGAAAGCAGCATCTGAGACGTACTTTATGTCTGTTTTGTTATCGTTGTAGCTTGAATCCTCAGGTATACCGCAATCGATACTGACAAAACCTGTAATATAAAGTATAAACACCCACACACACACGTAAATATTATAAGATATATGCAAGACTATGTGTACCTGATTGGTCTTGAGCATGAACAAGAAGAACAAGAACAGCGAAAAAGCTTGCGAATGAAATCAACGGAAGAAAGTTTTGACGCACCATTTTAGTTTTTAATCAACACTTTCTTACGTAGATTAGTTAGTACTTAGTACCATCTGTCCTCTTAGTACTTAGACAAAGCGAGTTTTTCTTTTTCCAAATACTAAAATATTGTTATCGAGTCAAAAGGGGCAAGTTGGGATTTTCTAAGAGTTTCTTTCCGTCAATAATATCATACCAACGACTTCTGGTGGTGTTTTGGATAGTTGAGAAAATTTCAAGTCGGTTGATTGTTTAAAGGGTTTAAAACCAAAGAGTCAATTCTTATGACCATGGGAGTTTCAAGCTAACACATAAACAAAAGGAACTGCAAGTGGCATAAACAAACTTAACAGAAACCATTTTCTTCTATAACATGTTAAAGTATTACTCCATAATCCAAGTTTGTTAGATGAACTAAGAGTGGGATTAGGCTTATGTAGTCAATACTTTAACCTTTAGTAGTAAATCAATTAGCTATTTTTCAAATTGTATGTTTCAAACTTTCTGATGGATCAAACAGAGACAATGTAACATGAAACTTCTTGTACAGTTCACTTTCTTACAAAGCAAACACAACTCAAACTTGTTCTTCTTCTTAAATCACACTCAACACCACACAGAACTTTCCTGTTTCTGCGAATTAAACACTCAGATGTATTCAAGAATCATCTACCTCGCCTGAGGAAACATTCCCGAGTCATAAGACGTCATTGCCGGCTCTGTAACACTGCTGGCACCAGAACCACCACCGGCTCTTGCTCTGCTTACACTCTCCTTCAGCTCAGCCACTACCTGACTCATCGTCGGTCTATTTTTAGAGCTAGGAGACGCACAAGCCATTGCTACTTCAGTGATCTTCCATGCAGAGCCAGCATCAAACCTCTCTCCTAGCTTTGGATCCACAATGCCTCTGATATCTCCTGTGGACAGAAGCAACTCGACCCGGTCGGTTATGTGTCTGTTCTCTGCTGTTGTTCTTGAACGTGAAATAACAGGTTGGCCCGTGACAACCTCTAGAAGAACCACCCCAAAGCTGTAAACATCACTCCTCTCGCTTAGTTTCTGCGTCGAGTGGTACCTTCATTTTATAAACAATGCCTCAGAACGGCTGATAACAACAGAACATAAACACATAGTCGTAGCTGAAGCTTTTTACTTACTCGGGGTCGAGATAACCGATAGTTCCAGCAACTGCGGTCGAATCCTGGTTATTACCCTCCAGTGAAACGTTTCTAGACAACCCAAAGTCAGCAATCTTGGCCTGAAGCTTCTCGTTGATTAGAATATTAGCCGGCTTCACATCTCTTTGTACAATGGGAGGCTTGCAACCATTGTGAAGATACTCCAGCCCTGAGTTTCATACAAAGACAAGAATAACTTCATATGGTTTTCTAATTATGGTATATGTATTGAGATCATTTCATCACAAACCTTGTGCAGCGTCTAGTGATATTTGTAACCTCTCCTCCCAGCTCAAGACATAGGATTTTTTCCCTTGATTAGGAGAGAAACCAAAAGTTAAGTTTAGTTTCCTCTGGCTATAGCAGCAAAAGACCAGTGAGCAAAACTAAGTAGAAGAGAGACTGACCTGAAAAATAATCTCCCAAGGTTCCATTAGCCATAAACTCGTAGATAAGAGCTACCTTCTTGCCTTCGTTGCAGTATCCGATAAGAGCGGTTAGGTTCCTGTGATGTACTCTCAGGAGAAGTTCAACCTGATGAATTAACATGTGGATGAATCCATAACTCATTTTGTAAAGACTAAAACCCTTACAACAACATGTAATAATCTGACCTCTGCTCTGAACTCTTTGTACCCTTGAGTTGATGACTCAGATAGAATCTTGACAGCGACTTGGTCGTCATTTAAGACACCATGGTATACTTTTCCGAAACCACCTTGTCCGAGAACTCTCTCAAAGTTGTTTGTCATTTTCACAACTTCTGTGTATTTGTAGTATCTCTTTGTTGTGTCCAATGGCCCGGTCCTAACACTATTAGAGCCGCCTGTAAAGATAATCATGAGAAGCTTTCTTACAAGTAATCCTAGAAAAAGTAATTTAGGATGGTTTCTTGATGTCTGTACCACTTCGATGTCTCTTCTTGTACAGCAAGAACAGAGCTATTGCTATTACAAGACCAATCACTACCGCGCCAGATGCTACTAATGGAATCATGTATGCACTCTTCCCAGCCTTTTCCTCAGTATTTTGACATGAAGCAGCAACGCAGAGGTCTGGATTCCCGCCATATCTTATGATCAAAATGCAGAGACATTTATGAAATTTGTGAACCCAAATCAGTCAACAGCTACAGAGCACATGCGTTGTCTTTGAAAAGCCAAAAATAATCATGAACCAACCTCAGTGAAAGGGATCCACTTTTTGATCTTTCTAGTAGTTTCGCCGGAAGAGTACCCTTTAAGTTGTTTCCTTCCAAGTTTCTGCAAACATGTACGTGAAGTCAATATAGATACCATTGTTTATGTGATATACAATGGCAATGATGAGTATGACTTACAACTCCGTCAAGTTATGTAGATTTCCAAGGAAAGCAGGTACGTTTCCTGTTAAGCTGTTGTGTGACAAGTCCCTGTAATGAAATTTTGGTAGCGTCAGTTTACTAAGAACTCCACAACTCTCTGTACTAAAGTTTCCAGATCAAATCAAAAATACAGACAGTTTCTGAATCGATGTAAGGTTGGAGAAGGCTGGATCAATCTCGCCAGTCAAGCCACTTGAGGATAAGTTACTGAAAATCAAACAACTATTGTGAGAACAGGAGAGAAAGAGACAGAAACAAAACCATATGTATAAGAATTTGAAGATAAGCCTACACGGAAATGATTCTTGGAGACTCATTATCCACATAGCTGCAGCTAATATCCCTCCAAGGGTAGTTTACAGGTGCACAAGGGTCTCCGAGCCAGCTCTTCTTCACTCCATACTTGGACTTGATTCTCATAATTGCATCAACTGTAGTGCAAACCAAACATCATAGATAATGAATGCAAGCTTAAATACTCTGTTTCTGAAAATGAAACCATATATACCATCTTGTTGATCAGTAGGCGACTGAAGAAACTCGTTGACACGATATGTCTCAATGGCGTTAATGATTGGTGGGAGCGTAGATTTATCTGTTTGTTTGAAAAGAAACTCGTGTCTCGGTCCTGTGACAGGTTTCTGAACGAAAAGTGTGTCTGTGTACAAGAAACGAGGGCTAAACTTATCATACAAGTTAGTTTTATCATTCCAAATCACCGAGAACTCTCTCGTCTCGTTGCTTGGTATCTCTTCAACTTCAGAGAAGTGCATGTACACGTAGAACTTCCACAAAGGGTTAACTGGTTCCCATGTGAGCAGTATGTCTAAGCTTGCGTTCAAAGGCGTCGAAGCCGTGTTCATCACGACACGAGCAGGCTGGAAACCGTTGTTGATATTCGAATCTATCGTCAGGTTCGTGGTAATGACTCTATTGTTTGCGAACTTTAGAGGCATCCATATACGGTCATACACATCATCTTTGTACCTGACAAAACCTAACTTAGAACACAAGCTAACCAAGAGATGTGAGATTAACCTAACAGGACTCATACTAACCTGACAGGACGATCTACAAGAGACCCGAGATCCCATCTTCGATAGAGCATAATTGAATCATGAGGAGTCTCGTAAGTATCGGTTTTCAAGAGCCTGAGTTCTAACACAGACAAAAATGGGGTTCCTTTGTCTTTATCAACAAGGCACACATGAACATGGTCTGAGCGAAGAGTGTAGATGATCTCTTTGGTAGCTACCGTAGTTGCATTGTCTAGAATAACAGAGTCCCAGAGATTAACCCCAAGGTAAAGATCGAACTCTGGCGCTTTTCCTAGCTTGTCATAGTTACCGTACATGAAACGTGTTCTGATCAAATACTTGAAGCCTTTTCCCTGAGGAGGCTTCACGTCGTAACAGTTTCTCTTGCCTTGAGAGAAGCTCCTAACGTTTTGGAACTGTTTCTCAAGGGAACTTGTCTGAAACTCAGGATCTATGCTATGGATTGTCCCGGACTCGACGAAAGCAGCATCTGAAACGTACTTTATGTCTGTTTTGTCATCGTTATAGCTTGAATCCTCAGGTATACCGCAATCTATACTGACAAAACCTGTAATATAAAACACACACACATACAGAGGTTTATAGCCTTTAAAACACAACCATTTTTTAATACATTTTCAAGAGTTTTTGTATTGTGTACCTGATTGGTCTTGAGCACGAACAAGAAGAACAAGAACAGCAAAGAAGCTTGCAAATGAAAACAACAGAAGAAAGTTGTAACGCGCCATGAATGACAAAATCTGTTTCTGGATCAACACTCTCTCATACAATATTCAGTCTCATCCTCTTCTGCCATGATTATGCACTCTAAAGACTAATCTATAGCCATGTTGGCTGATGGTGAAGCACTATCTCTTGAAATCAAATACTATTTAAATTCAAAAAAATTCAAGTCAAAGAGGCAAGTTGGGATTATTCCAAGAGTTTATTTCTGTTGATATCATAGCAAAGACTTCTGGTGGTCGTTTATCAGTTGACAAATTTTCAAGTGGGCTAATTGTTTAAAGCCAGAGAATTAGTTCTGATGATTAGTTGACAATGAAACTTTCAAACCAACATAAAGAAACTGCAAGTGACATAAACCGAGTTATAAATCAGGTGATTGTTTTTTGGATTCATACCTTCATTATTTCCTAGCTTTCACAACATAGATTATATATGCATGTACCCAATGTTCATATTATTGGACACAAAAACTATAATTTAAGCTTCAGTGTACAAAAATATTTGAAATTAAACTCAATTTGTTTTCATGAGTTTTCCAGTAAACTTTTAGCTTATAAATAATTGTGCAACTTTACAATTTGTTGTTTTTTCTTTTTACTGCATACAATACAGTAGAAACTCTATAAATTAATAATGTCGGGACTTTGATATTTTATTAATTTATAGAGTTATTAATATATAGATTTTGACTAAAAATGTTTTTTTCAAAAAAATAAAATTCAATAATAAGAATCTTTTAAGTTTTCCTTCAAATGAAATAAGAATTTTCCTTTATACATATATTTTCTTAATTTTTTCTTTAATTATTTCTATATTTACTTTATTGTTTACATTTTCTCATACTCATACATTGTTTTAAATTTCCTTTTTTCCTTTTATTTTTTATGTGTGAGAGATTCATATTTTAGTAGGTAGATATCTAGATAAAAAAAAATATATATATAGAAATAATTTTTATATGATAATTATTAATTTATGATATTATTGGGACCATATTTTACATAGGAGTTTAAAAAAAGTTATTATCTTATTATCTTATCGAATTGTGTCATATTTTACACCGGCCCAACTTGGGACCGGAGAAATTTATTAATTTATCGTGTTTATTAATTTATCGAGTATTAATTTATAGAGTTTCTATTGTATGTTGTTTTGAGGCTAAATTCTCAGTTAGACATTTATATTGTGGGATGGATTTACAATTTGTTGTTTTTCTTTTTACTGCATACAATATGTTGTTTATCTCAGTTAGACATTTTATATTTTGGGATGGATTTACAATTTGTTGTTTTTTTTCTTTTTACTGCATACAATTTGTTGTTCTGAGGCTAAATCTCAATTAGACATTAAAAATAAGAGTGTAAAATTCTTTTCAGTATGTATGATGCGTTAAAAAACGTCCAATACAACTTATATAGCTATCCAACAGAGAAAAGCCACCCAAAGTTAAAACAGAAAGAAGAAAAAATACTAATAATTGATGATTAGGGTTTGGGGCTCGGTAAACTTGATTTGTCATTATCACTTTTGGGTTGTGGGGCTATACGAATAGTGTTGCAAGTAGTGGTTAGTAATGATGATTCGATTTTAATTTATTGTTATTAAAAAAAACCAAAAACATTTGAATGATATTCGGAACAATTGTGGTTGGGGAATATACTAGACCCTTGAAGGATGAGTGCATGTAACAATATTGTAGTTTTTTATTTTCGGAAGAATCGAGTTTGTGATAATGGTGTGCATCGCTTATATTAGCACTGACATTTTGATTTTAAATGAAAGTGTTTGATAATATTTTTCAGATTTTTGTGATAATCTTCGTTATAGTTGATCTTAAATACTAGGTACTACTAATTTGTTTGGTTTCAGTGTTTGAAAACGCTGAAACCATAAGTTCCTGTTAATCAAATAATTTTCTGTACAAGAATATCACAGCTAAGTTTGTAAAGAAATATTCCTTAATGATCAACTTCTGCTGTAAGAGGAAATGAGTAGTATGAAAGAGGAAATGACTAACATGAAAGAGGAATTGGCTAGTATGAAAGAGGATTTACAAGAGCCGAAAAACAACACTTGGCTCATGAATAGTTGATGGTTTAATCATTCTTCATCTTCTGTTTATACAAGTGGTTTATTTGTATGAATTTTGATTTAGTTGATGGTTTAAGCATTCTTCATCTTCCGTTTATATAGGTGGTTAATGTTCTGAAAGTCAAATTAAGCAAAGAAATTGGTTAATTTTCCAGTGGCTTACAAAATCAGGGTTCTAAAATCCACAAATTAAAAGTGAAGGTCTGTTTTATGTTTTTAGAAAAAGTCAGGTTTTTTTACTCATTTTCCCGATTAAAACGAGGTTTTTTTTTTTTTTTTTGAGATTTTGTTTGCCAAAAGCTGATAAAATATTTTAAAGCCAGCGAATTAGTTCTGATGATTAGTTAACAATGAAACTTTCAAACTAACATAAAGAAACTGCAAGTGACATAAACCGTATAAATCAGGTGATTGCTTTTTGGATTCATAACTTCACTAGTTCTTAGCTTCCACAACATAGATCAGATGTGTACATATTATTATTGGACACAAAAACTTTAATATAAGCTTCAGTGTAGAGAAATATTTGAAACTGAACTCAAATTGTTTTCATGAGTTTGCCAGTAAAGTTTTAGCTTATCATGACCTCAGTAGGCATTTTAATTTTTGAACAGCTTAGAAAACACCTTGCTAGTTGCTAATATATAAAAAATGACAAATATTGTTCATCTTTCTTCTCTTTTTACGAATTTTGCAACTAGTAAAAATTCAATTTTTACAAAAAGAAAGAATTCAACTAGACAACTTATTAACTCTCGTCTCCAGCCATTTGTTCAGCTTAGAAAACACCTTGCTAGTTGCTAATATATAAAAAATGACAAATATTGTTCATCTTTCTTCTCTCTTAACGAATTTTGCAACTAGTGTAGAATCTATGAAATAGTAAAAATTCAATTTTTACCAAAAAGAAAGAATTCAACTAGACAACTTATTAACTCTCGTCTCCAGCCATTTGTTCAGCTCATCTTCCTTCCTGATGTTTTCTTTGCTCCTCTCCACAATAGCCTTTAACGTAACAACACGAGAGAATCATCTACATATATAATAAGTGCATGTGTTACAAATCCAACTCAAAAACAATTCTTAAATTTTACCTCTTCACGTAGTGCATCGCAAGCTACAAGACTGGGCAATATCATAGCAGCAAATTTGAATCCACAATATCCACAACTAAGTACAACAAACGTCCCGCATCCGATTGCCTTCACAGCCATAGGAATCCCTCGGCCAATCTGGGAGATTTCTTAATAAATTATACAAGAGGGCCTGGCAGAAGAATTCAGATGAAGTGGTGATTTTGGTTCGCTTACCTTTGACACCGTGGATTTGAGGATGAGCATCATCTTCTTCTAGGGTTCTGAAAAGTGAAAACTAGATTAATTAATTGGTGTGAGGTCATAACCATAACTTAATCAAACCGGATGCCCAATCGAGCATACCAAACCAAACCAAACCAACCAAAAAAGCAATTGAGCAACAAACCAACTTTCTCTACAAACTTTGTGATGAGGTCATAACCATAACTTAATCAAACCGGATGCCCAATCGAGCATACCAAACCAACCAAAAAAGTAATTGAGTAACAAACCGACTCGCGTTTGTAAATTCGATTCCGGTTTGGTCCGAACACAACTTCATCGAAGAGAAAGAGAGAAAAAACGTCAAAAGACCCTAGAATCTAATTTCAGGAAGCAATGATGAGGAGGAATTGGAGCAGCTTTGTTGCAAAGGTAGGAAATTTTCGCTTGAATTTCCTTCAATTCTGAAAGCTTCGGGAGCTCTTTAAACAGTTTTTTTTCAAACCAAAAATTGCAGAATTGTCGGTCCTCTGGGTTCTTCCTTCAGTCTCGGCGAGGTTTCTCTTCCACAGCATCTCCCGAAGAAGGTCATTGGGATTGGGTTCGTCCAGTTATGTTTTTGTCGTTTTTGGCTGGAATTGATGGCTACATTATAGATGGTATGGTTTACTCAAAAACGCAAATTCAGATTTTTCGTTTTCTGGATTCATCTGATGCAATTACGAATTTGTTATATATCCTCGCAGATGTTGTGAATTATAAGAAAAGCCGCAAAAAACTCAGGAAGATCGAAGAAGAGTGTGATTACTTCCATCAGGTTTTTATGGAGAAACAAGTTGAGTACAGGAAGCGAAGCAAGGAGATATTTGGAACTAACTGAAGCAATGAATCAATACTGTCTTGTTTATGGTTTTTTTTTAGTTTTTTTTTTTGTTTTTATCTAGATTGTTAATTTTCACCTACATTGTCTGCTGCAGCTGCTGAAGCTGTGATTATTGGGTTTCAAGTTTTCAACTTCTTTTCTTGAAGTTGGTTAGATATTGTTATGCTTTAGCCGCCCTTTAAGTGCTTGCTTCCGGACAAATTTCAAAGTGAAACAGCGAGAAAGATCAATATCACTTGCGAATTTTGTTGTTTAATGCTCTGGACCTGCAAGTAGTTGACCTTAGAGAGGTTTCTACACAGTAGCTTGATTACATGTTGTCTGGTCCTTTTCCTCATCCATTTCATTCTTTCCTTTTCTTCTTGTGGAACCCTTGAGAATGCATGGTTAGTATGGGCAATGTCTGTTTCTCAATGTTTCAAGTAAAGAAAATTCTGCTTTTTCTCAGTATTTTGACATGAAGCAGCAACGCAGAGGTCTGGATTCCCGCCATATCTTACGATCAAAATGCAGAGACATTATGAAGTCATGAACCTCAATCAGTCAACAGCTACAGAGATCATGCGTTTTCTTTGAAAAGCCAAAGATAATCACTGAACCAACCTCAGTGAAAGAGATCCACTTCTTGATCTTTCTAGTAGTTTCGCCGGAAGAGTAGCCTTAAAGTTGTTTCCTTCCAAGTTTCTGCAGATACCATTTTTTTATGTGATACAAAATTGCAATAAGTATGACTTCCAACTCCGTCAAGTTTTGTAGATTACCAAGGAAAGCTGTTGTGTGATAAGTCCCTGTAATGAAATTTTGGTTGCATCAGTTAACTAAGGATTCCACAACTCGCTGTACTAAATATTCCAGAGGAAATGGAAGTTACAGACAGAGTCTTTATCGATGTAAGGTTGGAGAAGGCTGGATCAATCTCGCCAGTCAAGCCACTTGAGGATAAACTCCTGCAAATCAAACAACTCTTGTGAGAACAGGAGAGAAAGAGACAGAAACAAAACCACATAGCTGCAGCTAATATCCCTCCAAGGGTAGTTTACAGGTGCACAAGGATCTCCAAGCCAGCTCTTCTTCACTCCATACTTGGACTTGATTCTCATAATTGCGTCAACTATAATTCAAACCAAACATCATAGATAATGAATGCAAGCTTAAATACTCTGTTTCTGAAAATGAAACCATATATACCATCTTGTTGATCAGTAGGCGACTGAAGAAACTCGTTGACACGATATGTCTCAATGGCGTTAATGATTGGTGGGAGCGTAGATTTATCTGTTTGTTTGAAAAGAAACTCGTGTCTCGGTCCTGTGACAGGTTTCTGAACGAAAAGTGTGTCTGTGTACAAGAAACGAGGGCTAAACTTATCATACAAGTTAGTTTTATCATTCCAAATCACCGAGAACTCTCTCGTCTCGTTGCTTGGTATCTCTTCAACTTCAGAGAAGTGCATGTACACGTAGAACTTCCACAAAGGGTTAACTGGTTCCCATGTGAGCAGTATGTCTAAGCTTGCGTTCAAAGGCGTCGAAGCCGTGTTCATCACGACACGAGCAGGCTGGAAACCGTTGTTGATATTCGAATCTATCGTCAGGTTCGTGGTAATGACTCTATTGTTTGCGAACTTTAGAGGCATCCATATACGGTCATACACATCATCTTTGTACCTGACAAAACCTAACTTAGAACACAAGCTAACCAAGAGATGTGAGATTAACCTACAGGACTCATACTAACCTGACAGGACGGTCTAAAAGAGACCCGAGATCCCATCTTCGATACAGCATAATTGAATCATAAGGAGTCTCGTAAGTGTCGGTTTTCAAGAGCCTGAGTTCTAACACGGACAAGAATGGAGTTCCTTTGTCTTTATCAACAAGGCACACATGAACAAGATCGAACTCTGGCGCTTTTCCTAGCTTGTCATAGTTACCGTACATGAAACGTGTTCTGATCAAATACTTGAAGCCTTTTCCCTGAGGAGGCTTCACGTCGTAACAGTTTCTCTTGCCTTGAGAGAAGCTCCTAACGTTTTGGAACTGTTTCTCAAGGGAACTTGTCTGAAACTCAGGATCTATGCTATGGATTGTCCCGGACTCGACAAAAGCAGCATCTGAAACGTACTTTATGTTTGTTGTCTCATCGTTATAGCTTGAATCCTCAGGTACGAGCGGGACTCTCAGGTATACCGCAATCGATACTGACAAAACCTGCAATATAAACACACACACATACATGCAGAGGTTTATAGCCTTTAAAACACAACCATTATTTATACATTTTCAAGACTTTGTGTACCTGATTGGTCTTGAGCACGAACAAGAAGAACAACAAAGAAGCTTGCAAATGAAAACAACAGAAGAGAGTTGTAACGCGCCATGAATGACAAAAGCTGATCTTGATCAACACTATCTCATCCTCATACCATATTCAGTCTCATCCTCTTCTGCCATGATTATGCACTCTAAAGATTAATCTATAGCCATGTTGGCTGATGGTGAAGCACTATCTCTTGAAATCAAATACTATTTCAAATCAAAAATTTCAAGTTGATTTATGTTGGGATATTCCAAGAGTTTATTTATGTTGGTATCATAGCAGCGACTTATGGTGGTCGTTTTCAGTTGAAAAATTAGTGGGCTAATTGTTTAAAGCCAGAGAATTAGTTCTGATGATTAGTTGACAATGAAACTTTCAAACCAACATAAAGAAACTGCAAGTGACATAAACCGAGTTATAAATCAGGTGATTGTTTTTTTTATTCCTAACTTCACTATTTCCTAGCTACCACAACATTGATTATATGTACCCCAGTGTTCATATAATTGGACACAAAACTATAAGCTTATCATGACCTCAGTAGGCATTTTCAAATTTAATAGCTTAGAAAACTCCTTGTGGTCACGACCTCCAATTTCTCAAATAATGCAGAACCATTATTTATTCTAGATAAAAATTTCCGGAAACATAATTTGTTTTTTTGTGTCTATAATTTGAAATTCATAATGTACTGTATTCCTTGGTTTCTTGAGAAAGACTAAATAATTCTGTGATATAAATAATTTTGCAACTTTACAATTTGTTGTTTTGAGGCTAAATCTTAACTAGACATTTATATTTTGGGATGAAAAATCCGTTCCTACTCTATTAATATATATCCCGAGTTTCCAGTTTTTGTTCAAATGATTGTACTTGAAACATTTCATCCTCATGGTTTATCATCAGAACAACTATCTAAGTTGCATTTGGATTTTTAATTTGCAAAATTCTTTCTCTCACAAATTTTGGTTTATACTCCATTTTCTAAATATCAATCAAACAACTAACAATGTAGTATAATCTAGCTCTTAGCACCTATGCAAAAGTGTTTGACACTGAAACCATAACTTCCTTTTAATCAAATACTGTTTGTACATGAAATACACATTTAGTTTTGTTGATCTCTTGTTTGAATATCCAAATGTCTCTTCGACAGATCTTCTGAAGGCATTGGTCTATCTAAAAGACGGACGACCTGTTGCGGCAAAGTTAAAATTGTTCATGGACGACAATGATCTTGCTCAAGAGGTAAGTAGTTTCAGTTAAAGTTAATTTTGTTGTGACTTGTGAGCCAAGATATCTTAGAAATCGTTGATCTCATTGTTTTCATGTTTTATCTGTTGTACAAATTGCAAAAGTTGATTCAGTCTTTTCCACACGAATATAGTAAATCTCTTCTAAGTGGAGCCAAGTCCGGTGGTATCCTCTTGATGAAATCAGAAATTTCTTGACTCAAATTCATTGGAGGAATGTCAAACTGCATACCAAAATAGTAAAAAAAAAAAAAAGTTTTATCAGCGAAATATTATGCGAAGTTACGATACATATCTATTCAAATTAAAAGCAATTGACACATACACTATGGATGACTTGCTCATCATCCGAAGCCATGCAGAATCAGAAGAGAAATCAAGAAATTTCGGAATCACAATGAAGAACGGCTAAATGGCATATATAATCCATTTTCTGAATATCAATCAAACAACTAACAATGTAGTATAATCCAACTATAAGCACCTATGCAAAAGTGTTTGACACTGAAAACATAACTTCCTTCCTATCAATAATGTTATGTACGAGAAATCCGCAGTTAGTTTTGTAAAGAAATATTCCTTAATAATCAACTTAATAAACATAGAGTTTATTTTTGTTGATATTATAGCAACGACTTCTTATTGAGGTCATGATAAGCTAAAACTTTACTGGAAAATTCATGAAAATAATAAACAGAACACGATTTCTGTTGATATCATAACAACAACAAAAAAATTATGTTTTCAGATTTTTTATCTAGAATAGATAATGGTTCTGCATTATTTCTGTTTCAATTTTAACAGAATCTCATTGGTTAGATATATTACAACCTCCAATTTTCAAATAATGCAGACCATTATCTATTCTAGATAAGAAATTTCAGAATTTTTTTTTTCTTGTTGTCTATAATTTGAAATCCATAATGTATTCGACTATTCGTTGAAAAATTCTCATCCAAACAAAACCCTCAACCAACAAAGACACAAAAGCATTGGGGTTGAAATACGATTAATTAGTGTTGGTTTTTGTTAAGAATGATGTTTGATTATATATGGTCGGTCAATAATGATAAATGTCAAAATGAGGATTTTTTTACGGTTGTTGTGCTTGTGAATGATTTAGTATGGAAATTACTGTTTACGATGTAAGTTGATTATTAACAAGGGAAATAAGTGTCATTTTCAGATGGGTATTTTCATTAATTTATCTATTTTAACCTTAGTTAGAAAAAACATTAAACACTAGAATTTTAAGAGATAAACAAGGCTTCTAAAACTAGTAGAAGATGGAATAAAGACAAGTTAATTTTTTTTTCGGTTATTTTGTCTATTCGTCAGTTATTTTGCAGGTTTTCAGGTTATGATCAGGTAATTCGGTTCAAGAAAACCTATAAAAACCAACCCGTCGAATAAGACCTGAGCAAGAACCGATTTTTTTTTTTTTTTTTTTTTTTGTTATTTTATGAGTCTAGGGTCTAAATATTTCAGGATCGAGCTGACCCGAAACTCCAAAACCAATGGAAACCGAACCAAAATCTACACAAACCCGAATAAATCTAAAATTTAGCAACCTGGAAAAACCAAAAACCGAATGCAAAAAGCCTATTTTTTTTTATTAGTGAAACGGAGAAAAAAATAAACACGTAGCTTTTTGTTATGGTGAAAAGATCTGATGTCTTGCAAATACAATTTTAAATTGTCAAAATTTGAAAATCCCTATTATAACAATAAGAACGTTTTTGAAAAATATATTCGTAGCCTTTGTTATCGACAAAAAAAAAAACATCGCTAGTAAAAATATCTGATGTCCTTTTACTACATTAACGAAAAAATGCAAAATAAAATGATCCAACATTAAGGCGATAAATTTCTTTTTAGTATATATGATGAGGAGTTAAAAAGCATCTAATATCCATCCAAGAGAGAAAAGCCACCCAAAGGAAAGTCGAAGAAGAAACCCTAGCTGCATTTCGAAGATGATGAGGATATGGGGCTCGGTGAGTTGCAAAAACCCTCAAACTTTTTCACTTTGTTCTCATTTTGGGTTGTGGTGGGGCTAGTGTAATCGAATACGGTTGATTAAAGTAGTGTATAGTGATGATGATTATTCGATTATTCAAAAAAGGAAAACGGTTTAGATGATTTCGGAACGGGCTAATCGAATAGGGTTGATTAAAGTAGTGTATACTGTATAGTGTGATGTTGATTCGATTTTTTAATTTATTGTTATACTCTATTAAAAAAGGGAAAACGGGTTGAATTTGATTTCGGAACGGATTTCGGAACATATATATTATTGTTTATGCAGCGAATTAGCCACATTTGTCAAGTAAGGAAATAAAATAATAATGGAGTATTTGTATTTTTTTGGGAACTTGTTTTGTAGGGGCAAAAATTGGGGGGTCCAATCGGAGGAAAGAAATGGGGTCCAATCGGAGGAAAGAAATGGGGGGGTCCAATCGGAGGAAAGAAACGGGATCCAATCATCGGAGGAGGAAGGCGATTTCCCAGAAGAAATCCGGCGGTTCCAATCTATGAAATGCATCCATCTTTGAAACTGATAAAACCAAACCGGATCAGTGTTGCCGATCACCCATTTGAAGCCATTAGAAAGCTGGCTGTCGCTTTGGCTTCAGAATCTCTGATCAAGTTCTTCTCCATGGGATCAAGGAAGTTTCCAAGATTCTCCACCTCCATGGTTGCTCTTGCAGCGACTTCACAGAACACTAAAGCTTCCGTGATGAAGTTTCTTCTCTACAACAGGAACTGTGGCTTCTCCTTCAAGAAGTCCTATGATGTGAGAGAGGCCATAGTGTCTGTTTCCAACTCTGTGGGCTCTTTGTCTGTGGCTGTTCTGTACTATGGAGCTGTGTACTGGCTTGTCTTCCTGGATCCTCTATCTGAGCATTCAAGTGTCTCTGATCTAAGGAAACAAGTCAAAACAGCCCAAGAGGAAGTTGAGAGGATGAAACATGAGCAAAGAGAAGATGGAAAATTGGCCAAGGAAGAAATCAAGCAACTCAAAGAGGAAGGTCGTATAATGAAAGGGGAAGTTGGTGCAATGAAAGAGGACATGGATGCTATGAAAGAGGATTTGCAAGCTTCAAAAAGCAAGACTTGGCTCAGGTATATAGTTGATGGTTCATTTCTTTTTATACATGTTGGTTATCACTTATTTGTATGAATTGTGAATGGTTGGTTTATGTACAGGTGGTTAACTTCTTTCTGGAAGTGAGAGTGAAGCAAGGAATCCAGCGAGATCAAAGTTTCTGTGACTTTGTGTGCCTTCTTCTATCTCTCAAAACTCTCTCGGTCTCTCTATCTAAGAATTTTTGTTTTGGAGAAGCGATTATCTTTTGGTTTTTGACTTTTGAGTAGCTAAAGTACAGTTTGTTGTTGGATGCTTAATTTGTGGCTTCTTCTATCTCTCAAAACTCTCTCGGTCTCTCTATCTAAGAATCCTTGTTTTGGAGAAGCGATTCTCTTTTGGGTTTTGAGTAGCTAAAGTGGAGCTCTTTTTTGGACCAATCCTGGAAAACTTGTGTGCTCTTCTTATGTTCCAAGTTTAGTGCAGCTGCGAGTTTAGTCCATTTTCATTTTCAATACTTTTGTTTGTTTCTTTTGAACAAGACCTGATTTTATATTATTTGTTTCTTGCTTCATCTTCTTTTGAACAAGACTGCGTTTAGATTGAAGAATAAGCTGTACTTAGAACTAAAGATGATCACCACCTTGTCCAGTTTTTTTTTTAAAGTATCCACCTTGGGGCAAACCAGGTTGATTCAAACCAGAAACAAATTCTACAGATTGGACACGTATGCTCTCGGAAACGACAAGAACAAGAAGCCTAACCACAAAATCTTGAGGATTTTTGATGGTTACGATGATCAAAAGAAAGTTGCTGAAGTCTACCACTTTAGCTCTGACTCATGGAGGGTTCTTGATCTCAGCCCCGTCAGCCCCGTCCTCCTTGAGGAACTGTATGGTTATGAGACTAACTAATGGTTTACCGGATGGTTTTCCGAATCAACGTGGACCTATGAGCTTTTTCATTGACGAGGAGAAGAAAGTCGCTCTGCTTTTCTACTTAGAAACACATACTACACAAACCAAGTCCTATAACGACCAAATGGTTTACATCTTTGGAGAAGATGGATACTTGAGATCTGTCAACATGGGACCAGTTCCAGTTCCCCGGTGGGATCTTCACCAACTTGTGGGCTCTTCATATGTTCCAAGTTTAGTGCAGCTCCAAGTTTAATTAGTCCATTTTCCTTTTTTTATTTGTTTCTTGCATCATTTCCTCTTTTGAACAAGACTGCTACTGCTACTACTACTAGTCAATTCTTAATATGCTTTTTTTGCTATTATTAAAGAACTCAATCACTCATCAAAACTCTGTTGTTCCATGAAAAATGTTATAATAATGCTAAAAAAAAGTTTCAAAATGAAATGAAAGGAAGAAAACAAGATGAATCCTTTATAAATATGACCAAATCTATCTCAGTGCCTCGGCTTCATACAGAAACCAGCAGAGACCACCGCAGACGCACCGCTACATCCACCGCCGTCTGGAGAACGCTTTCTCGATATGCAGTCAGAGAATGTGTCAACGAGCTGCTCAGCAAGAGCTTCTGAATCGTCCTTGAAGACATCAACGAATGTCTTGACAACATGTATCTCCTGTGCCGTCGCTCTCAAGCTATACCAAGTCAGAAACTTCTTTCTGAAATCCTTGTCAACGTAACCTGAAACCTCAAGCTGTCGCATGATCTTCACCCATTGCCCCAACCCGAAACTACCGCAGCTTGCTGATTTCTCACCATTCACCACCTTCTTCTCCTCTGGCTTCTCTTCTGCTTCTATGCTTAAAGTTGCTTCCTTTTCTTCTTCTTCTTCTTCTTCAAGGGCTTTTGTAGAGACTTTGGTTTCATCTACGCCTGATTCTCTGGTGCCGCTAAAGGAAGCAACTTTGAAGCAATACTCTGTTTCCGGAGTCAGTCCAGAGACAAGAAACCTTGTGTTTGGAGACACCAATGCACAAGTCAAGTCCTTTGGGTAATCTTTCTCTGAGACCTTACGATGCCATATCCTGTGATGAATGATGTTTCCAGGTGATGAAGAAGATTCTTCTCCGGAAGCAAGAACCAGAGTGAGCGAAGTCGCGTGAACATCCTCGAAGCTCATCTTCGTTGATCCTGCGTATACTTTGATATCCAATCAAGCAACAGCGATCGAAGAAGAAAAAACACAAAAAAAAAAGTACCCTTTCTTGATCTTAAAAAGCGCTTACCTTTCATCTTACAAGGTAGTGCAGGACGATCATGAAGCGGTGTATCTTGTAAGGATTTCAAAGCAGAAGAGCAAAGATTCTTCACTTTTTGAGCATTTTGAAGCCTGTTCACGTTTCCTCTACGCATCGCCGATGGAAGATCAGTAAACCTGTTTACGTTTCCCTGAAGCTTCCCCGATGGAAGACCACACAGTTCAGTTTCTAAACTCTTCACAGCTTCCTCCACGGCTTCAGATACTTGCCTGTACTTGTTTGTGCCCTTTAGAAGCTTCTTAGCCAAGTTAAGACGGAGACAAAGCACATCTGTATAACTTCTTTGAATTATTTGTCATATGAGAAGAACACGTCACTTAGTGCTGCTGTATTTTGATATATGTGTAATTGTTTGTTGCAAGCAAATTCTTCTTCTTATAAGAACAGAGAAAAAGGTTTAAAAGAGAGACAATTTCAAGATAACTTCAAAAGAGTACGTAGGCAGATTCTTATTACACAAACTCTGATTGATAACATAAAAACTTGAAATACAGACATTCAAGCTAACTAGACAAGCTTATTAACTCTCAGCTTATAAACTCTTGTCTCCACCTCTTTGTTCTTCTTCTCTAGCTTCCTTATGTTTTCTTTGCTCCCCTCCACACAAGCCTTTAACCTCTGTAACATGAGACCAGAGAATCATCCACATATGATAAGTGTGCATGTGTTACAAATCCAACTCAAAAACAAATCTTGAATTTTACCTCTTCACGTTGTGCATCGCGAGCTACAAGACTGGGCAATATCATAGCAGCAAATTTGAATCCACCATATCCACAACTAAGTGCAAACGTCCCGCATCCGATTGCCTTCACAGCCACAGGAATCCCTCGACCAATCTGGGAGATTTCTCAATCGGATTTAAACGAAAAGAGAGAGGAATATATTATGCAAGGGCCTGGCAGAAGAATTCAGATGAAATGGTGATTTTGATTCGCTTACCTTTGACACCGTGGATTTGAGGATGAGCATCATCTTCTCGCTCTCTCCCAATTCGCAATTTTAGGGTTCTTCGCTCTTCTGAAAACTAGATTCTTCGATCGATCTCGTGTTTGTTGATTTGGTCTGTTTTGTCTTTATTTTTTTCTTTACACCACTCGGTTATATAACAAACCGAATAAACTTATATTCTCGGTCAAATTGAGACCAAACCGGTTCGATTCCATTTCAGTCCAATTGCAATTTGGAAACACGTTCTCAGTTAAAAGACAAAATTCGAACACCAAATGTAGCTGCGAATCTGCAATGGGTCCCACTTCAATACATACAGCTCCCATTTTATTCTTAAGAAAATGGTTACAACTTACAAACTCCTGATTTAGTTAAAAACAGAGTCATTTTGTTTATCATATCAAATTTGAAACGCTGGAAACAGAGTCATTTTGTTTATCATATGAGTGATTCAATAATAATCGCGCAATGTTATCATCTGTATTATTAATAATATAAAGATACTGCCATAGAATATTCCACGAGGAATTAATTGGTGATGAGATCATCAAACCATCAATTGAACCATAGCTTAATCAAACCGGATTCACAAGCCCAATCAGACTCGAGAACCAACTTTCTCTAGAAACTCAACTCATCGGTGAAGTGGAATTTGGTTTGGTCCATAGGAGTTCGGACCAAACCAGAGTCGAAATTACAAACCGGTTATGATTTAAATATAATGTATTATGTTTATGTGCTATATGTTTTAATTTGGGCTAAAAGAATTGAATATGCAATTAAATAGAGAGTTACGTTGTGACTGTGAGGACAAGAAGCCTAAAAAGAACAAGGGTTTGAACCAAAATGAATTTGTGGCTCTAACAGAGAGAGACGCTTTCATCGACACAGTAAGGTCTTATGATTTTCATCTAAACCTTTCATTTGTGTATATTGTTCCATGGCTGTAGAAACAAGAAGAAGAGCCAAAATTGATTAAATGAGCACCAATGGGTATGAAAGCGTGAGGCTTGGTAGAAAGACTAGCCCACACATCTCGATTTTATCTAGTTGGAGATGAGGTAAGTCGATTAATATCTCGAGTTCACCCACCTTTTGATTACTTGTAACTTTAATTTGATATGTGAGTTACATTTATTTTTTAATTGATTTTGAGTGTGTCAACGATATTTTTTTTTACTTAAATCATTTATTAATTTCATTGTTAAGTGATGATTTGCATGACTATGGTGTTGCGGAAGATAGAGACGCAACGTTGAGAATAATGGTTGTGTAATGAGAGTGAGAAACTGAGAATGTATCAATTGGTTTACAAAATCAGGGTTCTAAAATCCACAAAACAAAAGTGAAGGTCTGTTTTATGCTTTTAGAAAAAGTCAGGCTATTTCTACTCATTTTCCCGATTAAAACGAGGCTCTTTTTTTTGTACATTTTTATTTTTTATTTTTGCTAAAAAAGTGATAAAATTATCTTTTCTTCTCCGTTATAGCATTCGTCGAAGAGAAAGAGAGAGAAAACATAAAAAAAAACCCTAGAATCTAAATTCAGGAAGCAATGATGAGTAAATGGAGCAGCTTTGTTGCAAAGGTAGGAAATTTTCGCTTGAATTTCTTCTTGCTTTGTGTTTTCTAAACAGTTTTTCAATCCAAAAATTGCAGAATTGTCGGTCCTCTGGGTTCTTCCCTCAGTCTCGGCGAGGTTTCGCTTCCTCAGCATCTCCCGGAGAAGGTTCTTGGGTTCCTCCAGTTATGGTTTTGTCGTTTTTGACTGGATTTGCTGGCTACATGGTAGATGGTACGATATACTCAAAACACAAATTTCAGATTTTTCGTTTTCTGGATTCATCTGATGCAATTATGAATTTGTTATATCCTCTCAGATTTTGTGAATTATAAGAAAAGCCGCGAAAGACTCAGGAAGATCGAAGAAGAGGCTGATTACTTCCATGAGGTTTTTGTGGAGAAACTAGAGGAGTCCAAGAAGCGAAGCAAGGAGATATTTGGATACTAACTGAAGCAATGAATCGATGCTGTCTTGTTTATGGTTTTTCTTTTAGAAATTTTTTTTTATCATGTCTGTTTATCTAGATTGTTAATTTTCACCTACATTGTCTTGTACCAAGCACACATTCTAGTGTTATTAAGCAAAAACTTGTCTGCTGAAGCTGTGATTATTGGGTTTCAAGTTTTCAACTTCTTTTCTTGAAGTTGGTTAGATATTGTTATGCTTTAGCCGCCCTTTAAGTGCTTGCTTCCGGACAAATTCAAAGTGAAACAGCGAGAAAGATTAATATCACTTGCGATTTTTTTTGTTTAATGCTCTGGACCTGCAAGTACTTGACCTTAGAGGTGTTTCTACACAGTAGCTTGATTACATGTTGTCTGGTCTTTTTCCTCGTTCATTTCATTCTTTCCTTTTCTTCTTGTTGAACCCTTGAGAATGCACTAGTCTTACGCATGAGTGTGTGTTGTTTTATTGTTTATGCCCCAACGAAGTTGTATTTGTGATCGTATGAGAGACCAAATGGTTCATCTTCCAGTTTATTTCAAAAGCCTCTGACAATGATAAGTTGTTATAATCTTTAATGCTCATAAGATCAACCACCTTCTCCTTATATCAAGATTCCAATTCGTTTGCAGCACCATTGGTTGTATAGGACAGAGATCAGAAGAGGACGAAAAGACTGTCTGTCGAACATGTAAATTGTCTTGTTTTCTAATCTCTTGTGTTTGTCAAGCATATCTGATTGCTTTTATCTGCAATTTTCTTTAGTTGGATATCAGTAGGAATGATTTGTATGTGGTAATGTCTGTTTGTCAATGATTGGTTTGGCTTTCCTGTTTGCTTATCAAATACATAAAATTGAGGAATCTGATGCGTTGAGGGTTTTGCATATGCAGGTAACTACTTGTTTCAGCAAGAGCACCCATGGTGATAGTTCTCTCATGCTCTTTTTTGTGAACTTGCTTCAGGTTCTACAGACGGTAGTAGTAGCAGCAGCCCTTCAGGCATTTCCACCATTGTGACAAGCCAAGATATGTTGAAAAGATGCTAATCTGTGATTGAATTTGAAGAACCATATCATACAAGCTGCTGCAGTGTTCGATCGAAAGAAGTTGCAGAGATTGATGACGGATATGGAGAGCTACAGAACCAATTGTACCAGTGAAAGAGTTCCAAGCGGCTGATCAGGTCCAAACATGAGGTATGCGCTCCAACAATCAACGGTCCTTTAAATCTCTGAGTCCTATTGTGAATCAAAGATGTCTACTGGTAATTGGGTGTTTTTGCTTTCTCCCAAATGGCAAAATGATTGGCCTTTGTTTGACTTACAGAAATATTCTGATCTCAATGCTGTGACACTGATACATACACTGATACTTCCAGTTTTAGTGGATAAACAATGTGTTTTACGTTGCCATAGAGTTAACTGGACTGAGAGAGCTCTTATTCTTCTCTCTGCAGGATACACTGAATTGGCTTTTTCTACGGAAGGAACTGTCTTTTACATGAGCAGATTTGTGGAGGTGAAGGCTGAGGTCTAAAAAGCAGATACACACTTGCAACTATGTGAAAAAAGTAGTTAAGAGGGATAGAGAAACACCAGAAGAGGAAGAAAGATTCTTTGGTGGAAGATGAAGATACAAGTTCGATTGTTTTTTTCAGATTTGACAGAGTTGCAGTTCAGGTCTGACACTTTCTTCCTACTTTCTAATCTCTTGTATAGATAGTATTAGTAACTTCATTCGGTCTCTGCAGAACCATGAGGGGCATGCTTTCATTAGAGTTTGATTTTGAACCAAAGATGTGTTAGGGTATATCTGAGAAAAGAATTTGTTAGTGTATAACATGATCATTCAAATAGCTAATAAACATTGGTTTGTAGTGTTGGTTCTTATCAGTAATCATATGCTGAAATTCCGCTTGTCAGGTCAGCAAATGGTGCAAGGACATCTGACATTAAGGACTAAGAAGGTGGGCTCTAAGATATCTGAGAAAAGGTTTCTCTTAAACAACCTCAGTATTCTAAGGCATTCTCTGAAAATTCTTGGCTTGTAGCAAACATCGAGAGCAAGACTTCTCCTTTCAGCAGGCAAGTTGTCTCCTTTTCTTCCTATAGTCACAGATTAAAAGACGTAGTAGTAACAAAACAGAAGTTAAAATCATGATATAGGCCCGTACTACTCTCATCACTTTAGGCACATTGTTTTTGCAACTACTAAATTGTCATTTTTCGAGTTTAGGCCCTTGACAAGCTTAAACAACGATATGAGCTTAAAGCAACTTCTTGAAGACGAGAGGCAAGAGGAGGACGGCTTTGAAGCAGTAACAGAGGAGCTTTGTTTGGACCTGAAGCACATACTTGATACTACTGATATTTAATACCAAGAAAGTCCAGGAATTGCTTAGGCAAGTCTTCTTGTTTAGGATTCAATAGTTGTCTGTTACCATAGCAGAGATATTTGAGATTCTTATGTTGCAGAATCAAATGTAGTTTTGTATTTGCTTAAACCTCTTGGAATCAACAAGTCTAAGGACACATGTAGCCTTGTACAGTCTATGTATGTATATATAAATGCCAGTGAAAGAGAAATTTTGTGTTTCTTAAATGTCATTTGCTTTAATTTTGTTTCTAAATACTGAAATCTATGAATTTTTCCAATTGTTATAGCTCAGATTCAGCATTGAGAATGCAATGAATTAAAAACACAGGCCCTTTTTACACAAGAAAAAAATGCTGAGCGGTGAAATTATATATCAGATTTTGAAGCTATATATTCACAAAGTCCACATGAAAATCAAAGAAAGTTGTTTTGCCACAGAGAGAGAGAGAGAGAAAAGAGAGAGAAAGAAGCGATTAGTGAAAGAGATAGAGAGAGAGAGAGCTTGCGTGAGTGGAGGAGTGTGTCAAAGTGCAGAGGAACGCCACAACTCGGAGAATCCCAAAAAGCGTTGCTCTTTCCTCTTCGTAGTCATCTGGTAAATGCGATTGTTCCTGTTTTCTTCTTTCACGAAACTTGTTTGTGTATCGCTCTCCATTGTATTGTTATTGTTTCGTGCTGGATTTGACTGTGATATGTTGAGGGATTATGAACGTTTCTGCATTACTGGAATCGAATTTTTGGGTGTTTAGTCTCCGGTGGTTTTGTGCCAATTGATTGTGTTCTAGGGTTTCATTAGAACGCAGTATGCTTTGTTGTGACTTTTCTCAGGGAAGAAAATGACTGAAAGATTAAAATTTGTTCAGAGATTGCTCTAGATTTGCAAGTTTGCAACTTGAATTTTAGCATAGAAGAGGAATTCGATTACTGCATAACTCTCTTGTGTACTTGGGTTTAAGATGTTATAGATGAATCAAAAGTGCATAATCCATGGGGTAGGGGTTGAAAGGTTCATGGGTTTCTAGATTTGAGTCATGTGAGATCCGGATCTTCGTGGTTTTCTAAACTTGGATGCTGGGTTTGGATTTGACTAGCATCCCAAGAACATTCTGGGCTTACTTATTTAGTGAGGATTGATGGTTTTTCTGGGTGGGAGCTGTGCATTTTATCACTAGAGGGACCAATTGTTATTCTCATGTGAGATTGGAGATGATCATAAAAGTACATCTGAGATTAGAATCATTTCAAATAAGAATCCGGACCTTTTGGGATCCTAATAAGTGACTGAAATAATGTGTTGGGCTGTTTTCTCCGTTGTGGTAATCATAGACTTTGTTTTCTTGCGTATTGACTCTGTTGCATGTTTTGTTTTCGACATTTAGGAGACCTGAAGGATATGAACTCTACCAAAGGTTACCAGAGGAACTACATGAAGAAGTTGACCAAGAGATTCATCGTGACTTAGAGAAGTGATGTGCTTTCAGATACATTTTGGGATTCTCAGGCAAACATGTTGGTGGAAAGTTCTTTCAGCTCTTCCGTTGAATCTAGTCTACTGAACGTATCAGAGTATCAGGACCCATTTGCTGCATATGATTGGGCATCGCTTGCTGAAACTTATCAGATGATCCACAAATTTCCCGAACAGTCTCAAGTAACCATTCGTGAAGCTGTTCCGGTCCCTGATGCAATGAATCTTGATGAGCCAAAACTTCAAGTAAGTTGTCCAGAACAATCTGTTATACCGAAAGTATCGGAAAAGGCCCTGACTTCTCTTGTCTATAGTCGAAGGAAGAGAAGCATGAAACCTGGGGGTATTGTGGAACATAACCCAGAGGAAAACAAGAAACAGGATGATTCACTTGATGACTCTATTGTCCCAGTACATAACCCTGGAGAAAGCACAAAAAGGAAAAATCGCTTTGACAACTGTCTCGTCTATGGCCGAAAGAAAATGGGAGGGAAATCTAGTTGTAGTTTTACCGGAGAAACTACAATAAAGGGTGATGGGCCTCATGGTGCTTCTGTCTCTGAGCATGACTGTGAAAAAACCAAGAGAAGAGATCATCGATTGGATAACTGTCTTGTGTATAGGAGAAAGAAAGGTAGAGTAGAATCTAGTAGTTGCAGAATTAGCGAACATGCCTCTGGAGGAACCAAGATAAACGGTGATCAAGCTGGCTCCTCTGCATATAGCCAAAGGGGGCTGATAGTCAAATCTGATGGTGCTTTTACAGGACTTAACCCTGGGGAAATCAAGAAAAGTAGTGATCAGCTTGTTTACAGCAGAAGCAAGCAATTGGTGAAATCTAATGGCAGTTTTACTGAAAGTCATATTGGGGAAATCAAGAGAGATGGTGACAGATCTGATGTCTTGCTTACGTATAGCCGGAGGAAGAAGAGAGGGAAACCTGTTGGTGCTCGGGTTAATGGCTTTCTAGTGTATACCCGGAGGAAGCTCAAAGGGAAATCCAGAGGTACTTTTACTGGATCTGACCCAAGAGAAACTAAGAAAAATGGTGATCAACTTTCTAATGTCAGTTCTTATGCTCTTTCAGTGCGCAGTTCTTCTGGTGGAACAAATGACAACTGTTCATCATTGAAATCCAGTTCTGAACTTGCTTCAGGTTCCAGTAAAACTGGGGAAGATGAAGCTACAGATCGCGATTCCTCTGGTTCTGAGGTGACTGAGACAGATACAGACGGTAGTAGTAGCCCTTTCAGAAAATGCAAACATTGTGATAAGCCAGGAACTGTCGAGAAGATGCTAATTTGTGATCAATGTGAAGAAGCATATCATACAAGCTGCTGTGGTGTTCGAATGAAAGATGTTGAAGAGATTGATGACTGGCTCTGTCCATCCTGTTTGAAAAAGAAGTCATCAAAGAGCAGAATTAAGCGGAGAAATTCAGGGGAACGGAAATGGAGAGTTACAAAACCATTTGTAATCGGAATTCGAGTAGGAAAAAAGTTCCAAGCGGATGTTCCAGACTGGTCAGGTCCAACCATGAGGTATGCACTTCAACAATCAACAGTATTTTGAATTTTTGAGTCCTATTGTGGTATCAAAGATGTCCACTGGTAAATGATCAGTTTGTTTGTTTGTTTAGTGATATTATGAAAATATTTTGATCTCAATGCAGTGATACTTCTTTTGTTGGTGAACCCTTGGAAATTGATGAGTCAGAATATATGCATGTAAGCTCCCAATTTACTGGATAACAATGTGTTTTACGTTGCCATAGAGTTAATTGATATCATAGAGTGGATTTGGCATTCTTCTCTCTTTGCAGGATCTCAAGAAGGCCAAGAACGGTAAGAAACCACGTTCTGCAGTCAATTGGCTCCAATGCAGAGAGGAGGACAGTAATGGAGATATTTGCGGAAAGTGGAGAAGGTAACGTGAACTGTTTAGCACCTTATCATTTGTTTGCCTTGTGCTCTCGTCTTCCATTCATCAAGCTTCTACCAATATCGTCTTCCTTGTCTCATATTATATAACTCAGCATTTGTGCGAATTTTGTGAAACTGAGTCACTCAATATTCTTAATTTGACTGGATATACACAGGGCTCCTCGTTCAGAGGTACAGACCAAAGACTGGGAATGCTTCTGCTGCGTCTTTTGGGATCCATGGCATGCTGATTGTGCTGTACCTCAGGTCCAAATACACTCTTACCTAATACTCTTGTATCTTGTTTTCTTGTGAAGAGCCTAAGCAGTAAATTCCTGTAGTCTTGCTTTCATATGCCTATCACTTGGATCTGTAAGACAGATTTCTACATACTCCACAAAAATTCAATCGAAAGTTAATACAATACATCTTGTGTTTGTTTCGTCAGGAACTGGAAACAAGTGAGATCCTGAAACAACTCAAGTACATCAAGATGGTTTGTTGCCTTTCTCATTACCTCCTTTATCTTTCCCAATCACAAGTTAATATCCAATATTTTCTTCATCAAATATCCTAAAACTGAATGGTTCTGTAATGTTTCCTCTGCAGCTAAGACCTCGTCCAGACGTCAAAAGACGAAAGCTAGGACCAAAGAGTCGCAGCAGGTCTCATAACAAAGGAAAGTCATCATAGACTCAATGCTTAGCCAACAATAAATGCATATGCTTTTGGATCAGAGACCCCCTTAGAAACTAGGAAGCTAATTCAGAATTTTTTTGTCAAACGCAAATGAGTTTTTTTGTGCTCCTTGCGAGACCTAGGTTTTTGTTAGCTCCCAGAGCAGGAGCAGTGAATAGATGTTTTGTATTCGGGGCTAAATCTGTGTATCATTTTCAAAGCGGTAAGCCTATTAACAGCTCAGCTTGTGGTGGTTCAATCAAAGCATTCTTCTACTAAAGCTTTGATCTTAGAAGATATAGCAAAAGAAAAGAAAAAGATCTAAGTTACATAAAACCTGTTTCATATATTGAACAACAAGAACAAATAATCACTATCCGTATTTAGCTTGTGTCTCGGATTTTGTGAGCAAATCCTCTTAAATTTCAGCGCTCTTCTCTTTTCACTTTCTTCCAGCCCTTTCTTGCAGCCCTTTCTTCCACCCCTTTCAGCCTAGCAGCCTGCTCGCTCATGATTCTCTTGGTCTGCTCAATGAGTTCCCTAGTTCCCTGTAGAGTTGAAACTGTAATTAAAGAGTGTAACTAAAGCAAAGCTCAAAACTGATTGCATTTGTTAGTTACCTCTTCCTCTTCGAGAACGTACTTGGAACGACTGTCGTATACTTTTGACGCTGTGAGGGGCACAAACAATAAGAAAGGTGGAAAATTTGTAACTCATAATCTCAATTCTCAACCAAACCACACATACCGAGTCCAATGCCAAAAACAAGCCCTGAGGATCCAAATGCCAATTTCTTCATTGTCTCAATAGTTCTCCACACCAATCTCTCATGCAAAGTGGGAGTTTCCCTAAGGGTGTAAGTGAAATTTCGCCCCAACCGCTACATTAGTTAAAGGAAACAAATTGGTTCAAAAGTCAGTCTATCAGAGAACATAAAACAAACCGAAATTTTTGAGCGAAATCAGAGGTGACAAAATTGGGGAGAGATTAGAGCGAAAACAGAGATGAGAATGTGATACCATTGCAACCGAGCTCAATTTCCTCATCATCTTTGTTTCGCTCTCTCAGTTTTTTTTAGGTTCTTCTCTCGTTTACTTGGCCGATTCGCGAGAATCTAATATGTTTGTCTACGTTAGCCAAAATACAAGTTTCAATTGTTTTATAATTTTTTTTTTTTTGCATTTTAGTCCTTCTTACTGTTGTATTGTTAACTAAGGTCATAAAACTTTATAAATAACTGTTAAAATCTACATTATGAATAAACAATATGTTGGCACAAATAAATCGCTTTTCCCCAAGTATGTATAGATGATGTTTCTAACTCTGAGAATCATATTTTGAAAGCGGTAGCTAGATTCATATAAGACGATGTGAATTACATTCAAAAGCTTGGATCTTCAAATAGTAAATGAAACGAAAGTTAGAGAAAATCTGTTTGTTTGCCAATTTCACATATATATTGAACAACAAGAACAAATCACCATCCGTATTTAGCTTGTGTCTCGGATTTTGTGAGCAATCCTCTTGAGCGCCTCTCTGCTAACTCCGACTCCTTCTGCTTCATGTCCATGAATAACGAAGTGATCTGATGCTTTCTCTTGTGAAGCTTCGACACTTTACCCTTTGTTGAAGATGACGCAGGCTGCAAGACAAATGCCAACAACAAGACAACATTTAAACATGCAATCCAATACAAAGAATTTAGTATGTGAACATGACAACATTTACGATGCAATACAAAGAAGAAGCATATGACAAATCCCCATAAACAAGTTGAGCCAGCAAGACATACAAACTTGTTGACAGTGTCAGCCACAAACAGAAAATAAATGTCACAACTCCTGCTCTATTTACTTTCATCATCGGTTAAATTTCAAGCTTTTCTCAATTACTCATCAGCCAAAAAGCTCTGTAATGGAAATCTCCTACGAGCAAAGGCGGGATTAAACTCACAGAATCAGAGAAATTGCAGCAAGAAGATCTCAAGGAAGACTACCTAGAAGCTAAACAAACCTACTCATAACCTATTCGCTTAGTTTCGGGCTTTCTCAAATGTTCACCATCCTATAAGCTATCTAATGGAAGACAAAGGCTTTTGATTCACCTCATCAGAGGAGCAATCACAGACTAAACAGTAATATTTAACCTCCCTAAGCAATGATATTCTCAATTCCAAAGTAAGAGTGAAGAGTTTTAGAAGCTAAACGAACCTGATACGCAGGTCCAAAGGCGATTCCAGTAGATTTAACCTGATCAACTCTTGGCCTATCCTTCATCAGATCATCTTGCTTCACCTCAATTATCTCTGTTGGGAAACTGTTCTTCCCTCTCCTTCCTCTCCTCGCACCGCTATCCATGGCTACAAACGCTTCAGGCAATCCCGTTGTTGCCTCAAACCCACCACCACCGTTCCATGTGTTACCTCCATAGCTACTAGCATCGTATCCCACATAACCAGACGCATCTCCACCACCACTAGGGTTTTCTTCGTATCCACCATAACCAGACGCATCTCCACTACCACTAGGGTTTGTTTCGTATCCACCATAACCAGCAATTTGCTCCGTTTCGCTACTATGGCTGCTAAATGATTCATAACTCTGGTTCTGATCGCTACCTGATTCCGTTTGAGTGATTGCAGGTGATTCCGTTTCGAGAATCGATCTTCGACCTGATCCTAATCCCGATCCCAATGTGGGAAAAGCGCCGAGTGTTTGCGAGCTCTTTGGTGCAGGCATGGCGGATAAGAACGATCTCACAGATGAATCGTGCGGTGCCGCAGCGGATTCCATCTGTTTACGCCTCTTCCTCGCTTTCTCCTCTTCTTCATCGTCTTCATCGTCATCATCAACGCTGCTCGGGACAGGAAGCCTGATCTGAACGACACGTTTGGGTAACGCCGGAATTGACGACGGAGAGGGGTTTCGGTGCCGAGAAATCGATGATTTTGGAGGTGGGAGAGAGGAGAGAAAAGGAGAAGATGACCCAAAACCCCCATCTTCGGAAGATCTGGATGCTTTAGGTTGAGGGATAGCTGAGAACAGAGACGACGAAGTAGAGGAAGGACCCAAGGATGATTTTACGGTGAAAGATTCTGTACGTGGTTGGCGTTCTTCTTCCTCTTCGTCCGACGAAGCATAGCTCGCTACCAGAGAGTCCATTAGAGAGAGAGAAGAGAGAAATTGGCCGTTGCCGTCGCTCGTCGCCGAGATCAGATATGTCGGAGTAATATCAAAGTAGAAGCTCTAAGGCCCATATAAAAGCCCATTTATGAAGTTGCTTTTAGTGAAGATCAGTGGCGTGTAAAGCAAGTATTATATATTTAGGATCTTACTTTGACCTAAATCTAAATCGACAATGACACAAAAACTCCCTAACCCATTCAAGAGAGAATAAGGAATTTAACATGGAAAAATCTTATTTTATATCGTTCAATTTCCTTATCTGATAAGGAAGTATCTATCTTTTATCTTGCGTATTAATTAGTGTTGTTGTATATTCCCTTCATATATAAATCAATAAGAAAGAGAGCGAGTTAACAGTTTAACATCTCTCTCAGTTTCAAGCCTCTCATTCTCTCTATCCTCTCCGTAGAGTATAGGTTTCCGTGTCTCGAAAGTAAACGAAGAACAGAGCCATCATCAAACTGAGTTTTGATTATACAAATCACAAAGTTTGCAAAGATGTCGGTCACAGCAGGAGTTAGTGATGCTGCACTAGCTACTAGGGCAAAACTACGAGGTGGGATTGCACAGACTAAAGTGACACGATATTGGCCTGGACAAGCTCCCAAGTGGGCCGACAAAGCCGAACAAGATCATGACGATGATGTTAGGATGCACATCAAGGATGATGATGATTTGATGGTTGCTAGGTTTGATAAGGATGATCCAAGGCTGCGCCGTTTAGCTCAGACCAGAGCTGATAACCGAGAACAAGTAAGAGCCGATCATCAGCGAGTTAGACAGGCAGCTGAGGTTATATCTACACAAGAAGATGATGAAGACTTAAGGAATCAAGAGAGTAGTGACGAGGAAGAAGATGAAGATGCTATGGAAGAAAGAAGAAGAAGAATCAGAGAAAGGAATCTTAAAAGAGCTCAAGAGGAGGCTTCTCTACTTCCTTTAGAAGAAGAAGAAGAGGTACAAGATGATGAGGAGGAGTCCGAGTTCGAGACTGATTCAGAAGACGAGATGATCGGTATAACCATGATCAAGCCTTTCTTTGTACCAAAAGGTGAGAGAGATACAGTAGCAGAGCGTGATCTTCTTGAAGCTAAAGAAGAAGCTCTTGAGGAATTGGCAAAGAAGAAACTAGAGATGAGGATAACAGAGACGAAGCAGATAGTGGTTGAGGAAGTTAGGAAAGACGAAGAGATACAGAAGCACGTTTTAGTGGAAGAAGATGTGGAAACTGATGACGAGATCAATGAAGCTGAGGAGTACGAAATTTGGAAGACAAGAGAGACTGATAGGATCAAGAGAGAAAGAGATGCAGAGGAAGCTACATTGAGAGAGAAGGAAGAGATCGACAAGAACTTGATGACAGAGGAAGAGAGTAAGAATCAGAAACCGAAAAGGAAATGGAAGTTTATGCAAAGATACTACCACAAAGGTGCCTTCTTCCAGGAGGAAGGATCTGTTATACTTCAGCGCGACTTCTCTGCACCAACTGGAGAAGATAAGCTGAACAAATTGAAAGTACGTGAAGTCATGCAGGTCAAGAACTTTGGTCGCAGTGGAAGATCTAAATGGACTCATCTTGTCAAGGAGGATACAACGTATGGTGACAAGAAAACAAAAACTGAGGGTACAATTACAACGGATTGGAGTAACTTGTGGACTTTTAAGGATCTTCTAGGCGATAAATACAAGAGGAAAATACAGGACTTTTAGGTTTATTGTACATGGGATTTATACTTTTTTGTTACCTAACTTTGTGAACTTAACTCCGTTTAGGTATTCAATTAAGATAACACATTGGAAAGAAGGTAATAAATGTCTTTCTTAACCAAAAAGGTTTTAAGTTCTGAACTAACATTTGCAAAATTCTTCAAGCTTGTAACGAAGATACCAAAATCATTAATAAGAAGACCCATAAATCTGAAGGCGTAGGATCAATTTAAAACAAAACATCAAGCGGTAATCTGTTTCTTGAGCTTTGCAAGCTCCTGCCTCACCACGCCAGCTTTCTGCAAATTAACACATGAAAACCATTCAGAACAGTGGCTATGCGAGGTAAATGACAATGAGCTTAGCATTAGCTTATCGATCTAAGGACATCTATCGAACTAATGAGCTTAGCATTAGCATTAACTTTAGAAACATAGAGCATCTTTACAAACAGTGGCTATGTGAGGTAAATGACAATGAGCTCAACATTAGTTTTCAGATTTGAATGATTCCAAGGCAGCACTTGTAAAATTCGACATAACAACTATAATTCGAGCATAAATATGGCAGGATACGGATCAATAAACATCAAACATAATGTAATTTGCAGTAAAACTGACCTTGATTTTGGCCAACATGACCTTGAACCGATCAAAGTCATTGAGTGCAGCTCTTCTCTTCTGCACTATGAACTTCCTACCCCATGAACTCTTCTCCCACTTGTTCTTCACATCTGCAAATGTTTTAAATGTTAAATAAAACATTCCTATGTAAGACAAACTCACCAGCTTAGTAAAAGAAAACTCACCGGCTTTCTCCATTGCCTCAATCAAAACCTTCTTCTTAGGCACTCTGTTGATATCAATCACGATATCGGTAAGAGACAACCTCTTGAAGTTCATCTGGATTCTCTCCATGCCAGGTGCGTCCACAAGAGCCTACCAGTAAACGAGGCACAACAATTAAAAAACAATCTCATACTCAAGACATACATGTAACCTCAAGCGAAAACAAACACTTATCAACAAATCAATTTCGCAGAGGTGAACCACAACCAGACACTCAAGAAATCTTAACACAGTGAAAAAACACACACAAACAATCCGATATCGCAGAAATGCGTCTTAATATTGAAACAAACAACAATGGCAATTCTCTTTTAAAATCACAATCACTGAAACTTCTTTGCTATGTCGAGATGAAAAACAACTAATCAGAACTAAGTAAAAGAATGAGAATGCAATCAGATACCATTGACATAGCAGAACCAAAATGAAGCTTGTTATAGTGAAAAAATATAACTTGCGGACAAACAGATTTATGGGCAATGCAGATAAAAATTGAATCTTTAAGAGCAAGTGAAATCTCATAACAACAAAGGGTGACCTTTTTCAGATCTAACAAATTTTAACTGGTAACCAAATCAACAATGGATAAACTGAGCTAAAGGGAGCTAAAGACAATTTACCCTGTTTTGGTCGACGACATCGACGATCACGACGAGCTTCCCATTGTCTTTTCCGTAGTTGATAAGAGCCACTCGCCCTATCTCAACGTATCTCTTGAAAACCTACACGAGAACGAGCAAAATCTCTATGAACACAACAAATGTAATCGAAAAAGCTCGAACGGATCTCTGTTAATCGTAAGAGCAATGAGAGTTTACCATTTTCTTCGGTTGAGCTGAAACGCTAGAATGGAAGGAGAGACGAGAGGCGGAAGGAGAGAAAGTTCTAGGGTTTCTCTCTTATGAGAGAAGAAAGCTAGATATGCCTAACTAGTCAATTAGGGTTTTAAGTTTGAGCCTTCATTTTCGATATAAGCCCATCAAATGAAGCCCCATACTCGGGTTATTCGGTTAAGAAACCCGGTTTGATTCCTCGATTGTGAAACCCGGTTTGATTCCCTGGAATAGAAAAACCGGTTTGATTCCCGGAATTGAGAAACTAGAATTCACAAATCATAGTTTCGTCGTCTCTCTCTAATCTCTCTCTCTCTCTCTCTCTCTCTCTGCTTTGCTCGCCAGTTCTTCGTTCCCATTATTTCTCCGGACGATTTAAGCTAAGAACAAGGCATTGTAAGCATCGTATGTATACAGGTACTACTCTTCTATTCAAACTTTGCCTCATCTCTGCTTCGTGTGTAAAAGTATCTTCTGTGCTGCTACTAAAACTGTAACAATAGGTTTTGGTCTGTGGAGATTTTGGGTTCCATTTCTGAATGATTTTGATTACAACCATTGAGAATTTGAGAAATTGAGGCTATCAAAACCAATTTTTTACCAAAACTGACACAAAGTTTGTATTTTTCTTCTTCAGATTACTTGTGACCAGTCCTGTTTATGTGGGTTTCAAGCTCAATTCATAACCTCAAGTCTTCTGTGTTGAATCATTGGTTTGCGAGAAACAAAGCTTTTGGGTATATCTGGTGTAGGACTTTTTTGCTTCCTTCGTTGGCTGATTATAACCACCACGGACTTGAGAGTGATTCTGGTGATTTAACCTGCTTTGCATCATCAAGACATTGTCCTTCGAATGCAGGATTTTGTTCCAGTAAGCCTTTTGGTGAAGACATTGATACGATTGTCAAGAATATCGTTGTAGTCCCAAGTGATTGTGTTGAAACTATTAGGAATGTGCTTGTGAAGCACAATTGGATACAAAGATTTGATCTTTGTGGGTTTAGTATTGAGCTTGATCAGTACAAAGTCATCAGGATTTTGGATGATTTGTTTGAGGAGACTTCGGATGCATCTGTTGCTCTTTACTTCTTCAGGTGGTCAGAGTTGTGGATTGGCGCTGAGCACTCTTCCAGATCCATCAGCCGTATGGTACACATTTTGGTATCTGGAAACATGAATTATAGAGCTGTGGATATGCTTCTCCATCTGGTGAAGAGATGCGATGGAGAAGAGAGGTCGTTGTGTTTAGTTATGGACGATCTTTTCGAAACTCGTATTGATCTTCGTGTTTTAGAGACTGTGCTTTCCATTCTGATTGATTGTTGCATTAGAGAGAGGAAAGTAGGCATTGCCCTGAAGCTAAGTTACAAAATGGATCAGCTTGGCATCTTTCCTTCACGTGGAGTTTGTATCTCGTTGCTCAAGGAAGTTATACGAATTCACAAGCTGGAGTTAGCTCGGGAATTCGTTGAACGCATGGTTAGTCGAGGGAGGCGTCTGAATACTGCTGTGATTAGCCTATTCATTAGTAGATACTGCTCTGATGGAGATTTTGACAAAGGTTGGGAGCTGCTTATGGGGATGAAACAGTACTATGGTGTTAGACCAGATGTTGTGGCGTTTACAGTTTTCATTCATGGATTATGTAAAGCAGGCTTCCTCAAAGAAGCGACTTCGGTGTTGTTTAACCTCAAACTCTTTGGCGTCTCTCAGGATTCTGTATCCGTTAGTTCTGTTATAGATGGTTTCTGTAAAGTAGGAAAGCCAGAGGAAGCCGTTAAGCTCATTCATTACTTCCGTCTTAGACCAAACGTTTTTGTGTACAGTAGCTTTCTGTCGAAGATATGTAACGAAGGAGACATGGTAAGAGCTTCTACTGTATTTCAGGAGATGTTTGAGTTGGGGCTCTTTCCTGATTGTGTTTGTTATACAACTATGATCAGTGGATACTGTAGATTAGGCAAGTTGGATAAAGCTTTCAAGTACTTTGGAGCACTGTTGAAAAGCGGAAACGTACCGTCTTTGACAACGTACACACTGCTGATTGGTGGTTGCAGCAAGTTTGGAAACGTAGGCGATGCGGAATCTCTGTTTCAGGGTATGATAACACAAGGTTTGGTGCCTGATGTTGTAACGTTTAACAATCTGATGAATGGTTATGGGAAGAGTCATCAGCTGAATAAAGTTTTCGAGGTTATTGATAGGATGAGATCTGCTGGTGTGTCTCCAGATGTTGCAACTTACAATATCTTGATACATAGCATGGTCGTTAGAGGATATGTCGATGAAGCAAACGGTGTGATCAATGAGCTTATACGAAGGGGATTTGTTCCTAGCGCATTGGCATTCACCGATGTGATTGGTGGGTTCTCGAAAAGAGGGGGTTTTCAGGAAGCGTTTCTGCTGTGGTTCTACATGGCTGATCTTAGAGTGGAGCCTGATGTTGTAACGTGCAGTGCGTTGTTACATGGGTATTGCAGAGTGCAGAGGATGAGTGAGGCTATGGTTTTGTTTGATAAGTTGCTTGATGCAGGGCTAAAGCCAGATGTGGTTTTGTATAATACACTCGTCCATGGATATTGCAGTCGAGGGGATATTGAGAGAGCAAGCGAGTTGATTGGATCGATGGTTCAGAGAGGAATGTTTCCGAATGACAGCACTTATGTGGCACTTGTTGTGGGGTTTGAGAAGAAAGGGTTTGTGAAATCAGAACAGCATGCATCTATGTTACTTGCAGAGATTATTTTAGCAAATACTGCTAAGTGACGTTGAATGGTTTACAATGTTTGGCGTGTTTCTACTTAGGCTCTCATCGTCGAGTTAGCTCATCAAACCAGAATTGAAAACCGTGGACAAGTTAGAGCCGATCACGGTTAGCAGAACGTGAGGGACCTGAAGCTGAAGAAGAAGCTCTTGAGGAGGAAACTGGTGATGGGAGAAACAGAGACAATCAGACAAAGCAAATGATGGGTGAGACCGTTGAAGCAGAGGAGTGCGAACTTTGGAAGACGAGAGATTATGACCAAGAAAGGAAGCTATGCTGAGAGAGAAAGAAGATGCACTGATTCAATGTTTTCTGTTGGGAATAAAGAAAAGAAAAGAAAAACATCTTACTCTGTTATGTAAGAGAAATAGAATTCGTACTGATTATTGATGATACTTTGGATTAGATACCTAAGATTTTACTTCTTGTCGATTTTACTAATTTTACAAACCATTTAACCCAAAAAATATTCAATAACAACATTCAATTCTGAGGTAGAGAGTTTAGAAAATCCTCTCTGAAAATATGATAGATTTGGGTTTCCTCATTGTTTGAAGTGGAGAATTTGGCATTTTTCTAATTTGAAACTTCATAAACTCTTCGCTCAATGCAAATTTGAGACAATTAGTTTTTTCATATATCTAAACATAAGCCAAGAAAAAGTGTATAGTTGTATTACAATAACAAGTTAAAAATTGAAACTTTATAAACAAAACAAAGCAATATCTTTGGCTAGTCATCACTAGAAGTACATTGACAGAAATACCATTAACAATAGAGAACGCATAAACCTCTAGGAGTTAAATCCAAGCTCATTGATCTCAGTTGCACATAAAATGCGCCAATTAGATACATAAACTCTCAACTCAGTACACACATAAATTGAATGTCACTTGAAGCATTAACAAGACATAACAATCTTAGTTCAATAGATTGATGATTTCATCAAGACAATACCTCCAGACTTAGGCTCCATTTTTTCCAAAAGTTATTCTATTGAACTCCAATATAGAGCAGATCTATTATCATCGTGAAAAAATGTCACTTAATTTTTTTTTTTTTTTTGTAGAAAAAAAAGTTAGTGAATGCGTTGTTTGTAGAGAGAGAGATAGATGTTGAATGATCTACAATGTCAAATGATTTATAGGACCTAGTAGACGAGTTTTAGGTTTATATCACTTCAAACATTTTCTCTGATATCACAACAGTAACATAGATATTGTTTTCATTAAACAATGGACGAGTTTTAGGTTCCATTATTTCACAACACAGTGTTACAAGCTATATACATATTCAGTATATATAAGCCAATGTTGCAGGGTTATTTATTTAATTGATGTCTTAAAATTGATTGGCATATTTTGAAAACTCTGCTTACTTTGAGGGTATTTTTGCAATTTTTTAAGTGTCACAAATACGAGACAGTTTATTTTGGTTTAGTACACGGTCATTACACAACTTAACTACGTGGTTTTTTTGGCTCATTTACAACACAGATTTGATGATTAAGGACTTGGTCAATCATTCATCATTCATCATTCATCATCATCGCCAGTGATTTCAACGACTCTCACGTTGCGATTCTCCTCGATCTCCGGCGGTGGCGGCAAAGAAGAGCCACTATCTTTCGCGACAAACACAACGAGGAACCCGTCTTCCATCCACGCCGCGACCTGATCCGTCAAAGCGTTATCGGGAAGCTTGAATCTGCTCATGAACTTGTTGTCGCCGGTACATATCTGGAGAAATCCTTCGTCGTCCACGAACACAATCGCTTCGTCCTGAGTCGTTCCGGGAAGATACGCCTTGAAAACGTGAGCCGCCGGAGTCTCCGTCCAGTTGAGCTGGGTTTCGACGGTGGATGAAGAAGAGGACGGGAAGATTTCTCGGGATAGTGAAGGAAAATGGTGAGAAAACAGGAGAGATGGCGATGAAAAATCAAAGAAAGTGTTCATGAGTTCAAATGGCTCCCAGACTCTATCGCCGGAAGAGAATCTCCGGCGATCGTTGATCGGAATTATCGACATCTTTCTTGTTTTCTAAAGTAACAGAAGCTACTGAGCTATAAACACTTTGCCAAGAGAACTCTAGAGTGTTCTTGAAGATACAACTGGGCTTTAACGTCGAAGTAAAAGCCCAATGGGCTTTCCACAAAAGCATTTTTCTCTCTCTTCCTTCTTCCCGGAATTTTTTAAAATGTTGATGTTTTTAAGATTGTAGAATGAAGATATTTGTTTCGTGAATTGATTGATTGATATATCTTTTTGAAAAAAAAAAGAACATTTCCATGCAAAAAAAGTTACTATAAATACATAATAAACTACTCGAGCGACGAATCCGTCTTCCGTACGGTTCTTGAGAAAGCAAGAATGTCTTCCGGCTTGCGAGCGCCACCGTCTCCGTCGCCGTTTCCACTACCGCCTCCTCCTCCTTCCACTACAGATTCTTGAATGATTCCTCTCACCGTGTCTTTGGTATTAACCGCCTCATTGGTGACGGCGGCAGCTGATTTTTCGTCTCTCTTCTTCTTCTGTTCCTTCTCCATTCTCTCTTTCGTTGCCTCCATATCTCTCTGTTTTTTGTTTTTCCTTTCTCTGAGGTCTCGCAAGGTTTATTATTGTTTCCTGTAACATTTTCTCGATTACGTGTCACGACGTATTTACGTGGCGGTGTATGATGTGAAGCTCGTATTTCGAGGGATTCGTGGAAGATGAGTCAAATGAAGAGGATGTGTTGCACTAAAGCCCCTCAAAGGATTCATGTATTTCGAATGTACCCTTTGTCGACCGTTGAAATGAATTTTATTATCTAAATTCTAAACATAACAAAAGGTCAAAATGTTGCTTCAAAACATTGATCGTAAAAGCATCAAAATGAATAAAACAGTTTCAGTCAACTGTCACAAAATTTAGAATTTTATCCTTTTGAGTTTATCTAGTTCAAAGTACTTGTTCAGATTTAAAACGTTGCCATTTTATAACAAGTTGTAGTGTTTAACTACAGTAATAAAAGTTCGTTAGCTCTAGTTAACTTAACTTGTTACTCTGCATAACAATAGCTAGATGACTTATGTGTCAAGTACACTTTAATGCGAATATTCGGATTTTTACACAATTTCAGTGTGTGAAACCCTAACAATGAGAACATTCGTTTGGATTTGGTCAAAAGATGCGAACAAAATAATAAAGATTTGGGAAGTTTAGTGATAGAAAGGTAGGAGCGATTTGCGGAGTATTTGACTTTTTAATCAGGTGGTGATAAAACCTTGACCACTAAAATCACCTAATTAATCTCCTTTTATTTATGGCTTTAAATATTTAAAATTGATCTACTTCCTTTCTAATCCCACCAAAACGTCTCCTCCGTACACACACATTTGTGATACCATTTAAGCTTTAAACTTTCATTCTTCCATCGTTTGACCATTCTCTTCTTCTTCTTCCATATACATCACAATACACACATATAAAGATGATATGCGAGGAGGCATATCATCAGCAACCACAAGGGCAGATCAATGATCAAATGATGACGATGATGATGATGGATCAATCTAATAAACACCAAAGGAGGAAATCACCTTTATGGTCGCCATCCTCACCATCGTCACCATCATCACCTAAATCACCATTATGGTCTCCATCATCGCCATCATCATCACCTAAATCACCATCATCATTTGACAACTTTAATAATGAAGAAGAGAGGCTAGAGGTTGTGAACTTGAGTGGGATGGCTTTGGAATCTCTCCCTAATCCTTCACTCAATTTAGCTCAAATTTGCAAGCTTGATCTCTCCAACAACCACCTCCAGGTTCATATCTAATCACACACACATATATAATAAATATTACATATTTATTCTTGCATGATTCAATACACATCATAAGCATGCACATGAACATAGTCATAGTTATGTTTTGTGTTGATTTATAATATTGTGGGGATGTTTTTGTTTTGGTTGTGAACACAGACCATTCCAGAATCACTTACAGCGAGACTACTCAACTTAATAGCATTAGATGTTCACTCAAATCAGATCAAAGCTCTTCCAAACTCCATTGGTTGTCTCTCCAAGCTCAAGACCCTCAACGTCTCCGGCAACTTTCTTGTTTCCCTCCCTAAATCTATCCAACATTGCAGGTTTCACCCCATAACTTTCACAAAACGCTCACAACACCCCAAAACCAAACCAACTTTATGTATTTACATGATTCTCTCTAATTTTGTGGTTTTAACTCTTCAGGTCTTTGGAAGAGCTAAATGCAAACTTCAACAAACTCATCAGATTACCAGACTCAATTGGATTTGAACTAACCAATCTAAGGAAGCTCTCTGTCAACTCCAACAAGCTCATTAGCCTCCCAGTCTCCATTACTCACCTTACCTCTCTCCGAGTCCTTGACGCTCGTCTCAACTGCCTCATGATTCTCCCGGAAGATCTCGAGAACCTCATCAACCTCGAGATCCTCAACGTCAGCCAGAACTTCCAGTACCTCTCCGCTCTCCCTTCCTCCATTGGCCTCCTCATGAACCTCATCGAGCTTGATGTTAGCTACAACAAGATCACTGCCTTGCCTGAGTCCATCGGCTGCATGAGACGGTTGAGGAAGCTGAGCGTTGAAGGAAACCCGCTCGTGTCCCCACCAATGGAGGTGATGGAGCAGAACTTGCAGGTGGTGAGAGAGTATCTGACACAGAAGATGAATGGTTGCGGCTCACCAAAGAGTCCCAACAAGAAGAAGTCTTGGGGATTTGGTAAGTTGGTCAAGTATGGGACTTTCAATGGCGGATCAAGAAGCTGGAACAGAGAAGACAGGGAAGGTTTCATCATGCCTGAGTACCGTTCCATCGACAGTCTTGCTTCGCCTCGGTACTCTGGTATGTTCTCTCCTCGCCGTCTCTTTTCTCCAAAAACCTATTTCAGCAGATGAAACTAAACAGAGAGGTTTCCACATTTCTCTCCTACGTATAGCGTCAATGCCACAACAATCCAGTTTTGTTTATAATTTTCAATTACTGCATAATTAAATGTATAAAGAGTATTTCGTTATGTTCATCAGATTCTAGAATTCTTCTTTTTTCATTACATATTATTGCACCAAGGTCCTGTTTTATATACACACTCAAATTTTGTTCATTAATATAAAAGCGTCCCCTTTTCTTAGACTGGAGATTTCTGATAAAAACAATGTACGTCGCTAACAAACTGAAATTACACTATTGGACGTAATAAGAAATCTAAAAGCAGCCGAATATTTCAAAATGAAAAGTGTAATGGTTTGTTTGGAGACTGGGATTAAGAACTTAGGTGTTACATTTAAGATTCAAAGTTTAGATTGAGACCGTGACCCCAAAAAGAAGTTTAGATTGAGACAATTGTGGTTAATTAAATCCTCCTGGACTATAGTTTAATTTGGAACAAAATTAGGCTATGTTTCGTAATATTCTCTTGTAAAATTCTTACTTCGCACGTTCTGCCGTTTTTACGAATTCGAATTAAACGACAGGTAGTTCTCATCTAGATAACAAATCCGGCAAGACTTGGGTTGTTTTAACGAATTTATCCATCTCCGTCATCTTCAGACAGAACCTTAAAATTGACGTCGATGGATCCCGATCGTTTTCCGGCGAAATTAGTTCGGAGGCTATTCAATGGCTTACATCGACCACGCATTCTCGATATCTGACACGAGGACCTAATGATTGGGACTTCGTATAACCGACCGCCGGTGAAGGAAATCTTCACTCGCGGTGGCTCTCCTCGTCGCGGTGATTGAGACCCACGGTACGATTTCTTGTTTCATCGATACTAATTCTCGCTCTACGTTTGCCACTAGCAGCCATTTGTTTGTTAATCAAAATTAGCTTGGATTGAGACTCTGCAAATGAACAGAGCTCAACTGTTTTTTATTTGTTTCAAAAATCAATTTTTTATAGCTTGAAGGGCTCTGGAAAATTTAAACATTATCTATAGAGAGAAAGACAAAAGCTTTTTTGGGAGAAATGACACGAAAGATACGGAGGTCCATGAGATATATAAGTCGCTAAATTCATACTCCGAAATATCGGCGAGAGTACTATCATTGATCATCTCCGCTAATATCATAATCAACGGTCGCAATCACATTTTGGTGTGTTATCTTTGAACTCTTCTCTGATCTGTTTTTGCTTTGAATTTCCTGCAAATCCCATTTTATAAACACAATCTTTTCTGATAGAAGAATTTAGTAGTCGCGACGAATTCTGATTGTGGATTCATAGGTAGCCTAAATAGTAGATATTGAGATCAAGTTCTTGACAAGAAGCCAAAAACACCACGTGTCTGTCTCTGTCAAATCCCACGTCACGCCAGCCACTAGCATGTGTGTGAAGTTGTGAATATACATTTGCGTATTCAGTTTTACTTAATACATCTTTTTTATTATAAGTGAATGTACTTAGTACTGGTCATCTTACAGAGGATGTTTTACACAGAATATTCGTTTATGGATAATACTATATAGTAGTGTTATTATTATAGACCTCAATTTTGTTTTAACCCCTTCAAGTGGCTGACTCACTATTGTCATCTACCTATAATGGAAACTAATCTGATGGTTATCAATTCATCACAAAAACTGGAAACAATTTTTTTTTCCAGGGGATGCTCTTCAATTTATTGGAGAAAAAGACATAAACCATCTTTCATTTCTTGGTAATAAACCCCACAAACCTTTCTTGCCTAAAGGATCATTATTACCTAGAAAAAAAGTTTGCTCTTTTGTATATTTTATTCTCGTCCTCTGCTTTTCTCTTTTGTATATTTCTGTCTTCTTACTCAACTTTAGCTTCAGGCTTCGTCTCTTTGCAATTTTTGAGGTGGTTGTGAAGAAGAAATAGCCCAGAAAGGAAGATATATGAACATGAAGCTGTCAAAGGAAAGTGATGGAAGCAGAGAACCATTGGTTCACAAGGATACGGCTGAATCAAAACCGGAGCAGCCATGGATGGTTTATCTCAGCACATTTGTTGCAGTTTGTGGCTCTTTTGCGTTTGGTTCTTGTGTAAGTGAATGTCACCAGCTTTGTTAGACCATCACTTAAAAAATTAAAAAAATTACTCTTTGATGAATGTTCTTGGTTTTGATGTTCAGGCTGGATACTCTTCACCTGCTCAGGCTGCAATTAGGAATGATGTTTCTCTGACTATAGCTGAGGTAAAACAACTTCAAGGAGAGAAATACATTTAATTTTGATCATGTATTGCCATTGAAGTTTGCTTGTGGATTCTGCAGTTTTCACTCTTCGGCTCTTTACTGACTTTTGGTGCTATGATCGGCGCTATCACAAGCGGGCCTATAGCTGATTTAATTGGAAGAAAAGGGGTCAGGAAAAATTTTGAAACTTTTTTTTCATCAGAGTTGGCTTTGCGAGACTATGGCTTACTAACTTCTTGTGGATTTGTATCCAGGCGATGAGAGTTTCTTCTGCGTTCTGTGTGGTCGGGTGGCTAGCAATCTTCTTTGCCAAGGTCTTACTCAAGATCCCCAAACCAAAATGTGTATGCTGGTCTCAGAGTTTTGGCTAATGTAACTCTCTTTGTGTTAAATGGTGTCATAATCAAAGGGAGTAGTGCCACTGGACCTCGGTAGACTAGCAACAGGATACGGAATGGGAGCATTCTCCTATGTGGTAAGCGGCATCGAGTTAATTTATCATTTTTTCAGACATCTCCTTATCCAAGTATACAGAGTAACACTCTGTGAATGATATGTTTTTGTAGGTACCAATTTTTATAGCGGAAATTGCACCTAAAACCTTCCGAGGAGCTCTAACCACACTTAATCAGGTAAAGAGAATTTTGTCTCCCTAGTTTTGTGTTAGAGAATTTCTGAGTCCAAGTTTCCTTCTTGTGCCACAGATTATGATCTGCACCGGAGTGTCAGTTTCCTTCATTATAGGCACAATAGTCACGTGGAGAGTGTTAGCACTAATAGGTTAGGATTCTATGTTCTCTAAATAGGACTCCATTGAAGACAAGATCATTTGTTAATCTGAGATGGTACCTTATGGCTTACAGGAATCATCCCATGCGCTGTCTCCTTTCTTGGTCTCTTTTGTATCCCTGAGTCTCCAAGATGGCTGGTAAGACCAGAAGAATCACCATGGAAGCTCATGTGATACTTCATACTTATATGGGTAATATGTGTTTGTAGGCAAAGATGGGGCGTGATACAGAGTTTAAAGCTGCACTGAGGAAGCTCCGTGGGAAGAATGCTGATATATCAGAGGAGGCAGCAGAGATTCAGGTTTTTTTGTTTTTTTTTGTGAATCTTGCATTTTTTTTCTCTTTCTCCTGAATCAAGAAACCATCTCTTGATCTGAAAAACATTATCTCTATCATTCGTTGACAGGATTATATCGAAACTCTGGAAAAGCTTCCGAAAGCCAACATGCTGGATTTGTTTCAGAGGAGATACATACGCTCTGTTCTTGTAATAACACCATACTAAACAACCTTCTTGCAAACCAATTTTTTGCGTCAAGCTGCATATGTGACCAAATTGCATGCTTTGCTGGAGCAGATAGCATTCGGGTTGATGGTGTTTCAGCAGTTTGGAGGAATCAACGGGATCTGTTTCTACACAAGCTCTATATTTGAGCAAGCAGGTTCTTAACATAGTGATTCTTTAATTATATATACTATACAGTTTCACTTGTATCTAATCTACTAACTATCTTTATGTCAGGTTTCCCCACAACACTTGGGATGATAATATATGCTGTTCTTCAGGTTCCTACTTATCTATCTACGAATAAGAGCTCAGTGTCATCAAATGCTTGTATTCTTAATCTCTCTCTCTCTCTCTCTCTCTTGTTTTGTACACAACCAGGTGGTAATCACTGCGCTTAACGCACCAATAGTTGACAGAGCCGGAAGAAAGCCATTGCTACTGGTAAGAAAAGAAAAGAAAAGAGTCTTGGCAAGATTTAGGCAGGACGATTGATTATAACTAACTCAAAGGAGTTGTGTGGTGTTAGGTTTCTGCAACAGGGTTAGTGATAGGCTGTTTGATCACAGCGGTCTCGTTCTATCTCAAGACTCACGACATGGCACCTAAAGCAGTCCCAGTCCTTGCTGTCGTTGGTATAATGGTAAGTCATTAAATTTTACCAAACCAAAACATATTGTTATAATGATAAGAATGGAGAAAGTTGGTTAAGTATTGGTGAGTGAGCAGGTGTACATAGGATCTTTTTCAGCAGGAATGGGAGCAATGCCATGGGTCGTCATGTCTGAGGTAAGTATAAAAACTCCATATCCATGAGGCACAGTTATAAGTTAAAGAGTTATTCACCGAACAAATTTTGTAGATATTTCCGATAAATATAAAAGGAGTAGCAGGAGGCATGGCGACACTAGTGAACTGGTTTGGAGCTTGGGCTGTTTCTTACACTTTCAACTTCCTCATGTCTTGGAGCTCTTATGGTAAAGTAACATAACCCTATATTATCATTCATTCACTTCATGTTTTGAAGTTTACTCTTGCAATGTTTGAATTGAATAAAACAAATGGTTGCAGGAACTTTCATCATTTACGCTGTGATCAATGCGTTGGCCATCGTCTTTGTCATCGTTGTGGTGCCTGAAACTAAAGGGAAGACTTTGGAGCAGATTCAAGCTGTGGTTAATCCATAGTTCCAACAGATTTTTGTTTTCTTTTTGTTCTCTAGATATTTGAATTCATATGTTGGTCATCTATTAGCTCAAGACAAAAATGTATGAATCTTGAATCTCTTCTTTGCTTTTAAGATTCTTCAGTAAAACTATTATCAATAACAGAGAAAATGCAATTCACAGAAATTCTTCATGGAAGTTTAGATTCAAAATGTTTTGTTGATGTAAGAGTATTAAGACTAATGTTTAATTTTGATATAAATTTAGGCTACTTTCTATAAATTTCTGACTTCGGACGCTCTGCCGTTTCAAGGCTGTAACTAAACAACGCGTAGTTCTAGCCTAGATAGCGAATCCGGCAAGACTTGGTTGCTTAAAAATGAAACTAATCAGAAATCTATCTCCTCCGTCATCTTCCGCATTAACTCGTGAAAGAAGCAAAAGAGTTTGATTTCGTCTTCGAGCTTACGATCTTTGAATTGACGTCGTTGTGGTTCTAATCGTTTTCTGGTGAACTTGATTTGCGGAAAGGCTATTCGATGGCTTACGTCGACCACGCGTTCTCGATATCGGACGAGGACCTAATGATTGGGACTTCGTACACCGTCAGTAATCGACCGCCGGTGAAGGAGATCTCACTCGCGGTGGCTCTCCTCGTGTTCGGCACCTTAGGAATCGTCTCCGGTTTCTTCATGGCGTACAATCGAGTCGGCGGTGACCGAGGCCACGGTACGATTCCTTATTCAATTGCAACTAATTTTCGCTTGCACGGCTCAGTTTGCTCGTCGTTTGCTGGTGTCTAGACGAGTTATTGCTAATCAAAAGTAGGTTAGGCTGATGAAATAGTTGATAATATGGCTAATTTCATAATACTGCTTCTTGCTTATGTGTAATTAATTCATGTATTGGTTTGTTCTGGGAGATTTAGCCATTTAAGGAATATCTTGAGAAATTTTGAGGAAATTGTATCAGTTAGCAAATGGTGATCCTAATTGCTAAGATTTTCTTCTTGTCAGATTGTAGTCGAAATCCATAAAATTAATTCCTCTGAGCTCATCTTGATTGTTTCCAGTTAAGAAATGTGTTTGAATAGTTTCTAAAAACTTGTGCTTTTGCAATATATACTGATCTTCTCTGCTAGCCTGAAGTTAAGCCTGAAAAACTTGTTATTGCATTGATGCATGTTACACATTTGTGTACTGCTATGTTAAACAAAGCGTTCTGCATCAGATTCTTAGTATAGTAAAAATTGATTGATTTTCCTTACCATTGCAAGAAACCATCACTTGTTTCTCACTGTCACATAAACAACTGATCGTTTCTATCTTGTGTAATGTGTTCTTGGGTTCTTTATTCGGACTTAAAGACTCACTCCTTTCTCTTTTCTCTCTTTTGGTTGTTGGTGGTGGTGGTGAAACAGGGATTTTCTTCATCGTGCTGGGGTGTCTTCTGTTTATCCCGGGGTTTTACTATACAAGGATTGCATATTACGCTTACAAAGGATATAAAGGCTTCTCCTTCTCAAACATACCATCCGTTTAACACCACCGTGCAATGCAATGGCTTCTTATCTTTAGTGTGATTTTTACATGACTTGGATGGTCCTTGTATGATATATGTCTCTTTTGGTTTCTTATTCTCTTATGTTAGATCATTAGCCACTGTGTAAATATATGTACCACTTGAACATTGTAACAGATAAGACAAAACTAATCAATCACAGGTTAATGATTTGGTGTGTTTAGTTAAATAGTAGAAGGAGAGATGAACCAGAATGGTATAGAATCTAGAATAATAGCAGAGGTGATTTAACGTTTGAAAAACCCATGAAATGCTAAACTAGTTTTGGACTTTTGGTAGATGAATGAAATTTCGTTTTAACACAGTAGAGGAATAGCAAGAAATATACGCAACAAAAGAGTAAGCACAATTGATATCTTTCCAAAAGAAAAACCAACAATTGATATTCTTCCGGTTTGATATTCTTCTCGCCGGCTCAGTCGTTGCATTCGTTTAATTTTTTTCTCTCAAAAGCTCCTCCTGGAGGGAGGTTAGCTCATCTGCGAGTTTCATTTGTTTTTTGTGCTCTATCTTACACTTCTCGTAATCTGAAACCAAGTAAAAGAGAGGATGAATTGTTGGATTTGATTTTTTATTTTTTTGATTTCTCATAATCAACCAGTCCACTTACCTATCACACTGTATGCAATGTATCCAGCGATAGTGGACATCACAAAAATCATGGGATGGCCCCACCTGGGGTTGGTAACCTGCAAAAAAAAATCAAACAAACGGAAAACGTTGGATTCGAGCGAAATCGGTGAGATGAGAAAATTGGGGAAGAACGAAACCAGAAGAAAAAAAATCAAAAACGTTGAATTTGAGCGAAATCGGTGGGATGAGAAAATTGGGGAAGAAGAAAAAAAAAAAAAAAGCTGATTTGAGTGAGCTCAGAGCTGACAATTTAATACCTTCGAGCTCAATTTCTTCATCTTTTTTTTTTAGGGATTTTTTCTCTCTCTCTCTTTCGCTTTCTTTGCCCGATGGCGATTATGTTGAATTGTTGATGCCACAAATTGTGAATGGTAAAAGGGTTCATATTCCATTTTTCTAATAAATAGAAAATTTAACGCAAAAATTGTGTAAGTACGACTCTCGCCTTACCGGATCTTTGTAATTACGAACCCAACCAGAGTTTTGCCCACCCAAACCCTTATACCTGACCCGATCCACCGATAGATTATTGGGAGGGATTATTAGAGTTTGTGATACAAAAGGATTTTGCAAATAAAAGAGTTCATATGCCATTTTTCTAATAAATAAATTTCTGTACGCTTTATGTTGTTTTAAATACAAAAACTGAGTAAGTAAGGTATTAAAGAGTTCGAGTACTTTTATTTAACTAGAATAAAAGAGAGAGAGAGAAAAAACATGTTGACACATGGTTTTGTGTCATCATATAGTTAGCTTCTTTGATTTCTGAATCAGAAAATGGTGAATTGTTTGAAAACAGAGATCGATGCAGAAAGTTATACCCTCCCTCCCAAGCCGGTATGTTGTTGTTTTTGTCTGAACAATTGTTGGTTATTTGTTTCTTGCATCATCTTGTATTTGTTTTCTTCATTGTGCTCGGGTGTCTTCTGTTTATCCCGGGGTTTTACTATACAGGGATTGCATATTACGCATACAAATAATATAAAGGCTTCTCCTTCTCAAACATACCATCCGTCTAACACCACCGTGCAATGCAATGGCTTCTTCTCTTTAGTGTGATTTTTACATGACCTTGGATGATCCTTGTATGATATATGTCTCTTTTGGTTTCTTATTCTCTTATGTATGATAATCTTTTGTATAATATAAAGGTTTCTTATGATCATTAGTCTTGGGTAAATTTATGTACCACTTTCATAATTGTATCAGATAAGACAAAACTAATCACAGTTAATGATTTGCTGTGTTTAGTGAATAATAGAAGGAGAAATAAAGCAGAATGGTATAGAATCTAGAATAATAGCAGAGGTAATTTAACGTTTTGTTCCCTGTAGAAAAACCCATGAAATGCTAAACTAGTTTTGGTAGATGAATGAAATTTCGTTTTAACACAGTAGAGGAATAGCAAAAAAAAACTCGATTACAACAAAGACAGCAAAAAGAGATGTTAAAACTCAAAAAGACCAGAAACATAAGAGATGTTTTGGTAGACAATTGGTCAACTAACATCACAAAGGAACAAAGATAGAGAGGAAGGCATCAAAGAGAGTACAGAGAAGACAAGGCAAGGCCTTAAGATGGAGCTAAGCCCTAAGAGATATGCATTTATCAGTGATGCATGAAATCCCAGCGACATTGGTCATTTCACAGAAATATACGCAACAAATGAATAAGCACAAACAACTACAAAATCAGATGGCAAAGAACTATTCAGAAACAAACCATAAACGTTGAGCCACAACCATGATTGCAAAACAGTCATTATTCCAAAAGAAAAAACCATAAACGTTGAGACACAAACATGATTGCAAAAACAGTCATTATTCCAAAAGAAAAACCGAGTATCTCTCGTACGTGGGTTATCTTCTTGTTCATTTCATACTCTCTCAACGACCTTGCACTAGCGTTGTTTAGCCTCTTTCTCCTTAAGCCATTCTTTGTTGTAACTGATACTCGTGATAGTTCTCTGGGAACAATAGAAGATGAATGTTAGTATAAATATACTTAAAACCAAAACTGGAAAAAACTGATTTAATGTCTAATTACCTCTTGCCTTTCCAGAATGTAGGGCAGACGACTGCGATATGTGCGCGAAGCTGTGCGAGGGAGCAGAAAAAAAAAACATAAAAGAAGGTTAAGCAAGTAAATCTGGAACTTATTTTGATCATAATCATAATCATTTCACCACATACCGAATTGATATCCCAATGTCAATCCGACCGTTCCAATTGTCACTACCTTCACCGCAAGTTAAAAAAAAAAAAAAAAAGCATTAACATCAATCATCTCAGAAAGGAAAAAAAACGAATACGATCATCAAGCTTATGTTCTAGAGCTGTCCAACGTATGTTCCGATTGCCACTGATACCTCTGCAATTATCAATGTCTTCATCTTCGGTTAGGGTTTTTTTCCTCTCTTTCGTTTTCTCTGCCCGATGACGACTTTTGCCTTTTTTTTTATTTAGGATTCTTTTTAATTAATTATATATTTTCATTTGTCTTGATGTTATTATTATATTCAGCAGGTACGTTAATTTCATTTTTATTGGATTTTATTCTTTTCTTTTACAAATTTAATAGGCGGATTTAAACAACATGGGCCTAGGCAATAAAATTATAAGAGAAGCTTAACCAAAATGAGAAATGTAATATTTAGGGTTCCGACATTTGACAACAAAAAAAACAAAAGGGAGCGGCGGAGGAAAGCGTCGAACAGCAAGGAAAGGATGACGAAAATTTCTGATCTCTCAGTGGATATGGTCGGAGAGATTCTGTCTAGGGTTCCACTAACATCTCTAACCGCAGTGCGATCTACTTGTAAAGCCTGGAACGATTCATCGAAAACTCAGGTTTTGGGTGAAAATGCAGCAAGGAAAGATCAGTTTCTGGAGATCAAGGCTATAGGTAAAAGTGTTTTTTCATTGAGGTTCGATCTCCAAGGATTCCGTAACGACAAAGATGAAAGACACTTGACTGATCCATCCATGAAGCAAATAAGTATACCTAATCACCAAGACGAGATATATAGCGGAGTCAATCACTGCGACGGCTTATTGTTATGCTTCATATCCAAAGACGACACCTTTAGGATCTTGGTATGGAATCCGTATTTGGGTCAAACCAGGTGGATCCGACAGAGACGCATAACCGAACAAAATGATGATTATGCTCTCGGATACGGATACAACAAGAACAACAACCGTAACTACAAAATCTTGAGGCTCTTTTATGGATTCGGTGACAAGAAGAAAGGTATTGAAGTCTACGACCTAAGCTCTGATTCATGGAGGGTTATTGATGCCGGTCCCGACTGGCATGAACTGTTTGATTATGCTAAAGAAAGCGTGTCTGTCAAGGGAAATGCATACCTTCACTGTGTTCTGAACTATAACGATTTTTTGGTGTGTTTTGATTTTACAAAAGAGAGATTCGGACCGCGTCTGCCTCTGCCCAATTCTGACAATGGTACTGAGACTCTATCTTGTGTTAGAGATGAGAAGATTTCCGCCTTACATACCCATAAGGACACGCCCCAGATAGTAGAGATTTGGACTTCGACTAAAACTGAGCCCAATGCGGTATCGTGGAGCCCTTTCTTGAAAGTGGATATGACTCTAGTGAATGCTTTTCCGGGTGGGTTTTTGGATGACTTTCGACCTATTAGCTTTTTCATTGACGAGGAGAAGAAAGTCGCTGTGCTTTTTGATTTACTCCACGATTACGAGACCGGTTCTTGTTACTACCGAATGGGTTACATCTTTGGTAAAGATGGATACTTCAAATATGTCACATCCGGACTAGTTTTGAATCACGACTGGAATCCTTATTATAGTCTTGTGTGCTCTTCTTACGTTCCAAGTTTAGTGCAAGTGCAAATCAACCAACCGGACGACACGAAAGAAAGAAACCAACAAGAAGAAACACAAGAGGAAATCAACCAACCGGACGAAAGGGAAGAAACAAACCAAGAAGAAGAAACAATAGAGGAAATCAAACAGCCAGAGGAAAGGGAAGAAACAAACAAACGAGAAGAAACAATAGAGGAAGTCGACATCAACCAACCAGAGGAAAGGGAAGAAACAAACCAACAAGAAGAAACAATAGAGGAAATCAACCAACCGGAAGAAAGGATAGAAACAAAAGAGCAAAGGAAAGAAGAAACAAACCAGCCGGGCAAAAATCAAGAAAGAAACCATCCTGGAAAAAGCGAAGAGCAAATCAACAAGGAAAGGAGAGAAAGAAACAAACGGAGCAAAATGAGGAAAAGAAACCAACGGGTCAAAAGGAAACAAAGAGGTGATGATCAGTCGCTTCCATATTCATTACCTTTCTTGTTCCTTGCGTTATTCATTTCTTCCTTTGTTTTTTTCTTCTTTATTTTCTTGTCGATGCTTCTATAAATTTGTGATTTGCTACTATCCAGTAAACAAGAGGATCGCCTTAATTTCATGAAACCTTTTAAGTGATTAGTCTCTCTGTTATTGTATTTTAAAAATAAGTAGGTTAACATAAATGATAAGTAAGGAGCCAGCTCTTGACAACAATTTAGTAAACTAGAATAAAAGAGAGAAAAACATGTTGACACATGGTTTTGTCATCATATGGTTAGCTTCTTTGATTTCGGAATCAGAAAATGGTGAATTGTTTGAAAACATAGATGCAGAAAATTAAATCACCCTCCCTCACAAGCTAGCCGGTATGTTGTTGTTGTTTTTGTCTGAACAATTGTTGGTTATTTGTTTCTTGCAACATCTTCTATTGAACAAGGCTTCATTTGGACTAACCAAGACGTAGTTGATAATAAGTTAATAACTAAATATCACTTTTTTCCAGTGAATAGTTTGAAGCTCACATCTATAAGAAACGTTATCCATCGTTCTTTGGATTTGACAAGATTTTTTACAAAATGAATTGTTGTATGTGTTCTCTTGTGGTGTGATTTTACGAGTACATGCGTTGAATCAGTGTTATCTATTTGGTTCTAGTTTCTGTAACACAAAGGATATACCATCCAGCAGAATTTGCTATCCCATGCAAATGCAATAAACACCGAGTAATTGTTGAATGGTACGTTTGATGCAAAACAACATCAACGAGAATAATGAGAAGCATTTCACGGTGGATACAACAGATCACTGCATGCCATTTCCCATATCAAATGAAAATTAGTGATATGTTCAGTGGTATATCAATAATTATGAAACAAAATTATTATGTGATAGTCTCTGTTGTTCTATTATAAAAACAGAGACTATAGTGTACACATGAATGCTATCACATTATTAAACTTTGGACTTGTTCTCTGTTGATTTCTTTTAGATTTGAGGCTATTTGATGTTCATTCAATAGCCGCTTTGGTTCGGTTTTCATGCTTAAACCAAAATTAAATCAAGCTATCGCACCGTTTTACATTTACAGTTTAAAAAACCATGTCGTTTTCAACACTCCGAAACAGCGTGGCGTTTGACACTTCGATAAACAAATCCTTGCATATGTTTTAAACCCTAGTTTGTTAACTGGTCTTAAACCTCCATCTCCGATCTCCACTTTCCCAGAATTCGATTTCTCCTCCAAAATCTTTCCCCAAAATTCCACTCTCAGATAATCGGAAGAAGGAAGACGATGGTTTGGTTTCAATGCGAGGACTGTGGAGAGAATCTGAAGAAGCCAAAGCTCCCGAGTCACTTCAGGATGTGCAGAGCCACGAAGGTCTCGATTTTCAAATTTCTAGTTTCCATCTTCTCTAAATTGAATCTCTTTGATGATTCTTCAGCTAAATCTCTTCGCTTTTGATTGCTAATCAAATAGTTATCGTGCATCGATTGTGGGGAAATGTTCGGGAAAGATAGTGTTCAAGGACACAACCAGTGCATTACCGAAGCTGTAAGTAAATTTACCTTTTTTTTATCAATCTGGAACAAAAAGAGCTTAGATTTTAAGTTTTTGGCCATATATTGGATTGTAGAGATTGAAGAATTTTTGTTTTGATTTGATGATATTTAGGAGAAATATGGTCCAAAAGGGCAGTCAAAGCCATCCAATGGCACACCTGCAAAGCCAAAGGACAACTCTAAGCAACAACCAGACTTTGATATACATGTTGGCTTATCAAATGGATATCCATGGTTTTGTAGGTATGTATATATTCAATTTTAGCTAATGTGGACTTTTGTTTTGAAATGTAATGCTGAATCTGTGAGTTATCTTGTTGGTGAGAATTTATGGTTTTGAGTATTTTTTTTATCTGTTTGTTTGTAGCTTGTGTAACACAAAGGCTACTAGTCAGCAGACTTTGCTTGCACATGCTGAGGGGAAGAAACACAGAGGAAAAGCGAAAGGGTTCCATGCTAAGCAACAAGAAGCAGAACAATCTACGATGGAGAAGAAGGATGCAAGCGAAAATGCTTCTAATGGCGATTTGGAAGAGAAGAAAGAAGACGTACCTGTTTCTTCCTCGGTTGTTGCGAATGGAGACTCGCATGTGGAGAATGAGAAGAAGAGAAAGCTAGAGACTGTAGGTGTTCAAGCTGAAGAGTCGAAAGGAAGTGAAGTAAAGAAAGCGAAGAAGCAGGACAATGAGAAGAAAATCAACTGGAAGAAGTTGATCACATCGGCTTTGAAATCTGTAAGTATCACCTATTAACCTCACTGATTCTCTCGTTTTTTTCGATTTCACTTGCAATATCCGATATCACCAAATGCAATGTGAATACGTAATGTAACACATGTATGAATTCGTATTTGATACAGAACGAAGATAATACTTTGAAGATGAAGAAACTGAGGAAGCTCGTGCTGGAATCTCTTGTGGATTCAGGGATAACTCGTGACAAATCCGAAGTCAATGCAGAGCTAGAGCTAAAGGTCAGACAAATCTTACTCTGCCTGGTTAAGTTGCAATCATACAACGATCTCTTGTCCATTTAGAAAGATATTCACTTAAAAGTGTGTTTTGTTGTTTTCTTTCTTGCAGGTTAACTCGAGCTCTAGATTCACGGTTGATGGCAAGTACGTGAAACTTGTGGCTAAAGATTGAAATCTAATTCTTGAGACAAGCAAGCAACCTTAACTTGTCCCCCGACTCAAATTCGGATTTTGTCTGTCACATTTTTGCCATATGATTCGTTATCATTACTGTTTGTAACAATTTTGGATCCTTATTAAACTATCGTATTTTCTTGGAAAAACAAAGTGTTCTAAAGTTAAACCAGAGTATTGTATATTTTGGTTGAATCAGTTTTGAAGTCGACTTTTATTTTGGTTAAAAAGTACAAGAGACCTTCACGAGCATACACAAACTCGAGACCTTTTATGGAATATCAAGCATACTGTAAATTTTATTGAGGAACATAAATGTATGTACAGAGATACAATGGTTGAGAGGTTAAGAAAGCTACCAAAAACCCAAAGATCAAAGAAGAAAACCTCCATTTATGTGTATATATCACTACAATATCACCATCATCACTCCTTTTTCCTTTCTTTCTTTCTTTCCGCTACAAAAGCTTTTTACAGCCGGAAGTTTAACTACTAAAAATCGGGGTTATAAGAAGACGAAAAATAAGCGTAAGAAGAAGATGATGATGGTGGAGAAAAGAATCTATATTACCTAAATTTCTGGAGCTAACATCCGAATAAACCATTCCCCAGTAACTGGTCATTCGTTCAAGGGAGCAAAAATTTCTTTTACCTTTGGGCTTCTGTTTGTTGTTAACTAGTACCAACAAGACTATACAGTTATAGATTGAGTGAGAGGGAAAGGTAACCTCATAACTTGATGTTGAGCCCTGAGAGATCATCCATTGGTATTCCAAGCTCCAGGATATCGAAATCTTCTTCGTCTTCCATGTTAAACCATGAGCTGATATCACCTGGTTGCGCATCAAAATCATCTGGACCTCCTAAGCAATCCGGTATTTGTAGCTGAGATAAGTCGAGAATCGGCTCTGTCTCCTCCAGTGCCTCTAAGTTGTTGTACTCGTTGTTTGCTTCACTCGATTTAGGTAATGTTGCTTTGGGTTGCTCCGGGCTCCTAACAGATGAAGAAGATATCTGAGTTGTTTTCTGCTTCGGTTTTGCTTTGGGTTTTCTTTCACCCTTAGCATTGGACAGGGAAGGCCGGCCGATCTTATTGGTTCCGCTTCTAGATGAAGCCTGCCCTTTCCCATCTCTGTCCCTCTCACTTCTCTTTCCCTTTGTACTACTTGAGAGTTGTGTCCCAACACCGACATCATCAAGCAGCAACTCTCTCTTCTTGACCCTATTGGACCATTCTGTGTCTTCTCTCGCCATTGTTTGTTCTAGTAAAGCATTTTCAGATGGTACAGCATTGGCATAGTTCTCCAAGTTCTGCCCAATGCGTGCCAACGAAGAGCTTGGCTGTGAGCCAACTGGTGCTGTCAGGGAAAAGAAAGAGAGATACAAATTAGCAGAGCGAATATGGATTTACAAAAGAGATTTTCCTTATTTATCTATGGCAATAGATCGTACTTGAAGTCGACGGATTACACTCCTTGTCTGTAAGGGCATCTTCGGCTGTTGCCAACCTGGCAATGAACATATCCTTAATCTCAGGATCACTGAAGCAGCTTTTGCCCGTCTCCTCAAATTGGTGGCATCGTCCAAGCGTCCTTTTAACAGAAGCCATTGCAGCCTGCTTTGATATCTTGTTATTGGAATTCTTTCCACCAGCGTTGTGATGACGCCGACTTGCCTGTAAAAGAAATGAGACAGAGTTATCAACAAAGAACCTTGGAGTTAAGCAGGTAAGTGAATTGGCAACGCCAGGGAAGCAAAAGAAAAAGGCCTGTATAATAGCAAATTGTGGGACGATTACTTTACCTTGCTTTTCTCATATGCTATTTCGATGAGTTTATCATAACCAAGCTGATCAAACTCCCTACGTTTAGGGGACAATACAGATCAAAACCGTTAGACTATATAATCCAGATCCACAAAGGCCTGCACAAAAAGTGAAGTAAGGGAAAATTCATACTTCTCCTGAATTTCTTTCATCTCTATGGCAGGCTTTAGTAGCCTTTCCACCATCTCTTTCTTCTTGGAACCCTGAAAAAATAACATAGACACCATCAAACGGTGTTTTTCTCTGGAGAAAGTAAACATGGGACACAAAAATATGGCTTTTAGTCCTTTTACAAGGGTTGCTTAAGAAATGTCAGAATCCCCCTAAGTAGCCCGCAAGGGAGACAAGAAAACCATAATAAATCGATATAGTGTTTGATGAGAAAGATACCTCCTTGCAGATAGCCTCCTCCATCTTTTTGATTTCGTCAACAATTCCTTCATCCTCCATGTTTGAGATACTAGGCTGTACGAAAACACAAGAACAACATATCAAGTCGCAAGAAACTTCAGCAACAAGAGCCTAAAGTACATAGCAGTAACAAGTTTCGAAATAACTAAGATACTAGACTGTATACCATTGGTTCTATGGATAATCCAATGGACTGAGCTTCCAGATAAATCTTTTCATCTATCCCCAATTTATCATATTGAATGTCTAAGAAGTCTATGGGTGAATAATCTGAAAATTTTCCATTGCAGTGGTGGGCTGACTTATTAAAACTCTTGTACAGGATTGCAGACCCATCATCTTCTGATTCATCAAGATCCAGTCTTTCATTGTTTCTAAACCCATTGAAGTCCACCATATTATTCAGAACACTGAATTCTGAGTCATCATCAAGATCATGCATGGCCCCAAATCCATCAACTTGTATATCTTCATTTACACTGATCGAGTCCTCAGAAATCAAAGCTGATAGCAATCTCTGGTAAAGTGGAGAAGCCTTGAAATCCACTCTGCTAGTTGCAAGTTCTTCAGGACATAAATCACGGCTATCAAAGTCAGAGGATGACATAACGGGTGAAGGAACCACGGAGGATAGTTCTCCCTGAAGGAGAGGAAAATAAACAGTATATTATTAACTAGCTAAAATGTATTGAAGTTAACATCTCATTCGCTTTCTTAATGCTACAAATAGTGCTCTATATCAAATCACGTATAAAAACAAATATAGCAACACTTGACACCATTAATTTAGTTCTTTGGGATTTTCTTGTTTCCCTTTACCTTTACATTAGTGGGGTGAAGACAATGTCAAATTATTGCTACTCATATCCATATATAAATATATATATAAAAATTCTTGTAGCACATACCTAATTAACTATACTTGCTTGAGCCGAAAAGAACAACTAGACTATTAGTTCAGGAGGTCGAGTGTGAATAGTAATTGCCCACTAAGGATGTAACTGTAAACCCCTTAACTGTGAGATCTGAAAATGAAGTAAAAGGTATCACCTCGTGTTTCATGAAACTGATATGATCATCAGATATAAAGCAGAAATAGCGCTCCATTTGCTTCCAGAAAGAGTTGGGAGAATTCAGAGCTGCATTTACAGCTGAGTTGACAGCTGCTTGTAGCTCCTCATGGCCATCATCTGAACCGGCTAAGAAATGTAACCAATGCATAAATAAAGGAATAAAACAAAATAAATAGAGCCAACAAAGCAATTCAAATTCAACTAAACTTATTTTACCATGAAAATCTAGTGGTGAAGCATTTGTTGCCGTAGCTCTCTGACGTTTGTATGCCTTGCGATCAGATAGTTTCCTAGTAGGTGGACGACCCACCTTACTGCACAGAACTCATGTAGAAATTTATGAGATAAACACCATGGACTCCAACAAACACTTAATCACGCAAGAAAGAAAGATATCTACCTTTCACTCTTGTCAAAAACAGGTCTTGCACTGCGGAGTTGTTTTGCTGTTCCAGCATTCTTACGTCTCTCTGCTCCCATTGGGTTGAGAGACCTTGTAGAGGAAAAGCCACGGCCCGTCCTTCCTTGCCTTCTCACACCATCTCCAATCTCTTCACCAGAAGTAGGCTTGTTACCTTTTCTTGATTGTGAAGCAGGGATGGACACTTTAGGAATATTCTGTGCAGCTTTTCCATCAACCTCATCAGACTGTTTCCCCTTGTCTCTAGACTTGATCTCAGGGGCCCCAGATTCCTCACTTTCTGATAAAGCTGCTGTAGAGAAGCTGCTTTCACCTTTTAGTTTCAATTGAGGAGAAGCAGCAGCTGGTGAGCGTTTGTGAAATCCAAACCCAGTTTCGCTACAACCAGCATCTGATATATTATCTGAGTAGGGAACTTCATCCTTATTGGAAACAATGGGGACTAAATTCGTCCTTCTTGCTTGACGGGATATCTTTTGAGGTCTTTGACTGGCCCATTGAGCGACAGGTGGTGGTGAAGACCGATTTGATGTCATACGCTTGCGATGTGTAACCCCTGACAACGGTGGAGGCTTACTTGTACAGCCGGAGATATCCCAGTCACTAGGGGACGGAGTATTATGAACTCCTGGAGACAGTTTTGGTGGTAGACCGGTTCCTGATCTAGGCCCGCGAACTGAAGCATTTGTTTTTGTGTTTGAAACCAGACTTGAAGAATTGAATTCATCATGGATATTGGACCTTCAAAGAATCCAACAGAGTTATAAGTACATAGTACAATAATCAGAAACAACAAGGCGCATGTGAGTATAACACCTACTTGTTGGGAGCTCTGAGATTCACCCTTTCCTTATCTGAGCCAATGGAGCGTTCTTTCTTCTCATTGTATACATGATTATGATCAGAATCGACCCTTGATAGTGGGGGCTGCCCAGCCAAGCTCGTCTGCTGAGAGAGGTTATCAGATCTTCCATACACAGTAGCTCCATTACCAGCAGTTTGCCTACAAAAAAAAAAAGAAACCAAACATGAAATATCGGCATAGGACATTGTATGTTGATTGCAGCAAAATACAAACAACAGGTGATACCTTAACATGCTCGAGTCACCATTCAATCTCGACCGGGGGTCAACCATTGGCTTCTGTTGTGTGCCTTGCTTCAAGTCTCGGTAACTATCAACCACTTTATTTGAAGCCGGGTTAGGCTGAGAGTCCGTTTTAATACAAGAGCGTTTTTTCTTCATCTTCGAATTTTCCCAGCCATCAATACCAATTGAAGTTCGATCGTCCCCTTGAACTGCATTGTGATTTGCCAGCCGCATTATTTCTTTATCTCTGTCTACAGCAGCTGACTGTCGAACAATAGAATTGCTTCGAACATCCATCTGAACCACAAAATAAAGAGACTTAGGTTTTCTGAAGCAATAGTTACGCGCTCAATGGAAATTTATCAAAGTTTCAATGACGAATCTTCTATTTCATATCCCAAAACTACCAGTGTAAATTTTTTGGTTCAAAAGATCCACCTTTCTAGTAATCCATAGCATGCGCAGTAAAATGTGAAATAGAAAAGTGCCTTATAACATATAAAGCTTGTTGAAGTACGAACCGTGATATCAACTCGATACGGGTAAGGTCATACACTAAAGGAAGTTATGCAAAAAAACAAAATACCAGGAATTACCATGGAAGTACGTGTTCGCTTATTTGGAACACCAGTTTTAGGTCGTTCATCCAACTTTTGCTGGTCAAGCTCAAATCCACCAGCTAGGTTCTGACCTTGAATTCCCATTTTACCTAGGCCTGGTCCTGATACCAACCGCTCACCAGAAAACCCTTCTGGTCGAGACCTCTTCTTCGTAGGCACACTTGGAAAAAACTTGTTGAATACAGAAGAAGCTTCGTTGAAAATTTTAACGCGCTCCCTGTGACAAAAAGAAACAAAGAACGGTAAATGAGCAAGAAGAGTACTTCAAACACAACTGACTTGTGGTAGTTAAACTACCTGGCTTTCACATTGTTTTCTCGCAGACCAGCTTTTAGTCTTTTGATCTCTTCCGCTATAGGAGATGGAATCAACTTCGCTTTCAACGCTCCAATAGGAGACTCATCTCCTTCTATTCCAAGCGCAATATTCACTTGCCGCTTAAAGTCACCTTGACGTATAGACTTATGATCTGCGGCAACCACCTTAGGATCAAACCGCAAACACTGAAAGAAGTTTGTTACGTCGGTTTGTGCTATTGGTGAAGTGCTCCTCAGCAAGTTTGGATGAGACAGGACAGGATGTTCCATGGTCTCGCGGAAGCTACTAGATCTTTCCATCTGTGAGGCGAAGTTAGATCTGTATAGAGGCCTCTCTAGCACACTAGATGAATAATCAAACTTCCCAGGTGCTGACATTCCTTCAGCTCTCGAATGTCTTATGTTAATCTGTAGCACATAAATGCTAATTATTCAGCTCTCATATAGTTGAGTTAAGGTTGCGCCTGAAATGTGACAAATGGAATAAAAAGATCAGTGAACGCCATAATGAAACTAATCTATACAAAGTTAAGAACTAAAGCCAATGAGGGAATACATTAATTAAATAAATCAGCAATTTTACACACGAAAAAAAAAATTGAAAACCTTTGGGAAATTTTGAAAGTGAACTAAGCAATAATTGAGATGATATCGAAACTGTTCTAACATTGATTCCGTGAACTATAATTGATATTCAGGTGAAAAACTGATCAGCATTGTGCAGTAATTATGAAAATAGATTCGCCAATTTGACTGAAATACAAATTTGAACTGATCATCTCCAAAGATTGATACTTTCACCATAATTTAACTTCATTACCAAAACTCAACATTGAAATAAGAAGTCACGAACTCAGATAATCCTTGGATACTTCAAATTTTAAACCCTAGGAAAGAAAAACTAAATTTGAAGAAATGAACTAGCAAAATCTTCAATAAGCAGTGTAATCAACAAAAATTTACCAGAAATAAAACCCTATAATCAGGATCAAAGTTCAAATGTTGAACAAGGAAACGAAACCCCGTACCTCGAATCTAAATCCGCGGCAATGGACAAAACAAAAATCCGCAAAACAAAACTCGTTCCCAAAATCAGAGATTTAGAGGATTGGATCGTTTCAAGTAGGAGTAGGTAAAGAGCTTGAAATCGAAATGAAGCAACGTTCGTGCAACAGCCATGAGAGGACGGAATCGAAGCGGAATCAAGGCTTCGTTTCGTTGCTGTTTTTGATCGGCGATGAAACCACGACTGTCGAAATTACGTATTTACCCAACGTTTAACCCCTGAGAAATACATCGTCTTCAAGGTGAAAGTAAGGGTACGTTGGTAAAATACGTGGCGAGCCGGCTCGAAGCAACTATGGGCCTCTGGCTTTTTTTTTCCGACCAATGGCAGTTTTACTGTCTACAAAAATTATCAAAATTAGTTTTTTAATAGACAAAAATCATTAACCTAAGGATTTTTTTCTTATTATACTATTGAAATGAGTTGCAAGTCCTTTTTACAATTAAACGACAGTAAAAATATAAGGTATTTTACTCATTACATCATTTGAAAATATAAAGGTTTGCATATTATAGTTTTACAAGTGATTTGGCTACTTCTGTAGCTGACAAATGTTAGATTTAAGATCTTTTTTTTTCTTTACCAAAAAAAAAGATTTATCTTTCAAGTTTTAGTTAGGAGAAATGAAAAGAGCAAATGTAAATAAATATCTAGTATGTATAAATTTAAATTTGAGAAGAGCATAACATATAATTTAAGTTGGATTTACATAAAACGAATTAGAGTTTTCTCGACTAAATTATTTTGTTAAGAGTACACATTTTGGCGTGTTTTCCTAATCAGATTTGAAATGATTTTTTTATTTTTTTGTTAATAAGAGCATAATAACAATATTTATAAGCAAGACCAGAAAAGAAGACAATCAAATACCCGCTCAGTTAAAAAAAGTTTTCATTTTATTTTTTTGGATGTTGCTAACAGTAAATAACTAGTAAAAAATGGCGCGCAAAAAACGGCTGGAAACTGCCACAAGCAAAAAGGGCCGTACAAGAAAAACGCCAATTCTGAGCAGATACATAAATCGCCAGGGGAAAATAGCAGCTGCGGAAAAAGAGAGAGAGAGAGAGAGATTTCTCAAAATATTCTCTTCTCTCTGCAACTTCAAGCAACTATGTATATTTGAGGAAAAATGTTTCATGGATCAAGAAAAGGAAAAAAAAAAAGTTGCAGAGTATTGCTCTGTAGAAGAAAGACCATGACTCATCAAGAGTTTGGCGCAAGAAAATAATTGCTGTCAAGCATCATCAGTTGAGATTTTTGTGTAATCAATTGCAGAATCACCTGAGAGTTAAAGAAATGAAAAAATTAAAGCACAAAATTTTAGTGGAAAAGCTATATGTTTTTGATTTACACAAGGCTTACTTCGGGTGGAGTCAGTTGATGATCTTGGTGGCGAAATGCTTCCTTTGATATCTACATTCATATTTTCAAGAAACTATGAGAAACATAGCTCAGAAGAGAAATGGCGTAAAGAAGAAGATAAAACAGTTTTTGCACCTAAAGAACGTCGAGCTCCACGGACAGCATCAAAGTTTCTGTATGTATAGCCCACAAAATTGATGTTTTGTGGAGTTATATTCACCTAAGATCAAAATACAAAGTTTCAAAAGATCGATTAAGAAGAGAGCAAGAATCATCCATCATATATATAAGATTGTGTTATGAGAGTTTTGGTACCTTCCATGACGGTCCAGATCCTGTTCTTGCTGGTCTTGGACACTCCACCTAATTAAATCAAGAATCAGAAGATGACACAAGATCATATTTGTAGTGATAATAGTCCTTGAGGTATGCGAATCTTCTTACCTCGTCGAATTTCATGAAATTCTGAGTATCAAGTTCTCCATTAACCACAGGCTTAAAAGCTGCATCCATCTCATAGAGTCTCTTCCATATCACTTCTTTGAACCAAGGATGAGCCTATACATGTGTTCTTGTTTTGTCAACAAATGGATATAAACAGAGAAAAAGACAAAGACAAAAAAGTGTTTGTTTTATATTAAACATACTTTGATTTGCTCTGCTCCGGCTCCATTAGAACCAAGCCTATGCTCAGAGTCACAAAGCAAGTTACAAATGAGATGTCTTGCTTCAGGTGTTATCCTTGCGTCATCAGGGAACACCAAATGAGTTCTCCAGCTCACAATCTAAATTCCGTCAACCAAAAACATTGGAATAACTCACACAATGTCAGAGAGAAAGAACAGTAACAGAGAAATTTAGTAGCAAAGAGACCTTTCTACATGTTGTGACAGGATCATCGGAGTAAAATGGGGGATAACCAACAAGCATCTCATACATAATGGCTCCCAAAGACCACCTGCACTCAAATAAATGTGTTTGAGTCGATGAAAGGAATTAGAAAATGTTTAAGTTATGAAGTAGCAAGAAAAGATAAAGAGCTGATCATGGAGGCAGAGTTCTGTGGTGACTCACCAGTCACACTCGACACCATATCCCTTCTTCAGCAACACTTCAGGTGCAATGTAATCGGGAGTACCAACCGTAGAATATGCCTGTTTCATGACATGAATCCAAAGGAGAAAACTTAAACAACACTTCAAATGTGATGTGAATACAAGACTACTATCGCTAAAGAAAGGCTTAAAAACAGAGTTTTTGTTCTGTACCAGTTTTCTTCTGTTTATCTGCCAATGCTGAAGCTGTTCCAATGGGCTTCTCCAACGCCTTCCACGGCGTCCTATCGACTCATCACCATCGGTTGATTCATTTGTGTTCTCATCATTCAGAGGTTCATTCACGTTCATAGCCGATATGTTTCTACAATCCAGAGGCTTGCAAAGACCAAAATCTGACAGCTTCATATGACCATTCTTGTCCAGCAGAAGATTGTCTGGTTTTATATCCCTGCAAAAACATCTACCTTCAGTACACTTATATTCAATGGAAAGATGAGAGAGTTTCTTTCAAAAGTTAGACCAAACCTGTGAACATAGTTATGCTTATGTATGGACTCAATAGCCAGAACACTTTGTGCAATGTAGAACCGAGCCACAGTCTCAGTCAAAGTCTCTTCCCTCATAAGCAGAGTCATCACATCACCACCAGACAAATACTCCATGATAAGGTACAAGTACTCTGGATCTTGGAATGAGTAATACAGCTTCACAATACAGTCACTATCAACTTCTGCTAGCAAGTTCCTCTCAGCTCTAACATGCTCAACCTATACAGAACGATCAAACGAAAATGGTAAACAAGACTTAAAAATCCAAACTTTTCATACATAAATGTAATAATAAAGAGATTGAGATCATTGTAAGACTCACTTGTCCCCTACTAAGCATTTCAGACTTCTTCAGCTTCTTCATCGCATAGATGTTGCCTGACTTTTTCTCACGGCATAGTCTTACCTAATAAAGATACAAAATTTACAAACAATTAAAGTTGCTACAACTACAAATGCTCAAAATTTGGTAAACTCGTAGATACATAAACCTCAAAAAGACTAACCTCACCGAAAGCTCCTCTACCGATAATACTGAGGAGATCAAAATCCTCAACGCAAAGCCTGTTCCTCATCAATCTAGTATACTCTGTCTCTTTCCTCTGTAAATCCTCCAGCAACTCGACCTGTTCTTTTTCTGATACATCTAAAGATGCCATCTTTTGTTCTAGCACCCAACGCCTGCAACACAATTCCAACACAATATACATTTTTGAATCAAAATCTCTCATTATTTTACAAAAAAAAACATTACAACTCCTAAAACAACACCATGCAGATAACAGATGCTAAACGAACGAGAAATTTCATGACATTCTACAAAACATAACTTTATTCTTTTGTTAGGTGTATCAACAAACAGAGGTTTTTCAACAAAAAAGTACCTTTCTTTACGTTGTTGGATGTGTCTCATGCGTCTATTGTAATGGTCCTCAATATACTTCTTTGCTGCAGCAACTTTCTCCAAAGTTGAATCTGAAACCGACCCTTCATCTTCCAAATTCTCCACAGCCTCCGGCGTCGGCGATGACGTAGCACTCGCCACCACCATCTCCTCATGCTGATCCATTTCACAGTTTTCCATCTTTTCTCTAAAAACACTTGCTTTCTCTCTCTCTAAATGCAGAGAACGTCTCGCAGTTCTCGCAAGAAAAACAATTGAGAAAATGTTATGATTGCTAGAACGTAAACAAGTCTCTTTTCCATCGTTCAATTTACAATGTACAAGTTTGGGATTCAGAAAAGGAATGAGGTGAATTACCTGGAAATTTTTGTTTTCTATTTTTGCTAAAGAAAAATAAACAGAGACCCTACAAGTGGAGAGGTATTAGTGGAATGAATGTA